TGGTATAACATTTTGCCGGGGACCTCTAAACGGGGTTTTTCGGGGGCAGCTAGAAAATGTTAAATGGAAAGGTCCTAATTTAAAAGACCTTAAAAATAATATCAGCGAAAATCGGAGATACCTGTTTCGTGTCGTAAAAACCATCGAACAAAATGTACATTGTTCATCAACTACTACTACTTCGTCTCCCCTTAGGCTAAGTTGTTAGGATTTACTTGTTGGTTTGCTTTCTATGTTTTTGTCTTTTTGAATCGCAACCAATTTTAGCAACGCACCTTAGGCAGTGACACACTATCGATCTTTCCCCGATCAAGACCCCAAACCGAGCAGGAATAAGGGAGGCAAATATCAGCAAAATTTCAATCCAAACATTTCCCCAAATAAGACCAAAACCAGATGAGTTCTACGGGGCGCGGCAAAAGGGAGTTTAGAGAGATATGGAGAACGTGTGCGAGTCAGAGCGCGGAGGCAGTAATAATAAAACAGTAATAAAACATGAAATAACATATTACAGATAATTTTAATTGCCTTTAATAATATTAACGTTTATATTGGGCCTAATTTTTAAATAATTTTAGTATAACTTCAATTACTTAATTCAATCATTGATACAATCAATTGATACAATCAATTGATTTAACTGTTTCAACTTGTAAAATTCATTTTCAACCTTGACCAAACAAACCACAAAATTACAACACAAATGACCATAATATATAACGGCGAAATATTACCCAACATTTATTTTACCAATTAAAGAGTTAAATTACCATAAGTTAGAACTATCAACGCTAGTGCAGGCGGCCGCTCGGTGCGGCGCTCGCGATGGCGTACGGGGCAAAAATATACCGTGACACACTAACGTACATCACTCCTTACATCGGACCGATCTTTTCTTTGATCTTTCGCCAAAAAAACCGCCTCCAGAGCGCTCGTCTCCCTGCCCGGCCTGATGTCTGGATCGGTGTATGGACCCACGGACCCCTGACACACTATCGAACATGCTCCCTTCGACCTCCCTTCTCCCTTCTCCCTGCTCGGTTCGGGGGAAAAGTCAATAGTGTGTCACCGTCTTATTAGACATCCCTGTTACTCAATTGTTTTGTGATGTTTCGTTTAGAAGTCCCGTCTGTAGCTAAGGCCAGACACATTGACTGACAAGTGGTTGATTTGCTACAACTGATTGTTTTAATGTTAAAACTGAACCTGTCCATTGATGGAATTTTAATGTACAATACATTTTTACCTCACCATGAAGCCTATATAGTACTTATATTTTAAGACAGTAAGCTTAATTTCACATAAAAAGTAGTCAAATTTGTCATTGAATAGGATACCATTAAGAATATGAATCAACTTTCACTATCAGAAATTCTTGACACAATTCTGATTTCATCGAAAAATTAACTAACTATAACTACGAACTTTATTTCCTAACGTTTGTTCCGTCTTAACCATCTATCCGGATTAGCTTGGACAATCCGAAACCAATTTCGTCCGAGATTTTTGAAACTAAGTTGGGGAACTTTCACTATATTACCAATACAATAGTTTTCAAGGAAATTCCGGTTAAGAGATTGTAAGAAGTGTTTTGGTAAACGTACTAATTCTTTACTTCACTATTACGTTATGGATTCTTTTTGATCATTTTTAGAATTCCTCATACAGTACTATATAATTCGATGGATTGAAACTTCCTTTAACGAGAAATTTTCTAAAATAATAATACAGTAATAATATTATTACATGTTTTCAAAATTTATTCGTTGTCTTACCTCTTCTGTACACACTCATCCAACATAGTCGTTCTGTATTTAACGTAAATTGTAAGTTGTGAAATAAAGTTATTGCATTGCTCGAATATACGAATTATATTAGGCCTAAATTTAAAATTTTGTTGAACGAGCTATCCCTCGTAGACACGGGCATTAAATCGTATTAAAAACATAATGTTGGCCAATTATAGGTCTACTGATTAGTGATTGCGTGGTGTTGCCGTTAGATTAATCATCTTGTGTATTGTATTCACTTGGTATTCTACTTGAAAATGAACCTTCGGGTTTGAAATTACCAACCAGGATCACTTTGCAGTACCCTAATTAAACCTTTTATAATCTTCATATGTAATCTTAGTACAATTACGAATTTAGAGTAGCAATTCATACTAATCACGCTCAAGCGCTATTCAATATTATAAAATATTCGTTGTTTAAAATGTTCGATTGAAACTGGAGATATCGCGGGGAAGGTAGGAAACAACGATTTGGAGAAATCGTAAATCCTGAATGATGGGGACAGTGCAGCGTCGGTCAAGGACCTTGGTGCGTGCGAGCGCGCGCATGTGTGTGCGTGTGAGGGGGTGTTTGGACACAGCGCCGCGGACACCTTGTTTCCGTGAAAGGACTCGTTCTATCTAGACGGTGGAACGACTCAACCACTCGTTGTTTTGTAGTCTTTGAGCAAGAGATGCTCTTCATTTGTCTACAGGGTTGTGATATTTAGGCTGATTAGAACCATTAACTGTAAACCGTAAAAAGACACACACATCTCGTTTGCCTAATGAAAGTTGACGTCCATCTCATTGTCTTACCTTTTTTCTACTTTACAACATAAATATTTCATAAACTTTAGTTACGGTATTTAATACTCATTCTCTTTCCTTTTATTAATTTATTCATCTGTGTGTAAGCTCTACTTTAACCCATGTTAGAGAATTGTTGTCCATATATTCCACTATTACCATACTTATCTCCCATTTTAAAAAGCCTTAAAATAAAATAATTAACTGACAGAAACATTAAAAGAGGATACAACCCGATTTTTTTTTTAATCAGAGAATAACATAATTTATTTTTATATTAGCTTTTATGTTTTACTTTCTAAATTAAATTCCAACTTAATCTTATTCATCATAAACCGTAAGTTTTATGAACAGCCATTTCGTCATCAGCTTATTCCTATTGATATTTCATGCCTCAATCGCTTTCATGCTGATCAATACTGACCAGATTAGGCTGAAATTTTAAATATATTGGCAACCGATATGTAAATATCCTAGTTATTCGTGTAACTACGCACTAGTTACACCAGTACTAAAGGGGCAGTTATGTTTGCCGCACGCTCGTGCGTAAACATTTCTCTCGAGTGCAGCAAAGGCACTTTTGCCCTCGCGTTACACATTATATTTTTCCTACAGTAACTATAAAGCATATAAATAATCAAACACTATACAACACGTTTTTAGGTTAGGTTAAATCCAAGCGTTGATAAAATGGGAAACGCTGCACCAGCTGATTGTAGTCGTAGTGTCTTTATGTATTGCCAACTTATTTTCAATGGTACACGTATTACGTGCCCAATAAAAGCACGCTGTTTTGTGTTGTTTGGTTGGAATACTGGAGTGCGGCAAAAGTAAAAAGAGTAGGGCTAAAGTAAGTAAATGAAGCAATTAGCAACTTTCTGTACGATAATCAGTGCAAGAAGGCCCACTTTGTCTGGTGTCAGTTGGAAAACAAAAATTGATAAACGTTTTGTAAAGTTCAAGTTTTTTTTATCTAATAATCATATTAGTTATAAATAGTTACACTACGAGTTAGTTACACGTAGCTTAAATAGTTATACTACTCTCATAAAATATTCCTAAAACCTCAAATTGCCTGTACAACTCTTTGTTTTGAACAGACCAATTGCAGTTCGCCAAATGTACGATAGGCTGGTTAGGCACCTAGAAACTGGTGTTGCAGACATTGTGTCATATCTGATGAAATTTAATGACACATGGAAGTCTTTTGCATGTCATATGTTTTTTGCACGTAAGAGGCATTTCTTCTGATGTATTGATATTAGTCGCGTACAAAATACCCCAGAGATTAGTATGCAACTACACCAACAACTGAAATCTCACTTAAAAATATTTTAGAATGAATCAAGACACTATGTTTACAATCAACCACTCGTAACCTGCTGTTTGAGGCTCAGGGGGTGAGTGGAAATGCGCATACGCCAGACCTGATGTACGACATGTCTCGCCAAACACGACACATGTCCGAGACATCATTGGTCGGACGTGTCCAACGAGACTGGTTGGTCAATGTTTTGGTGCGTCATGTACAACATCAGGCCTGGCGCGAGACCCAACTAGACGCTGTAAGCTGAATGCACCAGGGAAGACAGTGGAATATCGTGGGCTGACAGTGTCTACCTAGAACGCCCGTGCCAGTCTATCTGCCTGTACCTGCTCTGTGCTCAATGAACTAGCGAAATGGGCTTAGGGCTTAGTTATAATTTATTATTGGCCTTATAAGTGCCGTTTACCTCAGCGCTAAAGGCGTAGTCCGAGAATACAGTCGGACACTTGATGTGATTCCAAGGCCATTTGTGAGATAGTCAACAAGACGTGTCGCTTCTTTTAATATTCTTCTGCATTTTCTGTTTTAGAGTGTTACAAATTTTGATGAAATCTTGATGTCAAATTCGCTTAATTTGCTCAAATTGTGGACACCGTTTGAATAAAAATGATTCAGTTTCATTCTCTAAGTAATTCCAATAATAATCAAAGCGGCCTTCTTTATATTAAATATGTTTGCCCTTTTTTTCTCTTTTTCAATATGTTTGGCTTTTTTCTAAGCGTGTGTGATTCATGGTTCAGTTGGTAGGTCAATACCTCTGCGTTTGCATTCAAGAATTGGTCAACTATATTTAAACCACTGCACTGTCGACTTCCTTTTTTTGGTAACTTTTAGTCTTCTGACAGATATTTTTTACTCGAGCCTCAATAAAGAAGGATTTTCATTTAATTTCATTGTCTACAGTGTAGTAAAATATGTCTCAATCGTGCTAAAGACACAAGACACGCAAAATACACATGTCTCTTAACTATGTGTATCTTACGACATGATATCTGCAACACAAGTGCTCATCGTTCAATGAATATCAACACCGCTAATAACCGTCAGCTAGTTGAAATAATGCTGTTTAGTTAATTGTTCCCTTATTTGCAGGTTAGCAAGTAAAGGGTTTGCCGATGATCATCCGAGAAGAAAGGCCTATCACACTCTGAATGTCCTCTGAGTGGTTCTTACTTCCCTTCTTGAAAAAGTCAGGTAGGCAATTATCCTTAATAGGACAACCGGGATGGCGCCAGTTATGTGAGGGTTAAAAACGGCCAGCCTGGCACACACTGGGATTGGGCCAACGATACTCCAGGTAGCCAAGTAATCGGGCGGAAGATGGAATGTAACCTAACCTAACCTAACTTAACCTAACCCAATAATGAAGGGAGAAACTAAAGTCAAACTGCGGTTTGAACTGTGAATGAGAAGCGGACACCATTGTTTGCACACTGCTGGGGTAGTTTCTCAGATAAATCTGACAAAAAAATGCCGCATTGGCACAATAACGGTGTGTTTTGGGGGGGTAGATTTGGCAGTGGTGCTTTGCTGGTGTCTACCTGGCCCTAGTGGCGCAATCCCGGTGGACCGTGACAACTAACGTGTGTCTGTTGTTTGCAAGAAGATGCAGTCACAACAATAAACTATTAGCTCTGTTCTGACAGTGATAGTGTAACCAACCTAGGCCTAAGATTATGGAGATCTAAGATTATGGAGTCAAGGCTCTATTGCTATTCTATTTCACACTACACAGTTTGTACCTAAAACCTAAATTCAACAATGAACAAGAATGTTTGAAACCACAATTTTAGAGTGTCTAAAAGCCTCACAAAACTCAAGATTATTTGATATCCAAGTACAACGAGCAAAGAATACTTCATTAAATAACATATGATAAGCATTTTTTTTCAATAATATCTGTTAATGAGTGTTAACGTTGTCTGCAGGTGACAGATGGATTGTTGAGTGAGGAGAAATGGATAAAGAGAATGGAGACAGAGATAAGTCTTCGGCCCCAAGCGATGGGAACCCTCTCATGGACCCGCTCAATGTCTTCGCTGGTGAGTTTGCATTGTTTAGTTGTACCTAATTTTTGGCAGGCCTAAATTTTATATGATGAATTTTCATACATTAGACCATAGACTATCCGAAACAATTGGGGCAGAGGGGTGTTCGGATAATAGATTTTTCGGATAATCGGACACCAACTTAAAATGGCGTATTTCTTTGTTAAGCGTATAATTAGAATTCCTCAATAATGTGTTTAATTCAAGCTATAAACGAAATTTGTGATCATTGTAGAAGCTTTTATTTAATGTAACACTACTGTAATCACAGGTAGCAATATCGCCATGATCTTCGGTATATCTGTCTATATCACCATGATCGTCTTTAGTTACTGTACGTAAAGCAATAAAGCATAGCACACTCGGCATTGAATATAAAAAAATCACAAGCTTAGCTTGAGCCACTTGCACCGTTGTTCAGCCAATCTAATCTTCTTAGTTTGTCAGATGTGCTTAGTACAATTCCTATAGCATACTGTAAAGCAAACAAAAAACACCACATATTAAAAAAATGATCACTGACACAAAGTGAGGTAGGCTATGTGTATTTGTATAGGGCCTATAAGACACATGGCAGCACAATCACCATATTGCTGAGTTTCGCGCAGTGTTGCGCCACGTGGGCTTCTGCTTGTATTGTGGCCGCACTTGTATTGTTGGCGTGGCGGTAATTTGAATTTTTCGTCTTTGGCGGCGATTTCACTTAACTGATGTTTCGGATGCATGACATTCGGATAATCGGCGACTGTTTTTGTGTTGCAGGGCACAACATCTTTGGAGGAGGAATGCCTGGTAGTTACGGCCACCATCTCACAAGTGCGTACAATGCTCTGCTAGGTGCAGGGAGGGGGGGACAGTTCCCTCACCCTCCTACGACCAGCTCCTACGGCAGCCTGGGTACTCTTAGTGTGGCTGCCAGTCAAGCTGCTAGCCTAGGAATAAACCCAGCAAGTATGAAACTATTTACTTACCATACAGACCTTTACAAATTGTTGGACATTATTTTATTTGTTTTTACTTGCAGTTTTGGATGTTTGTAGTAGTCTGCGGCACCAGTGTGTGATCTGAGGGCTTGAAGTTGCTTTTCAAGAGGAAGAATTTGTATTGGTCCTGCTTAGCACATTAGTGTACCTATATGTCAGGCTCAAACTCAATGATATTCCTGTTCAGTAATATGAATCAGTCTCTTTGTTTTGCACTTCGTCACTAGATGGAAGGATCAGTCACATTCACCACTATTATTATAAGTTTTCACGTTGTTTACCCTGATATGTATTAATTGGGACCAGACCCTGTTCGGATAACCAAATCGATCAGATTAGCCAGAAATGCAGTAAAATTGATTTTAAAAATATTAGAAAGATATTATGATTTTTAAATGGCCATATATTGCTACTGAGATCACGAAAACATTTTGGTCGTCTTCAGCGATAGTGGTAATATCTGTGTTTATATACCGCTGTCACGGCAACACACGATTGTGTTGTTCTTGTTGTCAACCATGACCGAAAAAGAGAGCCAACGGAATGCCGCTGGTTGTTCCAAATTTCTTGATATCATAGAAAATTTATATCACTTATGTTTTCTCAGTCATCAAAATTTACTTATGATTCCCGGTTTTCTCGGTTCCCTAGTCAGACACCCTGGTTATTATTTTAAAAGACATAACTGTGTTTTAAATTTAAATACACCTTTTCTCTCCTAACAGGTGGTTCAGATGGTCAGACAATTTGGATCATAGGTGTAACTAGGATGGCCATAAGGGGGCCGGTTTACAAAGTTTTTGAAAATAGATCCGTTAACTCAAGTTTTTTTTTATTAGGATATAAAAGAGATTTTTTAATTGTAGAAAAAAAATTGAATTGTTACAATGGCGCAGTAATAAACAGTTTTACATAAAAATTAGGTAGAAATAGGCATTAAATGGGCTTGAAAAACTGACTACACAAACATGGAATTTATTTTAAGTATAAAAAATTAAATTTGATAACATTTATTACTCATACAGTAAGGATATTACTGCTCAGAAAGAGTCTTAACTTAAGTTGGTACAGAACACGGTAGGTCAATTTTAGTGTCTTGTACTGACCTACTGTGTATTATGAAAAGCGAGACATTGCTGGTTCGACATGGGTTGCCATCTTACCACTGGCCATGTGACTTATTATACTGTAAAGTTACTTCATTGTCTTCAGCTCTCTGCAAAGATAAGTAGTCTATAGAGATAAATGGTTGTGTGTGTCTGTGTAGGTGCGGCATGGTACGCCATGGCCTCTCACCTGGCTGCCCAGGACTACCTAGCCAGGCTTCAGGCTGCTGGGATGCCCTTCTCTGGAATGCCTCCCGACATGCCTGGCTTCCCTCTCATGAGTCCCCATGCTCAAGGTTAGTGTCTACCAAACTTTACAAATTAATCAGGTAGGTTAGACATTTTCGGAAGAATTCCTCCCCTATGTAAATTAGTACATAATTCCCGTACAAGGCTTGCCTAGCATAATAGTTTCTTTAGTAGGCTCTCAACGAAGTTACACAATTAACCTTATTTAGGTTAGACCAGGCACACTGTTCTTTGCATTTAAAAAGTTACTTAGAATTTGAAAAAAAAAATAGGCTGCTGAATCCTAAGACCTGTTTTGACTTTTGAAGAAGGACGATGAAGACTTAACAGTTGATAATTCTGTTACAAAAAGTGTTGATAATTCTGTTATAAAAATTTGTTGTGATTGTATGTATGGGTTTATGTTTTACTTCATGTACATTTGTTGCTGATAGTGTGGCGAAAATGTATTGTACAGTACTTACCCGGGAAGGTTTCTTAGTACTTTCAAGAAAATCTCGGGTTCGGCAAGCCTCTCATGGAAACTATCATGCTCATAACGTAAAAACCTACCTCCAAGCATTATGTAGCTTAATATACTATTAAAGTAGTGTGGTTTAAATCCTGCTCCCCCAAAGTCAAACCTTGCATGGAAACTAAATTTTTCACTTTTTTGAATTGAGGATATCAGGTTATCAAGGCATTCAAGTAAACGTTTGAATCTCCCACCAAATTGTTTTACTGGTTTTACTAAAGTGTTTGACAAAAACCTCTTATTTTTTATCCTTTCTCATCTTCCACTTCTTTTTGGCATCGTTAGTTATAGGATGAAGTAAATATGAAACAATATAAGCTATGCGAATTCACAATCCCTTTTAAACTCGTTCTCTCAACAAAACTCTTTCCAAACATAATTGTTGTGTTATCAGTTTCAGGAAGTGGCAAGCAGTCAGGAAGTAGCCACTCTAAAGCCCTCGCTCATGGTCCTAGCTCGTCTAGCGCCTCGGGAATGCCTTCCATGCACAAGTAAGTTTCGAATGGTTAAATACTTTCTAAACTTCTTACATAGCAAAGTGACGGGTGATGGGACCTGATTCCTCAGTTAGATTTGTAACTATATTATTTATTCAAACTTCAACTTCTGTAGCTTGATAATTTATTCTGTTATGAGATGTAGACAGCATAATTTCACCTTCAGTAGGCAAATAAATCGGGGATTAAAAACCTGGAAATATGGCTGTCCCTTAATAAAAACATATCTTTTAGACATCAAAATGAGAATTTGAAACGCATCTCTAGTATGAACAATGTTTAATAGTCGTGTATTCAGTTCTTTTGATAGTTAAAAATATATACTATAAAGAAATAAGCTTTTAATTTTTAAAAATTAATTAAGATTTATCAAATATAGAAAAAAGCCAAATTGAATTATGCTGAATACAAATGTTTGAATTTTTACCAGCCAATTAAGAAGAGAATCATGCATGGAGGTTGTTTGCAGACTATTCTCAAATTGGGGCACAATCCATGGCTCAGTAATGTGATTTGAAATCGTAGTGCATCCTTTATCTTTATATTATCCAGAACACTTATTGATTTCATGTGTTAACTGAGGGATTATTGAGAACATTTTCCATCATGATTAGTAAAAAAAGGTATTGAGTAAATTGTAGTTGACTGAATAAACATTGTGGTTTATCTGAAAAAGTGGTGGATGGGGGAAAATATTTTCTTGATCTTTGGGTGGGATTACATGTTATTCAAGATTTTCTGAAGAAAGGATCTGGTCCTACTGTCGACGATTTAACCGGCATTGCAAGGGACAATGATGAAATCTCTCACGAAGATGTTCACAATTTCGCTGGTATGGTGGGTAAAGATGATGATGTCTCCATTATTGAGGGAGATGTCTACGATATTGTCATTATTGTGGGAGAAGGTTTTATAGCCTCTGCGATCATGGGAGATTTTGAGGATTTCACCACTATGGTTAATGTACAATCACGTGTTTTGCTGCTATGAACGGTGACAATAATGATTCGTAGGCAGGGAAAAAATAATGTTAGTTCTGTGATCATGGATTACAGTCTTGATGACAAAGTCCAAGACACTCTTGTACCGGTTCGAGTCCAAGAGTACTCAAGTACGATAAAGACTGAAAATGTATTGGATTTGTTATTGCCATTTATAGAATTTTTCCTTAAGACTTTTAAAACTAATTGAAGTTTCCCTTGATGCGAAAGAAGAAAAACCCCATCTCATTCCTGTCTTGAAACTCAGGAAGGAAATAAAAATTCCTTCCCGTCCTAACTATAAGTACAATCCCATTCTTCCCTTATCTGAACTGTTAATCCTTTTTTACTTTACCTAAATATGTCATAAATCAAATCTAATCCATCCCAAATTGACTAGTTCTTTTCACCAGTTGTAGAGTTGTAGTATTTATTCCTATGGTGTGGTAGGAGAGGTGGTCTAAGGAAGCAGACCACGGTCCCACAGCTCCCCAGGACTCACAAGTGTTACTGTAGCACCCCAATAAATAACTTTTATCAGTTGCCATACGAGGGCCGGTGAGTTTGTTTACTTATCCCTAACAACTGATGGTTTGGTAGGGAAGATAGCTTGGGGAAGCAGACGACGGGAAAGTCCCACAGTCGATCTCTATCTAGCGCTTCAGCTTCAGTTCTGCCTTCACTTCTGAAGTGAGCACTTGGTGTTACCTGCACAATTTTAATGTTAGTCTCTATTATATGTTGCAACTTTGCTTCCAAAATTTAATTTCTAAAAGTTGCCACAGTGTGTTTCAGTTTTTTTCCAAGCAAAGAAATAGCTTTTCCAAACTACGAAGTAAGAGTCTTATGGAGTCTATCCACATGCTGCACCACAAAAGTGCACAAGCGCCTATCAGCTGTATACCTCGCTTTCTACCATTCGCCTTTTTGAAGACAAAGGCAATTCGATTCAACAAAAGATTCACTTACTAAAATAGAACCGCCTCTTGGTTTTTTTGTCTAATAACATTTCAGAGACAATTTTGCAACACATAATAGTGGCCTTTGTTGTGTGATGTCCCCCAGCACACTGTAATAATTTTGTGAAATTTCACCCTTGTTAAAAAACAACTAAGCTTCCTCAGATTTTTAAAATTTTTTTTAGCATGTATTTTTAGAAATAATCTAAATTTTATTGTTTCTCTGCTATTAATGGGTTCTAAATTATCATTATTTTCTCTTCCTCCTTGTTTCTTATGTTAATACCATGTATGTTTGTCTTGGTAACTTGTGTGTTTTTAAGTTAAGTGTTTATAAAATTTTCATAGCACTGGGTTTAACTCATCACTTTTTATACATTTTGTGTTATTTTATCGATTATTTTTATTTTGTACTTTGTTGTGTATAGCTAAGCATGTAAAAATTGTTGTTTAAAAGGGTAGGTTGAATATCTCATTTTGAACCAAAGTATTTACCAAAAAGAAAACACATTGTTTAAAACTTCATGAACATAAATTACAGTATTCATTGTAAGTAAAGCAAATAAATAAAGCAATAAAAAAAGAATTATCAATCATGGTCAAAGTTAGTGGAACTTCAGTTATAGTGTATAGGAAAACTTAAATTTCTTACACAATGTTTTAAACTTATCATTATTTGTTTCAAGCTTGCCTACTTCAAGAGAAGGAAGGTGAGTTACTGTATAACGGGATTTTTATTTGAGTTCATTCAAAATTGTTTGCTAACTTTTGTTACTATGTGCTATTAAAATCAACGGTGTTCTTTTGTAGTCCATCCAAGTGTGAAAACTACATGTCACCTGTTACTTCCTACCAGTGTTAGATTTGTAAAAAATTAGATGCCGGAACTGTAACCTATTCAATGTTACTTGTACCTATTTATGCCAATAACTTCATCTTTACCAAAGAGAGGTACCGGAACTCCGTTCCGCCGCGTTCCCCCGTAAATCAAGCACTGCTTTGTACACTTAAGTAATTCAACATTTTTTGCACATAATCCTATAGAAGTCAACTTTTTACTAGAGCAAAAAAGTATATTGCTAGGTCATGGCTAGGTTGGTAGGTTCTGAAGTTAACCAGTTCCTTAAATCTGGTTGGTAAGTTTCAGGGTTAGTCAGTTTGTTTACCCTATGTGAGTTTGCAAATTTTGGAGTAAGTTAGTCGGTTCTTTTCCGTTAAGTCACTACCACTACTTTTTTTTATTGCGATTCCGATATTTTTAACATTTATTCTAGCCTATGAATATTGAATATATTAATTATAAAATGAAACTATTCTAAACTAACCTTACCAACCAAACTTGTTGATTATGAAAAAATTCTGGTTGTGAACAAACTGAATTGCAATATAAAAAGTAGTGGTAGTGTATTAACGGAAAAGGACCAGCTAGTTTATTCTTTTGTCTTACTTAAGGTTAAGATGTTTAATTTAGTAATATGCATTGTAAAAATAAGACATAATTGTCGTATTTCTTGAATGGTACTATTATCTTTTTTTCTAGTGACGGCTCCGGTGTGCTCGGAGGTGTGCGGCTTCCTCCCGATACGGAGATAATAAAATATACCTCTTCAATTGTTGGGCCTAAAGTCCCGGGGACAACTAACCGAGGTCGCAAGAAGACCATTTCTCTAGACCCACCTTCAGTCAGTGTAACCCCCACTCACAGCAACTCTGCCTCCACTCCTGCCTTGCCTGCAGAGCGACCTAAGAAAAACAAGCATCCCGTAAGTTTACTATATTAATTTTAATGTTTATCAAAATTTGTGCATTCTTAAGAAGAAAACTGGATGGTCATCGAACAAAATTGTTGCAATAATGGCAGATCATATTTTCCAATGTGATTTAAATGAGGTCATGATTTGTACTTAAAATTTATTGGAAAAAAACCTTTTGTTCACACACAACTATAATCTGTGTGACCTACAAACAATGTGCAGAAATGTTGAGTTTTCATGTCACCGTTGAGTCACAACGGTGACAGTTCAGTGGTTCTAGATGACTGAATTCAAGAAGCGATATGGATGTCGTAATATAAGTATCTTAACCTAGATTTAATTATTTTAGTCCTGGATTAGCAAGTTTTTTGATAATTCCGAGGATGTGTTAAATAATAGACTGCATGCATTTATTTGTATTGAAGGAATAACATAATTTTGATAACAAATCAATTATATAACAAAGATACGATTTAGGAAGTACTTTGTCTCATTTTGGAACCATTATTCACATTTTATGCATGTTTATTTAAGAACCAAGAATTAAGTATTAGAACATTTTTAATTATTTGAAGCTTCTGTTTCCTTACGTTTTGGAAGTGAAATTGACTGACTACAGTTTGATAATGGTAAGGAATATTCGTCTTAAGAATTTCTAACTTGCAGGTTGAGAGTGCGCCGAGTAGTCAGGCACCTCTTGCATTGGACCAGATAGACCGAGAGTCTGACATTATGAAGTTAAACGGAGTGAGTCCCGTGCCAGCCGGGTACAACACTCCTCCCGACAATGACGCTCCACTCAACCTCAGCTTAAAACCTTCTGTGTCACCACAGCAACCCAACAATGCCCTTCAGTCACTCTCGTCTCTCTCACAATCTCTGGGGCAGATGCCAGACCGCATCTGTGAGTATTTATGTATTGGCTTCGAGTTGACTATGTTTACCAATAACTGTTAAAGTATTAGTATTAGCCTTAAGTGTAGCATGCAGGTTTGTCATCAGTGGTGTTTTGTTTGGTGACAATGGTGCAATTAGGCGATTCACGCTGTAGGTGAAGAGGCAACTGACAAGAAGGAAAAGACACTCCTAGCTCAGTAAATATATTTTGATACAAACCCTACAAATTTACAATCTGTGATGTTAGCTACTGCAGGATTTTACCGAAGAAAAAAAACTGTTTACGGGAATCTTGTAAGTGACAAACTGTTGCAAACGAAAACTAAAATCTGATAAACTTATAACTTCAGAAAGCTTAAACATAGCTTATAGATTTTTCCCAAAAATACATCTTTGTGGAATGAAGATGTCATATACCCTTTGTATATTGACTAACCTTTATTTTAAACTCTATAATTTCATCATATTTTAATTCAAAATTGGACACATTTACCTTTTCCAATTTTGTAATTGTGAGAGTGGATATCAGTAAAGACCACTCTTACTTTTTATTTCCAAGATATTATTTCTTAAAAGTTTTATATTTACTTCGGCTCACTGGGAAATACGACTAAAGATTGCTTGGAGAAGAAGAAACTGTAATTGGAACCATGGTTATTTTATGTATTATTTTAAATTTAATACTAAAAAAGACAAATTACAAAAATTATTACGAAGGGGACATAAACAAGAAAGATAATCGAGCATACAATTTTTAAATTCCTCTGTTCAGTTCAGCTAATAGACAAAACTTATAAAACATTATCACTGGTGATTTAGCTTCAGTAAATAAAATATGAAACCTGCTTCTATTTGGCTTTAATTTTTTTCTAATGTGTCATGTGGTAAAAAGAAATAGAAGTGTACATTTTTAAACCAAAGGTACCATCTTAAGTTGTCACTAACTATGTTGATCAAACCACTTAAACACATTATGTGTAAGGCAGAAAATAACTAAAGCATTGCTCCCGCTCAACAGATTTTGGGGGTGGAAGGGGGGCCTGTTCCATGTCGTCCAAGACCATTATTGTAGAACAATTTTCCAACTAATTGAAACATTATACAGTACTTGTAATACAAAAGTGAAGGAGTTGCGCTGTTAAATATTTCTTTAATTTTGGGTTAGAATCAAACTTTTATTGAAAAATGTAGACTATCAGTAGTTTTTTTTTCTTAATTCTTATTTCAAAGATTGTTGACTAGGATGACCAGTTCTTTCATTATTTATAAAAAAAATCAGGAATAAACCAATTTTATTAGAAATTAATTGTTGCTTTTTCACCGCGACCACTGCGACCGCAGAAGGTGTTCACAGGGTTGTCAGCGACCGGGAACTCCAGGAAAATAGGGAATTATGCGTGAATTTTAACTGCCGTGAAAAAACGGGGAAATATGCATGACAACAGTATTATTCAGGGGTTTTCCCTGAATTTCAATAAATATCATTATGTACGTTTATTTTCAAAGAATTTTATAGTTGTTATAAAAATGGTTTGTTGTTCGTATCATCCATGTTTAAATTCTGAATTAGACAACCGACGTAGTTCAATGCCGGCTCAAAATTATCGTGCGCTCTCAGTTACTTATCGTATCCAAGTCTGATAAGTTTAACGGAATCAGAAAACCGCTCTTGCTTTTTACGAAACGAAATAGTCGTACACTGAAAACATCCAAATGGAGAAAGCACTGGCACGGCATATCTGCTAGAAAATCGAGACGCTGTAAAATGTTGTTATGTTGGTACCACTAGAAGAATCAACCAGCTCATTGGCTATTGGCAATCCCTTAGTTCCAAAGTACTATTCCCCTTCCCCTAGTACATATGGCGGCCAACGTCTCTCAATTATCCTCGCATTCAGTGCTACCTTCGGTTGTAGCTCTAGCTCTAGTTCAATGCGCAACTATTGCCGACATTGCCGGTCGACTTAACCTTGACCTTGACCTTGTATTTGTCTGCGACCTGCGTTCCCGTTGTGTGTTTGTGCAGCAAGCAATAGCAGAACTGTACTGTAGACAGATGACACGATGATTTATGTTATTACAATACGATTCCCAATCGACGCTCAACTATGGATTGGATTGAATTGATGTTTTAGTTTGTTAATTTAGGAAAATACATAATTTGAATTGTAATAATTATTGGTTTTTTACTGGTTTGCAGTTAATGATAAGTAACTATTGGCCAAATATAACGGGAAAAACGTACCGTTAAAAACTGCTTCTGTAGGCCTAAGGAAAACATTTCCTACCACAAATTTTGTTTCTAAGTACTACATTTTGGAAAATACATAATTTTAATTGTAATAATTATTGGTTTTTTACCGGTTTACAGTTAATCATAAGTAAATATCGGCAAATTTAACGCAAAAATCATAACGTTTCAGTCGTACAAGTTTATTTTGCAAAACGTTAAACTCATTAATGTTAATTTTTAACCTTAATTGGCAATATTTGTCGAGTGAATATGAAGAGTTAATAGGCCTTAAGGGCTAATAAACGTATGTGGTTTTTATATTATTTACCAATAGGGTTGGACGGCATTGAATGTTTAGTTCAGGACGGTACGGGACAGGATTTTTATTTCCTTCCTGATTTTCGGGACGGGATTTTTTCCTATTTTTTCCTCTTGAGTATTGCAGTTACCAAAAAAAAAACAGACAAAATCAATTTTTACCATTGTGGCACTGGTCTATAAAAACCAAAAAAAAATGGGTAAAAATTTACAGGTATAGAAACTTGTAACTCGCGTTCATGGCGCAATTGTCAGTATGACACCGCGGTCACTGGGTGATCGTTGGTATGACCCGCAGTCACGGCGTGATCGTCGGTATGACTCCACGATCACGGCGCGATCGTCGGTATGACTCCGCGGTCACGGCGTGATCGTCGGTATGACTCCGCAGTCATGGCGTGATCATCGGGATGACTCTGTGGTTACGGTGTGATCGTCGGTATGACCCGCAGTCATGGCGTGATCGTCAGTTTGACCTGCGGTCACAGCGTGATAGTCGGTAAGACCCGCGGTCACAGAGTGATAGTCGGTATGACCCGCGGTCACGGCGTGATCTTTGTTATGACTCCGTGGTCACGGCGAGATCGTCGGTATGACTCCGCGGGCACAACGCGATCGTCGGTATGACTCCGCGATCACGGCGTGATCGTCGGTATGACTCCACGATCACGGCGCGATCGTCGGTATGACTCCGCGGTCACGGCGTGATCGTCGGGATGACTCTGTGGTTACGGTGTGATCGTCGGTATGACCCGCAGTCATGGCGTGATCGTCGGTATGACCCACGGTCACAGCGTGATAGTCGGCAAGAGCCGCGGTCACAGCGTGATAGTCGGTATGACCCGCGGTCACGGCGTGATCTTTGGTATGACTCCGTGGTCACGGCGAGATCGTCGGTATGACTCCGCGATCACGGCGTGATCGTCGGTATGACTCCGCGGTCATGGCGTGAGTATGACTCCGCGGTCATGGCGTGATCGTCGGGATGACTCTGTGGTTACGGTGTGATCGTCGGTATGACCCGCAGTCATGGCGTGATTGTCGGTATGACCCGCGGTCACAGCGTGATAGTCGGTATGACCCGCGGTCACAGCGTGATAGTCGGTATGACCCGCAGTCACGGCGTGATCTTTGGTATGACTCCGTGGTCACGGCGAGGTCGTCGGTATGACTCCGCGGGCACAACGCGATCGTCGGTATGACTCGCGGTCACAGCAGATCGAGGGTATGACTCTGTGGTCACGGCGCGATCGTCTTTGCCTCCTGCGTCCACGAACAACTTTCGCGATAGTGGCGTCATCCTCACTCGCGAAGCGGCAAAATCGCCAACGATCGGATCGAATCCCATCCCGAAAAATTCCCAAATAAAATGTAATCCCGTCCCGAAAATCGGGAATATTTTTTTCCTGAAAGTTTCCCGAAATTTCGGGACCCGTACATTCCTATTTACCAATATCTGTTATTTTAATTTGTTTTTACAACTTTTATTAGGATTTTCTCATAAGTAACCTTTATTAGACACCAGAAATTTTATTTTTTAGCCACAAAAACCAGGAAAAATGTGTGAATTTTGTTTATAGATTCTGCTGACAACCCTGTGTTTACTATTTTACCGTAACTTTAGAAGATTTTATCAATTTCGCTCTATCGGTGTATGTGGGAGATGATAACAACATTACCGCAGTCACAGGAAACAATGACAATGTTTTTGAAACGTTTGAGTGGCTATTGAAAGCTTCTGTCATGTTCAGGGAGACATATCAAACTTTGTCAGTGTTCGTGGATACATTATTACCTTTTCCGATGTTTAAGTTTCATCACAAGATTCTCCACAGTTTGATAAAAATGTTGCAAACTGTTGTGGTATTGGTGAATTTGCCACTGTTTTTGGAGATATCGCTTGCTTTGGCAACAATTGCAGCATCATTGTGGCATGAATCTAGAAAATTTTAGGCAACATCGCTATCATCGCCAATGATTGCGACAACATAAATATCCTCGCTGACATTCACAAAATCATTGTTAGAATCTTAAAATTAGTGACAACAGCACATCAATATTGTTAACTTCGGCGAATTTTGGGGCAAAATTAATAGCTCCTTTGACGTTTGTGGCAACATTAGGAGATTGCAACAACATTGTTACTGTTAGCTTTGATTTCGTTCACGGTGACATAGTCAGCATCATACTAAGATCTTGAAAAAAAAAACTTCATTAATTTGCTAACTTTAGTTTGGATTAGGTGGACTTTTAAAATAGCAAGGTTCGGAGTAGCCGGCTTTTACTGTAAATATATAGCACTCTGAATAACTGCCACTGTCGCTGTTCCATGTAGGATTTTTCACTATCTCTAATATGTAGTATATTTCATCACCAAGACCTAAAGTGACTGCTTTCTCCTAAAAATCAAGTTAACAATTGAGGATGGAAAATGAGCGAAGGTTGAAAAGACATTTTGGTCTATGTGATAAACTATATTTTTTTGTTATTAAATATTTTTATTAAATATTTAAAGACGGAAAATTTAAGCATATCTCTGTCTGTTATTGCTGTTAATATTGTCTGTCTATGGAAACATAATAGTATATTATTTAGTATAATGACCAGCTATAATCAATCAATCAATCAAATATTCTTTATTCACAAAGTTTAGACAATATGTCTTGAATAGCGTCATTAAACTAACATAAACAAAAAATTATAAACTAAATAATTAAAATCATTCACAAAGGATTTATATAGTAAAACTAAAAATGAGTGCTATAACTTTAAAAAATCACAAAATCTTAGAAGGTTACGTTAGAGTAAAACTAGGTAGTAACTGGAATTCAAATGGTCGTTTCGAGATTACAATTTAAAAATTCTTTGATGGAATAAAATGGGTTTCTTAACAACAAGTCTTTTGTTGATAAGAGTCGTTGTCTATAAAGAACGAAAGTCAAAACTTGGTAGTAATCGAGACAGTACGGTAAGATCTTCTTGCGTCTGTGAGTTGATGGTTTTACATTAATGCCAATAGCAAAATAACTAATCATCTTAAAAAAATTTTTGGACTTGAAAGAAACATACAATTTATAGTTCTATTGCTAAAATTTGTATCCATCACTGAAGAAAAGAATTATTTCACTAACTGACTTTCAAATGGGATAGTAAAAAAAACCCGAAACTTTTTAAACAGCTGTTTTCTGTTGTTATTATATTTAGAAAGTTAAGAATATTGTAGCAATGAAAAACTCAGCTGATGCAATTTACTGAAATATGGAGCAATGTTCAGTTCGACATTTTGTTTTGATGTTGGAGATTTTCTAAAAAAATCACTGAATTTGTAACTGCTATGCAACAGTTATTTCGCAACTGTTTTTTTGTTCTTCGTTATGGTGTCGTCGTTCCTTGTGGTAATACTATTAAAAGATGTTGAACATTTTTAGAAATTGTTCCTTTATAGAAAAAGTGAAACCAACTATAGGCCTAGGTCTGTACGTTGACCAGGCAATGTTAAAAATTTACCTGCATCTTAAGGTAACTACCTAATTTACCTGCAAATCTCGAATCCAATGAATCCCAAGTAAAGATTCGGATTGGATTTGATTAACTGGAAATTGTTGTTTTTTTTTTTTTTTTTTTTTTTTTTTGTTTAGAATAGAATTATAAAAGGCATATACTGTGACATTGCCTAAACATAAAGGTTATTGGAGTCGTAATATACAGTACTGTGACATTGCCTAACAATAGAGGTTATTGACGTCGTAATAAACAGTACTGTGACATTGACCAACCATAGTTATTGATGTTGTAATATACAGTACTGTGACATTGCCTGACCATAGAGGTTATTGACGTCGTAATATACAGTACTGTGACATTGCCTAACAATAGAGGTTATTGACGTCGTAATATACAGTACTGTGACATTGCCTAGCAATAGAGGTTATTGACGTCGTAATATACAGTACTGTGACATTGCCTAACCATAGGAGGTTATTGACGTCGTAATATACAGTTCGGTGACATCAACTAACAATAGAGGTTATTGATGTCTTAATATACAGTACTGTGACATTGACTAACAATAGAGGTTATTGACGTCATAATATACAGAACTGTGACATTGACTATAGAGGTTATTGATGTTATAATATACACTACTGTGACATTGCCTAACCATAGAGGTTATTGACCTCATAATATACAGTACTGTGACATTGACCAACCATAGAGATTATTGACGTTGTAATATACAGTACTGTGACATTGCCTAACAATAGAGGTTATTGACGTAATATATAGTACTGTGACATTGCCTAACCATAGAGGTTATTGACGTCATAATATACAGTACTGTGACAATGACTAACCATTAGAGGTTATTGACGTAATATACAGTACTGTGACATCGCCTAACCATAGAGGTTATTGTCGTGGTGGTGGTGGTAAAGGAAGTGTTAAATGGTTGCTATTTCATTCTTGCTTTTTTAACCACCATAAGCCCATTTGTAATTGTTTTTGGGACCCGATATTCAAAGATTCGAGATTAAATTTTCTTAGGATTCGGGTTCGAGATTCGAAATTTATGGATTTGGCCATCATTAAAATTCTACAAAGCTCAAATCAACCGACCTTTAAGCAATCTGCTGATTCAGGAGATTGGAGACTGCTTAATACTTTTGTTTTGGGAGTAGCTCTTTAAAAAAAACGCCACTATATAGGGGGTGGAAAAAAGTCCCGGTGCGGTTAAATATTTCAAAAAGGAAGAAAGATAGATCTTTAAAACCTGGTACACAGTTACTGAGCATTAACATCATTTTAACACATGATTTAAAGATACACACTACCTCATCAGGGGGACGGACGGGCCCACTAGGAGTCAGAAGAATATTTTAATGCTAGCATAGGTTGATATTCACAACAAATTAAAGGTCTTTAGAATACAATGCCGCAAACTTGAACTCAAACGGACAACGGAGTCAAAAATGATAGCCGTTCAAAGATTTCTTGAATCTGTCATTTTGAATCTTTGAACGGCTGCCATTTTATACTCAGTTGTTCTCATGAGCTCAAATTCCTGGCATTATATTCTACTAATAAAGACCATTAATTTGATGTGCATATCAACCTATTCATACGTTTATGATTTTCTTCTAACTTATAGCACAGAAAACGTACTACTATAACCCAGAATGCCAACCGCATGGTAAAAAGCATTAAGTGTTTTGAGAGAGCTTTGCCTGTCAATCCGTAGGCAGCGCCACCAGCGTTGCTATGCTATTGCATGGCAACGCTTGTGGCGCTGCCTACGGATTGACAGGCAAAGCTCTCTCAAAACGCTTAATGCTTTTTAACATGCGGTTGGCATTCTGGGTTATAGTAGTACGTTTTCTGTGCTTATAGCGGGCTGTCTCCCTGAAGAGGTAGCACATCTTTGAATAATGTGTTAAAATTATCTTATTACCTAGTAACTGTATACCAAGTTTTGAAGCTCCATATCTACATTACTTTTTGAAATATTTAATTGTCCCAGGACTTTTTTCCACCCTGTATAACTACTGTTATAATGGGCATTAGTGCCCACTACACCTCTATTATACATTTAAAATACTTGGCTGTCTCTTATGAAACAAGAGTGAATTTATACCCTCATGTAGCTGTTACAACAATTATTCAGAGACTCTTACCAACTTTTGAAAAACAAATTTACATTGATTTCCACTTATGATGCTCATATTGAAGACTTATAAACAGCTTATAAACAAAACTAGTTGAGTTTCCCTCTCATTGTTGATGTATCATTAGTAAGTGTGAGTTCAATGTAAAATGTAAACAGCCTCCGGTATTTCGCCAGGAACCAACTAATGTCAACAAATAATACAATCAAAGAATCACTAAGTGCAGTTAGGAAAACTGGATGATCCGGAAAGACAAAAGTCCAAAATTAATTGTTGAAGTGTCTACGATAGCATCGGATCATTGGATACTGAAGTAGACATCCCATCTATATGGACCAGCTGTTGCCAATTTTTTATTAAAAAAGAATGTAGTTGTGTGAGCCAGTCAAAGAATGCGCTAGTGTCTAAAATTCAATATTCTACCTTATTTTTTGTTTCTGATCAAGTTGATGGGTCGTAACAGTTGCTATAACTTACAATAACTCATTCCATGTGTTTGACTTGGTAAAAAATGTTGCGTATTCCACAGGAATTAGTAATTTAGATCAGCACAATCTGATGATGGCACACATCTACTACGACGATTTTGATTAAAAGTCTGGCTACAAATTTAACATAGGAATGGAATTAATAGTAAAAAAAATATATACGAACTGAACTCACAATAAATACTGTCAGGTATTCCTAAGAATCTTACACAGTCAAAAGTTAACGAAATACGGCAAAAGAAAGAAAAAGCTGTTAGCAATATTTCCAACTCTCATGCACAATAATAAAAGAGAGTTGTAATGCTAGCAATTATTATCAAGCCTCTAAACTAGTTCAAGACTGCCTATGGGTTGTTGCATACACAACAATTTGTTTACTAAGAATTTATTGTCCTGTAAAACGTTATTTCAGTGTTTACCAATTTTTTCCGGCAGTCTAGAATGTCTTGTTAGGTGTGTCGATAGCCAAGAGAAATGCCGTTTGATGCTCCAAGGCAGTTATGTTGTGGGCTTACCACCTGCTATTTATCAATAAAGTTCCTTTTTGTACTGTACTGGCTCACCCCTTACTTTGCTCAATATGCCAATGCACAGGCGAGAGGCCCAAGTCTACAGACAAGTGCAAAATTTAAAAGAGGCCGCCAAACTTGATACTAATTTAGGAACCTTAACTTATAATGATTTTGATTTCCTTATAAGTAAACTAAGTAAATTGGGTACTTCAAACAATGTTTCGTGATTTTTTATATTTAATTTTACAATTTTGAAATTTAGATTCCAAAATATATACGTATGATTTATTTTAAAATCTAGCACAACTTCAAAAATCTACCAACTTTATTAAAAACCAATAACAACCTCTAGAAACCTTCTGATTGTTAGGCCAGCAGTATAACCTAGCTACCCATCTTGATGCAGAGAATATTTAAAAAATTCAACTTATTGAACCAAGTGGTTACTAATGCAGTTATGACTTGGCTTATGTGTGTTTTGCAGCCCGCCGCAAACCAGGGCCAAAGCCTAGACGAGTGTCACAGTCCCCGCTACCCCCTCCAGGCCCTGCCCCCTCCGCTTCACTTGCCCAGCTGTTTGCAGCTGCCGACTCTCCAAGACCAACTGAGGATTCTGATTTGACAGCTTCCCAGCATAAGGTTTGAAGCTATTTTTGATAAGAAAAATATTTCAAATATAATTTATGATTCAGCACCTCATGTTTTGTAAATAAAATAAAAAACTAATAGTTATCATGATTTACTCTCAACTCTCGATTATCGGGCATAATATGAAATCAAATCAATTTCTATATAACTGTCATCCCCCTGAGAGATTCTTATGTCAGGTCTGGCAGGTACATTTAGTTTTCTAGGGGGAGGTACTTTAGGTGTCTAACCGACATCTCGCGCATTTCGATCAACTCCAATATCTGAGAGCCGTTTGATTTGTAGAGCTTCAGCAGCTTTCAGAAACCTTCCTAGTTGATCCTGGGAAATGTTGACTCCACCTTGATACATATAATCCATCATGAACTTGAGCTCCGAAAACTTGACATCCTTCAAAATTACGGTTGGATGCGTTTCATTATACTGGCTCAGCTCCGAATAAGGGCTGCAGACAGATTTTAAAACCACTTTTTTCGACTTATATTGCCCCTTTGCAGCAAGTGTGCAGTCTACTAGAGTTCCATTTTCCAATAGGGTGTTGAACACGGAGATCAGAGTGGATTGATGGTTGTTCCATTGCAAACATAATTGTTGATCCGCCGTTTTAACTGAAGTCAATTTCTTAAAATATCGCAATGATTCAAAGCATATCTGTGATCTGTTGTCTCTTCTTTTCAATATAAGGTTAAGATCCTCTGTATAGGTAAAATCGTGGTTGACCCGCTTAACAGTTGGAAAAAATTAAAGTTTTAGAAAACCGCTAACTGATATGTATTATCTTACATACCTCATGCAGTAAAAGCAGCGAGATAATCACAAAAAATACCCACTTTATTTAAAACTATTTCAAGAGAATTATTTACATTTATAACTGGAATCTAAAGGTTTTTTTTTTAATAAAAAAAAAACAGTTAAAAAAGGCACAATACAACATATTATTAGTAAGGGTTTTCTGCTTGTGTGCTCAGAAAAACTTTATGTTGATTTTACTGTTATTTTATCAACACAATTTTATCAATGACAAGAACTTGACTATAGTGCTGACTGGATTTATTCTAGCAGTTCTCCATAGTAAAAATAAAATTTGTTTACTTGGATTTGATCGACTATTGTTGCTTGACCAGGATGGTAGACCTCGTAACCTGGGACGAGGAGTTTCCAAGCCCAAGAAAAACACAGTAGCATCTTTGCTTGCGCAGAGTCGAGCCTTGGGCATCAAGCCTGGCCTAGACCTGAACTCTCCCCTGAACCATCAAGTTAGTCTGCTCAAAGCAAACCTTCTACAACAACAATTGCAAGCATCTGCCTCTGCATCAGGTGAGTACCTTTGTTTCTTAATTTATTGTTTTCTTCTTCATTCATAATATTTTTTTTAGTACAGTAGAACTTCTCAAATCACCAACAGAGCCAGAAAAAAAGGATTACATTAGTTTCAAGTTAAATTTCTATTGATCCAATAAAACGCAAGATGGAATACGATTATATTTTAATATGCGCGTTTGAAATTGCTGCTGCACAAGTAAGAGATTTGAAGGTGCTGAAATTGAGATTATTGCTGAAATTTTCTATCACTGATTAGATTAAGCTAACAGAAGTTTCTTGTTTTGAGATCTTAAATTTCTGAATTATGAATTTCAAGCAAAGAATGAGTAAGACGTTTGAATTGAAACTAATGGTTAATTGTAAGAATAGGCTACAAACTTCATCTATTTTACAGAGGGTGAAATGGAGACAGACGATAAAAACCGGACCTCTTCCCCTAGCAGTGTACCTGAAGATTTGGAGAAGAAGATACAAGTTAGTATATCTAGAGTTAAGAAGTTCTAACATGGATCCAAAAATAAATTTATGGATTCATTATATTCATTTTAGTTTATATATCGTTGGTCTATTGACGTTTTCCATAATTTATAATCATTCAATATGGGGAAGATTGGCCAATTTTTTTATATGGTCATGCCCAAAAGACTTATTAATTGCCATACATGTATGAAAGTTACAAGAAAAGTGATGTTGAAGTAAAAGATGTCTGGGGAAAATTAATTTTGGCACGGTTAAGTTTTAGTTGATATTATAAGAACATTTTTACTTACTTATAGTCTACTAGTGGCTTGTAGGGACATAAGTCCCTAAAAAGCTCAAATGTAAAACAAATTTTTGCAATACCGGTATTTAAACAAACTCAGAATAACATTATCTATGTGTCAGAATAGGCATCCCTACACCATATCTTTTGTGTAAAAACCAGTTTGTTGTTCTTCTTTGTTTGCTTTTGTTGATGTCATTTTCAATAAATAATTTGAATCACTCCAGTGGTTTAACATGAAAAGGCAGCAAACATATCATTGTTTGTGAATAAATACTGGTTTACTAAGGTAGCTTTGGTCTTGTGGTTAATGAGGATAAATAAAAGCTTCCCTGTTTGGAATTTTAAAAATTCATTGGAGGTTCGCCTTCAGATGAATTGAAGACGCCTGCAATTTCATCTGCAGTAGGCTTATTATACCTACGACGATCCATATTTATCCTGTCTACAAACCTAAGTTCTAATTCACTGTCACCTTGTACAACCATTTCTTCCAAAGCTCTTTTGTAAATTTGTGCAAATGGATTTTCTAATAGAATTTCAGCTAGTTTTGACAATATTTCAGGTTTTAAGTCACTATTTTCTCTACGCCTTTGACGAATTTCTGTTGCTGTTGATGTGTCAATAATGTACAATTGGCCATACACGGGGTCTTCATCATGTTGAGGCAGCAAATCTGAGATTGAACCATAAATCTGTCCTTGAATTTTGAAACAGTATGGTCCTTTTCATGGAATATCTTTCTTACTGGCTGAAAAATAAGCAAAGGCCATCGCACTGTTGCATTGTCGAATGAATTTATACAGTTGTGGGCTCTCTTCAAACAAACTTTTAAGTTCTACAATAGTTTTTGACTGAGGAAGGTTAATAAGTCCGTTATGGCAACATGTCATAAAATGATTATTCGTTAGTTCTTCTCTAAAATGAAGTAGAGCACTACATTGAATGCACTCTTGGTCCAATAATCCTGCATCATGGATCTTTACATTTCTCTCGTCTACCATGGGTCTCCTAAAAAGGGGTTGTAACATATCTTGATTAAGTTCTCATTATCTACTCTTGCTCTCCTACGCGCACTGTCATTCCTATGAACAGTTCCCCGCCTTTGTGGTATTCCCCTGGCGTTCATATTAATTACAGTACTTATAATGAAAAGAATATATATCCAGCAGCCTACATACCAAAACATCTTGAATCCCTGGTGATTTTATAAAAGTATGATCGAATATGATTACTCTACGTTGTATATTCACTGCACTAAAAAAATTTACTTACGAAGGAATGCAAATACACCATTTTAGAACCAATAACATTTATAGGTTATTTTAGTTGTATATATTTACACAACCTTAACCTTAAAATGTGTAGAAATATAAAGAAAACAACATCATTTAAAATAAACTTGAACATATGATTTAAAAATAAAAACAAAACAGAAGTTAGATTTAATTTCGACTCTTTGATTATTTATACAGAATATTTATTTTACTTACGAAGGAATGCAAATACGCCATTTTAGAACCAATAACATTTATAGGTTATTTTAGTTGTATATATTTACACAACCTTAAGCTGGGTTTTCCTAGACGCGGAGTCGGCCAGCGGAGAGAGGAACGCGGAGAGCGGAATTGAAATTAACATGGCATTCCGCTCCGCTGCTAGGAAAACAGTAACATTAAATTGCCTAAGACCAGCTGAGTCCGCTCTCCGCGTTCCTCTCTCCGCTGGCCGACTACGCGCCTAGGAAAACCCGGCTTTAACCTTAAAATGTGTAGAAATATAAAGAAAACAACATCATTTAAAATAAACTTGAACATATGATTTAAAAATAAAAACAAAACAGAAGTTAGATTTAATTTCGACTCTTTGATTATTTATACAGAATATTTATTCTATGTCGTTTATTCCTTTAACACGACAATAACGTAAAAGCATGAAAAAATGAAACTTGAGTATATGATTTAAATATAAACAAAGAATGCAGACGTTTTTCCGACTAATCTTCAATATTTCAGTTTTATTATAGTATACATTTCATAGTTGACTGGCTAAAAGTAAACCAAATGTGTGTATTGATCACTGTTTTCAAATCTATGGCACAGCTGTTTTAATTTCAAAAGATGTAAACAAATTAAACCCCATGTTGTTTTAATGGGAAAAGTTTTATTCTGTTGCGAATTTATGGTAAAAAAATAAGAAAAATGAATAGTTTTCCCTCAAAATTCACGTCAAGACCTTTAAAATAAGACCCCTCCCATCCTTCTACGGCCATCCAGTCACTCACAATTTCTTTACAAAAATTTGACTTACGGAATTATATATATAGATTAGTTTAAATACACCAAGTTACTCTATCCTGTATAATATATTATTTTGATATAGTTAATAGCCCTTTTACTGACCGACTAACATTTATCATTATGGGTTTTAATGAAACCTATCCATCCTCGACAATTTTTTATGTCCAAAATTAATCGTTGCAGCAATAAGTTAAAGCTCGTAGACAAAAACTTTCTTATCCCTCTTAGTCTTAAAGACTAAAAGATGTGTAATTTAATTTTGATATATTTACTCATCTTTGTATATCAGAGATTAAATGACAGTATTATACAAATTTGAGTAAATATACATTCTAGGGGGTGGACCCGATTTTTTAATATTTGTTTTATTCCACCCGAAATTCAATGCTGATTCTGAAAATGACATTCTTTTCTCATGGAAAACTACATAAAAACCTGGAAAATGAAAAAAAAACATGAACAACTTTTTTTTATCGAACACGACATGTGGGTACTAAAATTAATCAAAATAACAAGCAGATCATGCAAATTTAGTATACATTTGATCAGGAATGAAATAAGCGAGATATTTACGATAATGTGTGACACGATTAAGTTAGGTTAGGTTAGGTTAGGTGTCATCGCTTGTAACATAAGTAGAGAAAGTACTTTTAGTATTTTGGATGGTAGAGCTCTGCAGCTGCTCTGAAGAAGGCGTGACTCTATCCTTTTCAGGGGTAGGTCTTCTTGAAGAGGAACTCCACCAAATAGCTGACTAAGTGTTTAGTTTTGACATAGTACTTGGGGGTTCATGCTCGTGCTTGCTCTCCAACCACACTCTATCCTTTTCAGGGGTAGGCCTTCTTGAAGAGGAACTCCGCCAAATATAGTATTTAGTTTTGACCTAGTACTTGGGGATTCATGCTCGTGCTTGCTATCCAGCCAACTAGGTTACCACGAGCATACTAAAAGTGGCGACACGGAGGGGACTACAACGAAAGTGGAAGCAGAAATTTAAAATCGCGTTGCACATATTCGTGTATATCTAGCTTATTTGATGTCTGATCAGAAAATATATTACATATTTGTGTTCGGCACGTTATTCCGGTAAATTTGAGTACCCACATGACATGTTTTGATAAAAAACTTTTTTGTCGTTTTCTGTTGGAATTTAATTTTTAAAATCAGCGTTGAATGTTGAGTAGACCCCTAAAATGCATATTTTTAAAAATAAAATTCCCCTGGACAAGAGCTTGGGTGTAGTGACTGTAATTAAATGTTATTGGTAACTTTTCAGACTAATACACGAGATGGGAGACTCGGTGAAACATTCAGTGAGACTAGTAGTATGCCTGATGTCAGCACTGACACATCTGATTCAGATTCTGAAATTGACTGGAGAACAGGCAAGAAAAGGGAGGCGGACCCTCGCCAAGGTAATGTAACGTAGTTCAACCAGATCAAAACTAGCAACAGTTTAATTATTTCTCTCACAGTTAACCCTTGTGCCCGTGAAAAGTGATTGATCATTGTAGTTAACATTTAGAAAAACTCAGCTGTAGATCTAAATTAGCTAAATCACTTTTGTGCAAACTAACATTAAGATAGGGAAGAAGTGAAAGTAGCGAGTGGGTTTTTTGAGGTAATCAAAACATGGGTGGGATGGGATTTGGGTTAAATTTGAGTGGTGAGTGGCGTATCTTAGGGAAACTCAAAACTTGATTGTCAAATTATAGTTTGTAATTAAGCATAAGATTTGGATTTGACACATCACTGCAACGTATCATACCTATCACTATAACATAAAATATACCAAGTCGTATACTGTTAGAAACCTTCATAAGGTTTATGATTGTTTCGTATTTGGCATATCTACCAAATGCAGTGGCTCACTAAAGCAGTGGTGACATTTTTACTAAAGCCATAAAAGTGTCTGGGATTACAGAAAAGAATGTTTATAAGCTTGATAAAGTGATCAGATAATTTGTTTCCATTTCAACCTGGTATCTACATGAAGATATTTAAAAACTGCAACCATTGGGGCTATGCGACAGATAAAAATAGACCAAGTTGTGTCGCTTGGGTTTAATTTAACAATTCATTCTGTTTTTTTTTTTGCAAATCTTTTGCTGCTTCCCACACCCCTATATATTACCTGTCCGTTAATGATCGTAATGTCGTCCATGGCAACCGGATTTGAGATTAAAATCTCATTACCAGGCAGTTAAAAATGTCATTTCGCTCAAATTGGGGTCCTTTGGTGAACACAAAAACATGAAAATAAAACGGAAGGACATTGTACGAATATTTACAACTGGCCAGTACAGGTCACTACAACGCAGCAAGGGTAGATGTGAAAACCGGTCGCCATAGACGACAATAGGATCACTGCCGGACAGGTAATACAGTGGAACCTTAATAAATCGAACCTCAATAATTCGAAGTCCTTGATAAATCAAATTTTTAAAATTCCCCTTGAACTTCCCTATCTATTGCAATGTTAATTTTACCTCTACAATTTGAATATTTCACGAGAAACGCCTTTATAATTTGAAGTTTTGTGGTATTTTTTGACGTAAAGTACCTCTATAAATCGAAGTTTTAGTCCAAAAACCTCTATAATTCGAAATCGTGCAACTGCCGCACCTCTACAAGTCGAAGTATTAGCAAGAAACCCTCTATTAATCGAAGTTGTATGGAATTCGTTATGATTCAAAACATCGAGACTGTACTTTACTGTGTCGTGTTTTGTGTTTCAACTGGAAATCCAACTTCTGCTCCTGTTGCAATCTATGTCAGTCATGTGCGTGTACTTGAGTAGTTTGGATACAGTGTCTCCTTTGTTTTAGAGTGTTTAGTGCTAGTGAGTTTTTTTAGCCAATATGGCAAAACGTTCATACAAGACACTTACCTACGAGGATAGGTTAAAAGTTATCAAAGCAGTAGAAAAGGGTGACAAGAAAAAATGTGAAATTGCTAAGCATTTTGGTATACCGGCCAACACTTTGTCAACCATTTTAAAACACAAGGAGAAGTATGAAAGCAATGCATCAAGATCGAAGAGAATAAAAGGACCTGAATCTAAAGAAATTGAAGATTGTGTGTTGCAGTGGCTTAAACAATGCCGAGATAAAAATTTACCTGTAAGTGGACCGACTTTACAGGAAAAAGCCGTTGAATTTGCTTCTTAACTCAGTAAAACAAACTTTCGGGCAAAAAATGGGTGGTTACAAATTTTTAAAAACGTGAGATTGTTTTTAAAAGAATAACGGGCGAAAGTGCTAGTGTGGACGATCAGTTGTGTACGGAATGGACAGAAAAAATACTCGATCTAACAAAGGGCTACAAACCCGGTGACATATTCAATGCGGACGAAACTGGACTTTATTGTCAGTGCTTACCGGATAAAACATTAGCGTTCAAAGGAGACTCATGCCATTGAGGCAAAAATAGTAAGCAGAGAGTTACAGTGCTACTTGGTGCAAACCAAACTGGATCCGTTAAACTCAAACCACTAATGATTGGGAAGGCCAAAAACCCGCGTTGTTTCAAAGGTGTAAAAAGTTTCCCGATGGACTACATTTCAAACCCTAAATCTCAGATGAAATCAGAAATTTTCGGCAAGTGGTTAAAAGACCTTGATAATGATATGAAGAAGAAGAAAAAGAAAATTCTTATGTTCATCGACAATTGTACAGCTCATGGTGATTTACCCAAGCTAAAAAACATTAAAATTGTGTTTTTACCCCCTAATACGACATCCAAACTACAGCCTCTAGATCAAGGAATCATCAAGAACTTCAAAGTGTTTTTGTAGAAAAGAAGTGGTTCGCCGGTTCCTAAGTGACTTAGAAATAAATAGCCCCACAAAAATCTATGTGCTTGACGCAATGTGGATGGCGTCAAAGGTTTGGAATAATAATTTATCTGAGAAAACAATCAAAAATTGTTTTAAGAAAAGTGGATTCACCCAGAAACCCAAAGAAAATGCAGAAGACACAGATGTGGATATCAGTGTGGTTGATGACCCTCCTAATAATGAACTCGAGCCTCCAACGCGTTGGAATGAAGTTACACGGTCCCTTAATGTCGAGGATCTACCGTTCGAGGAATTTGTCAATTTTGATGACGATGTGGCGACAAGTGGGGAACTAAGTGAAGCGGATATAATCACCTCCATTGCACAAGATCCGAGTCTAGAAGATAATGTAGGAGAGGGTGATGACGAGGGTGAAGCGGACAGCGAGGACGAAGCAACGGACCCAGACCCGACACTCAGTGATGCGCGTTGTGCAATTGATGTCTTGCGCAAATTTATTCAAAAGAAGACGATGATGAGTGACCAAACAATTAAATCAATTTCTGTACTAGACGTTGCGCTGGACAAAGTTACTCTAACAGGTAGACGAACTACAATTTCTGAATATTTTTCTGCATAAGGAGTTAACCATACAAACATTTAGGCTCCTACTGTAGCCTATCTCTGTTTTATGATGTACTGTATCAGCAAATATTTTGTTTTCCACTGTAAATGTAAAGTAAACATTTTTACACTGTAATTATTTTCAATACAGTACATCAGTTAGTCATTGTTTTGAGTTACATTAAGAAAGATAATTTCGTTTGATTATAAGAAATATTTTATCTACTGAGACTTTGTTTTTGAATAAATGTTTTCACAATTATTAAATAAAATGACTACATGTATTCCATTTTTGCAGTTTTTAAATGTACGGTAGGCTATTGAAAACTTGTACAAGTTGCGTTAAAATGTTCTTTAAAAATCAAATGTATGTTTTGTTAAATACATTGTCATTGATTTTGTTTTGTACTGTCATTGATTTCAATAAATACGTATACTGTACTGAATTTGAAAACAAGTTATTATTTATTTCCCGGTCTGTTTTAAAGTATACCAACATACTTTTTTAAATCTATACATTTAAAGCTTATTTACTTTAGTCTAAACTTTTAATGTGATGGTACTAGTCAGTTTTACAGACCTCTGATATTGATTTACCCATCATTCATTGTAAAAAAAAGAAAGTTCCAAACAGGCGATAAGAGAACAGGTGCCCGTCTAATAATATAAGGGTCGTTGCCGAGGGGCAAAAAACTGAGAGGGTGTCTGCCAGTGACTCATTTCTTTGTTTACTTCATTCGCGCTACTCTGTAACCTTTCCACTGAAAAATGGCTATGAGCCGTAGAGTACGTTCTACAAATAATTGAACCTCTATAAATCAAATTTTTGGGAGAATGAACCTTGATAAATCGAACCTTTATTATTCGAAGTACTCGATAATTCGAAGTTTTCCCGTTCCCCTTGGGATTCAATTTACTGAATCTCGAATCTTCGAATCTCGAGTCCCAAAAATAATTACAAATGGGCTTATGGTGATTAAAGCAAGAATGGAATAGGAACCATTTAAAAATAAAATTACACTTATATACACTACTTAATACACCATAAATGACTACTCTTTTACAATGAAAAGTTACGTAATTACTTTTGACACACGGCAAAAATAACAGACGACTAATCAGTTACATCTAACCTATTAACTTAAATCGAACGGTTGGTCGGTAAACATTATTTGGACGGCAAATATTCATTATTGGTTATATTATATTTGGTTACGACACAATTATTCTAGCAAAAAACCACTTGAACACCTCTGAGACAAATTATCACACATACAACACTCGGCATAAATAATTCCTTGTTTCAAGTAAACAAACATAAATTAAAATTCTATGAAAAAATCCATCCTAAATAGGATTAAAAATTTTAAAGCATTTCTTCTTAGTGAAATCAGTAATGAACAAAGCAATAAGAATTTCATGAGAAAACTAAAACTTAATTAAGTGGAGAAAGTGTTTTATTCCCTGGAAGGTATTTTTCCACCTCCCCTTTTTGGTATTAGCTGCTAACTGATTTAGTTTTGATTATTTTTTATTTACTTGTTCTTGGTTTTTAATGTCAATAATGGTTCAAGATATGCATATTTGTAAATTATCAATTTAAGATAGATTTAGTTGATGCCATTTAATGTACAAAACTGTACTTTATGAATAAAGCATATTTGATTTGATTTGATTTATGGTTGTTGTAGGTACACTTGTTAATTTTAAATTCGATTATCGATAGTATACTCTGTTCATAAAATGGCAATATCACAGTACTGTATATTATGATGTCGATAACCTTTATGGCTAGGCAATGTCACAGTATAGTGTATATTACGACATCAATAACCTTTATGGTAAGGCAATGTCACAGTATAGTGTATATTACGACATCAATAACCTTTATGGTTATGCAATGTCACAGTATATGCCTTATAATTCTATTTTTTTGATTCTCGAATTTTGTTAATCGAATCTCAAATCCGAATCTTTTATTAGGATTCGGTGGATTCTACACATCTTTACTCATTTGTATACCTGTTACTGATAAAACTCTGATTTACAGATGAAAGGCCTTCAAAAAGGCTAAAATTATTACCTCAACCGGTCACTAGAATTCCTTCAGAATTCAAATTACCATTGTTAAACGGATGGAAGCGAGAAACTACAATCAAAGGAATTAAGAAATTGCACCACTTTAAAGCTGAGGTTGTGTATGTGACTCCATGTGGACAGCGTTTGAAGAACTACATTGAATTGTGTGAGGTTAGTATTTTATATGAAAAAGTCAAGTCTTTACTGACTACCTCGATTTGTAGGGTATAGTACTTATAGGATAATGGTTTGCTCAGGGTTTACCAGTTTAAAACATTATGAATATTGCTTTCAAATTATATTAGTGAATTGACACCAAATGAGTCATGTTGGTCTGTCGTAACTATCCTGTGTTACATCCATATACATTTACAAATATAATTTCACTTTGGTAATTCACAAAACCATTGGTGTATTTAATACAATTACCCAAGCTGTTCCAGGAGCTGTAATCCACTAGTATTTCTTCATAACGGTATAAGGATACTCAAGTAAATAACACAATTAAACTTGTTACAGCATTTGGAGAAGACAAACAACTATGACATAACCCCTGAAAACATCAATTTTGACCCCACAATGATGCTCGGTGAATACTTCCACACAATTCAAAGTCAAGAGCCAAAGCCAATAACTCTCAAAGAAGTAAAAGACACCATGAATGAGCTGAGATCTTACGCAGAAGCTATGTAAGTCAAAAGTAACTCTAACTATGACTATCAATAAGCTGACCTAATCTTAGGGCCTATAGGAATATGAATTGTAGAAAAAGGAGGATAGCAGCTAGCTTACCTTGAAAGTGTAGGTAGGCCATAGAACATTTAGAAAACACTGTGCACACAATATTTCGTACCCTGAAGGACTTTGTCAAGTGTAGAGAAAGAGTTTACAAATTACAAAATGGCTGCTGTCATGGCTGTTGTCAACTATGCAGGGTTGCCACATATCATAAGTCTATTTACAACTGTGTACACATGATATGTATATTATGATATGTGGCAACCCTGCATAGTTGACAACAGCCATGACAGCAGCCATTTTGTAATTTGTAAACTCTTTCTCTACACTTGACAAAGTCCTTCAGGGTACGAAATATTGTGTGCACAGTGTTTTCTAAATGTTCTATACACTCCTTATGCTAAAATCAAAATGTTATGTGAATTGAATTGTTGCTTTCAAGTGCCATGTTTCATATTGCCTGCGGCTCAAGTTTCGCAAATAGTTTCAGAAAGAAATAGTTTTGAATGGCCAATACAACGATACATTGTAATCCAATTCTTTATCATTAAAATAGTTACTTAGTCAAATTGTTGAGGATTTTTTTAAAGAGTATAATAGCAGTCCAAGCTATGCTATGCCCAATAGCTGGGTAAGATTCATAATTCCAAGCTTAAATAATACTAATTACATTAGAACATGAAACATGAAAACTCCAAGCGTAGTGATATCTTAGTAAACTAATAATGCAATTACAAATTAAAGTTAAGTGCTCATATTTCCAAGTAACCAAAACCAGTGCTCAATCTACCGAATGCTGACCGCATAAATGTTTCCGAGCAGAAGAATCCTGAGTGGTCCCTCACTTGTGGCGCTGACTGTACCTGTTTCACTTGATTTTGTGGGAACTCGGTTTTATTTATTTGTGAATACTGATCACTCGGTATTGTGATATGTGTTGATTTTTTCGTAAGCTTGGAATTTTGAGAGCTCGAATTTATAATCTGTTTAGTCATTGGAGTTCTGAACACATACTTTTTGGGAATTAAATATTTTGAAACAAAATTATTAAAATTATAAGGTGATTCTAGCTAGCTTATCTGAAAAAATAGATTCCAGAAGCTAATTGGTACACAGTAAAATGTCGTATAACATAACGCTGTTATTAGGTTCTAGTGTAGGACAGAGTTCAGACTGAATAATAATTCATTATTAATATGTTAAATAACAATAATACAAATTATGTTGTTTTTCAGGAATCTTGGATATCCAATTGTGAACTACCCTGAGACCAAGTTAGCTATCCTAGTCACTGGTATAGATCCCAAGCAAATAGCCAAGGAAGAAGCCGCCAGAACCAAGGAACTCACTAGGTAGATTAAAAACTCCAGCAAGTTATATATCCTAAGTTGCTGATCACTTATATACATACGTTTCATGTTTTCAGCATAGCTGGTGAAAAGATTTGTATTGTTATACAATACAGTAATCAGTATTAGACATTGACATCTACTCTCTACCTCTGAATGTAGAACCCATTTTAGCGAATTTATCAGGGAAGTAGCTATTATCATAAATAGTGGGTGGCATGGTAATACCTAGGCGGAGGACCGATTTACTTTTTCATTTTGATGTCTCCAGAGGCCAAAATTCTATTCGATGAAATTTTTACATTAGTATTTGTATTTGTGTGTCCGTGAACAAGATAACTCAAATAATGTTTGTCCGATTTTGATGAAGTTTTTCATGAACACAATGATAGTTCACGAACTAGAAAGATGGAGCCATAGGAACCATGGAGATGTATGAGGTTTTAAATTTTTTTTTTTTATTGGATTTTCAAATTTTTATCCTTAAGTGTCCTTGAAGCCTAGACGTTCTAACTCATAAAGCAATTTAAAAACTACATAGACAATTTCTAATCTCTCAGTGAACTATATATTTAAATTACATTCACTTTGGTATTTGAAAAAAATATTTTGAGATGGTAGCAACTGTTCAGCGGCTGTTTGAAATGAACGATATTAACATTGCTCTTATGGGGGGCGAATCCAAGAAAGCCGTTGGCTTCCATGGACTCCCTTGGAAATCAATTCAAAACTACAAAGAAAATTTCTAATCCCACAGTGTCCTAGACATTTAAATTATAATCACTTTGGTGTTTGAAAAATATTTTTTAATGATAATAAACTCTTTAGCAGCTGTTTGAGATTATCCAAGATGGCCGCTAGGCTCCAAGAACTCCTAAAACATATACCCAATTTTCATTACACCCATCAAGTAGAGCTTTAAGAAACAAATATTTGTTTACACTGAAGCGTTGTTGTAGGATTAAAGGTTACAGAAAAAATATAAATAAACTGTATGTTTAGATTCCCGTTATTCCTAAAGAGAAAAAGTAAACTGTTTAGTTTATATCATATTATACTATACTATTAACACTTAATAAAAAACACTTCCTTGCTTTTAGCAGCAAACCTAAGTACTATTTAATTAGAGAATATATCTGACTGGGACGGGTGGCGTCGTCCTGTAATCCAGCTACTAGGAGGTCACAAATTGTGGATATTTATAGGGATGCACTGTGGATGCGATGCTCCCTGGTGTGGATTAACGTCCGCACTAGTGAGTACTACGACTATACGCAGTACTATCCTAATAATTAGACCAATTCGTTAATTACGAGGAAAAAATGTGGTTCGGATTCCACAATAAACTGTAGGTCCCTTAGTTGCCATTAGCTGTATGGGCTATTAATTAACAGCTGTATCTAAGGAACATGTCGGCCTTAGTCACTAACAAGACTACAAGATCGCACCACTCATCCTACACTCATCCTTCACTCATATTTGGGTTAAAATACGCACATAGTGGCGTCCCCATCTTAAATAATTGATAATTGACAAGATTAAGGCTAATTTTCAAAATCATCTAATCAGACAAAACGGAAACTCCGCTTAGTCTGCATTGTTTGCTGTTGCAGGGGTATTTTAAATGGGTTCATTCATTTCTATGTGAATAACATAACATTTTCTAACTGCATATATACAATATTTTCTTCAATTGCTGTTGTCTCTGTGGCTGGGCGTTGACTAGGCCTCCCAACTTCTTGTCCTCTTACAACATTTGCTATTTTACTCCTCTCGATTCCACATCCCTCTTCACTCATATGTCCAAACCATTTTAGTTTTGTTTCTCCTACTCCTGATTTAGCTGTCTTTGATGTGGTACCTTTTATTTTCAGAGAAAACAGCTGGTTGAATAGTGGGGAAAGTGCAGAAATGGGCTAGAGAGTTTAAAAAAAGGGTCGTGATAGTGTTAATTTCTAAAGGAACCGGTGTTTTCTGTGGGCACCAAGACTTTTCACAGAAGACCGCAAAGTGTGCTCTAAAGTACCAGTATACAAACGGACAGCAAAACATACAAATTATGCCAGTAAGTGGTGACGATCCTCACACATGAAGCTGTTCGCAAAAACGACCCTTACTTAAAAAATGGCCCTTGTATTATATAATTAACATCTACACCACCACATCATCAACTGTGTCAACCATTTTTTTTTCTGTGGAATGGAATTATAGTATTTTTTTTCTTTTTCAGGTTCATCAGGGAACAAGAAAAAAGTGAAAAGCAAGAGGCAATTAGGAAGGAGAGAGAGCAACGTAATATCGCAATGCTTGAGGTAATATTATTAATTCTCCTTATGCTCTTAGGCATGAGAAATAGATTGAGATTAATAAAAGGATATATTGCATTTTGCATCAGCATGGTGGTAAGCTTGGTATATTTTTTGCGAAATGACTGTTGTAGTCTTTTTAATATTTCCTAAGTCATACATTTTTGTCGTAAATTTAATTTTAATATTTTATACTTTTCCAATTTATGTTGATTCCGTAATATTTTTTATTTCACGCTCAGTAAAACTTTACAAAGTTTTTGGGTAAGCTGTCGCCCTTTACTTGGATACATAAAGGAAAATACTTTAAAAAATGTCTTAATAGACTACAATTGCTTGGTTGTATATTAATTTGGGTAAGGTTTCAACCTAAAGTATGATTATGTACAGTATAAATGATGTCAGTAGTCTTAAAAGTTACGTTTAAGGTTTTCAGTCTTAATCTCAGTTTTAACAATGACAGAGAGAATGTAGGATATATGAAAACTCTTAGAAAACACACATGGGAATAGTTGGATGACACAAACTTCATTTTAAAGGAACATCATACAAGTTGTATCATGTGATACTTTTGGGAATCTTAGCAGTCCGTGTTGTTTTTCAGTTTTGCTAAATGTCTTTATATCTGAGAAAAATAAAATTAATTTCTAGATAAAATCAATTTTACTAATGAATTTACTATCACTTAAAACACATTTTTTTGCAAGAATTTCTGATTTTGTTGTTAATTCTTTTGGTGTTTTGTTGCTTGTTTTGTTTGTTTGGTTTCGGTAATTTAATTTACGATGTGATTTTTAATTGCTTTATTCTTGGCATTGTAGTGTTTATTTTGAATTGCATGTAGGCCCGACGGAAACGGCAAGAAGAGGCTTCCAAATTGAAGCAAGAAGAACAGCATAGAAAGCAGCAGGCAAGTGTTGTTCTTAAGCCTATCTGGCTTCTAACTATTTTTCTGCATTATAAAAGTAACATTTTGATCATCAAATCGGGAAACATCTACTTGTATGTTAAACAATTTTATTATTATATATTATGAACACTGATCTTTGGTATTGTAACTTATGTTTGTGTCTATGTCATAAAACTGTTTAACGTTATGGAAATAAATATTATTTCTTTGTTATGTACAAATAGATGTCTTTTGAATAAACACCTGTTGATACCAATTATTATTATCTAGCCTATGAAAAAATTAATTTTGACTCTGAAAGAACCATCAAACACAAATTATTTTAAATATTTTCTGGCTAGGTAAATAGCCTATACAAGTTTTCAATCTAGGTGAAAATTACAAATATTTTTTTTACAAAAGTAAAAATATCAAGAGTAATGTTTGATTTAATTGTCACTGTCATAATTCTACTGATTAAATATGTAATACATTTTTTTCAAATCTATTTCTCCTGTGCATTTAGTTAAACAATCATCGCATATTTTTTCTTTATGTGTGGAAGATAACAATAATTGAAAATGGTTGTTTTAGGAGAGAGAAATCAAAAGACAGCAGACAGCTCTCATTAAAGAACAGGTAAGATTTGTTAATATTTTCTTACGCAGTGTAAGATACAAGTGCTGTCCAGAAAGTATCAGGCGTTTAAAAAACATGGATATAATAAACACAACGCGTTTTACTAAGGCATTTAACTTAATGTGGTAGATGCTTTTCGTTGCCCTCGTAGAAATCTGTTGTGAGTGAGTTGAACGGTTTAATCTGCGTGGAGTTTGACTTTGTTCTTTTTGGGACAGATGGTAGGTTGTATGGTAGATATGGAAAACGTGCCACCCAAAAACATTCAAGAGCTCTGCATTCCATCGTTAATACCTCCTTTAAAACCTCAATTAAGCTGCAAAAACTACTCAGCAGTGCTAAAAATAGGGTGAACAATACAGCCAACAGAACTGGTATTTACAAGTTATCATGTGACGATTGGAACAAAATTTACATTGGTCAAACAGGCAGGGCATTTCAAACGAGGTTCAAAGAACATTTGCCTATAGCAAGTAATCATCCAAAGTCCAATTTTGCTGCAGATCTTGTAAATGAAAACCATAATTACAGTGATTTCAACACAAATTTAATCCTAGTACATTTCTGCAATAAAGGTAACGTTATTGATGCTCTAGAGGAATTAAAAATTTATAATGCAGCCAAAATTCAACCTAACACATAAAACGATAAAATCAATTTCCAGTCTAATGCATTGTACAATAATAAAGAAGAACAGCTGTTGAACAAGTAGCCGAGAGGTACAAAGTCCACCGCCCGACCATCTTCCCCATTGCAGTCGACCTTCACCTGTAACTGTGCGCACACGGTCAGTCATTATAAGTTTTTGTCGGTAGGCCTTCTCGTTTTTCTATCGTGTCAATGTCCACGTTCGTATGTAGTATGTGTCCGTGTTTCTTATTTAAACTTTTGATGACCTTTTCGACGTGACAGTGTAATATTCTTGTACGAGATCTGAAGATGAGGACTTAAGTCCTCAAAATGTGTAATCCATAAGGATCCATAAGGGCAGTACTCAGGTAATTTTATACCTTTTGTAGTTTGTTCTGTGATCCAGAGACAAAACAACTCAAATATTTATCCACACAAGGTTTGCCACCTGTTACGACACAATGGTTAATCTGGTTTCTTTTTTTGGTAATTTCCAGAAGTGTGAGTGTCACAACAAGTTCTTCTTTGGATTTTCAGAGCCTACCTGGCACAAAATTTGTGGTATCCTACTGCAATTTCAAGGACTAACTCCAAGAAATTTGTAAAAATTTGATTTTAAGTAACTATGAAAAGATTTTTTGTAAGTGCAAATGGCCTGAGTGTGTTTGTGGCAATGGCTGGTAGAAACAACTTGACACCAATATGGCGGTGCAAGCCCAGTCCAAAACATCTCTTACTTTCTGGACAGCCCACTTTATTTAATGATTCAGATTAGTTCTACTTATGCATATAGGCTAACTGTTGAATTTGTACATATTCTTCTATCTTTAATGAGCTGGATTAAAAATTATGTGTAATTTAAATTTTATTTTATAGATGAGGTATATTTATTTGTTTAAAATTAAGTATTACTGTCATCAAACTGACCGTTAACATATTGAGGATACGTAATATGTTAATCATTTTTGAGGCCTGCAGCAGTACAGTCAATGTTAATATATTTTATAAATTTAACTTATAAATATTTGCCATTTTTGTGGGCATGACTACACTCAAGTATTCAACATGCCGCCTCAACCTTTTAATAGCCAATCAATTTGGTTAACAAATAGTTTAAATGCCAGAACCCTAAGTACATTTCTCTATTTTAGATTTATATACAAGAACTCAGCAAGCAGCGTGAACTCTTATACACCGTTGAATTGGTGAGTAAGCCTGTTTTTTGTAAACTGTAAACTGGTCCCGGTAAGTACGCCTGTTATCTGTACACCTTTGAACTGGTAAGTAAGTTATTTAAGGAGTTATTGCTGTCATTTTCCATCACGAGTAGTGAAAACAAAGTTGTTTTAGAGTTTTGAGATCTTGTCTCATGTGAGGGAGTACCTATAAAATAACAAGATTAATAAAAACCCTACCCAAATCTGTAAAATCATAAAAGACTACATGGAGAACCTTATAGTACTCAAACCTAGAAAGAAAACCATGATTAGTACAAATAGAATATGTACAAATCCGGAAAATGGTAATTATTTGTGTCAATGGTAGGGAAAATGTTGGATAATTTATTTACGTAGACTTCTCTTGTGGGTTTTTGGTGCATAAATCATCATTCATTTTAGTATTTATTTTATATGATATTGTATTAAGATTTATTACTTTTCTATTTTTGATTGTTTGAAAGATTTTAGTTTGACACTCCATCTGAAAATTTGCAGTCACCCATTAACCAATACAGTATTTTCTTCTTTGTGGCTTATATTTTTGTACACATTTTTTTAACATTGTTATCTTGTGTAAAATACCTCATATATGAATAAATTACCTCATCTATATCATGTAATTCGCAAACCTGTTTTCTATCTATTATGTGTTACCCATCACAGTAGGATTTTATTTTCAGATTCATCATTGCTAACATTATTCGCTGCATTTTTTGTGTGTTTTTATTGCTTTAATTAAATGATGATTAACAGTTAATAATTAATTGATTTTTAAATTTACCTTAGTAAATTGTAAATAAGTAATACAGTATTTATAACACATATTATTAATTTTGTAATTGATTGTCTGATTTAACTACTATAATTACTATAACTACTACTATAATGTTATTAGGTTGAGATAGATAACATGTGTTAAGTTTACAAAAGGATTGTGAGACAAGGAACTAAGTTTAGAATACTTCACTTCATTTTTACTTTCTTCAATAGGCACGTTTTCTGAACATTAGTGTAGACTAAGAATATATAAAATTTGTGTTTATTTATTTGTTTGAATTCAAAATGTCAGAGTTTTTTAAAAAAAAAAACCTTTTTCAATTGGGACATAATTGTCACTCTGAACATCTTAAATTGACTTCAATATATATTAGGTCAACTAGTTAATACTCCCCAAATTAATAGGTAGTTCATCAAAATTTAATTAATTTGGAAAATAATTTTAATTTTAATGTTGTAGATCTTTGCACCGACTTAAAAAATTTATAAATATGTAACAATTTTTTCTAGGAAAGAGAACGAAGACGTCAGCATATGGCACTTGTCAAACAACTTGAACAGCGAAAAAGACAAGAGGAGAGAGAGAAAAAAAGACTTGAACAAAAAGCAGAGAAAATGGCTTCCAGAGAGAAAAGAATGGAACAGAGGAAGATTGAAATGGATCTGCTGAGCGAAATTAGAAAACCAGTTGAGGACATGGAATTGCCTGGTAAAGTACTCAAATTTGATTCTATAGTTTATCAAACTTTCAGTCGCAATATTGATTTTTAATAATTCTTTAAAGAGTTTTTGTTGCTCTTATTTCCTTATTTGCCAACATTCATGCAGGATAATTTCATAGTCCTAGGTGAATTGTGCAAAAATTGTGGCATCTGATGAAAAAAATATTACTTAAATAAAACTAAAATCTCCAATCCTTAAAAATTGATCATAAGACACTTGCCAGGAATGTTTACTAAAGATTTTTAGGGGTTAAATTTTGAATGTATTTATTTCAACTTATTTATAACTTTACAATAACCTCTAAACCCTTTCAAATGGTTTAGAAGAGGAATGTTACTAGCCTATTTATTTTGCAACGTGTATGTTGATGTAACTTGGTTTTTTAATATTCAAATTTTTCACTATCTTCTATGTTGATAGTGAAAAGTCATTTTGCCTTTATTTTACATAACAATAAATCAAGTTTTACAGGTTTTATAATTTCAAATTCAGAATAACGCTGTCATATAGAATGTTCTCTAAGTGGATGGATATAATGTTGATGAACAACCAAAAACAGTCTTTATCTAAAGTTATTAATCATTTGATGTAATTAAGACTTATTAACACTATAAATGTAATTTTAAAATATAGTACGGTGTAAAATGATGTGTGTGCTAGAAGAGTTCCGTATTCACATTCCATCATTGTAGTCTGTCTCTGCTGGGAAAGAGAAAAGTTAGGTGCTGTAGTAAAATAACACAAATAATGGTAACATATATAGTAGTCGGGAAAATCGGGAATTAGTATTGAATTTCAAAATGGTCTTGAAAAGTCGGGAATTAGTCTTAAATTTGATTTCAAAATCGGGAATTTTCATGATTTTGCCGCGACCGTCGTCTTGCGTTTACGTAACCGCGAAAGCCAATGATGATGATGTCTACACGGCCTCGGGAAATGTTCGCGATTTTGCCGCAATAGTGGACGACGACGATGACCTTTCCGTGACCACTGGGAATGACAATAACGTTACCGTGACCGCGGGAGATGACAATAACGTTTCCGTGACCACGAGAGACGACGATGACGTTTCTGTGACAACGGGAGACGACGATGACGTTTCCGTGACCGCGGAAGATGACGGTGATGTCTAAACAGCCGCGGAAAATGTTCATGATTTTGCCGCGATCGCGGACGACGACGATGACGTTTCCGTGACCGCGGGAGATGACGATGACGTTTCCGTGACCGTGGGAGATGACGATGACGTTTCCGTGACCGCGGGAGACGATGATGGTGTCTATACGGCCGGGGGAAATGTTCATGATTTTGCCGCAATCGCGGACGACGACGATCACGTTTCTGTAACCGCTGCAGTCAATGATGATGTCTAAACGTACGGTACGCGGAAGATTTCATGATAAAAAAACAACCAAATTTGCTAGTTAGAATTTTTTATTGCTGCATTATTTCTTCACTTGAAAACTCCACATTATCATAATACTACTTTATGACAAAGACAGGGGTTGGTGTAGTATTATTTAGAAAATTTGGTTAAGCTCTAAAAATTGGTATCATTATCAAGAATCGAGAATCGATACATTTTGGTACCAACGCCCACTAATTGTTGAAAAAACTAGTCTTGAAAAATCTGGAATTAGTCTTGAAAAGTCTGGAATTAGTCTTGAATTTTATAATGGAAATAAACTAGACACCCTGAATGTATCTGGCAAAAGTATAAGTTGATTGAATCTCATACATTGTGATGTTGTTCAATGTTCAGATCTGAAGCCGTTGCCAGAACTGAATCGTATACCGGGACTCAGGTTGTCTGGCCAAGCATTTTCTGATACTCTGATGGTCTTTGAATTCTTGCACAACTTTGGTGAAACTCTCGGCTTTGGTAAGTATAAAAAATTATCTATATAACGTTATTTTACAAAACTATTTCAAAGTAAAAAATTAAAATTATTTGATTTAATTTTATTAAGATTGTCCAAGCCATCGTTTTGTAACTATCTAAGGTCAATTTTAGTTAAATAGCATCATTAATTAATTGCCCAATGACAAATGTGGGTCCAGAAATGATTTTGCTTAGAATCGAACGAGCAACCCTCAGATTTTAAGGCCTGCACTAAAAATTTCTGCACTAGGTCAAGAAATTTGTATTAAAAAAATCCAAAATTTTCGGGTCTTGATCAACCCTACTTTTTATACGTTTTGGTTCATTTCAAATTGATTGTTATGTTTACTGTTTAGTCCTTTGATCTTCTATAAACAGATGATTATATATAATTAATCACTGGAAATCATAGATACTAGTGGTTGTCAACAGTATGTTTTACCAAGTCAAAGTTTTCCTGGCTTTTGCAGCAAGTTATTTATACACGTTTGTAAGATTTTGTGATTTTTTTTTAATAAATATATAAAATATATATATATTTAATGTTTAATTTAAGTGTAGTTGATTAAAATGTAGTGAATGGTTAATGATAATAAATGTATTTTTCAGACATGGGTAGCCTCCCTACTCTAAATAGCCTTCAGAACGCTTTGCTGGGTGATGAGGAAGCAGAAGAAGAACTTTTGTCAGTGATGACCCATCTCATCATCTGTGCCATTGAGGACCCTGGTATACCCAACCCAGCCCGCCACACTACTCTACTTGGGCAGAGCCTCAAACAAGCGGACATCACCCACTCAAACATCTCCGAGATACTAAGAATCTACCTCTACGCCAATGCTACTGGGGAGGTCAAGGCTCTTACTGGTCAGTATTTGAAATCTAACTATCCCACTCTGCATTAACAGCCGACAGTTCCTATCTTGTTCGTTGTCCTCGTGAACATTGTCAAATCTTTTACCTTTTATTCTCTTTTTCATTCGTGGGAACCAAAAACATGGCATGGCGCGGTCAGGCGAGTTGGGCACTTGGGGTAGCAGAACTATGCCGTTTTAGCCATAAACTGATGAACAGAAATGTCTGTATGCACTGGTCCATTGTCGTGATGAAGAAGCCAGTCTCCTTCTGCTACGAATCGGGTGTTTTCTGACAAATCCTGTTGCGTAATCTTCTCTAAACTTCTATAAAAAGCTTGATTCACAGTCTTACCAAAGTAATGAAACTCTTAGTGAATCACCATTGACATCAATAGAATAAATCAGCTTGACGACATATTTTGGTTGAAGTGAAAACTATGTCTTCCATTTTCTTTACTGGTGTTAACTGTTTGGGGGTCGTAACCATAGCACCACTACTCATCCCCTGTGGTGACCCGACAACGACCCCTGACAAAAAATCAGGCTGGTCTCCAAACATTGTTTCAAAGCACAACATGGTTGAACTTTTCACCGTGTATACTTATTTCTAGGGGTCTGCGGGTCAGACTTTTTTGGTTCGGGTCGGGTCGGGTCGGGCCGATAAATTTGGTCCTCGGGTTTCGGGCCAAAATCGGGTCGGGCCAAAAATTATTAATTACCGGATTTTTTATATTTTTTAACTCCTATCTGTGTTTTTAATATTACTTGAAAATTACATATGGGAAAAAATGTATTTATGTATATTATTTCATGTTCATAACTTATTTACAGCTTAGAAGTTGCCTCAACTCCAAGAAAGAAGAAAATAATTTTTTTTATCAAGCCATTCTTTCCCATTTTCATAACTGTTGAAATATCTAAACAGCTATATTACAACAAGTTTGTAATGGAACTTAATATAAAAGGATCATAAACAAATCAATTAACCTTATCACAAGTTTAGGGCCTGTGGACTGGCTTCAAGACTGCAAGCAAGAAGAAAATAAAAATTCTATGTTTCCAACATGCAATATGAATCATTCATTCCCTGCCTCCTAACCTCCTAAGTACAAAAACCTCACACTTACAATAGCATTATTAGTTACATCATCATAAATAAAGAATTATTTATTATTGGCATTAGTAGGCCTACAGCTTTACATAGGAATTATTTTTTATAGGGCCTAAAATAGTAATAGACTAAGCAACATGACAAGTGGAGAACTCATTGAAGAAAAGATATTGTGTAAACTAATTTACTATAAAACTCTAAAACAGTAAAAATAGCACACATACATTGTTTATGGTATAGTTATAGTAAAGACTGTAAAAATTGCATATCATGTCATAGGTACACAGTTATAGATACACCGTTATAGGCACAGTTATAGGTATTGCAAGAGATCCTAAAACAACTGATTTTAGCTAATAAATGAAAAGAATTAAAAATCCATAAACTCAAGTCAAACAATATCACAATTATTAGGTACCCAAAAAGGAACTCTTAATATATAGAAAATTATATTAAATCAAGAGAAAAGAAAGTTAAATGCTAATTTGGCAACATAAGCAGACAGCAGAGACATTATAGTGCCCTAATTAGCAACACAACTCAATGTTTTTATACTGTAAGTCAATGTTTTTGAAACCGTAGGGTCTTTTTCTCGGAAGGAAGGGTAGTAGAATGTAAACAAAAAACCATGAATCACTCTCACAGCCGGGGCCGGGGACACTCAAGGTTACAGACCCTCCCCCTCCCCTCCCCTCCCCTCTTACACAACCCGAGCCAGGCCCGGGGACACTCAAGGTCATAGACCCTCCCCCTCCCCTGCCACTATTACACCACCTGGTTGTTCCAATTGCTGACAAAATGCAAGTAACGAAACAAGGAAGTAGAGACAAAAAGATATATTTTCTTTATTCAAAAATATAAAACTGTTACAGATAATTTATAAAGAAATTAATTCATGGTAGTTTGTGTCTTGTAAATATTGTATGGATCTTAGAAATATCTTTTTTGAAACTCTATCTAACCTAAGAAAAAAATAATTTTACTGATGAAAACTTTCATAAAATAAAATTATAAAATATTTAGGCCTAACCTCTTTGTAGACTTGCTGATACTTGATACTTTAAAAAAAATGAAATAGTGACCATACAATGCCTAACCAGACGATCAGAAGTGTTGTTTTGTTTTGTTACTGAATGACAAAAAGGACAATAGGAAAATAAAAGAACAAGATACAGATCTGTACACTATATCAGAATTTATTATGTAAATAAAATACTAAAATATATTTTAAACTAGGTATGGAATAAACAATAAATAATTAAAATGGGACCTCTGGATAAATAGTCTTTCTTTTGACTTCGTTTTCTTTGCACTGTTGAGTCACGGCTTTTGTTTTGTCAGTAGACGACTGGCTCTGGCTAGTGACAGTAAGGCAATTGCTCTGTTGTGTCTTTGTTCTTAAACGTGAGCAAACTTAATATTTAATTCTAATTTTAACATTTTAATTCCTCTGTAATAATATATATAAGAGTGTTTCTTTGAAAATTACTTATTATAACTTTGAAAATAATAATAATTTTTTTTGGCCCGACCCGATCTTGGCCCGAACAAATCTCTGACCCGACCCGGTCTCTCGGGCCTTCCGCTGGCCCGACCCGACCCGAAAAAATCGGGGACCCGCAGACCCCTACTTATTTCATCACAGGAACAATTAGTGAACCCAAATCTCTAGTATAAACGAGTGAGATTACAGTATATTCTTCAATCAAACTTTATTTCCTGCTCTAACTTTTAATTCTTGTTGGTTATGATTATGTTATGGGTCTTGGTTGTAACGCCTAGGTTTAACTATTTCACTTTAGTTTGAACTAAACTGGATCTCTGTTATAATTTTATGTGACGTCAAGACGAAAATTCAACAATATTTTAGTACAATTAAAACAAAATATTTATTAAATCGCTATATTTATAAGTTTCAAATTCACTATATTTTTAAAAGTATATAATTTGTGTTCAAACAAAAATTATTGTTTTTAGCAATAGCAATTCTATACTAGCATACAGTTGTGTTAATCCTTCAAAGTTTTTTTCCAAGAGTATTTAAACTATTTAAGGTAAATACTCATTGACTGTGAACAGGTGAATCCATCTGAAGTAAATATTCCATCAAGGTTATCTCTGTTTCCAGGTGTACAGTTTGAGAGAGAAAGAGAAAAACGACTGTCAGATCACCACAACAATATGAACGAGACTGCTGAAGACGAAAGTGGGAAGAATGCTGCTTTCTTTGTTGCTCTGCGGGAAAATCCCACGTGGAAGATGTCAGAAATGCTTAAACACAAACCCTTTCTTGCTCTCAATGCGACACACAAAGCCAAGATCCTCTCATTTCTGTGTCATGAGCTCCTCACAAATAAGGCTGTAATACGACAGATAGATGGAGCCATAGAGAATGTTGCTCAGTTGAAGCGAGATCGATGGACGATTGACTCCAAATTAAGAAAGTGAGTGATGCAATTAATATATTGATGTAGTCATGTATTTTATAGTCTCTTGGATTTATATGGTACACCAACCTTATGTATTTAGACAAGATGGAGATACATCTTCAGAAAATATTTAGGTGTAAACAGCTCTACTTTTTTATTTGATTTGATCATAAACATAATACAAAAATGTTGCTGAGGTATTAGCATGTATCACTAAATTTTGCGTACTTTTTTACATACTTTGTAGAACTCCAAGTTATGAAAGTGATTGATGGATTCATCTTCAAAATAAGTATTTTAGTGTCTAATTACCGACTGAAATTATGGAAATTAACACATGCCTGATACAAGATAGCAAAAATTGAATTACAAAATTAATAAAATCTAAAATATTTATGTAAGGATAAAAAAATGTCTCTATTATTATCATAAGGATGTATACAATCACGAGTAATCACATTCATGAGCATTGTTAAAATTATAAAATTTCAGGTTGTCAATTGTAAGATGACAAATAAAGTTATCATATTAAAAAAACAAATTTGAACATTCGATTGTATAAAAATGTTCTTTGGGTCTACAGCTTAACATTTTACTATTAAATATTCCTGTTAGAATGAATTGTATTTTTATTTCATACGTTTAAGTATACAATTTATTTAGCACGTTAAAAGTGAAAACTAATTAGAACTGGGACAAAAAAGACAACAAAACCATTATAAGGAAAGCCAACAATAAATAAATCAAATTGTAATAAATCAATTAATAAAGTAAGTTTCACTTTCTTCCCATACATAATATATGGATTTGTTTTTGTTGAAATGTTTGGGTTTTGAGTGGAAATATCCATTTGGGACCCAAAAAAGTGGATTTCAAATTGATATCTTTGTGTATGTGTGTGTGTCTTTATGTGTGTGGATGTCACAGAGCTACACAGATTTAACATAGTTACTTCCACCGCTATACCCATAGTAAGGTTTTTTTGACAAGCTAATGGTAGAAAGTATATGTCAGTTTGCTAATGCCGTTTATTTCTTGTTTTAAAGGTACTGTACATGATTTTATTTTACATGTGTTTTTCGTGTTTAGGTTGAGACATCTTCACAACAGAAAGATTAGACAAATGACTATCGGGATGGTTGGAGGAAAGATAACGTTGGAAGGTGATGGAGAAAAGTTAATCATGACTGATGACTTTGACTTTCGACCTCCACCTAAGGATCATGATGATGAAGAAGAAGTTGAGGGAGAGAGCGGAAATGACAGTGATGGGACTCAACCAGAAGAGGTAAGCAGAAACGCTCATATGGTATTATAGCATACATCTTAGGCTGTTGACTGCAATTTCCATGTTAATAAAATGATTCTTTAGTTCTAGTAATGTTGTTCCGAATCTAATTGCATCTCAACCACCAGTATCCTTTTTTCCTACACCTTTTATTTATCTAATTATTTCCAAAAATAAAAATTTACAAAACTCATACAATTTAGCTACAAAAGCCATTAATCAGCAAGCCATAAGAGCCATTAAAGCTTGTCTGCAGCAATTATTATAATTGTTGTTATTTCACAGTGATTTTTTATTCAATCAGTCTTTTGTTATTCAATCACTATGGAACTTGAACATTTATAAAAGTGCTGTAATTTTGTAGGAGGAAGATAAGAAAATGACGATTGAAGAGATACAACGTAAATCGGAAAAGTTAAATAGACAAGCAGAAGAAAACATGAGTGCACTTTATGAAGCGGGTGGTCAGCTGCGAGCTGTTTGTTACGGTCAGGATAGGTACTTCCGTCGCTACTGGAGTCTGCCTACGTCTGGCGGATTGTTTGTGGAGGGAATGGAATCAGCAGAGCCTCAACTCTTTGAAGAACTCCTGCAGGTATTACCATGATCAGCCGTTAAAAACTTACTTTCCTAGTTTACTTTTATTTACTTATTTTTTAATAATCATCATTGTGTTGCCATATGTTTCACACTTGAATTTAAATTTGTCGTGGCTCTTAAAGGCCCGATAGAGACATAACAAAACGTTCACTTACAAGTAATTTTATGGGTAACAAGTAGGGGTCTGCGGTGCACCGAAAAAGTCGGTACGGTACGGTACAAGCTTAATTACCGTCATCGGTTCGGTACAGCATTTTACACGGTACAAATTCGGTTCGGTACAGCCTATTATAATAATAAATTACTTTCAGTTACTATCGTAGTCAACGACAGCTGGTTCCGAGCACATAAAAGTCTTATCAGATGTATGTTTACGATCTTCATAATTTATTACTAGGGTGATGATGCAATAAAAACCCCATTAGCAGTCCCAAATCCATTAACATTTTATCACGACAATAATTGTTGTATTCAAGTACTTCCAAGAACTGTTAATTTTTATCACTTTTATTTCTTTACGACTTCCCCCAATTCAATTTTATCATAAAAATAATAGTTTTATGATGACTGTTAAATGTTATCTCGAACTCAGTCAGTATTTTCGTGAATATTAAATTTGCCGCTGGCCATTGCCTACTGCCATAAAACTGTTTATGGCTACATATTAAACTTGTAACTAAACTACAATCTTATTTTATAAGTTAAAATATTTGTTATAGATATTTTATCTTTCTATTAACGAAACCACAAGCATAGTTGTTGTTGTTGTTTGCATAATTTTTTTTCGTTATTCAAGCCTACGTACGCCTACTGTCAGCCCAAAGTCAAGTCACGCTTGTCAATGAATACACAAACTATATAGTTTGTGTATTCATTGCGCTTGTGCAATCGTTTGTTTACAAGCTTTCTCCAGACCACGGGGGAGGGGAGGGTCTGATAAGCCGTCTATTGTTCACCCCCAAGAAGGTCCGACCCTCATTAGTGCCGCTCCGCTGCACTCAGTGGGGAACCCAATACCACAAATCAATCTTTTAAATGAATACAAATATTTGGTAATAATTGTTTTATTAATATTCACCTTGAAATTTCAATAAATTTGGTGTAAAATTTGACAAAAATAGGCCATTTTGACCGATTATTAATACAGTACCAAATACCAATAAAGTAGTACATTCATTGGTAATTAAATAATAGGTAAAAATTAACCGATTTTCGTCAAGTTTTACCCCCCTGCTGTGCGCTATGTCACAAAAGCTGATAACGACATGGGTGATTAGTAACCATGGCAACTTGTTGAATGCGTATGAAGGGAACCTCAAGAATAGAAGAACAAAGAGAAAGAATGACGTTGTTATCTTTATACCCTTTTTACAATTTCCGTTATTGTTATCTTTATGTAAGATTTTATGATTTTGTTTTATAGGTTTATAAAATAATTCTTTTTAACTACGGGAATATCAATTTATAATTTATCAACGTGCTTCTCTTCTGAAACAGCAATACCGGATGCATAATAAAGGTCAATGACCTAAAATATCACGATTGTGCAATATTGTATTTTGATGTTGACAAAAGTTTGTATATATCCATGGTCCCTATAGTTTAATCATTTAATATGTACACAATCAATGCTAAATAATCGTGGTTAGTTCTAACTTTATCTTTTATTATTCAAAGTTTCTACACAGTAAGACAATCCAAAGTCAAACCGGGCAATGAATACCCAAAAAACAACGTATCTTGTCCTGTGATTGGAATACTACTCGCCGGCCAGTCCTTTAGGTTTAGGGAAGTAGTGCAAGTCTATATATAGCTTCAAGGTCTTACCCACCCCTTCCCCCTCCGGTCCTACTTGACTCACTACCCGCGCTCCTTTCGAGGTCATCTTATAACTAGTTTTGGAGCTGATAAAAATAGATGCTCATTGCCATTACTTCATCATATTCTCCAGTTGTTCATTGTTGTCTGCTGTGAACAGCTGGCAACTGCACTGTCTTTGTACTGAATGCTTTTATATGTTTTTAAAAATCTAAAAAACAACTAGACATTGTGTTGGTTGGAAATAATTTACCAGTTGTGTGAAATTATCTTGCCAATAAATTTTCAAACATGTATATTCTTAAAAACTCTTACCCTATTTTTAAAACCACTTTTATCATGGCTATTCAAAGTATCTCAGAGTAAAATAGGTAAAGCCTTTATCTTAACTGTGATTTTTCTTGACACAATCCTCGTAGTACGGTAGTAAAAGGTTTTGTTTTAATAATGTGTGGTACAGTAATTGTTGTTAGAATACCAGGAAAGTAGGATACTATCAATTTTCATAGTAATGTCAATGTATTAAAGTTAAAAATAATGGTTTAAATACAGTTCTAAGCAGAAAACCGCAAAAATACGGGTAGCCGCGTACCGTACCGACCTTAAATTTTCTGTACCGCAGACCCCTAGTAACAAGGCCTGGTAAAAACTGTATCTGAAACGAGCTGCGACTAAGAAAAAAACTGTAGAAAAGAATTTGAATAATTTTGCTCCTAAAATGGGAAAAACTTGATTAAATAGGCAGATTTATATCTCTTAACGGTCGTAGGAACAATCTTAGGGGTAAAATGTAGTATTAAAAATTAATAAAACATTGTTGGTGGTGTATCTTACCAAATATATGTATATGTGTGTAGAACTTAATTTCCATTATATTTACTTTAAATGATAGTGCCACCAAAAACTAATTGTATAATCTGTTTTCAAATTTACTCGGTAGGCTAGCTTAAACCTGTTCCTTATAAATAAGACTTTTTTATAATCATTTAGCATTTCTTGAAAATTCAACATCTTCATGATCTAAACTTTTTACCAGGATGACACGGACTCTCTGGAAACCCCAGATATCAAAGGGGAATACGACGCTGAGGCTCTTCAGAGCAAGCCATTAGACGAGGATGATGAAATGCCTCACTTGACCCCAGAGGTTGATACCGAAACCCTGCTCACCAAATATAAGCAGGTAAATATTCACTAGTACCATTTAATTTATATTTTTGTTGAATTATGCCGCTATTATACATTGCAAGTGTGTTTCGAATAATGCAACTTTATTTTCTATGTAATAGTTTCAATCCAGTTCCAAGTTATGAAACACACTGCAATAGAGTATATTCATCTTGCTAAATATTGAGTTTACCTCACACATCAAATTCCAGTACTGTAAGATTTTCAAAGAGTTGATTGTTTAGCCTCCAGATTACTATATTATACTTCAAATGGTTTTCAAAGCCTGCCTATAGTAATCCTTGGATGCTGTAGTGGAGATTTGGTTCTTGCTTTGAACCCAGGCCTAGGTGTCAAGTATTCACTTCATCTGAAGGTCGTCAATGAAGTTCGATAAATAACATATACACAGGAACAAAAAATAGACATACTTTTAAATAAAACACAAAACAAACTAGGGGGAGTCTAGACTTTACCTCAACCCGGTCACATTCTCATTGTCAATGTCCCTTAGTTTATTTTGTGTTTTATGCAAAAGTATATCATTTTATGTTCCTGTGTCTCGTGTGTGCTATTTATTGAACTCTGTTGACGACCGTCAAATGAAGTGACTACTTGAAACCTTGTAGGCCTGATGATGGTTCAAAGTACTGTAACTAGTTGCCACTAAAGCAACCAAGGATTACTATATTCCTGTGAAACTTTTGTTACTTTGCAACATGTATCCTACCTTAAACATTTACTACAGAAAGTGAACATTTTTTTTTCTTAATAATAATAGGTTAAATACCTTGTTTACGTCCTCAATCCAAGTCGTCTTTTATAATGACGATAGTTTCGGGTCAACAGCCCCATTGTCAAATTTTCTATCTTGTTAATTACTGTTGATAGCATTGGTCACCGTTGGAAGTTCACATATACACATACACTGACACACGAAACATTTATATTTACATGTAACATTGAGAATTTATACTTTTGGCCGGCCTAAACAAAAGTGATTATAACGTTGTGCGGACCGGTACACTAACTGATTTTTTTCTTGCGTGGTTATTTGTCATACTAAAGGCAAATGTGACTTTATTTCTTAAAAATTCTAATGAAATGAAATGAAGTGAAATGAAATGAAATGAAAATCCTTCTTTATTGAGGCGAACTTAGGACCTCATGGTCCTTTCTTACAGTTAACCTCTAAAAAAACTTAACAATTAACAATAATAATAAACATTAACAAAATAAAACAACAAAGATTAAAATAAACAAATAGGTGTAACAACATTACATAAATGCATTTCCCTTACACACAATCACACACACATACACCCTCTGCTGCACCCAGGCCTAATGCACACCATCCCGCCACGCCACGGCCATCCGGTTAAGGTAATATTCTTTCAGCGCCACCGTCAGTCGGGATCGGTTTTCTAAGGATTTAGTGGGATAAAGTACAGAGTTCCAAAGGCGGCATGCAGTTACTACAAAAGATTTGTTATAAACAGTCGTCCTGTGATGTGGAATACGCAGCGTGGACGAGCCAGAGAGAGTATTCTTTGCGCCTCTTCACACAAAAATTTAAACTTGTTGGCTAGATAATTTGGAGTTCCAAGATATATGGCTGAATGAGTAATTGAAAGTATTCAATTATTATTATTAATTTAATTTAATTAATTAATTTTATTTTATTTTATTATTATTATTGAGGGTATTACTTATGCGTAATTCAAGATGATTTCAATCTCCTAAAATGAATTTTCAGAAGTAAAGATGCAACTAATGAGACCTGATAAGCTACACAATAGTATTTTAGGTTTTCACCCAATGTCTTGATACACAACTGGTCTGGGACGATGACGAAGTTGGACAACGATAAAAACAGACACCGCCTAAGTCAGACAACGATGAAAACAGACGATGAACCTGGACACATTCAAATGTGTCCAAGTTTAACGTTGCACACAAACGACGAACACGGCACACATTTTTAGGTTGTCTTAACTTAATCTGTCCAAGTTTATCGTTGTCTGCGTGTGTCGTTGTCCAACTTCGGCGCGGTCCCAACTGGTCTATACAGTAGTTGTTAGACGCTTTAAACCTGGAGGTATAGTGCAGGGAAGGTTCTCCTCTAGATCTAGAAAAAAGGATATATCTCTTGGGCTAAGAGAACTGTGTAGCCTATGAAATCACATCTGTTCTCAAAAATCTGCACACTGTTATTACTATCACTACCACTGTCATTGTGTTACATATGTAAACTATTCAAGAACTTTAATGTAAGGTTATTATAATTTGTATTTTTAATAGGAAAACATGGATGATGAGCCTGCTGAGTTGCCTATGATAAAGCAGGAAAAGGAAGAGGTAGATAAAAATGGAAGCATCGAAGATATGGAAACTGAAGTGAATCAGTTTATTGACACGAAAATTGATATAGAAGAAACAAAAATTGAAATTGATGAAACACAGTTTAAAACTGAAGGATCGGGAGGAGAAGAAGATAGTGAAACAAAGTCTGTTACTGATGAAAAGAAAATGCAACCATTTCTGGTGAGTATTGATAAGTAAATATTTGGTAATTTTAAATATTACCTTATCAGAAGTCAATGGCACAAAGAATACATCAAGAGTAGTTTCATTTTTGTGGTTTGGCCTTACTATTATTTTTATAATATCACGCTATTTATATCCCTCAACATCAATTCAAAACTAATCTTACCTACATTTTAGAACTTGTTAAGCCTAAGCTACTGTTGCCCTCTAATCATTTTAGCTACTGTTGTGCTCCAATCATTTTAGCTGTTGTTGGGCTTTAATCATTTTAGCTACTGTTGTGCTCCAATCATTTTAGCTGTTGTTGGGCTCTAATCATTTTAGCTACTGTTGTGCTCCAATCATTTTAGCTAATGTTGGGCTCTGGTCATCTTTGGTGCTTTAGCGCCCTTTTAACGCTATTTTCTTTTCTGACAGTTTGGGGACAAAGCCAGTGAGGACTCTGTGATCACTAATGGACAAACGGAGGCTGAACCAGCTTGGTTTAGTGTTCTGCCTCGAGAGCCGTGTGACGCTACGTCTGTCACCTCAACAACGTCTGCTTTCAGGTAAATACAACATGCCAAAGTCCAGCAATAACTTTTCATCCTAAAAATAAATACCCCCGCCGCAGCAAACCTGCAGACTAAGGGAATTTCCATTTGCCTGACTGGATTTACACTAAAATGTCTCATTAAAAATATCACATTTATTCCCTATTTAAATAACATTAGTTTAACGAGTACTTCGATTTGCCGCAACAGGGTAAAAAGGTATTTTTTTTTGTAAAATGCAATAGTTTAGTATGAAATTAATGCATTTTCCAAATTTGATCAAAATATGTTTATAAACAAGAAAACTACAACTTTTTACTTATTCTCCATAAGAATAACATGGGAATTTTAAATTTACAGATTTTTGGAATTTTCTCCGTAACCATTAGGCGCACAATAACGCTTCAATATACTAAATTATTTGTTTTTTAAAGCTCTACAAAATGGTTTGGTAAGAAAATGCCAAATTTTTAGTTTTTAGGGTCAAAAATGGGAAAACCAATTTTTTTCCCATAAAACCCCCCATAAACCCCTGTTCCCATAGTCCGATCATGCTGGTTCGCGAACTCGTTCGAATAAACGTAGGTTTACATGTTTGTATCAAATTTCATCAAAATCGGATTATTTTTGCTCGAGTTATCGCGCTAACGGACACATATATATATGAATTTAAACGGATGGTGTTTTTGTCTCTAGGGACCCCAAAACGAAATACCCCCGCCGCAGCAAACCTGCAGACTAAGCGAATTTCCATTTCCCTGAATGGATTTACACTAAAATGTCTCCTTAAAAATATCACATTTATTCCCTATTTAAAAAGAATCAGTTTAAAACATACTTAGGTTTGCTGCAACAGGGAGGGTAAAAGTGTTTTTTATGTAAAATGTTAATAGTTGGTAAGAAATAAAAACATTTTCCAAATTTGGGCAAAATATGTTAATAAACAAGCAAACTACAACAGTTTACTTATTCTCCATAAGAATAACATAGAAATTTTAAATTTACAATTTTTTGGAATTTTCTCCGTAACTATTAGGCGCATTATAACGCTTCAGTATACTAAATTATTTGTTTTTTTAAGCTCTACAAAATAGTTCAGAAAGAAATTGCAAAATTTTATGCTTTTTGGGTCAAAAATGGGAAAAACCCATTTTTACCCCATAAAAGCCCCCATAAACCCCCGTTCCCATGGTCCGATCATGCTGGTTCGCGAACTCGTTCGAATAAACGTAGGTTTACACGTTTGTACCAAATTTCATCAAAATCGGATCATTTTTGCTCGAGTTATCGCGCTAACGGACACATATATATATATATATATATAAATATATATATAAATATATATGAATTTGAACGGGTGGTGTTTTTGGCCTCTAGGGACCTCAAAACGAAAAAAAAAATCGGTCCCGGGTCCAGGTCTTACCATGAGTACTACGGTAATAGCTTATTCCCTATATGGGAAATTCGCTAAAAGAAAATCGGTCCCCGGTCCAGGTCTTACCATGAGTACTACGGTAATAGCTTATTCCCTATAGGGAAAATTCGCTAAAATGAACAATTTTTTAAGATCATTTTTGGCAATGACATTATTTTTTTTAAGTTAGGTGAGATCTAAACAAACATGGCTTGTGAATTGCATTGCTACCTGTGTAGTGAAGTGAACCAAAGATTCTCTGGCTGGTATGGTAACAATTTGACTTTTTTATATCAAGCGAATTACTATTAATGTGTGTATTGATTACAATTTACAATAGCTATACAAGTCTCATTTAAATTATCAAGTAAAATAATTGGAAAAACATGTCACTGATTCTCATTACAGACCTGAGTGTATTTACACTACACCAGGAAATTTATGAAGTATGTTATTGGTTATTGTACTGGGGTTATTGAGTTGGTTACATTAACATGGGGTGAATGAAACAAAATTTTTAGGCGACATCTTGATTTAATCTGTGGAAATGCAAAACCACTACTTTAAAAAGTTGTTACATAGGCCTAGCATACGCAAACACAAGTTACTTATCATTGTAATCTTATAAAACTATAATCGTAGATCAAAATAATCCATGGTCCACGGCACTGAAAGGTTAAAATAGACTTACAGCTGGGATTTACAACTGTAATTTGAACTGAGGAGTTTGTGATTTTGCAGATGTGGAGTGGAGAACAGTGAGTTGAGGATCCCTGTGTTCCCCCCTCCCCCTGCCTCCCCCTCACCCTCTCAGTGTGACTCTCCCTCTCCTGCCCCTCTCGCGCTCACCCCCGAGGAGCAACAGCAGCTGCAACACTGCAAGATACACGGGCTTCCACGTCCCGCACCTGCCAAGCCTATCCCTCATGGTGAGTACATCATGATGACATGCAAACATCCAATAACAATTTTGCCAAAATAACTAGAATAAGTGGTCCTTTTTAAGAAAGTACAGACATCCATGTATAATTTACATTAATATAAACATGTAGGTTTAAAACATCTATTTTTATACTTAAACAAAACTATGCAACTATGAGTCCACATAGAAACCTGGCGTTTCTAGAGAATGAGGTTTATATAAATTTTGCAGAGTTGCGATGTGGTTGGTGGCGGATAACAGAAACGGCTGTGGTTCAGCAACTTGTGGAGAATTTGCACACTCGAGGAGCGAGAGAGAAGGAGCTACGTCGCTCAATCACACGCCCAGCCTTGGACCAACATGCTCAAGTGTGGAACAGCATTCTCAAGGTATTATATACTGTATAGCTGGCTAGCTGTTGTTAGTGTTAATCCACAAAGCAGGGAGCTGCTGGTTCGTTCTTGAGATTAGTTTATAGTTATGTTTAAAGACTGGACCCAACTGCCATGAATTAATTGTTTTTAATTGTGTTTCTAATCAGAAACAACTGCTCGTAGTCAGTGACAAAGCTACACAGACATTACATTCATCATAAACTCATTGTTCATCCAAACCTAGCTTGTAATGTCTATAATCTGCACCACAGCAAAATTAGCTCATACCTGAAAGTCTGCTTCTGCACTCGGTTGCATAGCTTGTCCCCTTTAAATTCATAGATGAATCGGGGAATGTAAAAACTATACCTGTTTTCTAACCTTTGAGGTTCAGGTCACTTGACAGAACTTACCAGCAGTAAGAAATGTGTGTAAGAAATGTGATCAGAAATGTGTAGTATTGGTTCTCTTAGAACAAGATTCCTAAACCAACATGACTAACTAAAATTTGAAAGAATCTTAAAATTCCAGTTTGGATGAAAACTATGATTGTGCTTTTCCACAGAGTTGTGTTCGGCCCGGATCATCTGCGACCGTGCTCACAGTATCAGAGGAAGAGGGTGCGAGTGGTCTGCCAGCTCAGGTGCCCCCACGGGACAACCCAGAAGACTGGAACTTCGCAGTGGCACTCCGGGTGGATATGGCAGTGTTGGAGCAGGTTGAGACGATGGAGGATAAAGTTGCAAATGCCAGTATGCAAGTTAAGGTAGGCTAGGCAAAAACCTATAATTTTGAATTAGTTTTCAAAATAGATATTAAGATGTTTTGTATGAACATGGGTGACTTGCGGGTAGTAAAATGATATACAAATATCATAATATATTGTTAATTAATACATATACAGTTAAAATTAATAAGATGGTACACAAATAAAAAAGGAAGTGAAATACAAGAGATGACTCATGGTTCAGATCTCTAGGAACTTAATAGAGCAAGAGATCAAACCACCGTCCGTGTTACGCAACTCTTTACATTCCAACTGAAAGTGGTAGTGGGGGAGGATTTAGGAGAGTGAAATGATGTCAAATTTGTTCCTAGAAAGACGTTGCAAAGGTACTGTAACTTTTGTGACTGCCATTCAGTGAAAATACATGTTTTTACTAAAATACAAGGGCCCGGGAAAAAATTTGCAAAGTCACCTCTCAACACAATTACAACCAAGTAAGGGACTCCTTATTTTTTTTTTTTTTTAGTTTTGTGAAAGAATTTGTCACGATGAAAACAGTACGATCGTAACAACAAGTTCGTCCCCACGCCACTTGGTCCCCCTTGTAATGATAAAATCAAATTAATTGTGCTACTTTTAGTTAGTTCTTGAGTAAATTTCTTATGTATCCATAATGTATTCCTAAGCCAAGTGGTGTTTGCAGGGATGGAAGGTGCCACCCAGGGCCAGTACAGAGGAGGGTAGACAGTTCAAACCCTCCAGCAGCCACCCTTCCCCCAACCTCAACCCCATAGCTGTGGCTAAGGCTCGGCTCATGGACCTTGAGTGTGCAATTGAGCGACGTTACCTCAAACCTCCCCTTGGCACCAAGTAAGTTCATTCCACACAAAAACTTTGTTCATTACTTATCATATTAAATCACACTATTAAATTGAATTAGAGTTTGAAAATTGTGTTAAATTTCACTGTTTTAGATAGAGAAGATTGATCTGGATATGGTATTTACACATTTCTGTTTCTGTTGTAGTGTATCAGCGGTTGATGTTGGGGGTGGAAGTTCGTCCAGTTGTGAGCCTGATACCATACCTAAGGGTCTGACAATTTGGAGGGAAGCTGTAGCCAAATGTCAGACAGCTGCTCAGCTCTCTATGGCTGTTCACATGCTAGAGGCCTCCATAGCTTGGGACAAGAGCATTATGAAAGCTGTGAGTCAGTCCTTCACTAGCAGTGTGGGTATACTTGTGCGCATGGCTTATTTCTAATCATACTTTTGCGAGTGTACGAATTCTGTTAAGTCCTTTGAAAAAGAGTTTTTTAAGAGAAAAATTATGCCAGCTTCATAACTGTATCGATTTTATTCCAAAACAATTGTTTACCAATAACTCTATTTTGCTGTATTACAACATGCTCTGTTTAATACACTTTGCTGTACAATTTTGCACTAGCTGATTATTTCACTATGTGAAACTTAAGTGGGCCCATTTATATAGGCCTTTCTATTTTATATAAGTTAAAGAAAATTGAATCAAAATATTGGCCAAACTATTGTACCTAGAAACACAAATTTTAGGATATGAAAGTATTTTCAGATCCTAGATAAGCAATAGGAAGGTCAAAGTCAAAGAAAGAGTCTTTAGTATTCCCATAGGATCTGGCGCACATTTAGTCAAACTTCGAATGTTATTATTACAAACTTTATAAAAGGTAGATATGTGTCGAATCCTCGATACCGATACAAATACTTGAAAAATCTATTCTTTATACCCATATAATTTTTATAAATTTACCAAATTTCTATATGGATTGTTTATACTATACCAGCCAATTTGAATTTAAACTCTTTTATACACATTAAATAGATACTGTACCAAAAGTAAATGAAGATCTTATAAACAAAATACCCCCGTCGCAGCAAACCTGCATACTAAGCGAATTTCCATTTACCCGGCTTGATTTCTACTAAAATATTCCCTATAAATTTTCAGATTTATTTCCTATTTAAATAACATTAATTTTAGTGAGTAGTTAGGTTTGCTGCTACGGGGAAGATGTTGAGGTGTGTTTTTTTCAATTGAAATATTGATAGCTTAGTATGAAATAAACCAAATTGCCAAATTTGATTAAAATATATCCATAAACAAGCAAACTAGAACAGTTTATTTATTCTCCATAAGAATAACATGGGAATTTTAAATTTACAATTTTTTTAATTTTCTCCGTAGTCAATGAACATTCAAAAACACTTCAATATACTAAATTATTTGTTTTTTTAAGCTCTTCAAAATGGTCTAGAGAGAAATTTAGAAATTTAAAGTTTTTAGGGTCAAAAATTAGAAAAACCCATTTTTACCCCATAAAACCCCCCATAAACCCCTGATCCCATGGTCCGATTATGCTGGTTTGCGAACTCGTTCGAATTAACGTAGGTTTACACGTTTGTACCAAATTTCATCAAAATCGGATCAATTTTGCTCGAGTTATCGCGCTAACGGACACATATATAAATATATATATATATATATATATATATGAATTTGAACGGATGGTGTTTTTGCCCTCTGGGGACCTCAAAACGAAAAAGTAAATCGGTCCCGGGTCTAGGTCTTACCATGAGACCTACGGTAATAGCTTATTCCCTATATGGGAAATTCGCTAAAAAAAGAAAATTTATTGTAACTAGAGGTGTGCCAGCCTGAAATTTTTGATTTTGGCGAGTTTTGGGTAATATCGTGATCGTCTGCTGCAATCACTGCAAAATCCTGAATATCTTCCTCAGTCACAGAAATATCATCACTCTCTTCCACGGTGCCAAAATCCTGAATATCACTCTGCGGTAATAGAAATTTAAGCATCGTCTCCCGCGATGTGGACATCACCATTGTCTCCTGCGATAGCGGAATTTGTTGATTGTGCAATCTTTGCAGTTATGTAGGGTATATGTATCGATGCTTGATAATCGATTCCCGGCACCAGCAATTCTTGGACATTGGTATCGGTATTGAAAATCGACACATTCCTAATAAAAGGTTACTAAAATTATTATCATCCGTGGGTTAGATAGTCAAGTGTCAGAGTAATTGATTTTATCGTTATTTTTTTAATAAGCTTAGAGCCAAACATAAATCCAGCAACAGAGCATAAAATTTGGGTAAATATTTGATATTTTGAGATTGAATTTATCATTTTGTTACTGCTATTTTCATATTTAACTGACATTGACAGAAAATGTTGTAGAATTCATACACATTGCTGATGTAACCAAATACTTTTATAATTTAATTACTTTACTGCCAGCTTAGCTTCTACGTTCATTTTATGGAATGATTATAAGGTGACTGGTAGTAAAATATGTCATGCATGATTTAACCACAGAATTCTTTTTATCTTTTGGTTGTCTTTGGCAAAGACATTGTTACATTTCTTTCAAATGTACTGTTTCCAACTTTGCTTGTATTTTTATGTGTTTACATTGGAACAGCTAGGAACTCTATCAACTCTGCTTTCTTTAACCCAGGAGAATTACTGAACGATTAAAAACAAGATTCTTACCAGCCACCATAGTAAGAGTATTTTGTTAAAAATATTAGAAATGTTGTACTTGTTCCATCATAGTTACTCACAAAAAAAATTTCATAGATCGGCATGAAAAATTTCCTCAACTTGCGTCACTGTCTCTTCCAAAACTTGTGTGCACTCCTTATACATATTTTTATGTCCGTACACTTTTCTTCAGAGGTGATGGATTTCCAACAGTGGTTTGGTTCCTGAAACCACAGAAATCTTAACCAAAAAACCACAAATCATACTTGGCACGTCTCATAGAGGTGGGTACCAGCTCGTACAGTGGTGCGGGAAATTTGAGATTATAATTTACAGACAACTCTCTTATACATATAACAGTAAAAAATTCCCGGAATTAATTTCGGTAGACATTTAGCGTGATCGCCAGCCGGAAATTCACCTTGCAGTAGTTAGTACAACTCCTGGGGAGGGCATATTGGTAGTGGGGGTATAGCTGACAAGCCATAGTGCAGCATTGATGAGCGCTTTTCGTGTATACCTGCATGTCTACATTATTGGTTACTGTCGGTCGTGTACCTGTATTGAAAAATTGCATTTCATGAACAGTGTACGAACTTAAGTTCTGTGTTTTACTTAAAAAAACCACCTAGTGAGACTCTTGAGTTGTTGATTCAAGCTTATGGAGAAGAGGCGATGAAGTAAACTTGTAAAGTCAAGTTTATGAGTGGCACAAACAGTTTCGTAAAGGCAATAAAGCATTGACGATGACCCTCGTAGTGGACATCCTTAAACAGCAGTCAATGATGTAAATGTCAAGCAAGTACGACAAGTTGTGCATGAAAATTAGAAATTGACAATCGATGAAATTGCATTTGAGATTTATCTCATGGAAGTTTTCACACCATCCTTCATTATCATTTGAACACGCATCGAATTTGTTTGTGAATGGTCCCAAAAATGTTGTCTACTGAGCCCAAAGGAACTCTAATGTTAATTGCTAGCAAATTCATTGATATGGCCGATGCAAATCGAAATTTTTTGAATTTAATTTTGACTGGTGACTAATCATGGAGTTATCTCTAAGACCCATTACCAAGTTTCTGCCACTCAGTTTGTGGTACACGACTGACAGTAACCGACAAAGTAGACTTGCAAGTACATGAAAACTGCTTACCAATGCTGCACTACGGCTCGTCAGCTATACTCCCATTACTGGAATGCCCTCCCAGGAGTCGTACTAACTACTGCAAGGCAAATTTCCTGCTGGCGATCGCACCAAAAGTCTACAGAAATTCATTACAGGAACTTTTTGACTACAGTATTACCTATCTAGCTTATAATCTGTACAGAATGGTTTATGTTGAACACGATATTAAGAGATTTATGGTGCTGGAAGAACTATTCAAGTAATAGTAATTGCTTGTTAAGGGATCAGGGCAAAACTATTTGAAAGCTCCCAGATTTCAAGCAGTTGTCTTTCATAAGTAATGAGGTTTTGTCTCCTCAGAATTGTCAGTTCTGCCACAGCGGGGACAACGAAGACAAACTACTCCTGTGTGACGGATGTGACAAGGGCTACCACACTTACTGCTTCAAACCCAAGATGGAAAACATACCAGACGGCGACTGGTCAGTATTCTATCCAAGTATTTATAGAATGATGACACTTTCAAATTGTTAAAATTGTTAACATGGATAAATATGTTAAAATCCTCAAATCATCTGATTATGGACATTATATATTTTATTTTGAAATTCAAAATCTTTGTACTTTATGAATTTTTACCTTTTATTCCAGCAGCAAAAATCATTTAATGAAATTTGAATAAACCTTATGTTGGCTATCTAGTTATTGTTGTGAAATTAAACGACAAAACAATTCTTTGTTTTGAAGGTTTTGTTACGAGTGCATGAACAAAGCTACTGGGGACAAGTGTTGCATCGTTTGCGGCAACAAAATTGGGAGGAATTTAGTCACTTGTGACAATTGCCCAAAGGCTTACCATACAGACTGCTTGCAGCCTCCTATTTCAAAGGTGAGTGCCGTTGTCTTCCATGTAATAATGCTAACAATTGTTTCGAACTGAATAAAATATGATTTACTTATTGAGAAGAAGAAGAAGAAGAAGGAAGAAGAAGAGAATTAGTGATATGTCAAAACTGAATCCCAAATCTCAAAACCATCAAAACTTTGGAATTCAGTTTCGAGATTAGATTGGTGATTTTTGAGATTCAAAAGTTTCTAAATTAATGATTTTGGAAGTTTTGGTTTTGAAACTGCTGACATTTTTTGCGTCATTATAACTCCGTCTACACAAAGTTGGCAGCGATGTAGCAAACATATAACATTGAGAAAACTTTGAGAAATCAGATAAACACTGATTAAACAAGTTAATCGTATTCTGAACTGCAATATTTAAGTATCTAAAGTACAAATACTGGAACAACGTCTAATGCAGTTTCATATCGATATTTTTGAACACAAATTAACATTGACCACTAAAAACTGTTATACTTTTTGAATCTTTACAGAAAGTAATCAATCAAATAACGTGGGTCAGTTTGTTACAAGTTGCTTCACATTCTATTATTTATTAAATTTGTAAAGTAGACTCTTGCTCATCCGGACTAGTGTGGTGGACGTCCGGTCCGGATTACGAAAAATCCAGACTATCGAGAGTCAAGCAAATACAGTACTGTATTTAGCGGGTTTTTTTCAATTTTTTTCCAGGTCCACAGTATTGATAGCCGGGCGAATGCAGTTCCACCTGTAATAATTTTTACCACCGTGTTATCCGAGTTTTTGATTGAGGTAGTCTCGGTCCCGTTTAGCTCAGATAATCGGACTTCTACTGTACTGTGCCACTATAAAAAATCACGATTGCCGATCCAGACTAACGGGAGTCCGAACAAGGCCGATCCAGATGAATGAGAGACTACTGTATAATGTTAGTTCAGATTTAACCCAATGGCTAAGAGTGTTTAGAAAATTTAAAATTGAGGTATCCTACTTGAGGATATTAAATAGGTCCAGACAGCTTGAGGTAATAAAATGCAAACTTATCTCTACAATGTTATAGCCAAATTTAACTCCATTAAAGAAGGGTATAAATTATAATAGAATCACAGTGGTATTGGTTCTTGTTTGATATCTTGTGAAATAATCAACTACTAGATCCCTCTTTATAGTACAGTGCAATTAGCTTAAAAAAAGAGCAAACCGGGACATCCAAAAAAAAAGTTTCAAACCAGCGCCAAATTGTTGAATACACTTCCCTCAATATGTAAAAAAAAGTTACACTGATTTGAGTGTCGGGTTTGGGGGGGAGGGGGTGAAAATGGGGTGAAAATAGGACTTTTTTTACTTTTTTGCAAATACCTCAAAAACGGCGAGTTTTTCTTAAAATACAATGAATTACAAAAATAATCTACATTAAATTTCGAACAAAATGATACCATACAATACCTATCTACTATGAACGGTTCCGGAAATATTGGGGGGTAAATGTGATTTTTTCTTAAAATTCTAAAAAAATTGTTTTTAAATGGAGAAAAACCATGGACACTCATAAAAAAAGTTTCTAATGAGTGCCAAATTGTTCAATATACCTCCCTTAATATGCGTAAAAAAGTTTCACTGATTTGAGTGTCGGATTTGGGAAGTAGGGTTTAAAGAAAATGGGGTGAAAATAGGACTTTTTTTACTTTTTTGCAAATACCTCAAAAACGGTGAGTTTTTCTTAAAATACAATGAATTACAAAAATAATCTACATTAAACTTCGAACAACATGATACCATACAATACCTATCTACCATTTACGGGTAAGGAGATATTGAGGGGTAAATGTTATTTTCTTCTTTTAATTTTAAAAAAGTTGTTTTTTTAAATTTATGAAAACTATGTATACCCATAAAACTTTCCGGTTCTTTCCTGTTAAAGGGAACATTCATTATTATCGATGATTTTTTTCGATATATCGATATTAACAAATTGAAACATATCAGCTGACAACTACGATAAATATTATTCAGTATATGAAACTGCTCTAAAAAAATAACCTAACATAACTAACCAAACTTGCTGTAACATTTAAAAATTCCGTGTTTAACTTGCCTTTTCTATTATCAAACCCAAACGGAAGTTTTAAATGGCACAGCAAGTATGGTTGATTATGTTAGGTTAGCTTAGAATAGTTTCATTTCTTAATCCATATAGACTATTTTAGCAAAAACAAGATCAGTTAGTTGTTGTTGTCAATTTGTAACAGATCTGATCGGAAAACAAAAATATCGATGTATCGAAAAAAATCATCGATAATAATGAATGTTCCCTTTAACAGGAAAGTACCAAATTTCCTAATGAGTGCTAAATTATTCAATAGACCTCCCTTAATATGTGTGATAAAGTTACACTGATTTGAGTCTCTTATTTGGTAGGAGGGCTTTTCAAAAAGGGAGGCTCGTAAAGGGTGCTTTTTTATATAATGAATAAAAAAAAAATCTTTATTGAATTTCAAACACAATCATATTTACAATACCTATCAACTATGAACGGTTGTAAAAATTGCAACTACATTCAAATAAAATAATAAAACACGATAAAAATATTGATTTCCTTGTAAAAAAAATGGCCACCATTTTCCAAAATGGCAGCTAACTTTAATATTGGAACCTTCTGTATTTTATGGTCTGTTTAAGATATAAATGCGATTTTAACTCTTTTTTGTTCTTTGCATTTTCTCTATAAACTTATTCGTATATGAGCTACAGGATGCGGAATGTACACAGCAAGCCTTTTTTCCATAAGTGTAAAACGTTACATTGTAACTCCTAAACGAGTAGTTTTTAAGAGAAAATTTCAAAATTAAATATGTTTTAAAATTGCATTTGTATTATAAAACAATCATAAACCACAGGCCATTTAAATTTTTTTTAATTGAAATTGCAAAAAATGACTAATTTTATAAGAAAATTTCAATAAAAAAATTCATTTAGCTTTTAAAATGATGAAAATAATAAAAAAATAAATGAAATATCACGATTTTTAGTTGTAAAGTGAGGCAAACCTGAATAGCGAAGCCTTGATCTTAATAATTTTACAACTAAAAATCGTTATAATTTAGTTATTTTTATTCAATCTTTTTGAGCTTGGTGTCGTTTGATAGGGAATTTTAAACCTGAATAAAAGTTTTCATTACATTTTTCATAAAATTAGCCTTTTTTGCAATTTAAATTTAAAATATTTAAATGGCCACCATTTTTAAATTCTTTATTGGATTAAGATAATTTATGGGTTTTCCATGGGTTTTCCGGGGGTCCATGGGTTTTCTCCTTTAAAAAAGAATTTTTTTAGAATTTTAAGATAAAATCACATTTACCCCTCAATATCTCCTGAACCGTTCATTGTAGATAGGTATTGTATGGTATCATTTTGTTCGAAGTTTAATGTAGATTATTTTTGTAATTCATTGTATTAAAAAAAAACTCGCCGTTTTTGTGGTATTTGCAAAAAAGTAAATAAGTCCTATTTTCACCCCATTTTCTTTAAACCCTACTTCCCAAATCCGACACTCAAATCAGTGTAACTTTTTTACACATATTAAGGGAGGTATATTGAACAATTTGGCACTCATTAGAAACTTTTTCTATGGGTGTCCATGGTTTTTCTCCATTTAAAAAACAATTTTTTTTAGAATTTTAAGAAAAAATCACATTTACCCCCCAATATTTCCGGAACCGTTCATAGTAGATAGGTATTGTATGGTATCAATTTGTTCGAAATTTAATGTAGATTATTTTTGTAATTCATTGTATTTTAAGAAAAACTCACTGTTTTTGAGGTATTTGCAAAAAAGTAAAAAAAGTCCTATTTTCACCCCATTTTCACCCCCTCCCCCCCAAACCCGACACTCAAATCAGTGTAACTTTTTTTTACATATTGAGGGAAGTGTATTCAACAATTTGACGCTGGTTTGAAACTTTTTTTTTTGATGTCCCGGTTTAGGTCTAATTGCACCGTACTATTATTACTATTCAAGTAGAAAAAAATCTTTCATTTTCATCCACACTTTTAATCCTGAACTCTAAAAAAAAACATACATTTGAGATTTTTCATGACAAGTCTGAATACTGTTATAGGTACCACGAGGTAAGTGGCACTGTCCCACCTGCTTAGCCAAGTTGCCCCGTAAGAGACTGACAGCCAAGAGATGTGTTGGTGGACCCAGTATCAGCCCTAGTAGCTCAGTCAGTAGACTCCTGCCACCAGAGGACGTTGTTCCTCACACCCCTGTAAATGAACCCATTCTCAGGTAATTCTTGCACACTGATTAGGTAATTAGGTAATTGCTTTTGTGTATTCCAACTGACTTAACCTAACTTGAGTGATAAAGAGCATTTGACAACACATGCACTAGCTGCCGAGTGTGTCAATTTTAATTTATTTCAAGACAAAAAATCTTTTAAATGATAAATTGGAGCATTAATACTTTAATACTTTTCAATGAAATGGCGACCATACAAAGTAGGTATTTTAAGTAGGGGTGTGCGAGTACTCGAATCTTCGAGCTTTTTGGTCGAGCTTTTCATTATTCGGCTCGGCTCGAGGCATTTTGAAAAAGCTCGAAGTTCGAGCCGAGCTTTTAATACTAAGTCAAAACTAAAAAAACACTTAATTTGGGTCGTAATTGAAAACAATGTTATCACAACTCTACGTTGTTCATGCATTCGAGGTTTGATAAGCACGAACACGAACCTCAGCTCAGTCAAGACGCAATGATTATCGATCGTAATTTTGAGGAGATACAGTAGTAAAGAGACAATCTACCACCTATCCTATCGCGTTGTCTTTCTAACACAGCTATTCGTATCGTAATACACAACGCAGTGCGAGTGCGTGATTGGCTCGTCGCTATGACGACACATGGTTGCCGTGGCAACCTACAGTGCGCACTGAGCACTGCGCCTTGTGTGGGAGGGGAGATTATACCAACAAACTATTTCAGGAATTCTATTTTGGGACCGATGGAAGATAAGGAAGAAACTAAAAGTGGTCACGTGTGCAAATGTAGTGGGCGACACAATAAGGCTGTAAACGAGTATCGTCATGCCGTTGTTCCTTGTTTGTTTACTTTTTCAGATTCCTTATCAAACGCCCCTATCTGCTATCTCTCTTTCTCTCTCTCTCTCTCTCTCTCTAACAGTGTACTGATTAAACAGATTGTGGTTGACGACTTTTCTACTTATAAGATTCCCTGCGGTTATTTTAGTTCAATCAAACCCATAACCTTTCTAATGTTTATCAAAATAATTAATTAATTAATCTGTTTTGTATTTTATTCCCTTTAAACCAACCCCTATTTACCATCTATATTTTATAGAATAAAATGTTTGTTTATAAAGTTTGACTGGTCACTCAATTTTGTACCTATTTTATTTTGTTTAAAAGTAGGGGTGTGCGGATATCTGAAAAATCGGGTAACCGGGCCCAAATTCGATATCCGACACTATCCGTTATATATCCGGCTTTTCGGATAGACAATATATTTTGACGTTTTGGACAAAAAACTAAATCTCCATAGCCACCATTAGTTTCCCAGGACTTACAGCAATACGTTTCCAACGACCTAACAGCAAACGGCAAAGAAGCCTTGTATGATGCAATACTGATAACTAGTTTAGTCGTTATCGGCTGTTTTGCTTTACGATTAGATTCGTCTGGAACGAACAGACATAAAGCAGAAAAGAACTACCATGGTCAAATGAAAGTCAACTCGTGCTTGTCTCACTCCTGATACTAGGGGCGCTGCGTAATAGTTTTTTTACAGTACTGTTTCAAATTCAAAGTAGAAAAATCTAGCCTACTACTGTGAAGTTACGTAAACAATAGGTTTAATGTTTCCCAAAAAAAAGTCAGAATAGAAACAATAGAAAGGCAACACAATAGAAGGGTGGGAGGGGTTGGGCAATGACCTTGAAAGGAGCGCGGGTATAGTGAGTCAAGTAGGACCGGAGGGGGAAGGGGTGGGTAAGACCTTGAAGCTATATATAGACTTGCACTACTTCCCTAAACCTAAAGGACTGGCCGGCGAGTGGTATTCCAATCACAGGACAAGATACGTTGTGTTTTAGGTATTCATTGCCCGGGTTCGGGTTGACTTTGGATTGTCTTACTGTGTAGAAACTTTGAATAATAAAAAATAAAGTTAGAACTAACCACGATTATTTAGCATTGATTGTGTACATATTAAATGATTAAACTATAGGGACCATGGATATATACAAACTTTTGTCGTGATTTTAATTTCAACATCAAAATACAATATTGCACAATCGTGATATTTTAGGTCATCGACCTTTATTATGCATCCGGTATTGCTGTTTCGGAAGAGAAGCACGTTGATAAATTATAAATTGATATTCCCGTAGTTAAAAAGAATTATTTTATAAATCTATTAAACAAAATCATAAAATCTTACATACAGATAACAATAACGGAAATTGTAAAAAAGGTATAAAGATAACACGTTATTCTTTCTCTTTGTTCTTCTATTTCTTGGGTTTCCCTTCATCACGCATTCAACAAGTTGCCATGGTTACTAATCACCCATGTCGTTATCAGCTTTTGTGACATAACGCACAGCAGGGGGGTAAAACTTGACGAAAATCGGTTAATTTTTACCTATTATTTAATTACCAATGAATGTACTACTTTATTGGTATTTGGTACTGTATTAATAATCGGTCAAAATGGCCGATTTTTGTCAAATTTTACACCAAATTTATTGAAATTTCAAGGTGAATATTAATAAAACAATTATTACCAAATATTTGTATTAATTTAAAAGATTGATTTGTGGTATTGGGTTCCCCACTGAGTGCAGCCGAGCGGCACTAATGAGGGTCGGACCTTCTTGGGGGTGAACAATAGACGGCTTATCAGACCCTCCCCTCCCTCCCCCGTGGTCTGGAGAAAGCTTGTAAACAAACTATTGCACAAGCGACTCGACATTTGGCTGATAATTTTGTCAAATGAACTGTGATGTTTCAAAATCAAAAACAATAATTTGGGACCATACTGCTTAATAATAATGGACTGCAATTATTGTTAAACATACAATCCATTTTTAACAAACTAAGATTATACGATTCAAATAGAATTATAAAAATTATCTTGGTATTATACTTGGGGTAATGAAGTTATGTAGGCTAGTGTAATTCTCAGTTCATCAAGGTTCTACTGAATAATGTTTGGCAGTGAATAAGTGTAGAATGCAATTTATAAATTCAGGGATACACACCTTTTACACAGTTATAAAGTCGTTAATTAATAGAAATAGTTAATTCTGGAAAATTAAAAATAGTGATCGCATTCATAAACCTGTTGTCAAAACAGCAACACGGGTGTAAGGGTTTATTGTTTTAGATGCAAGGGTGTTTCAAGGACAAAGTACAGTGTTGGGCCTCCCGGCATAGGGGGGGAGGGGGGCGGTGAGACTGTGTGAAGGGGAGGAAACTGGTTTTGGCTATTTATTGATTAGTTCCCTGACCCTTCTAGATAACAAAATTGAGTGACAGTATTAAATCATCGTGTACTTTATTTCATTTCTTGTTTACTTTGTGTGTTATTCTATTAATTTTAGTGTTTTGGTCTATTTCCTCTATGTCAATTATATCTTTTTTAATATATAAGTTTACTTTTTACTTGTCTCTCCACCTTTTTGGATCCAAACCAACCATGTTCTTTTTTTGATTAATACGATTCATAAAACAAAAATATTTTGTGCATGGAAAACAAAAAGAATAATCACGTGTTTTAAAATTTATTTTGTATTTATTTATACAAAATAGAATTAAATATTCATAGTAGTTACAATATACATTATGTAATCGAGTTGCTAGTTGTTTTGTCGTCATTCAATGTCGCGATGCTGTTCTGTTCAAGAATCAAGAATATTTATTTGCCATTAAATAACAGAACGTTACTGTTATGAAAGACAATCTGATTGTCTCAGTCTGCACTGCATATCTCGTCAGGCCTTCAATCGATATCCTTTTATTTCTTGCATCTTAATTTAGTTCAGTTCTTATCGTGATTATCTACTATTTGATGTCTTGACAATTCTCAACGTTTTTAAACATATTAAAATAACATTGTGTTTATTTAAAAATTGACAGAACATTATTATTATTATGCACTTTTTTAAGAAAAAAAAGTTTAATAACTTAGATAAGGTGACGCTAGGAAAAGCTCGGCTCGAAAAAGCTCGAGCTCGAAAATTTTTTAAAAAGCTCGGCTCGGCTCGGCTCGAGGTTGAAAATCACTATTCGCACACCCCTAATTTTAAGCCAAGTATGAATGGAGATGAATGCAGGATGAGTTGCGCGATCTTTTAGTCTTGTGAGTGACTAAGGCAGACATATTCATTAGACACAGCTGTTAATTAATAGCCCATACAGCTAATGGCAACTAAGGGACCTACAGTTTATAGTGGAATCCGAACCTTATTTTTGCCTTGGTTGGTCTAATTATCAGGATAGTACTGCGGATAGTCGTAGTACTCACGAGTGCAGACGTTAATCCACAACAAGGGAGTATCGTATCCACAGTGCATGCCTAAAAATATACACAATTCGTGACCACCTAGTAGCTGGATTACAGGACATCGTCACTGTCCCAGTCCACTTATGTGTAAGTGTGAAATACCTGTATACCAAAGCTAATGCATTGTATGGTGGTGAATTTTCTGAAAGCTATAATAATTGTAATTCCTAAACAACTTTTAAATTACGTATACAGCATATATCAATATTGACAAGATTTTCTTGTTGTTTCTAGCCCTGTAACCCAAGAGGAAGCATCCCCAGAATCACCCCCAGCACTTCAACCTGTCTCAAAAAAAGAGAAGGTCAGCGGAAAGAAAATGTTGAAAGAGATGGCACCATGTAAACAATTGCTGGATGATCTTGAGGCCCATGATGAAGCTTGGCCTTTCCTTCTGCCCGTCAACACCAAACAGTTTCCTACTTACAAGAAGATAATTAAAAACCCCATGGACTTCAGCACAATACGCAAACGACTTATGGACTCTGGGTATGTCCTAGTTTCATTTCGAAACTATCAACTAATTTATTTCAGCTAACATTGTAGATGGGATGACAAAAAATAGATTTGTAAAGTAACTTTGTTTTTGTCTGTTTTCATTATCAATGTTAAATAAAATAAACCCTTTTAATTTATCTGGTAATACCTTTTTTTGCAGATTTAAGAATAAAAACACTGCAATTAAATTAAAATTCAAACAAATTGGAAGTGTTGTGTCTTTTAATTTTAGACTGCATTAAAATTCCAGATTTTTATAATTGCATACATGAGCATAAGGGTAGTTTTTTTTTTTTTTTTTTTTTTTTTTTTTTTTTTAAGGAAAAAAGCAACTTGTATTTAGAATTGTTATGTAGAAGAAAGGAAGTACACACAACTAACCCACCTGAATAAAGAGTCCCATTAGGTCAATAGAACACATAAAAATTACACATTAAACTGATATTTCTTCAGAGGTAGAAGGTAGAATGGTTTAATGTGTACTTTTTATGTGTTCTATTGATCTCCTGGGACTCTTTAAAGCTAGCTGGGAGGTGAGCTAGTTGTGTATACTTCCTTTCCCCTCCATAACAATACATGAGCATAAGTGTCCTTTTGAGCAGATCATGTGTTCAAGCCTGTAACATTGCATTGTGTGACTTAATCATTGTTTCAATGTTTCAGATACAAGTCTCGAGAAGAGTTCTGTTCAGATGTCCGCCTTATTTTCAACAATTGTGAAACATTCAATGAAGATGATTCACCTGTCGGTAAAGCTGGACATAACATGCGCTTATTTTTCGAAACAAGATGGACAGAACTAACGAATCAAAAGCCCTCACCTTAATGGGCATTAATGTATATCAGTTTGTTTTACGTTCGCAGTATTATAAATGAAATGGACATTATTGACTGAAGTGCGGCAATCTGTTATGGCGGTTTTGCCGAGTTTGTGTATTTTGTATCTTACCTTTAAATCTTTACGCATCTCTATAAGTGTGCAATGGGACGGTGTCAAGTTTCTTTAAACGTTCACATTCTGTGTTAATGATGTGTATAATATAGAACGTGTCAATCAGATTTCTGTGTACTGACCCATTTGTTCTAGAGATTTTTTTATATTTTTTATAAATATATATATATAAAATACGGATATATATATATATATATTATACATATATAGTTTAGAGTATTAGTTTGTTGTTTTGTAAGTTATTGTCTGTCCGTATTCGCGATGGACCTAGTCATATTCCTGCTGTAGTCACACATACACATCCGTGTGTTGCATTTATTGTTTGTCCTAGTTAATGATGTTTATATATATATATATATAAATATATATGTTTATTTGGTATTCGGATGATCGCTACATCATCTTTTGTTCAAACAAAACGCTAGTGATCTCAGGGGTGGACTGTAGCACATTTCCAAACTGTCACAGCTTTTTTCCATTGTCATGACAGTTCATTCTTGTTTTTTGGGATTTTTCTTCATTGCATATTTGCAAATTTCCACTGTCATGTCACTGAGGCTTTAATTAACTGGGATTTCCGAAGTCGGTGATAATCTCAGATCGGGAGTAAATGTTTATTGTCCATAGTAACTGTTGATTTGCTGAGTTATTATTATATAGTCCATAGCGACTTGTTTTTATATTCCTTAAGTACAATCGAGTTGTTAAGTAAAATGTGGAGTTGTATTTAAATAGTTCTAAATATTGTAACTGGCTAATTCAAGCTTTGTCGTTTGAAAATTGTTGTTTTGCCAAAATATTCTGCAATCATTTAGTCTTTATTTGTAATTTTAGTTACTTGTTCAATATTTCTTTCTTTTGCATCCTCAGTAAGTATTTCAATTATTGAAATACAGTTTGAGTAATTATTACTCAATCTTCTACAGTCCCAATTTTGGTTTTTCTCACGCCTATCAAAATTATTACAGCCTGTAATTTGAAGTAAAGTTACAACCATCCCAATTGCTGATGCTGACTACTATAATTTTTGTTTCCAGACAAACCTATGAAATTTGTCTTTTCGGCATGCAATATGTATTTTGAAGGCCAAAATCTTTCAGTTAGATAGTAAAACATATTATTGCAGGATATTATGGCATTTTATATTTTCATGTATACCAATACAAAAAGCTAAATGTTGGAAATATAAGTGGCCAATTCAGTAAAACTGATCATGACATAATCGGTATAATAAAGACATATTTAATGTCCAAAGAGACAAACACAAAATAAATCAAAACTGCTTGCTCTCAATCAAGAAATGTATATTGTTATTTAAACCCTTTTACGTTAAACTTGGGCATATGATGTTACTGTATAGCCACAACATTCTGTATTTATTATAATTCTGTTTGTTTACATTTATTATTTATTAGTTCATCATTTATAAATTAGAAATTTCTTTTAGCTTGAATATTTACGCTGACTACATATGGTGATTTTTCAAAAATTGTGAGCAGCAGCTTTGATTTGTTTCTTTTTATGTGTTTGGCCACTACACGTTGGTTGTTTGGAACTAAAAAGACAAAAGTCATTTGTTTGTGTGTTAATTATACATAAGTAAATCATTTAATCATTTAATAATCATTTAAGAGAAGAAATATCATTGAAATGTCCAAGACTAAATGCAATAAATTCACAGAACAAGAATATTTCTGAGATTGTATTAATTTAAAAACAATACTTGAGAGAGTGATGAAAAGCAGGCTTTGTTCTTCATAGTTCTTTACAGTCTGGTAAATCCTTCTCTAATCTCTTTGCTACAACTCTGTGTTCGATGGAAGTTATTATGTTACAAAATTGTGCTTTAAGAAAGTTTGTGCTAAGAGATGTAGCTTTATAGGTTCATACGCATCGTACTTAGTTTTTGTTAAAACCATGATTGTTTCATCGCTTGAATCACCGAAAGCAAAATCGACTTTGTAAACACATAAAATATGTTTCAGAAAATGCTAAAATGTTATTTGTCAGTAATATTTCTCAGTGTTTAATTTGATTACAACAAATTGGAATGTATTATCCTGACTTTTCAAGTGGCTTTCGATGTGTTATCAAGTGTTTGTTCTTTTATGTATTTATTGTAATGTTTAATGTGCTTTTCTCAATCTTGGTTTTCTGGAAAATAAATTGCTACAAAAAAAGAATAATTTCACCAAATATTAGTTAATATGTTATCTGTTAGCTTTCAGAGCTAATAAAAATATTTTTCACTATTGTTAGTTGTCTTTATTCTTAAAAAACTATGTTTCCAACCTCTATCTTCATTTAACCTAATCAGCGACTTGGTTTACAAAATGATGTCCAAATTTTGTTTTCCTAAACAATACAGTTAATTCAAAAATATATTTTTTTTAGGATGAATACCTTTTTGTTTTAATGTATTGTTGGGTAAATTACTGTTATTTACCCAGTGACGGTATCAATGTCTCTATCTTGAATGCTCTTATACAACACATTAGCAAACATGACAGTTAAAGATCACTTGTTATTTACCGGTACAGTTCAAACAATTAAAGATAAATTTAAAACATGAGAACTATGACCTCACAAGCAGCTCACAACTATAAATGCTTTTGTCAGTTAAAAATAGACTTGAACAAACTCACATAGCCCATATTTATATCCTAAAGGAACCAGGAATATTAACAAGAAAAACATCTTTTATGACGTTCTTTACTTCAAAACAACACAAAACTTCTTGGATGAATAAGCTTGAATACATTTCTTATGTACTAATACTATATTAAACTCAATAAAATATAGCTTGCTTATCAAAATTAGTCTCAATGACATACAGCTTATTATAGTTAAACTTACTATTAATAGTTTGTGTGATTATAAACTATTTAGTGATGCAGGTATGTTACATTTCGTTAAATTTATGGTCACAAATTGTATTCCCATAACTGGTAACTAGTGATGTAAATATATAGGCAGCAAATGAACTTACGCGACACAAAATCACACTCTGTATAAAACAGGATGGAATAAGAAAACCGTATAAAATAGGATGGAATTAGTCCACAGCAGAAATTATCACTCGAAAAGCACCATGAAATAATCAAATGTCAGTCTTGGACTACTAATTCTTCTTACTAATTCACAAAACACATACGACAAGAAAATCAATCACATTCATGGGCGGAAAAATTACTTTCCATGAAAACCTTATTATAGAAAACTTGTTTCCAATAATTCATGTTAGGTTTGTATCATTTACTGAAAGCTCAGACTTGTTTTACATCAAATCAATGTCAACCAAACCGATTTACAACCACTTTTCCACTAACTGACTAAATTTTATGATAGGTAACATTATTTGCCAACAGTTGCCACGTTTAGCTCGGTGCATGTAGTGTGCAACATTCTAGATTGATATATTGTCTACATTCATAAACACATAATCATTTATTGGTAAATGATTTTACCACCACTCCTTATCCACTTTGTAATTAAAGACAATGAGTTCACAGTTTTGAAATGTCATCAGGGCACATATTATGATTTATGTAGTTTTTTTAGCTTGACAAATTTTCTAAAACCATTAATACTTATTGATGAATTAAACTAACAGACTTAGGAATGTTAATTAATATGAAGAATATTTTTGATAATGGAGAGTTTATATAATGTCTTGGTATTATATAAATTATATACATTTTTCTTGTTTTTTTCAAACACTCAAATTATAGCCAAGCTAAAAAAAAACAATACAAAAAAGTCACATTAATGCAATCAAATCGTTAAGATAGTGCAATAATTAAAAAATTTGAAATATCGATGACACCCTTTTAAAATCCATCTACTCTAATCATTACACTTCTTTAATTTTCTTTATTGGATCAAGCCACGGTCAGAAAATAAAAGCAATCCAGACAAACAAAAAGCATCTGATGTACAGTGCATTATCATTTTATAGCCCCACTTAAACCATATCAGTTTTTGAGAACAAAAGAGAAAATGTGCTTTTAGATGTGTCTAATGTCAATGAAGTCCACAATACAGAAAGAGAAAAGTGCATAAAATATAATGCATAGGATGCAATATAATGCTACAACTAAACATTTAGTTTTACATTTGGCGTAGACCATAAAATGGTCTGATGATGAGATATGATGAATTGTTGCTGAATTTCTACATAAACAGTATGAGTAACTAACAGCTATTGCAACATCTATCAATTTTCATGTGGTTTACTGTATTTATATTATGTAGTGTTATGAAGAGTATAGCTACTATATCTAAAAATTGCTGATTAACTTGTAAGCTTGCAGCTTGTTTTTGTGGGGAATGAGCTTATAAGAAAAAATTGTATATACGACTCACTATAGTGAACAACCTCTGCTGAAATAGTGAAGTGGTTTTCATTAAGCATAGAATATATAATTCAAAACTAAAATTTGAAGAGGTTACATGGTCAATCTGCAATATTGAAGAATCGGAGAACAATTAATTCTAATAAAACCTACAATGAAGCTGGTGTTGAGTTGAGTTATTGTACTACTATTTGGTAAATACAGGGTTTCCACAGTAGTTTAACTTTTGGTATTTCTAAACTTAAAAAAAACCCTGAACGTAATGGATTTGTCACCCTGTGATTTTATTTATAGCCTACATCATATTTATTACGGTCAACATTATCTACATTTAATTGAAAAATGCGACCTCCATATCAATTAATCCTTGAGTGCACATTTTGAGATGAATATGAACGCAAAGCGAGTGTGGAATGGCGTGAGAACTCATATATCAAGATTTTGATTTGATAGCTTTGTTGACTAAGTGACAGACTTGGACCAGACCAAGGAAACGTTGTAATAAGGACAAAGTATATTTCTAACCGTTAAAAAGTTTATCTGGGTGCTGCAGACAAACTAATAATTTCTGGCTCTTTCAGCAAGTTTGTTGATACACATTTCTGTTTTGTAAGTGTTTGAAATTAATAGTTGACAAAAAGATCAGCTTAGTTTGCCAGAACCATATGTTTAAAGCCTAAGGATCAGGAACAGCTGGGCCCTTAGCCATCCTCATGTCTCCTGTGTTATGTTTTTTGACAGTCATTAATAACGATTATTAATTCAGGTAATAATATGATCGCTTCTTCATACAGAAATCTAGAAAATATCACAATAAATAAAAAAATTACAATTGACACAAAAGCCAACGCACATGACCAATGCATTGTGTTTGTAGGTGATTGGTTAACTCTTAGAAAAGGACAAAAGAAATTTAACTAAAAAAAAAAAGCCGTTTGTTTAAATTGAATGATAAAATTAATAATTAAGTAATTTTTTACTTCGACATAAAGACTTTCCAAACACATTAGCGCACTCACGTTCTTTTTTGTATTAACCTCCCTGACGTTATATAATTTTAGGAGATTTCTCCTGACTTTCTAGATCTGTGGAAACCCTGTATCATAAAATATATTATATATCATTGAGAAAATATGCTATATTATATAAAATGCTGCAAAGCTTTTAAATATATTTTAAAATACAGTACCATTTGCTCTTTGACTGCAGACAGTTTCAAAATGGATTATTATTCATATTAATTATCTTTGGCACATAACCTTTGATAAAGATAAAGACATTGGTGTTCTAGTTATTTTAAACCAATCAGCTATTCATGGTCATTGAATAAAATAGGCGTTTATTGTCTCCTAAATTAGAGGAGTTAAAATGTTACTCCAAAACGCCTAGTAAAAATGTATTCACAATCAATTCAACTTCATCCTTGACACATTCTTTATTTTTACGTTGGATTCAAAAATTTAGATTGTTACACAATTAATGGAAATGCTGATTGATTTTATCTGGGACCGTACATATAGATTCATTAGTCGAAAAGAAAGAAGGAATTTTATTCCTAGTTCATTGGTGCTCCTTAACTAGCATTGAATTACACTTTTTTATTGTCACATTAATGTTCTTTGGTTTTTAAGAAAGACTATGTTAAAAAGTCCAAACACTGTTCACGTGAGCATTTTACCTTATTATGAGTAAACCCAACATGTCAAAATTATAACCTAAATTATGAAGTACAGTGGTCCCAGATCTAAGTCTTAAAATTATGACTAGTTAGCTATTTTCCTAGAGGGACATTTTCAAAAAGTTTTAGCTATACTGTATTAAAAACACTTAGGGCCTACTAATTTATTTTCATTAAATGCAACTCAATTTTGGTAAATTACAGCTGCTAACTTAATCAACATAAATCACAATAAAATTGTTTCCTTTTGAGTCTTTCTCTTTCTATATTTCCTTCTATATGCCAAAATATGGAACTATAGACAATAGACAATAGAAAATTAATCTTTATTTACACATTCATTAAGAATAGTAGTAGCACCAATCTGTATTAATTTTAGTAGAACTAAAATTAATACAACAATGCAACAAATAATCAGGTTAATATTTAAGGTACATACCATTACGTCCACAGTTCATACTTGTATGGTCAAACCCACTACATGTTTCACCTATACATAGGCATTGTCAAGTGGTCCTTCAAGAACGTTTCGTCTATTGTATTTCGTCCATGTTCTTAAAGGGCCACTTGACAATGCCTATGTATAGGCGAAACATGTAGTGGGTTTGACCATACATTTATGAACTGTGGACGTAAAGGTATGTACCTTAAATATTAGTCTAATCAACAGTTTAGGGGCTACACAATGAATTTTAAATAATCAGGTTCCAAATAAATACAGTCACTCAAATATGATTAAAGTACTTTGGGTTTGTTATTATCTTTTCTTAATTTATACTACATTTTAGGTATCGATTCATTTTGCAGTTGACTAGATTTATACCATACTTCATGACAGACAACCTTACATTTTGGTAACGCCATCCATTTTGAAACAGAATCTGCACTTTCTCAACAGTTTAAAACACATTCATAGTAAATATTGCTTATGTTACAAAAATCACTTATGATATAAAATTTCTAAAGAACTTTGGTGGAGACTAGAAATTATCACATCATTGTATGACAGACTTATTCCTCCTTGACTTTGTAAAGTGAAGCGATAACTGGGACGATGAATAGAAGAAGAAATGGAAGAGTAGCATGGAGGAAGAATTGGCAGACGTAGAACATGACAGCGTTTGCAGTGGGGATCAAATCTTTGAGCATCTGCAAGGATATGACCATCATAGTGACCATAGTCACACCAAGGACGGGGTAGAACTTTAGATCACTCCTGCAAACATAAAATACCAACAACAAGAATCAAGGGCTATGCTGTAATTTGATTTCTGAGAAGGAAATAGACACAGTTTTAATAATTTAGGTGAAATCAGAAATTAAAATTGATCGCATATCATAACTAAAACCAAATGGCATATTTCACCACTAGAACCTGAAGTGAATCATTTAAGTCACACCTGTAAACTGAAGCTAGTCAGAATCAACAAAAAGATATGCTAGAAGGAAATCGGCGTCCAGAAGAGGAGATCCTCGAAGGCGGCCAGAATCTAGAATGCCTCTAGTCTACGCCCGTTAAGTGGTGTTATCTATTGGCCGTTTTCACACTAGCCGACACCACGCCAACATATCGGCACAATGTCGGCCCGACAACATTGGTTGAAACAAAGTATGTAATATTACGGAGCGCTTTCACACTAGACGATTATGTCGGGGCCGACTCGGTTCCCCCACTACTGTCGGTTTGATATCGTCCCTATCATTTAATTTCATTATCTTTATTACATAAAATGAACAGATTGGTACATGAAATTGCGTCAACATAAGTTTTCTTATCTAGATTGCTAAAACTAGTGATTTTACGGAGTTATATACAGAAAATATATAAAAATCAATGACCTTCAAATTGATTTTCCTTTCTCTATACAATAAGCTCAGCTGATTAATACATCAAATGCAAATTAAAGTAACATAAAACAAACATAAAACAATCAATGGAGATAATGTTTTTGTTTTAAAGTGATTTTCAATTACAAAAAAAATCTTAAAAGAAGTAAAATTCTGATTAAATTAAAAATCGTTTTAATGATTTTAAAAATTGATTTGGATTCTTCTCTAATTTTAAAATTTCTGGAAGGTGGTGTAAAAATTTGTTTCCTAATAATAACTAGTTTTTTTTCTTATAAAATTCCAAATTGTACTGCTCTACCAATCGGTGTGATCTGTGTTATATTTATGAATATACCTGTTGCAATTTTATCACTCATCAAAACAAATTTAATTGACTCATAAATGAAAAGACTGTAGACTGTGAATATTTTACGTACATACATAAGACTTGCCTTACTGATGCTATTGATCTTAAATTTAACATTATAATCAATGCCCTTTTTTGCTGGAGCAAAACTCTGTCCATGTTTTTTTTTTTTTTGTGGTAGATCCATAGACACAAATACCATAGGCAATATGTGAATGAATTAATGCATAATAGACTGCTTTTAACGTTTCAATATTACATGATGTAGCAATTTTTCTCAATGCGTAAAGGCTGCTGGATGTTATTCTAATAAGATTGTTAATATGATTATCCCATGCCAGATTTTCATCTATGATTAAACCTAAAATTTGGTGTGGTCTAATTGGTTCAATACTCGATTATCAACAAATATTGTAGGCTTTATTTTGTTTTGTTGAAAATGATACAGAATTGGACTTTTCTGAATTTACAAGTAGATATCTGCTATATAACAGTCTTTAATTAATGATAATTCAATATGGGAAATCTTCTTATGAAATCTCCTACATAAGTGTGTTAATCGCTTGAGTGCGTAAAACCTGCGGTGTCTCGTGTTGCATTATTTTTACATTTTTATACCCGCCCTAAATTGTATTACAGTGTGTTAGTGGTTTAGTGAGTTATCTGCTGTCCTAGTCAAGTGTTTAAGCACGAGTATGTCTAAGTATGACATAGTAACTCTGATAGAATTAGTTGAGACCAAGACTTTAATGATCGGGTGAACCCAAAAAATCCTACATTTCCATCTCTTATATCTCAAACAACAAATACAATAAATAAAATCATCTGTTATATTCAGCCATCTCTACAAATCATAATGCAGCTTCGTCGCTTTCCTGCCACCGACTTTCGTCCTTACATGTGAAAGCAATTCCGATTTTATCAGGTCGGCATCAAAATCGGGTCGGTGTCGTGTCGGCTAGTGTGAAAACAGCCGTTACCTGAGAGTTATTGGTGAAGCCATAGCCAATCCCAGGGATGCACCACACACACGCACCAATGAGAATATTGGAGTAGTAACCACATGGACAAACTCTGGATTGCGACACCACTTGAATGCCAATCTCACGGACCATTGAGGGTCTATGCCTGCAACATTATTTGGAAATTTGAAATTTATTTTCATTTGGTTCATTTTATACAGATTGTATAAGAGATAAAAAAAGTTAAAATTTATATACTTATATTAAAAAATATGTTCATTTCTGGAGGTCCTAGTTGGGCCGCTGGGTTATCAATTCCTACATGATATTTCATCAATGGTAGTGAAACTTGTAAAATAATTAATAATGTAAAAATACAATTAGTCGCAGTCACACCACAAGCCAGATTTTAACAAAAGGTAAAACTCTTCCAAAGAGAGATTAATTTTTCAGTTTTTAGTCCAGTTTGAACTGTGTATTTGAAAACTTTCTCAATGTCAACAAACAACCAACACTCCTCAAGTGTTTCAGACTCTGTAGTACACTCGACAAGGGCGGTATTAGGTAGGCATACTTTAGCCTCTTTGAATCTCGTATGAGACATGGTCTCATGGTATGGGGCTGCTCCCCGCACATTATACATTTTAATAATTCAAAAAATGTGCTCTGAGTGTTATTGACTGTGTGGGGAAATATAAACATTGTAGGTCTATTTTTAAGGACCTCAAAATACTTTCTGTGGTTTGTTTGTATATTTATCTCTATTTATATGATGGCAAATTTGGATCTCATTAATGTACCACAAGCAGTACACATATATGAGACTCGCTCCAAACATCTCTTAAATATACAAATCTTAATTATTTGTAAAAATTACAAATAGATAAAATGAATCTAATAAATATACTTTTCTATGCATAGGCTGCAGAGAACATACTCCTCCGTACTTATAAATTTATAAACTCCTGTAAATTTTATAATAAACTACCAAAAATGGTACAAGACCTCCATGAAAAATGTTTTAGAAATAAGACTATTAATATTTACCATGTTAATGAATGTATGCCTGCAACCTAGACTGCCGGTTATTTTGACATGTTGCTTTGTATATACTGTACCATAAATAAGAAACTGTCTCCACATTGATGTAATTGCTGACGTGCCAATGTATTTGTGTAAATATTTCCAGACAAATACAGAGTTCTGAGTTCAATAAGACAGGTAGGTGTAACACAATTATTACCTAAATCTGCATACATGGTGTTACTTACCTAGGGCCAGTTGTATCAAATAGGCACCAACAGATATGCAGATGAGAGTCAGAGACACTACAAACAGCTTGTATCTAGAGGCTCCTCGCCACTTCTCCCTGAAGGACCACTTGCCTCGATCCGTCAACACATACCCGAGAGCCAGTCCTATAGTAACAGATATATTTGGTAGGTCTAGTAGGCTTATGTAAGTAAATGAAATGAAATGAAAATACTTTTTTATTGAGGCAAACATTAGAGCCATATGGTCGTTTCTTACAGTTAACCTCTTGTACTAAATATAAACTAAACAATACATTTTATAAAACTTTTTAAACTATAAACAAAATAATAAGTAAAAACTTAAGTTATAAATCTTTGTCCCTAATATACGCATACACACACATTCACTCTTTGCCACGACTAGGCCTAACGCACGCCATCCCACCAAGCCACTGTCATCCGATCGAGGTAGTACGCTTCCAGCGCCGTCGCATTAAATGGTACCCATGAAAGGAATATATAAGATTTTTGCTAGGAAAGAAAAAGATGAGCTATAACACAGAAAATATATTGACTGACAAATTACAAAAAGTTAAGGAATATACCTGTGTGTTTATTGAATGATTACCTATGTAACGGGCTAAATGTGTAGAGGGGTAAAATAACGGTTAAACCACAAAACTTAAACAGCCAGATGTTGGCTGTTGGAGAAGCCTAGTCGCAACACTAAACTGACATCATACCTAACGTCTAAATCCAAGACCGCAGACGACGTCAGTGTCAATTGGTTGCTTGGTTGTTCGACTGAGTCTGAGGATGGGCTACACGAGAAAAAAAGGCGGCGGAGCCACTTTCTGAGTGTTACGCGACTGTAAAGCTTTTTGAAGCTGTCATGCGCCTGCCTTCGCCGGCACAGGTCTCAGCTGACTTCGGTTCTGCTGGCCAATCAGTGAGCGATTTAACCTTCGTCTCGATTTGGGAGGGAGGTGAACTGAGAAGAGTGGAGAATTGTCACTCTCATCCCGGCTTTTCGTGACTTTGTCTTGAATTTTTTTCATTTGACCCGTTCTTCGTCATTGGTTAAATTCGTGTAAAAGTGTGTTTCGCAAGTTCTGAAAGCTTGTATGTCCTTGTATACTTTGTTCATCGATTGGTGAGTTGTGTAAGAAACAACTTAAGTTTTTGAATATTTATCCGCCAGTTTTGTTTCCGCAAAACTTGGCGGAAACTGGAAGGCTAGGATTGCTTCACTGACTTAGTCATACGATATTTTAACCAGCTACCTAAACGAGTAGGGAAGTCAAAGTTGGTGATTCATTCTACTAAGTTAACGTCTTGAAATTTACTGTGGGACTTTCTTTTAAGTTTGCACTCTGTTTAAAAGTTCCCTGAAAGACCCTAAGTTTGTTCCAGCAGACAGGTTTCTGCTGGATAACTTTTGCCGAAGTTTGCTAAAGTTCACCACGTGAGAAATAAGAAGTTTTAATTTTCGTTTTTAGGCTCAAGGAGCAGTTTTATTTTTAGTTTCAGTTTTTCTCGTTTCGTTTCTCACCTGGACAACTTGGGCCACCTTGTGTTTTTTTTTGTTTTGTAAATTCAGACTCTGTGGGACTTAGGCTAGGCTAGGCCTATCTCAAGCTAACCTTTGTCTGTTTCAGGTTAACCCTAACTCCGTAGGTAAGCGGGGTGACTACTTAGTATGCTGGTTGTCTAGTTAAGTAGCTAGTAGAGTGTCAAGTAATTATTGCCCACAGAGTCCCGTTAAAATTATCAATTCCCCACAAGCTTCCCTGACTAGAGTGGTGATTATAAGTGTGGTGTCTAGTAACCTGCTACGTTCATCCCGAGCTTCGATAACCAAGGCTAAGTAAACGGCCAAGTTAAGTTTAGTGACTCAGTATAATTACTGTAAATAATGTACATAGTCTTTATTTTTATCATTAATAAATATAACGCAATCTATCAGACTGGTTCTGTCAAAGATGAAGATTTCAAGTATACAAGTAAGTATACAAGCTATCAAATTTAGGCTATCCTAATCACTATCGACGTATCGACTCCTGGGAATATCCCCGCAACCCGACTCGTGCGATTCCTGGGACTTCGTTTATCGTACAGGTGGTGTAATTTCCCACTTTTTGCCCTCAGGAAAATTACGTCACACCTACTATAATTCCAAGAAATGGGCATAATGTCCAAATTAAATGAAATATCTTTATTTCAGAAGGCAAAGTCTATCTTTTACTTAACCTAATCGACATGTAATGAGACAAAAATTACAAATAGATAAAATGAATCTAATAAATATCTTCATGACAACGAAATTTAACAACAAAAGCTTTATCATAAAGTTGGTGACATGATGAGATATACCGGTACGCAATGTGGTTAAGGAAAAATTCTAGATTCAGGAAATACCTTGGGATACCAGTGATTTGACCTAAATTAGTATCGTGTGACAAGATTTCTTTTCAGTGAATGTATGGAGGCAAAAACCTTTTTTACATGAGTTCTGAAAATCGTGGGGAATGGATGGTGTCGAATTTACTTAGTTCGATCTTAGTTGAGATATCACCGATGATTTTCTACAGACTAAGCACATCGTTTGCAGCTTTGAAACTAACTTACCTACTAAAACACGCTGAATTCCTCAATAAACCTGTACACTACAAATATAATTATTGAACTCCAACAGCTTTATGATAAATAATGTACACATGTTTCGCTTAGTTCATTGAAGCACGTCGCCCACTATTTTACTTTTGTTTGGTTGGCGTACAATAGACTAAACAATTTGCCTCATAATAATTTACTTTCAAACCAAAATCATCATTCCACCAGCACTTTCAGCACACATAACGATTGCTAAATTAGTTAGCATACGATACTTATTTGAACCGTTAAACCTATTGGCAAAGCGTAGGTCTATCTGGCAACCTAACGGGCTAACAAGTCGCCAGAAGACTGCCCCCCGGACAAATACCCCCCCCCCCAAACAGGTTCCTACGTCATGTTGACGTCAGATATTGGGGGGCAGGTTTCCAGTCACGGACACTCAAATTTTGTTGTCAAACTGTTCTAAACTACCCTAAACTAACTAAACAAACTTGCTGTAACGTTTAAAAATTCTGTTTACGATAATTATTACGTATGGAATTAACTTTAATATATAGGATCACATTTTCCTAGGGGGGTAGTGTTCCAGTCACAGACAAGGTTCCAATATTGGTTAGTTGGCAGAGATCGTGATCTCACGTTGCATCTGGGGGGGATGGTTTTCCGAAGGGTAGTATTCCGTATCCCCAGGCTAACTAAATTAAACATTTGACTATTACAATTTAGCAAAGTCTTTACCAAGTACTGCTCCGAGCAAACACTGATGGGGGAAATGAGCTGCTACAAATATCCTCGACATGGACACAACCATCAGTGCTGCCAATACAATCACCCACAGCAACTGACGTCTTCGTCTCTTCTGCTGATGCCTGAAGCAGACAGAAATAAATTAAGTACCAACAATATTTGCTATCACTGCAAATATATTTATTTAAGTAAAAAACTAAAATCAACTGTTTTTAGTGAACATAATTATAGCCTTGCTCTATATTTCACAGGTACAATAAATGCTAGTTTTTCCTTTGGTTTTATTGTCTAGTTAATTTTAAGGGTGGGCAAGGAGTTAATTTTTCAGCTGAATCAAGTGGGTTCAATCATTGAAAGCAATTATTCGACTATCGAGTTGAGTAACAAACTATTGGCATAAAACTTACGTAAGATCTGAGCATTTATCCACAAAGTTGGCAGTAACCCAGCGCATAAGAGCAAACAGGACGGCAGCAAAGCCCATGACATGTCCTGAGGGAGACCCGGGGCCCGTCTCACAGGTGGCAAGCGTCTGTCTCAGCTCAGGAGCCCTCAGGGCAGCACCCTGCTCTCGGACCCACCAGAACGGCCGATCTTCCATCAACAACCTTCAATGGCAATCATTTTTAAAATTCAGTGATGAACGAAGATGGGAGATGACCCATTTGTTTGACTTAAACAAGAGATTCTCTGAAGCAATACAGTTAGGGCCATGTTATACGAGTGCTAAATCCTCTGTGTATTTTTTAGCGACTCAATAGAGTGGGTTCATTGGGGCATTGTACATACATAGTACAGGTTGAGGTTATACCAGCGACATTGTCGTCAGAGAGTCTAATTTAGATTAGTGCTGAGCGGTGTATGTATTTGAATATATCTTTGGCAGAACTAATATTTGTTGCCTTGTTATCTAAGTTTGACAATGACCATTACAATATGTGTATATTGTTGAGGGAATAAAGAATTTGTCTGTTGTCTATTGTGCTAGCGCAACCTTCTGTGCTAACACCTCAGCAGACGAAACACAGACTCTGGTTATATACAGGCTCTATGATTTATGCTTCTTAAACATTAAAATTGTCTGTCAAAATAATGTATTTTTATGGGTGTTCTGTGTTTTGTCTTTTAAGTTTATGACGAACCTGAGAAGAGGATAAACTTGATGATGTGGCAGTTGCCACGAAACATGTAGTTAGTTTACCAACACCAAACAAGGATATTGTAAGGTAACAAAATAATTTTGACAAAATAATCTTTTATTTTTAAATGGTTAAGCAACATAGCAGTGCACTTGGCATGTATTGATCCTTCGACTCGGGTTCTGATGCCTGGGGAAACAAAACACCCTTGTTTTATTGAACGCTCGTAGGTACGTAGGTATTTGAAATTAGTAGGCTTTGTATTAATTGCTTTTAGATACATTTAAAAACTACATGTCTTAAAGTGTTTCCAAAATATATAACAATCCTAAACAACCAAAATGGATGGTGTCCATAGTGGAAATAAGGAATGATGCTACAACAATGCATTCAGTAGTAGGCTACTGTGTATTATAGGAGTATGCGCTAGCAATGCAAGTTCCCTGCTGCATTCTTACAACACGTTTAACACGAAAATTCAGTGCTCTGTTTCCCACAGCATCTGCGTGACGACATTGTCAATCATATAACATGGCATTTATAAATGGGTCAGAGAACAGCTAGTCTAGTGGTTAGAGGAAATCTGGGAATTCTGTCCTAAAAACCTAGGTTCAAATCAAGTCAATCACCGATGCTGTAAGATGATGTAGGTTTCTTATATGAGAACTGTTTATGTAGATATTGAAATCCTCCTTCCGATATTAAAATCCATACGATAATTAAACTTTACAATATTCTTATCCTAAGCTCGTCTGCAAAGAGGTGTTAGTGAAAGTGTAAAAGAGAATCTTGCCCACAAAACAGGATCTAGTGTTGTTTGTGGAACTAGGTTTTTGTTAACACCTGAAAGAGATTAACTAAACCCTCAGCATCCACTAATGTTAAAAGCCTGCTATGTGTTGAAAGTTGCTTAGAGGTCTGATTGATATCAAATGATTAAGATTTAAATGTAAAGCAAGAAAGCTAACATACCATTTAAGTATTGTGTTGAGCCATTCTGCAAAAAGAGTGACCACCAAAATGTCTGCTCCTAGGGGAGTGTTGACTGACGCAGCAACCGGGAATAAAATGGACATGGCATAGGCTGGGTCTGATACCTTAGCCACACTCAAAAACCAGGACTCGTAGCTTAGAAAACTGTAAATAAATCAAGATTAGTACTGATTCAACAGCTTGTTTATTCATGTGAGTATACATAGGCTACAATAAACTATAGTCAAGCATTAAAATAGTGTAAATACATGCTTATAGTTTAATTCTTAATTACAAAGCAACAACGCCTACATCAATCAATCAATCAAAAGATCTTTATTCATAATCATAAATACATATACATGAATAGTGTCAAACAAGCTAATGTGCATCAGTACACTAAGTAGGCTACATTTAACATGATTGGTAGGACACTCTTGATCACACTACTTCAGGTTACACTATTTTCTGAATTTTAAGATCTATTATTTGTTTTAAAATTAAAAAATTCATCAAATGAATAAAGTGCCTTCAGTATCAAAAATTGAACTATGGTTGCTAATAATAACTCACACAAATCAACTCTACTAGGTTTTCCAGAAAAATCTACCCATTCAACAAAAACAAAAAAAATACATGTCAGAAGTTAGAAGTGAGAAGCCTTCTTCAATGTCTGCGATCTTGACCTTTGGTAGTTTATTTATTCATCCATTTCAGTAGGAACGTTAACAAAGAATATACAACAATATATTTTCTAATACGGCCAGAGAATAATAATAGGGCTAACATAAACGTATAAACAATAAATACATAACACCTAATAGGCCTGGGTGATATAATAACAACAATAAAATAAATATTTGTGAAACCAACCACAAAGAATGGCAAAATGTTGATATCCAACAATATCGTATTACAAAAAATATCAAATAAAAAAACTTAGAAAAATAGCAAAATAGTGGTTGTAGATCTTGTGGCATGGGAAATCGATGTTTCCACCAATTTTGTAGACTGTAAGTAGGTTTTGTAGGTGTTAACACAGTAACCAGCTAGTTCGTGTTACTATGGTGCTACTCTCCTGTGCTCTGCAGAAGCACTGGGACCATGAACATGACATATCAAGCTTACGGCTCCAAATAAATGATAATAAATAATGTTATCATGTACGGTTAAAATCTTGCTAAATCATAATGTTTATTTTAGTCGTTTAGGGATTATTTACTTTTGAAACATTTGTTCGTCCAGTTCAAAAATAGTTACGGTATAACTCTAACCAAGGTTTCAACGCTGGTTGTGTCATGATCCCGTAGATACCATTGTCAAGGAAAAATCACATCGTTACAATGGTCAGTCGATTGGACATCGTCAAAGGGTACAACTGTGGAACTAGTGGGCGAAGTGGCACTTGGCTGCACACGAGAGAAATGATTACGCACAAGCCGTAGGCAAGTGTGGAAAGTTTCTCGAGTGCAGCAAAGGCAGGTTTTGCACTCGCGTTACACATTATATTTTTCCTACAGTTATAAACAATTAGTCTTTCAAACACTGTACAACACGTTTTTAGGTTAGGTTAAGTTAAATCCAAACATTGGATGAAATGGGAAACGCTGCACCAGCTGATCGTAATTGTAGTGTTGCCAAAATATTTCAATGCGTACCTACACAGATTACATGCATGATAAAAGCACGCTGTTTTGTGATTGTTTGTTTGGAATACTGGTGTGCAACAAAGTAAAAACTGTGCGACAAAGTAAAAACTGTGCGACAAAGTAAAAACTGTGCGACAAAGTCAAACTGTGCATAAAAAGTAAAAGTACAAAGTAAAAAGTGTGAGCCAAAGTTCCGGTAGCCTACGTAAATGCAGCAATTAGCAGCTTTGTGTACTATAATCAGTAAAGGAAGCCCCACTTTGTCGGGTGACTGTAGGAAAAACAAATTTGTACTAACTTAAGCTTAAGAAGTTATTTACCTATATCCTACATATTAATTTAAAGGATCACTTACTACTTTTGGAATGTGCTGATGAATATTGCTTCATATAAATTTATCGTTGCAAAAATTGCCATATTAGTTCAAACTCAAATCTCCAACTCAGGTAAGGCCTAGTAAACAAATATCACAGTAATTGTGCAATGAAAATAGGCCTACGCTTGGCTAGGTACCCCTAGGCCCACTTCGATGTTACTTTAGCAAAAATAACGTAAGCTGTTTGGGTTTCTTGAACAATGTTTATCGTATAACCAGTGCTAGCCAAATTGTCACAAATTTAGGAGATAGCTGAGATAGATTAACAGTTGAAAGTTTATCGGTTGTCTACGTTGTAAAATCGAAATCCATCAATAGGGGATTTTATCTTGATCTAATTTGTCTTCATTTGGCATCAGCATCTAATTTATAAATTAATATGGAACTAAACGTGTGTATAAGGAAGAACACTTGACACATACAACTAACATACTGAACCATGTAATCAACTAATTAATTAGATCTTTTGACTTTTGATTAAAATTTGTATTTGTTTTAGGTTATGTAAACGTAAACGTCAGTTTTGTTGAGTATTTTTTTTATTCTAAATGTCACAAATGTGACGGCCTTGATTAAAATTCATGAGGCCCCTATGTTCACTTTTTGTGGTTATCCGTCTTTTTCTTGTGTTGAGTGTTGTTTTATTTATCTTTGTAGTTCCTGCATTAACTACCTTTGGTTGATAAAAGTTTGGATCGTGCAGCTTTTATTTCAATGTTTGAAAACGTTAGGTCTCACATAATAGGCGCCCCACAACGTCGACAACACATTGAATTTATTATTTTTCATAAGTATGCTTAATCATCTTAATTATTCGCCCTGAATTGCCATATTTTTTTAAATCTACAGCTTCATTTTTCATCAATTAAATTATTATTAGTTTGTTTTACTAAGTACAAAACTTTAAGAATAACCAGCATACGAGCGGGCAGCTCTTGAGAATGAATGCTGATTCAATAAAGAACTAAAATTAAATACTACTGAAATTTTTTTTTAGTTTTAATTGAAGTTTAGAGTAGTTCTTGTGAATTAAAAAGTATGTATTTGATTTATTCATGTTGTAACTAATTACGTGGGATAAAATAAACATATTGAATCATTCATTCGTTCATTCATAGCATCGACATTGTCACAAAGTCAAGTGGTGGGCACCCGAAATCAGTGATATATTTATGAGATGTGTCCTTCGTCACCCCTTCAATAGACTTTAAGGATGACATCATCGGGGTTGCGGTCCTCCTCTTCCCCTTCCCCAGCGAAGGCACCAACGATGTTTGGCGTCGTTGAGGGGGCAACCTTGAGAAACACCTTCTTCTCTTTAATAGACAATAGACAATAGACAATTTATTCATCGTTCAGTAATTACAAAATTACAATAGATTTCGTCAAACAGAATATATAAATAAAGGTTACTATTTAAAATCTAGGTCCTTGTTTTTGAATTTAACATAAAAAAATCATCTATTTTGTACATTGGATTGATTTTACACCACTTTAACAGTTTGTCAGAGAAAACATTCAAAGGCAAAGAGCTGAAATCAACAGGAAACTTATTAAATATTTTAAGACCCAAGTAGGTATGGTAATTCTGAGTTCTTGACAGCCTTACTCTATCTAAATCTAATGTACCTCTATTTCTTGTTTGGTAACTATGGACACTATCTCTAATTACATATTTGTGGTAGTTTTTTTTAACAAAAATAGACACTTCATATATGTACAGACTAATTACAGTTAATATATCTAATTCTACAAACAATGGCTTACAATGGTCTCGTTTTCTACTACCAGTCACAATCCTTATCGCCTTCTTTTGTACTTTCAAAACATCTGTAATTCCTACTCCATTTCCCCAAATAACAATGCCATATCTAATAATGCTTTCAAAGAATGCAAAGTAGGCTAATTTTAGATAAGTGTCAGTTACATGATTTCTTAAATTACTAAGTAGGCAAACCACTCTGGATAATCGAGCACAAATAGAGTCTATATGCTGCTGCCAAGATAACCTACTATCAATGTGTATACCCAGTAATTTTACATAGTTATAGCTAACATTATCATGAGTAGAGATTAATAAACAATCGGTTTTGTCGGTGTTCAGCTTTAAACCATTAGAGGTAAACCATTTTGTTGCTTCATTTAGAGCCTGTTCGTTTAAACATTGCAATTTTTCTAAATCTAAATGACTACTGAAAAAAATGGTGTCGTCAGCATAAATACAAACACTACTACTACTAGGAACATTGAAAGACAAATCATTCATCAAAACTAAAAATAAGATAGGCCCCATTATCGAACCTTGTGGGACTCCATATTTGACCTCAGTGACCTGCGATCTCTGACTATTTACTTCTACTACCTGTTTTCTATCTTTAAGGTAAGACACAAACATATTTAATTCACTGTCTTGAAAACCGTAATGAGATAGTTTGTCCAAGAGGATACCATGTTGAACACAATCAAAAGCTTTACTCAGATCACATAATGTGATCTGAGCAAAACACCTATCTTCTAAAGCATTTAAGATCTTATTTACAATACTATCTACAGCCAGTGTTGAGGACAGACCTAGCCTATATGCAAATTGACTACTGCTAAACAAGTTGAGACATTCAAAGTAGGTACATACCTGCTTTTTAAAAATTTTTTCCAATATCTTAGCCATTGTAGGGATGCAGGATATTGGGCGGTAACTACTGGGTAAATTTTTTTCCCCTTTTTTGTATACTGGAACTACCCTGGAGAGTTTCATAAAGGAGGGAAAAACACCATCTTCAAGACATCTATTAATACAAAAGGTAAGTGGACTTAAAATTAACATAATCACAGCCTTAATTAAATTACTATTTAAACCATATATATCTCTTGTTTGAGAATTTTTTAAAGACAAAGCCACACTTAAGACCTCACTTTCAGACACTTTGGAAAATTTAAAATTTAAATCAGGACAAGGACTTTTTTTCACCATCAGATTAGCACTCAACTCGGACACTTCGATGTTTTCACAGATATCTTCAACCACTGCAGAGAAGTAGGTACTGTAGTCGTCTGGAGACACATCAGCCATGTTCTTCTGCGTGGACCTCCCAGCTGCTGAATTTATCACCGACCATGCCGTTTTACACTTGTTAGCAGACATGTCAATAAGTTCTTCATTCTTCTTCTTCTTAGCATCACAAAGAGCGGTGCGGTATCTGCCCCTCAGAGTCTTAGATAAGGTTAGGAAATTTATGTCCCCACTGGTCTTATACAAGTCATGATAAAATATTATCAACTTCTTCATTTCAGCTAGTTCGGGTGTATACCATTTACCTGGTTCCTTCTTCTTTCTTGTGGATCCTTGTAGTTTTGTTTTAGTTAGGGGGAAACATAAATTAAAATTTGATAAAAAACAGTCCCAGAAGAGGTCAAAGCATTCTTCAGTGGATAAACACGGGTCATAGACGAAATTCCAGCATACCTGGCTCAGGTTATTGCAAAAGTTGTCCATCTTCGCAGTCGTTATTCTTCTGGTATACAAAATATCAGGAGCCAGCAAGATGTTCTCTATTGAAGCTAGACTTTCAAAAATAATAGCATCATGATCACCGAGCAGAGGTTTAACAACTTTAAACCTCCCCCTTAACGTTTAAAACGTCCCCATTGTTGAATGTTTACCAAACAAACCCTTTTTTCTTTATTTTTGTTGAGGGTCTATACGATTTGTGCCAGCACATCTCACGGCAACGGGCAACTTAAAATAACCGGGATATGTATACCCTTGAGGACAAGGTCCCCCAGTTCCTCCGTTTACCCACTCATTCGCGTACCAGAAATCCTGACGTGTCCGGCAACGACGTCGGCAGATCCCGGTCCCTGCATTCTGCACCCACCACCCATGCCGCTCTCCCCAACAGCAGTAGTTTAAACTGTCGGAAACATCGATATTTGGAAAAAATAACCATCGATATAGAGAACATCGAACACCAATGTATCGAAACTATTGAACATCGATGTATCAAAAACATTCGATATCGACGCTCATCCCTATCACTCAGTGTTGCCTTTTTTGGGGTAATCTATCATTTATTTGGTAATGGTAAATTTAGGGTAACATTCACAAGTATTCATCGTTAGTACATTTTTAAGCAAAGCGAAAACTGGACACATTTAGTAAAAAAACAGAGATATAAAAATTGTTTCTTGATAAAACAAACACAATCATTTAAACCAATGTTTAGGGTAATCAGTTCTATGACCATGTCTAGGGAAGGGCTAACGGGGGTGTCCCAAACCAGGAGGGGGGTTTGGGGGTCCTCTCCCGGAAAATTTGCTATTTTTGAAGCAGTTAGGTGACTTTTAAAAGCCATTTTCAACGTCTATAATTATGTCTAAAACCCTGACGTTCCATTTATAATTGAAATGTATGTTTAAATTTATATTTTAAGGGTCAAAGGGGGAGCTTTATCCTCTATAGCCCCCCCCCGTGGAAACGCCACTGAGGGTAAAAGCATAGATAAAACATAGTCCCTTTAGTAGGTTTCCCACCCTAATGGAACAGCTGAAGCCAATTTTATTGTTATAGGTCGGCCGCTTAGAAAGCGACCTCCTCAAGCATTGGTTTAGCATTAGCGCGCAGGTCGTTTTCTAAGCGGCCGAACTATAATTCTGTCCGGTTGTCTGTAGATGTTGTGTTTTGTTTACAATTTGTTTCTATTATTTTAGGTTTAGTTTCACACTATTTGTGTCTCACTGTTTGGTTATATAGCTAGTGGACGAGTTATTGTTTATGATTAGTTTTATTTTGTCAAACGATGTTTTAAATTACTGAAATAACAAGAAACAATATAAAGTACGATATAAAGTCAATGGTAATAGTAAAATTCGATGTAGGGTAATAATTTAGAGTAGCTTTAGCTCGCATTCGGAGTAAAATTGCAAATACTAGGTTGGCAACCTTGCTATCACTATCACTATCACTACTGTCAGTGTCAGCACTACTGTACTGTCGTCAACTTGTCATCTTCAACATCACTCCTTGACGTCGAGCCCAAACCTCAAAACCAAATCCAAATCCTAATACAGGCCTATCTCCTAGCTGAACCTGCAAGTTCTAGTTCTATACATATAGAGAATACAGATTTGTTAGTTAAATAATCCACCCTAAACGTTTTTGTTGGAAATATATCAGTAACCCTTACAGTAAAATGTGCAAATAGCAGTTCTCAAATTGAAATAAAATGTATAAGTAGTGCTGCTCGATTAAGTTTTGAATTCTATTGCTTCTTTCCAAAGATGTTAATAAAGGTAAGGTAAATTTAACCTAGAACTAATACTAGTCTATTACTCAAAAAGGTGTTTTGTTAACCATTTTATAAAGCGTATTTTTTTTTAACTTTGCTCTAGCATGGTACAGTATATGCTTTCTTAAGAGGGTGGCATAGTAGATTCAACCTGATATGTTTTCACAATGGTTGGCCTACCCCTACTTTAATATTATACATCGGTTCCAAATTCTTTACTCAGATTAAAACAGTACCAACTTAGTTCCATGACTAATTTAGGTGTAATTGCCCAGCTAATAGTCATACTTCCTTTGAGTACTTAAAGGCCTTTGGTGGAATGGTTTGGTAAATTGTCAAATGTAAGGCTAGGTGAATATCAAAGACACTAGGCTAGGTTTATTTTATTTTATCGTTAGTCCTACATATTTTTCAGACTGTGGCAGAATTTTATAAATAACTTAGCCTACCTTATTAGGTTCTTCATCTTTTACCCCATGGGGGATTGATGGTGTCATTAAAAACATAAAATCACTTAATTACACATATAGGTACAACATACAATTAACATATAATTGCAACTGAGGCTGTGGACAGGCATAGGCCTACTTCAGCCTAGGCCTAATAGAGGGTCTCCAAAGTACTCCTTCAGCGAGTAGTAGACTTTGTCTTTGAGATATGCAACGCTGTTACCATCTTAAGGAGTTTCCTTTTTTCAAGGTGCAGGATGGAGTTTGGCAACTTATTGTATATATTTATGGCTCCATTACTGAAGGCCTTCTGAGTCCTTGACAGCCCAACTCTAGGGACATCTAGTCGGGTACGATGCCTAGTAAGATGTTGATGTATTGCTGCCCTGGAAGGAAACTCCTCAATATTGTCTAACACGTATTTTATGCAGGCGAGGATATAGTGCCTAAACACTGTTAGTATGCCCAGCCCGACAAAGATAGGCTTGCAGTGAGCCAAACGATCGCTGAAGGTGATTATTCTCAGAGCTCTCTTTTGCAGGATCAATATTTCTTCGGTCATGGGTGTGTTTCCCCACAGCAAAATACCTACCATAGCTCACATGGCAATGAAACACTGTGTGATACACGCTCGACAGATATTTCTCTGTGACCAGATATCTTAGTTTCAGAAGCAGGAAGCATACCCTTGATAGTTTACAGCAAACTTGGTCTATATGGTCACTCCAGGTTAGTTTTTGGTCGAGTGTGAAGTGTGCCACAACTTCACCGGATCATTCGGAGGAGCACGTTTGGTTAGACCTTCTGATTGGACTGTGTTTTGGTTTGGTTCAGCTGAAAGTCATAGTTCGAAGCTTCTAGTAAGTGTTGCTACGCTCCCGTTACAGACTGATCAACATGCAGTCCTCTTGACACAAGTGTGGTATCGTCAGCAAACGATACAACATTTCCAGTCTTTTCGGGGTCATTTATAATGACTAGGAACTAGGAAGACAGTGACAAATCCTTGCGGGACTCCATAAGCTACCTCTAGAGGTGCTGAAATCGCCGCCTCAATGGAGACCACCTGCTGCCTACCCGAAATATACGATTCAATTGTCTTGAGGACAGTGCTACCTACTCCATGACTCTCCAACTTCCTAACCAGTAAAGTATGGTTGACACAATCGAATGCACGGCTTAGATTGCACAATGTGATGGTGACTGTGTTACAAGCCTCAAATGCCTTGCCAACCAAAGCTGCAAGCCTCATTACTGCCCCTCTTACACAATCTAAATTGACCATCCTTCAGCAAGTTATTTGACTCTAGGTGTTCACAGAGCTCCCAGGGGCGGCTCCAGGAATAATTTTTTTGGGTAGGCCTGACAAGGATCAAGAAGGAGTTAGATCAGGGTACAGAGGTTTGAGGGGCTTCCCTGCAAAAAGGGGGAATTTAAAATCAAAATATTTAGTTGTAATGATTTCCCTTTATTTACATATAGGCCTAATTAAATGTCTATAATTATTTTTAATTTTGAAATATCTACCAAAATTTTGGGTAGGCCCGGCCTGCCCTCTAGAGCCGCTCCTGAGAGCTGCTTAGGCTAGCATCAGAGCCTCCACGACTTACCCGAAGGCTGGTAAGATCTAGCAATTTTCGTGCTGGGAGGAAAAGCACCTCTCTTCAAAAAGTTGTTCAGGACCAGCAATAGAGATTGAGAAAGTTTCCCTATCACCCGAAGATGCTTCAACCAAACTGTAGACATACCGTAAAAATCAGGGCTGTTTGAATTCTTAAAGCTAGCAACAATTTTCTCAATCTTGGTTGGGGTAGCATGCTGCCACGATATTATTTGGGTAGGTACTCACCTCTACATTCAGCAATAGGCCTAGGCTACCTCAATAGGATCTGAAGATTTCAGACCGGCTACAATACTATCCACAGAGTCAATAAATATCTATTAAATTGGTCTGGACTATGTGGGGGTTTTTATATCACCCGACTGCTACTTGTGGCCATTTTGACCACATCTCAAGCTGCCTTACATTGATTTTTGGCTGCAACAATCAGATTTACATGTTCAATTCAACAGGAATGTGTCCAAAAAGGATACTACCAAGCGTACTAACTTAAGTACTTTGCATATATGGGCCTGATTTTCAATGGAAACGAGTAAGCCCCATCCTAGGGCTTTAAGTGTTGAGGGATGGCAACAACTATTGTATTTGGCTATCGGTACCCAAGTACAGATCTATAGGCCTAAATTTTTAGAGATTAGACTGATTGGCCTAATGAACGATGTTGTTCTCGTGATATTGTTTCTGTTAGGATAGGTAGTGATTAGTGAGTCGGTGGCTCAGTCGGTAGCGTCGCGACTTCGGGCCCAGGCAGCGATGTCGTGGGTTCGGATCCTGGTCACTGCCGATAACATTTTATCAGTACAGTTCACCTTTGTACTGTACCGGCTCACTCCTTGCCTTGCTGTTAACGATCCACGCACGGGCGCTTAGTCTATGCGGACGGGCAAATGCAAGGTTAAAAGAGGCCGCCAACCTCTTTTTTTTAAAAAAAAGGTATTAAAAGAAAAATTTTATTTGTAGGCCTACTCTGAAGTTTCAATAGCCTAAAACTAGGTGTTTTGTAAATTTGTATTACCGGTACCTAAATCAGAAATTGTTATTGTCAAAAACATTAGCCTACATAAATGTAGGCGTAAATAAGTCATGTGGTAGTACATGATGATAACAGGCAAACATTGTTGGGTGTGTTACTTAATACGACAGGTGTTTTTAGCTGGGATAGAGGGGTGGCAAAGCTTCAAATCATAATAGGTTCGATACTTTTATCAAATCTTCGTTATTCGGTTCTTTTCATGATTTTCAGTGTGATTTATTTCACTGTGGCTCTGGATTTTAGTCTAATGTTTATTTAAGCTTTTTGCCTTATTGTTTTTAGTTCCTATTATAACATTGGCTTGCATTTAAAAGACTTGTCCTTCTATCGGAGTGTGAGGGTAACGGTTTGTAGGCACTTATGCAAACCAATCCCTGTCTCTGAGCACGGACGGTATGGTTATCTTGAGTGTGGGGGGTTCTTCCCGGAACCTCAATTGAGTCAAGGGTGTCGCCACCTCTGGTGGATAGGTTCATCCGGGTGGGTCCCACTTCTATACCTGCCTCCTTTTGGGAAACCCTGATGGCCTGGCAGTGATGTTGGGTCTGACGGGCAAACGAAGTAGATCGGGTGCTGGGTCCGAGCCCGCCAGGGGTATCTGGGGATCTATCGCTCTGGTTATCTCTGGTTTCCCAGCAATGGGTAAGGCCTCGATCGGGTAGTGGTGTAAATGGGAGGTTGGGGTTCCCCCCGTCAGCACGCTGACGGTCCCCTTCCTTCTGGCTATGATGGCGGGTTCTGCTTGTCAGGGATTAGATAGGTCCCGAGTGTTGCTTGCACTAAATGCGTCGGGGCGCTCCATTATGGTCCTCTAGGGCTCGTACCTTGTGGAACCCAGGTGGAGTGACGCTTAAACAAGCAGCCGGAATCCCTGGTTAGGATTGAGGGGCAACCCTCTTTCCGAAGGGTCTGCTTCGGCAGCCGGCGAGCCTGATGACCTTAAGTCATCCGCCCATGATGTGCTAAAGGTTGATGCGTAAGCTTCGGCCTACATCATGGGGCCCGGGTACGCAGTCAGGGGGCTTCGGCTCTCATGACAAAGAAATAATAAATAATAATAAAAATAAATGTCCTTCTATCGGTTATCCATTTCGTAGCTGTGGCAACTAGTTACTGCTCGCAATGGAGCCATCATCATGTGTTACAAGGACAGGATTCCTTCTTCCGAAGGTCGTCATATTTCACACACATTTAAAACATTAAAGTAGGCCTATACATTGTTACGTTACTTATTATGTTTAGAATATTAAAGATTTATCAATTTTGCTAACAATTTAAACTATTTTCAATTTGTTATCGTTGTTTATGTTCACAGATTTTACTAAGGTTACTAATGTTAATAAAATCCTTAAATTTGGTACAGTCATATAAAAATATTTTACAATAAACTTAACTTACAATTATTTTTGTATTTTTATCCCCTTCAAAATGGGGGTTAAGCACACAGAATTTGTTACATTTAAAAACAAATCTAACGACCCCTTAATTAAAAAATAGTTTTTTGTGCAACTAGTGAGCAATTACCTCACTCGAGAGAAATCCTTACTCACGAGCCGTAGGCGAGTGAGGAATGGTTTCTCGAGTGAGGCAATTGCACTTTGCACTCGAGTTGCATATTATATTTTTCCTACAGTTACCATAAAACAAATAAATTGGTAAAGAAATGTAACATATTTTTACACGGAAGTGAACTTTTAATATGACATTTAATAATACAACAGTACATCAGCTGACCAGCTGATTTACAGCCAGTGCTGCCAACCTATTTCGAGCACATACGACCTTGTCTGCATGTTACGCGTTCACTATTTCGTGCCTTCACGTTGCAAATCTGGAAACATTGTCTCACTGATGAGCGAATTGGCCACTTTGCTTTCTCAAATCAGTAAGAGAACATGTACATTATTAGGTTAAAAAAAAAACGAAGTTATGACACTTCTTATCACCCAATATTTTATTTAGGCCTATAACAAATTAAGACATTAAAAATATTTCACTATATGGACTTGTGTGTGCAAATCAGCTGTTACTTGTCGATTTCTTTTTACTAACAAATCAGCTGATCAATAGCATTGTTTGAACAATGAAATAGCTATTTTGCTACCACTGCGTGGAAATGATCACACTGCCACGCTTATAAACAGTACTCAAAATAGTTTATTTTCATGTAGTAAAAATTCTAAGCTGAAGCTATAAGAAAATTTGTAAAAAACATACGAACAGAGATGGACGGAAAACTAGGCATGGGAGATCCATGGTTATATGCTAAATCTGTTTAATACCAGGAACAATCACACAAAAGCGGTACAGTTTGTTTAGGGACATCCAGTATATCTTTATTTCACTTGGGTTGTTGGCTTATCACTTGTTAATTACTAAGTTAATTCTTGTTTATTCTTTAAATACTGTCTTGCAGAGTATTAGATGAAAAAACACAAAAACTATATAAGAAGCAAAACTAAAAGTTAGCAGAAACAATTTTAAGAAAAAAGGAGAGCTTTTTTAAACTTCCGGCTTAATCAGTCTACAAGTATTAAGAGATAATGGGTTTTTTGTTACAGATAATCTAAGACCTGATCTGTGGCCTGATCATGACATCGGTGGTAAGTTTAAAATGCTACATTCCGTAACACAATTAATGAACAGAGTCTTAATAGAAAGTCTTTAAAAATGAGGTTTCTTCACAAATAAAATTGTAAAATTTGTCTGGTCCTTACTATAAAATTTGTAATTATTGTTTTTATCTACTGACTGTGCAATATGTTCTTTAAAAGTGGGCATCTTGATTCAAGCTTAATTGTGTCTATATTTGACAGTCGATAAAAAACATCCCTTGATACGCTTTGCTTTGATTTGTTAAGAGTCTTTGGAGCCTAGCTGTTCTAACTCGTAAAATAATTAAAAAACTACAAAGAAAATTTCTAATCCTACAGTATCTAGTAATATTTAAATTACAATCACTCTGGTGTTTGAAAAAATATTTTAAGTTGGTAAATAACTCTTCAGCGGCTGTTTGAAATCAACAAAATTAACATTACTCTCATGGCGGGTAAATCCAAGATAGCCGTTAGCTTCCATGGTCTCCCTTGGAGAACAATTCAAAACTACAAAGAACATTTTTAATCCCACAGTTTACTAGATTTTTAAATTATAATCACTTTGGTGTTAGACAAAATATTTTTGGGCGATAAATAACTCTTTAGCAACTGTTTGAAACTATCCAAGATAGCTGCTAGCCTCCACGGACTCTTAAGCAACTTGTTCTAAATTTAGTGATGCCGTTTATAGTACCAGTGCTCTTAAAAATGTTAGTGTAGGCTTAAGCAATCCTGATCATGGTACGTAGGATTCAGAAACAACCTTGGTAACAAAGGTTGGCATTTTGTTTTTGTTTCCCAATTAGTTTGCCTGATTTTTCAATTAAGAGTTCATACATTTTATTGCATGATGTATACTAAACTCAATTATTAATAATGACGCCAAAATAAACACACAGTAGTACTTAGGCCCTGCTTTAGTTTGCATGATCCCTGGACAATCGGTAAAAATACTGTACAGCCTCTCTGAAAAATACACATTCTCGGTAAAAATAATGGTTCCAGTGAAATTTTGAAAATCTCCAGTCAACCGGGAGAATTGTGAACATCTCCTGTTATTGTAACAAAATCATGGGACTCTTTTGCAGTTGCGGATATAACATTATCCTCTCTGGCGATTGCAGCAAAATTGTGAACACCTTCCCCTTAAGGTAGAAGTGAAATCATGCATTTTTCGAGTCATTATCTGCAATGGCAAGAATAAAAATTGATCGAAAATCAACTTGTAATATTAATGACTCAATTTAAACTTAGCTCAAAAATTATTTCCGGCCCGAACCAATCTCAGGCTAATTGTTAGCCTGGCCCAAAATGTCATAATAAAGAAAAGGATAATAAGGAAAAGTATTATTTATAGGGGTTTTCTGACCCCTAATTTTTAGGCTTTACTCCGTCTTGAACTTTGCATGTTATGGTTGCTGTCTTTAAAGCATGCTGTTTCAAATGCTTTGTTGTAATTTCTTGAGTGCATGACGTAGTCTTAGTTTGTTTCAGCAATACAGAAGGACTGGAATCATCCAATCACGAGGCTTTTTACTTGATGGTCACTGAAAATAAGTCAATTTATCAGCATTCAAAGTCACAGACTGCTGAAAAAAATGTACTTAAAAACTAATAAGAAACCAAAATAATTTTATTAGTTTAGTTCTCTGATCATTCTACTATATTATTTATCATTTGCAAAAATTGAAAAGCAGCATTAAAAATCAACATAGTTGTTAGGTCTGAATTAGTTGAATATTAATTCATAGTTGATATAAGATGTTTAGAACCACTAATAAACTCATGCATCCATCCCTCTTATCTTTTGAGTCAACATCCTGACCACTGATTATTTACGGTACTTGCTGTTCTTGACTATGCTTGTCCTTAATCTGATTGGGCTGCAATTTTTAGTAAATATAGTTATATTACAATTATGAATTTGAAAAAAAAATCCATTAAAAATAAGAATTGTTTTGAAACATTATGATGCCACAAGAATACAGTACACGCGGGTACTGCAGTAGTAGTCAACGTGTTTGTATTTTTTTCAGTTTAGGTAACACTTAAACTCAATATTGTAAAGATTACATGGTTTACAATTGTCTTATACTATTAAGTGATGGATAGTAGACTTTTTAATTGGACTATTGATACAACTAGACTAGACATTCTATCCCCATGTTAAAGCTGTCACCAGTTTTTTAAACAAAATAGTCGTAGTTGATGTGAGCATTGACTATACCTACAGACCACTATGCAGGGGGGACACATGAACAAAAGATGGTCTGCACTGCACCGTGAGTGCATGTAGTACTCGCCCCTCTTACTTGATCGCAGCACTGTCACCACGAAGTTCATGGAACTGTCGCCAGGTGTGCTGCAAGTGCTACCTTCTGGACTGGACTGGACTCGCAGGCAGAGTAATATATATAGTCAATGATGTGAGCCACCAACAGATTGCGCTGATAAACATTACTTATTTCTATCGAATACACAATCATTTTTACCAAGTCAAACTGATGGAACGACTTATTGTGAGCTATAGCAACTGACCCATCAACAAGTAAGGAACAAAAAAATAAGGTAAAAAATCTAATTATAGACACTAGCACATCCTGTGACTGACTCACACAACTACGTTCAATTAAAAAAAATATTGGTGACAGCTGGTCCATACCATATAGATGGGATGTCTACTCCAGTACCTAACAGTCAATGGGCGTATGGAACCAACATTACGTTTCAACAAAATGAATGCAAAGGCTTGCAACAGCTAGATAGATTTAAGCTCAGATATCTGTTCATTACAATAATTGTAGCCTAACTACTGAAACCTAGAAGAAAGCTCAATCTTTAAAGTGCTTTGTGGCTGTGGTGTGGTAAGTTTAAAGCTTTTTTAGCTCGGTATTAGCTGGAACACTGACCAATACAGTATTCTGCAGTAAATAAGATAGGCTACCTTAGTAGTTCAAATTCAAATTCAAATTATCTTTATTTATATTATGTACAAAACGTACAATAAATATGATTTAGTTCTAGACTCTAGTTACTAGAGTGAATGAAATAATATGTTTATTCCACATAATATACAGCATGAATGAGTAAAATGCATAATACATTACAAAATATATTGAGACTAAAATAAATAAACAACTTTACTGTACCACTTAATTTTGTATTACTTGTATTTATATCTGCTGTGCTCACCGTTCCAATTATTGTTTCTTAAAGCACGGCACGCACTGAGTTGATCATGGTCGACTACGGCTCGGCTTTACTTACCTAGCTCCGGCGTTTTACCCTCGCACTGCACCAGCCGGCCTTCTCCGTTCGCCACCGGCAACAAGATAGCATTTCCAGGGGAAGGTTACGCGAAGAGTGAAAAGTGACGCAGTGATTGCTAACCATCTTGTTACAATAAAATACACATAATTAAATCATTTGTATTAATCTAAATAAAAACTAATGTGTTAAATTAATCTAATAATTTGGTTTGTATGATTAAATTATTGTTTACGCTACATTATTATTTACAAATATATTATAGTTTTTGCGCCGCAAACTGGCAAATGGGTGATCACCATCCTTAGCTATATCCTACTGGGCAATCAGGCCCTGTAGGTGACATAAACATGAATTTTCCGAGATGGGAACTACAATTAAAATATTAATATTTAGGGCCTACTGACAGATATTACTAAATAAAATTGCAAGTTAAAGCAAAACGGAGTCATTTCCTCTCCCCCCACCAACCCGGTGGGAGGTTTCAATCGCTCCTAGGACCAACCGACGCCGAATTGCTCCGTATAGGGTGCGCCAAGCCGGACCAAAATAGTGCGCGGTGTCTCATTTTATTACGTGTATTTTAACATTTTAAAAAGGCCGTAGTCGACTCAGTGCGCGCCATGCTTAACACTTATAGTTTATGAATCTCTTCTTACTCAGACCTTTTGAGTCATTTACAGATGGAGTTAGTCTGTAACCACTGTTATCTCACAATTTAAGATCAGTTTTGGCTTTTTTACTTACTAAGGTAACCTAACCTTACTTCTTACATTTGAAAATAATTTGAGTGCGTTGCCACCTGATTTTCAGGTTTTTGTCAACATCCTTTTGGGACTCTGAAGTTATTGGCAAATGAAATTATATTATAATATGCTTATTCTAATTGTTTTCAATGTCCCACACAAAGAGAAGTGTTCTAAAAATGAATGTTCTAGCTAATACTAGATACTGTTTATAGTAAGTGTGCCTCACTTAGGTTTGCTTTGTTGCACTTCTCAACTTATCTTCGTTGTGTTGGAATTTTTTAGGAAGAGAAGATTTCAAAACTACGTTGCATTTTGGAAAATCTAAACCTTCCAACTGTGAGTGTTGTGAACCCTTTATGAAACCCTTTAGTTACGGTAATCCAAAATTAATAACATCTATCAAACGTTAGTTTATTTCTGGACTTAAAGAGTTGTGACTAAATTCTTGCAATACCACTTCTCAAATTAAAATACTGTAGGTATTTGCTACAAACTTTTTTGAATTTACTGACTGAATGTTAGAATTTATGGGAAAGAAAAGTATTCAAACTAAAATTAAAATTTTGAAACATATTTTGATTGAGTATTTCTAACAGTGTATTCCCATTATAACTGTAACAAAAGCAATACTATAGGCCTACCAAAGCTTGTTCTTGTGGCTTGCAGTTGTTAGCTTTGCCTAAGCATCATTTGTGCATGAAATTGCTTCCCTACAGCTTTTGTCTTGCACGTTCCATAGTGAAATAAGTTTCATTTACTTCTGTACCATAGAAAATGAGCATGAAAACTTTTAAACTGCTTGTTTTAATCATAATATACATTCATCTGTAGTTTATAGGCAGAAAATAAAATCCTGTAAATATATGAAACTTTAATCTCAATTACCATCCAACAGATACGGCAACCCATAAGAAATGAAAAAGTTCAAGTGGTAGTTCGGTGTCGGCCGATGAATGAGAAAGAGAAGTCCAAAGGCCACCTGAGCGTAGTAAAGTGTTTTCCTTCGAGAGGCGTTGTCGAAATATACGACCCTAAATATGAAAAATTGGACCAGTGTAAGATGTTCGCATTTGATGCGGTTTACGACTGGAACTGCACCCAGCAAGAAATCTACGATGAAACCGTTAGACCTCTTGTCAATGCAGTTCTTAGTGGCTTCAATGGCACTATTTTTGCCTACGGACAGACAGGAACTGGAAAAACATACACCATGGAAGGCAAGTACATGGTACTGCTGTGTAATATTTTGTATGATGTATTCTGAGTAACTGGGGATCGGGTGCTGTGGTACAGAGCAAAGTTCTTGAATGTGTGTAAAAAGGCACAAATTGTCAGCTTAGAAGTAGTCTTTATAATAACCAACCCAGACTTAAAACCCATTATTAGCTTAATAATTCAAAAAGTTGAAAATTTATTAAGCCCATTCTGCTATCATTGTTCTGTTACAGTTTGAATGAGTAAGCTCTACATTATAAGATTTTTTGACACATACTCATCATTAACTAATTCCTCTTTATCACAATCCATCAATTTTAATGATCTTTGTTATATTGAGTACTAAGCTTAAATATCTAAAAAAAATAATATGTATACTACATAAGTTCAAATGTCCCTTTTCAATGTCAACTTTCAGTTTATTAAAAATGTCCCTCATTTTGGAAAAAAAACCTATGATATAATTTTTAATAAAAAGTTTGTGTGAGTACCTACATTTATTCAATCAGGATCAGTAAAAGATCCTTTGGTCAAAAGTCGTCAACAAGAATAATAAAACTGAATGTAGCGGGACACAACCTAATTGGGCAGATGTAAAGTTCAATTTTTATGACCTTAGAATAATAAAGTGACAGGAAATAATTGACTTAACCTGAAGATGACTCCTTGAGTTATTCTAAACTAGTTGCTCTATAGCCACATTTTCAGTGGCGGTTCTAGGCCCTTGTCAAGGGGGGGGGGCTACCATAGGGTTTTAAAGTCGTTTGGCAACTTACTAAAGCTATTTATAACGTCTAGAACTGTATCCAAATACCACCATTACGTTTTTAGGACGAAATATATATTTACATTTATTTTCCGGGGTTCCAAAGGGGAGTCCCCACCCTAGAATCACCACTGAACATTTTTAATCAGATTGTTTTACCATTTAAATCCCATCTGGACTATAATTAAAGAAAATTATCAAATAATTCATAAACGTTGTCTTCCAAGATAGATATTTCTGTCGGATGAAGAGTGAATTAATAGTTGATATTTGACAGGAACGAAGAGTGATGAAAACGCCAAAGGAATCATTCCAAAAACATTTGACCAGATTTTTGACCACATCTCCAGATCTCAAAATATGCAGTATTTAGTGAGAGCTTCATATCTCGAGATATACCAAGATGAAATAAGGTTTGTACCCAGTCTCATACTTCAGGGTTATGGTTCTGTGTTTAAGCATTTGTTAGCTCTAAGGCAGTGTTCCACAATGATTAGTGTGGCTTGGTCCATCTTCAATGTTAGATGTTTTAAAAAAGTATTTGTCCTCTTCACACACATATACCGGTGTTATCTTTCAAACACTGTCTTAACCTCTACGTGTGCCTAACCCCTAGACTAGCAAAACACCCTAAAAGTTTTGTCCTGTACTCTTTACGACTGGATGCCAACCAAACAGTTGGTTTTAAAACCATTGTTTTTTCTAGTTTTGCAAACCGTACAAAAGTTTAATAAAATAAAGTAGGTAGGTACTAGTTTCTTTCTTCTTCTATAATTCTGCTACAAAATGTTACTACACTCAATACAACTGTTTGCTTGATTGACTTTTCAAATAATGACACAAATTCGGTCCTAAACCTAAAATACTATGTCAGCACCACAATACTTGTATTGGAAACTGTTGTTTTTTGCAGTAAAACTAAATAATTTTATTTTGCAGAGATCTGCTTGACAAAAACCCTAAGAAAAAATATGAGTTAAGAGAGAATAAGGAAATGGGTGTTTATGTGAAGGACGTGCAATCATTTGTGTGCAAGAGTGTGAAGCAGATTGAGCGGATAATGGCAGCAGGCAATCAAAACCGAACTATTGGGTGAGTATTGTTTTTGTAAATACCTGCGTTAGATTATGCAGGGTGTTCAAAAAAGGTGGGGACATATTTTACGTAGCGATTCCTTGGGTCAAAATAAAGAGAAAATCAAATATAACATATTTTCCTAAATCGCTTCATTAACCAGATATCCGCCGCCATTTTGTATTTTTTACCTAAACTTTTCTACCTTTGACTTTTTTCAACTGATCTTTATGAAACTTGGTATGTATGTTGAGGTAGAAGAGACCCATGTTAGAAAAAAATTCATCTTGATTTGACTTAAGATTTCAAAATAGCGACCATAATAGTCTTTTTAACTTAAATTACAAAAAAAAAATGGCTGATTTTATGAAAAAATGTCAAGAATACTTTAATTTAGCATTTTTAATTCCCTATCAAACGATACCAAGATCAAGAAGATCAAATAAGAAATAGCTGGAATATTAAGATTTTTAGCTGTGAAATGGGGCCAAACTGACTAGCTTAGCCTTATTCTACCCCATTTCACAACTAAAAATCGTAATTTTCCAGCTATTTCTGGTAAAAAATGTTTACGTAAAAAATACAAAATGGCGGATATCTGGTTAACGAAGCAATTTAAAAAAAATGTTATACTTGATTTTCTTTTTAATTTGACCCAAAGAATCACTATGTAAAATATGTCCCCACCTTTTTTGAACACCCTGTATAAAAAAGAATAGTTTATAATATAATATAAGTAGGTAGGAAAGCAGCATAAAAGGTACAAGGCAGTGCTGCTAAGAATTAAATTAAATTTGACTTGGAAAACCCCATCCTAGGTATAATCTTAAGATTTGAATGCAGGAAAACTGAAACATGTAGTTAATTCATTCTAAGAGGTTGCCAGAATCAACGAAGCAGTCTATCTTTAACTTTAAAATGGAACAAAATTTATATTGTTCAGTCTCTAGAAAATAAAGACACGTTACATGCAACACAAGGTCGAGGTGAATGAGTTCCGCCTCTGTGCCAGCTGATATTCGTTGTGGTGGCGTAGTGAGTGTGTCTTGTTGTTGTCGTAGCCACAACGTCACTTGCATTGACGTGAGTGCAGGAAGTCAACAATGACAACAGACGTTGACTTCCTGCACTCGACGCAGCGGTGGACTCCACAACTACATGATGCCACTAACGATGTAAGCAAGAATCTAGTCTAACCGCAGCACTTTTGGTCTTAGTACTCTTTTGTCTTTATGGTGGTATCAGATGAAGACAATTTTAAGGCCTTGTATAGGTTTTCCATTAAGACTACTGTATTTGGAAATGACCCAACTTGCTATCCATCTAGTGAACTGTACAAAAAGGTGTGATGTTACAGAGCTACAGATATGAACGAGAGGAGTTCAAGATCTCACGCAATCTTCATCATTACGGTAGAGATGAGTGATACTATGGGACCTCTGGAGAACAGAGTGAGGGTGGGAAAGTTGAATCTGGTAGATCTAGCTGGCAGTGAACGTCAGAACAAGACCAACTCTGAGGTAGGCCACACTATACGTTACCTACGTTACTAGTATTGTTGTGTCAATTGAATCACATTTTGTTTCCATTATATTCTTAAATAATATTTTTTAAATTTAATTTTGCTAGACACTGTTATTTAACAATAATTTTACAGCAGTTAAGTACAGTAAACTTCCTCTCGTACGGGCGCCTTCGGTCCAAATCGTTGTTGGAACCATCAGAAGCTCATGCAAAAATGAACGTATACTTATCAAAACCACCAAACATGTGTACAAAAATATTTAACTTCAGTTCTATACTGACATACAGAAGTTGCATCTGTATATGCCAAACAGGTTGTGACTTTTTTTTTAACAAGACGATGGCCAAAGCAATTGAGTCATACATATGAGTCTACGATACAATTTAATTCAAAAATGTCATATTAAATCTAAGAATTAATATGCTATACTTCTTTGATAGTCTGTGGTTTCTTTAAACATTCAAGACTGTCTTGTCTTTAATTAAAAACCAACTTTGATGCTTTTTGAACAGAATAAATATTTTAATAATTTATTTTGTGTTAGGATATCCTGGTAATATCCTCAGTGATAAATCAAAATTGTTGTATGTTTTATAGAATAAGGCCTTAAACTGTTCACTAAACTAATAAGCATAAGCTGCAATTACAATCTATGAATCTCTAGCTCATTATTTTGCTCTTCAAATTATGTTTAGAATGTAAATAACAGTTTTGGTATTGTATTTTAAATCAGGGAAAAAGGTTGAAAGAGGCCAGCAAGATCAACCTGTCACTGACGGCCCTGGGTAATGTGATATCAGCGCTTGTTGATGGCAAGGGACAACACATCCCTTACAGAGATTCAAAACTCACTCGACTTCTCAGAGGTTAGAATAAGATTAACATAGTTCTTTATAACTTTAACTTAATTCATACTAGTGAAGGGCTAATTCCAAAATTGATTGATTCAGATACTAAAATGTTGACTTTGGTTCTTTATTTTAGAAGTAAATGGATTTGAAATATTTTTTTTCTCTGGGACAGGAATCTCACAGTGTTATCACGATTGCGGAATACACCTGTGAAGTTCCTCAAAGGAAAATGTTAAATGTTGCTGTAATCTTGGTTAATCATCATGTTGGTATTGGCTAAAGCTATGGTTCCACAGACTGCGGAAACTTCCGCCGTGCGGTAATTTTCCACGCCGGAAAATTACGCAGCGTAAATTTGGAGGGGTGGTTCCACCGACTGCGGAAATAACGTTGCAGAAGTTCAGTTCTGTCCAAACTAGCGACGAGTATAGATAGGAAGAGAAAAGCCCTCTCGGCTTTGATTTGGCATGATGATGGCTCACATTTCCGATATAGACATATTCTTATCTCAAAGATCCTTTCGGGCTCCGCCCTAGTGGCTCTGTAGCTCCCCATGTTAACCTTATGAGTATTTATATTAAAAAATTTAGGTGCAGTGGTATGACATTATGACTATGGTAGATGTGGTATTCTATAGCATACTGTAAATTTAGAGAACCAACTTTCATCAAACTGTGTCCTCGCCCATTGCAAATGCAAAGCTTGAGTATAACTGCAATAAGCATTTTATACTTATATATGCCAACCCCGTACGAAAGACAGGTGCTCTGCCAGTATTAATAAATACATACCACAAATATAATACCATAAAATAATATTAGGTAATATTCAGACTTAATTATTTTTAATTGTGGTTGATTTTATTGTAAACTGATGTTGCATCTAGTTCTTAAAAATCACCTTATTATGTTTTTATGAGGATGGTGATAGTAAACATTAATAAAATAACAATTTGAACTTAAACTGTAGTTTTATTGATACATGAATAAAAAAATACAAGCCCCAAAAAGAATAAGGTTATTGAAATAATGTTAGGAAACTAAATTGATCGGCACAATAATTTATGGCTCTTCTCCGTTGGCGGGATCCGCACTGCCACTGCTCTCAGACCAGTATGATTTGTCCGCCATGTGGAACCGAAAATTCGGGACGCGGAAACTCACGTCAGTGGAACCGCTCACAGGAGAACTCCATTAAACGAGTGTCTTTGTAATTCCGCAGCAGAAAGAATCGCAACGCACGGCGGAGATTCCGCAGTCTGTGGAACCATAGCTTAACATGAAAGTTAAACAACGTTAAAATGAAAATGCTGTTAAAATATCCTATATATTATTATTAATAGCAAGCATGTTTCTTGAACACCTTTTTTCTCAGCTTGTGTGCACCGCAGGGAAAATCTATGTATACTGTTAGAAATATATCTTCCTGTAGATTTGTAGAATCCTTTAATAAATTTAAATAGACTAAAAATAAGCACAAACATGAATTTTTAAGAAATAACACGGTCCTTATGGGTTGCCATGCTGGTGACGAAATAACAACGAAATATAAAAAGAAAATCAAAACAAATGGATGAAAACATCACATGTTTTATTTACAGCGTGGGGTGAAAATAGAGAAGTCTGTACATTAAATATTTTTGGTTAAGTTTTCGACCACTGGACGACCTCCTATGTATCAACAAACCTAAGTCATGTAGGATTAAGAATCAATAATTCTTTAATGTTGATTGATTTCATATGACCGCAGTAAGGTTTTGAGGAATCATTATAACCCATCCATAATTTATAGATAAGTTGATAATGAGGCATAACTTAGATTTGCCCTTTGACTGTTTGCATATGAAAAAGACAGTATACAAACAATGCTATCTATGTTTTACTGGTCTTAAGGATTATAAAATCAAACTATGAAAAATCCTCCTTATGAACAATTAGGAGTGTAATTTGATAAGTTTCCTAATTCAAGTTGTGTTTCAAAAGTTGTAAAATCTTACCAAACCTACCTGCTAGGCCACAACAAAAGGGTTTAGCCTAGTCAACAATACCACCTGTCTTTATTTGCATTCAGTTGACTTCCGCTACCATTCTTCATGTGGTTTTTATAATTTGGTTCTCCTAAGGTATTTACTATCCATATATCGATTTCGGTCATATCTTGGATTGTTTGGTCAACATTTACTTCTTAATTTTTTAATTCTGTTACTCTCGCAGATGTAATATCTTCTACTCTGTCCGTATGTAAGCCTACCATAAGCTAAGACATTTTCTGTTCATTTACATGCAGCCATAACCTTTTCTTCTTTTATTAGAGTTTAAACTAGGCTTTAAGGTATTTTCATGAGTTTTTCATCTGTAAAGGCAAAACAAATATTGTTCCTACTTCTATTCCTGGCCTTGCAGTTTAACTTTCTGCTTTTCTTAAAACTTGTCTTTTCTTCTTAAAAGTTAGAGCTTGTTTTATTTTTAAATTCAGTTATTTGCATGCACCATTTACAATTTCCTATAATTTCTTCTACTTCATCTTTCTGTAAGAGGTTTAGTAAAATCTACCGCTGCAGAAGATTTATTGCACTCTGCGGTTAGGTCGAATATCAAATGCTCAAAAAGCTAGAAAATATGTTTCCAGTTCAAATTTTACGATAGTACAAGTTTTTATCATAATTCCATTATTCATTAACACGTAAGTAAATAACAATTTGTATGAATCTTTTACAAAATTAGATTCATTTGTGTATCAGCTTAGTTACGATTTCCGACGTTTTATAGATTCACTGGGTGGCAACTCTAAAACTCTGATGGTGGCGAACATCGGTCCTGCTAGTTACAACTATGACGAGAGCTTGAACACCTTGCGTTACGCCTCCAGAGCAAGAAACATCAAGAACGAACCTCGAGTCAACGAAGACCCAGTAGACGCTCTCCTCAGGAAATACCAGGAAGAAATTAAGAGACTAAAGGTAAAGAAGCACTAACAGTTTATAAATTGCATTCAACTTAGTGGGGTAAACAAATATTTCTCTAGTGAATAGTAATACTCTACTTGAGAGTATTAAACTACTCCTGTGACCCGTCTAGTACACAATTTAATAATATCATGGAAGATGAATGACTTCCTATGCCATTAGAAAAAAATGGACTAACCGTAATGTAACTTCTTGATCAGCATAATACGTGTTATTAAATTTACGGAAAGTAAATAAAAGAAACGTCTTATAACACTTAAAACATATATTTACGCTTATACTGTTATTCACAAGATGGTAAATATACAAAAAAGATGGTAAGTGGTGATCGATTTCGATTGGACACTCCAATCATCATCAGACCCAATAGGCGAATGACAAGAATCTTGAATGGCGTCCCTACTTATACCCTATTGGCTACCGGAAGCACCGGCCATTACATTTTTACAAGTACAACTGGAATCGAAATTTACTTGTTCATTAATCAACTTATTTCTATTTTTACATTTTTCCTTATAAATATACAGTTCTTCCCAAGCATTTGTGCAATTGTAACGATTGTGATAGCTTCTACATTGGACAGACTGTGAACTTCGTTAACCGTTTCCAAAACCACATATCTGCGTGGTGGAACAACAAACCGGAAAGACCAAATGTCGCACAACACCTGTTAAAAATGGCCACTCAATAGGAAAAATGGAGGATAGTCTAGGTATTTTAAAGAATTGTAAGAAAGGATATGTAATGAATGCTTGGGAAGAACTGTATATTTATAAGGAAAAATGTAAAAATAGAAATAAGTTGATTAATGAACAAGTAAGTTTTGCTTCCAGTTGTACTTATAAAAATGTATTGGCCGGTGCTTCCGGTAGCCAATAGGGTATAAGTAGGGACGCCATTCAGGATTCTTGTCATTCGCCTATTGGGTCTGATGATGATTGGAGTGGCCAATCGAAATCGATCACCACTTACCATCTTTTTTGTATATTTACCGTCTTGTGAATAACAGTATAAGCGTAAATATATGTTTTAAGTGTTATAAGACGTTTCTTTTTTTTACTTTCCGTAACCGTAATGATAATATTGTTAGTGAAATAAAACTAACCAAAGAGAATAGTCAATGTGGACTATTAGAAGACTAGCAACAATGCCCGTTGTGGTTAAATACAACGGTCTCTAGTAAAATAATGGTTGTGAAATCCATACACCACTTTACTCACTTAAGCACATAACATTAGAATCGTATACTTAACATAAGGAACTCACTTTAAACACAAATGCAAATTGTTAACAACAACATTTAATCAAAGACAAATCAAATAACAATATAACAATAAGCTGTTTAATTATTAACACATGTTTTGTATGTTTAAATTATGCATACTGATAAACTAATTATTGCCATCTATACAAATTATTGGTTTTTCTTTTCTGAGTCGGGTTAAAGGTCTTCTACCCGACCGATTTTCATAATTTTGGTCTTAAAATAAAGCTATGCAAGCACGTATTTGTCATCAAGCATCATTATTAATTTATCTAATGTATTACTCAACGAAAAAATATAAATTTGATTTTTTACTTCAATTAAAGAAAATGATGTATTCTAGCAGTTCTTCTTATTACATTACCCTATATGTTTTGGTCTAAAAACCTTTAGTGAAATACCAGCTTTCATTTGAGCTATTGATTATTAAGATTCCGATCTTAATGATCCTACCTAAAACACACTGCCGAATCATGAATCAACAATAATTATAAAAGTTTTAGTACTTATCTGCAATCAATAATACGTAACTCAAATTTTATTTTAAGTTATTTTATATGTCTTGGTCTTAAAATACTTCAAAGGCTTTCACTTGAGATTTTGATAGTTTTAATCAGTTAAGTTAAAGATGTACTGTATTGCTCAATCAGAAAACATAAATTTAATTATATCTTGGATATGGAATTTAGTTTTAGATATATATACCCAATTATAATTACGTTATTCTATTTGTTTTGACCTAAGAACCTTCAGTGAAATACCAGCTTCAATTTGAACGATTGATTATTAAGATCGGACGTACCTAAAGCCCACTGCTAAATCACGAACAATCCAAATTTTTCAAAAAATTGAGTTATTTATCATCGATATATAGTCAAACGGTCTTGAAAGTCAAAGTCATCTTTATTGTCACAAAACGTTTTTTTTTATGCTCTGGCACAGCCAGACAAAACAGGTGACATTGTCAAACTATACTAAAATAAACTAGCTTATATTGGTAAAAATAAATACATAGTAGGTAACAAAACAAACAATTCACATTGATTTATCTTCAAGAAACTGACCAATACTATAATAATTCTTTTCCAATAAAAATTCAAAAATTTTTTCTTTAAAAGATACTAATCCTATTATAGATTTGTAGTACCCAGGCAAATTGTTAAAAAATCTTTTACCCATATAAGAAGGTGTCCTTTCCACAAGATTTAATCTGTGTATAGGATATTGAAAATCTGTATGAAATCTAGTGTTATAGTTGTGCCGATTATTTTCACTGTGGAGTTTTTCAAAATTTGATTTCACATACAATAAACATTTAAGAATATACAAATTAGGGACGGTTAGAATCTTTAGTTCTTTAAAAAGTTGTTTGCAAGAATGTTTTACGGGTTTAAAAGTCATAATTCTAAGTATTCTTTTTTGAAGTTTAAAAAGTTGATACGAATCAGATGTGACGCCCCAAAGCTCTATTCCATACTGTAAAATTAACAAAAATAAAGCGTGATAAATCATTAGTCTAGTGTTTAAATCAACAACATTTCTTAAGACCAACATTTGAAAACATACTGAATTTAACTTTTTAGAGGTGTTATGAATGTGATTCTTCCAATTCAATAAACTATCTACATCAATTCCTAAAAATTTAGCTGTGTTGCTAAGATTTATTTTTTCATTATCAAAATAAACAAAGCCTTCAAGATCGTCCCTACACTGTGCAGTTTGAAATTTTACTATTTGTGTTTTAATGTGGTTCATTTTCAAACCGTTTACTTTAAACCATTTTGACAGATCTTGAAGAGCTTGATTCAAAGCTAAACTTAGTTCATGACTGTCTTTTGATTTAATGATGGCTGTCGTATCGTCAGCATATAACAACAAGCTAGGTTTAACATTCTTAGGTAGATCATTTATGTACATCAAAAACAATAACGGTCCTAATATAGAGCCCTGAGGCACCCCCATAACAATCTTTTCCCATTCAGAAGCATACTTAATGTTTTCTTTAATAATAACTGTTCTTTGAAAGTGATCGTTTAAATATGATTTCAACCACAAAATAACTGATTCTGAGAATCTATAGGAGGATAATTTATCAAGAAGAATTTGATGGTGTACGCTATCAAAGGCTTTGGATAGATCACAGAACACGCCAATAGTGCTCTGTGACCCATCCAAGCTCTGTGTTATTGAATTTACAAAATGAGCCACAGTGGAAGTGGTACTTCGATTTTTCCTAAAACCAAACTGTTCATCAGCTAATAAGTTATTAGATTCCAGAAAATAGGACATTTGATTGAATGCAATTTTTTCAAATATCTTTGAAAAAGAAGGCAGGACAGAAACAGGTCGGTAGTTATCTGAATTACTCTTAGAACCTTTTTTAAATAATGGCTTCACCTCTGCATACTTCAAATGATTAGGGAAAGTGCTATTGGTTAAAGTCTGATTGATGATTATGGACAATGGCTCAGCAACAAACTTAATTACTTTTTTTATTATAGTAGTTGAAATCCCATCCCAACCAGCCGTTTTTTTATCACTTAGTGACTTGACTATTTTGATAACTTGCTGAGGTGTAACTAAACTAAAGTTAAAAATTGGAATATCAGGCCTATGTGTGATTGATTTTTTTACTAGTTCCATTGCCTTACTCTTGGAAAAATTTATCCCTAAATCCTTCCCTACCTCAATAAATTTAGAATTAAAGTGACTTGCAATAACTGTGCCATCTGAGACTAACTTGCTATCAATAACTAAATCAGGAAAAGAATTATTGATTGGCTTGTAACCAAGTTCGGCTTTAACCACAACCCATGCTGCTTTAGTCTTATTACTAGCCTTATTTATATAACTACAATTATACATTTTCTTTGCTAGGTTACAAACAGATTTAAAAACTTTTTTGTACATTTTTACATAGCCAATAAAGTTAACATCAGTAGAACTCTTTGCTAAGTTGCTTAACATTCTTTTCTTTTGACTAGAAATTTGAATACCTTGTGTTACCCATTTTTTATTTACTGTTTTCTTTTTAATTTTAACAGGTTTGAAAGGGAAAGATTCCTCAAAAATTCTTTGAAAAGAACCAAAAAAATTATTACTGTTTAGAAAAAGGTCGTTATTTTTTGTAGTATTCCATTTCATTTTGCTGATAGAGTTTATAAAGTTATTAATATTTCTTTCAGAAAAAATCTTGCTTGCAACCTCAATAGCAACTGTCAGACTTTGACGGGTATCACCTAGTAAATCTTGAAAAAATCAGTTTCATAGTTATTTGCAAATCTGCACGAATTAGGCTTTCCAATGACCTATTAATTAATTAAATTGGTTCAGTAAAACTGTAGATTTAACTGTACAAAGTTTAACAACAACATATTTTATTCAGTATTTTCTCACCACTATAAATTGGGAGGTTGCTTAACGTTTTTGCAAATAACTTTGAAATGGTGAGGAAATCGACCAAAGTGGAAGGTGATATTCCGATTGAGAATAAAATTTCCTACAAATTACTATTATGTATTTCTGGAAAATACTCAGTAAAGGCAGCCTAAAGTTGGCTACAAATATAAACTTGGAAATATAAACTTGGAAAAAGGCGTTTTAAATGTATTATTGTTCATTTTTAATTTTTTTACCTCAAATATGTAATAAAATCAAACTTTCATAATTATTTGCAAATCTACACGAATTAGGCTTTCCAATGACCCATTAAGTAACAAAATCAGTCCGGTAGAAGTCTAGATTTATTTGTACAAAGTTGAACAAAAATATATCTAATTCAGTGTTTTCTCACCAATATAAATTTGGAGTTCACTTAGCTTATTGAAAATAACTTTTAAATGAAGGGGAAATCGACCAAAGTGGATGTTATATTCTGAAAGAAAATAAAATTTACTACAAATAACTACTATGCATTTCTTGAAAATGCTTAATAAAGGCAGCCAAAAGCTGGTTACAAATAGAAACTTGAAAAAAGCAGTTTTTAATGTATTTTTGTTATTTTTACTTATTTACCACAAAGATTTAATAAAATCACACTTTCATAATTATTTGCAAATCTACATGAGTTGGGCTTTCCAATGACCCATTAATTAACAAAATCGGTCTAGTAGAAGTCTAGATTTAGTTGTACAAAGTTTAACAAAAATATCCCTAACTCAGTATTTTCTCATTACTATAAATTCGGAGGTTGCTTAGCTTTTTTGCAAATAACTTTTAAATGGTGAGGAAATCAACGAAAATGGAATGTAATATTCTGAAAGAGAATAAAATTTCCTACAAATTGATACCATACACTTCTTGGAAACACTAAAAAAGGCAGCCAAAAGTCTCACCCAAATAAAAAGTGTGAAAAACACCGATTTCAATGTATTTCTTATGGAAAACATGTTTTTTTAAATTTTTCACTATAAATCATAACAAAAACTAACTTTCATAATTATTTGCAAATCTACACGAATTAATCTTTCCAACATTAATTAATAAAATTGGTCCAGTAGAACTCTAGATTTAGTTGTACAAAGATTTTTAAAACTAAATTATATATAGAATAGATACAAAATATTCATCATAATTTTAATGACCCTATAATCTTATTTACGTTATTTATTTATTTCATACATTTAATATTACTGTCAGGCAAAGTATAATGTAACAATACAGTAGCTTTATAAAAATAGGGAAAATTAGTTTAAATCACTATCTAATAAACAGTTTTTTAAGCACCTTCACAACTGTTGGTACACCACAGTGGCACAGGACAAATACCTAGAAATTGCATGGCTCAACACACTAATAATAGAAATATTCTAGAGTAATGCTGAAAATTGAGTGGTGCAAAAAAGGTGTTGTTGTGAAATTATTGTAAAATATTTTGTACAGCAGTAGTATATAGTATAAACAATATACTAATTTTGTGACACCTGTATACTTCTGTATAACTATTATCTAAAAATGCAATTGTTTAGAAATCCGTGTTATTCTGTTCGCAGACTCAACTCGCTGAGAGAGCAGCACAAAAAGAACAAAGACACAAAAGTGGAAAGAAGAAGAGGTCAAGTGCTAAAATGGACGATTCCATAATATCAAACGCCTCCTCTGACTTATCTGACACAATTAAAGACGAAGACAATATTTTGACTGAAGACAATGAACTGAGGAAGAAATCGGTAATTGGGTTTAGCGTAAAATTTAATCTTATTTTCAAATCAGTTTAATAAACAAGTTTAGTTAAATTATTATTATTATTATTAGAAATTTGTTGATTTTGAGCGTTATGCAGTGACTAATACCCAGTTGTGTACAGTTGGTACAAATAGTACAGACACTTGTGTGCAGGCTTGAGGGGCCAGTGTGGTAGGTTACTCCGCTGTCCCATAGGCAAGTCATTGTTTCAAAGGGTAGTTTGTGGTGACAGAGTCCTGCACACAGCTTATTTGTTCCAACTGTAATCCGAGCGCAATTTGTATCAGAGGTGATATTTAGTTGCACAAATAAATCTATACCATCTCAAACGGTTTTTGATTCTTCTAAAGATCTCTGTTTTTGTTCTTCGATGATGCCTTCATTGTTTTGCCCAGCAGGAAATATTTTCCTTCTACAAAAAAATTATTGTTTTCATATTCGTCAAAAATGTATCCGTAATTATATTTTGTTAACAATTGTGGTCCTGTATTGTTTCTCCTAAAGACACCTGAAGGAATATAAAGCTAAACTAAACTAGACATTACAATCGGCTAATTATTCATATTAAATGTTCTTTTGCCGGATTATTTGATTTGTAGCAAAACACATATAAACTACTCACAGCATGCGAGTGATTTCTCTTGGTGTACTGTTTAAGATCTAGAGAGCATAAATGTTTTCTATTGAAAGATTGTAACGAAGATACTGAATCCAAACTAATAGACTATTTTAGATAATAGACAGAACTATGCCTATTTTCTGTTACAAAGTCTTTGCAAAATACTCACAACACACTCACATCCTATATTCGACAATTTGGTGGTTTACATTTAAGTGTTCTGTTTAGGATGTGGAGAAAGAGCACGTGGAAGAATTGATGAAGCGTATTCAGTCGATGGAGAGCAAGTTGCTCCGAGGTTCCACGAGCATTCTGGACCACACTAACGAGCAGCAGCGAGCTTTGGAGGCTCGGGAGAGAGAGATCCATGAGAGGAAGGTAGTTATTGAATATTATTTGTGTAGCATTGCTATGCTATACAGTTTCAGATTCTTCAAGTATGAGTTGCATAGCATGAGCAACATGATTATATAAGCTGATATTAAATTTGTATACTGGTACAAACTTGTATCTTCAAATTAGAGCTGGAATTTTTATCTATTGTTCAATTGGTGGCCATAATTGACCTATAGGAATTTGCAATTGGATTTGCATAGTTGGATCATTGATTGCTTCCATTTGCATTGTAGGCATCCTGAGCATAAATCAGGACTCAGGAGGCCTAGGTTTTAAGGTCTTTGTAGGGAAAGAGTTCAGGAACCTTCCTTGTTTAAGAATGCTGTCAGTGACAGGGAAATATTCAAGTTTTTGTCTAAAGTTTTTTTCATTTTATAAAATATGTATAGTTAATTACAGGCAATATGCTAATATAAGTAAATTATGTAATAGTGAAGTTTAAAGAGATAAATTTTTTATAAAGAAGTAACTAGAACTAAAGTATCTACTCTGAAAAGGCTATAATTTTAAAGAGAGGTTGATGATGTGATTAAAACCATGAGTTTCAGCTTGTAGGTCTCAAATTTTGTTTAGGTCACTTATCTCAAAATCTTTATTAATTTTGTTTAATATTTACTGGAGCTGTACGATCAATGTGCCATTACTAACATCTGCTGTACAAAAATATACTAGCTTTGTGAACTGTAAATCATAAAATAAAAACACAGTCTGAAACTTGAATATACTGGCTAGTCAATTAATTAATATACCTGTGTGAAAATTTATCATATATTAATAATGTAAGCATTACCTTCATAGTTTAATTCAATACATTTAAGGAACAAAGACATACAGTATTTTGTAACCCATTAAAGAAATTTATCACATAAATAATTAGAAATGTTTACATTTGTTCTTTTATGAAACAAATTTCATTTTATAGCAAAGAGAGCAGGAAATACAGCAGATGCTTGAAATGCAAGAAGAAACTGCTGAAGAAATCAAAGAAGAGTATTCAAATTTACAGCAAGAGGTAGAATTCAAATCAAAGAAACTGAAGAAGCTCTACCATAAACTACAAAACATTCAGCAGGAAATTCATGATGTAACTGAAGAATTCAATACAGACCGAAGAGAGCTTGAAATGACTCAAAATGAACTCCTAAAGTGAGTGAAAGTTTTTTTTTTATACGAGTATAACATGTGAGCTGAGTTCAACATTGAACTTTGACAGTACAGTAGACTCCCTCGGGACCGAGGCCAGTCTGGATAACGGTTTTTCCGGTTAAACCGACATCCCCAAAAACTCGTTGAAACAGACCGTTTAAGTGCATACTGAATACAGTATTTGACTTAAATTTAGGAGAGCATTGTATTTAGACACGTGATAACTGGTCTCAAATCTTTCCCACGAGAACAGACGTTTCAGTACCGCCCACTTCCTGCCGATCTAGTCCGGTTAAACCGATGTGCTGATAAAAATTGTCCGGTTAAAGAAATGTCATTTCCGCCGAGTGTAGTCTGGTTAAAATGTGTCTGGATAAGAAGGGAGTCTACTGTCTCCATATTACATCCCACCATGGGAAGCTAGTTTATGAATCAGTGCAAACAACAATTTTACAAAATGGCATGTAGAAATTTATAATTTAAATTTAATTTATAATTTAAATATTTACATACTTAGTATTTACCTAATAACATTTTTATGAATTTTATAACTTGACATTCATGTTTTGGTGAATTTTCAAAATAGGGAATAAGCTATTGCTGTAGGTACCATGATAAGACCTAGACCCGTGACCGATTTGTTTTGTTTTTATGTTCCCAGAATCCAAAAATACCATCAGTTCAAATTCATGTGTACATATATACATATACCCACACACACCAATGGGTTCATGGGTACATAATATATATAAATGTATATATGTGGACATATATACATTTATATATGTCTGTTAGCACGATAACTTGAGTAAAAATTATCTAACTTTGATGAAATTTTTTACAAACTTTTTTACCTAAATTTGTTCAAATGTCTTTGCGGACATGATCGGATCAAAGGAACGGTGTTTTATGATATAAAAATTGGTTTTCCCATTTTGACGCTCAAAACATAAAATTTCACAATTTCTTTCAAGGTCATTTTTAGAGCTTAAAAAGAAAAATAATTGTGTACATTGCGCTGTTGTACGATATGATATAATGATTAGAGAGAAAACCAATTTGAAAAATTCCTGAATTTAAAATTTGTATAAACTTACAAACTTAGTGTAAATCCAACTAGGCAAACGTAAATTTGCGTAGTCTGCAGGTTTGCTGCAGCGTGGAATTTACTTTTGCTACCCAATATTTCTTATTCACTCAAAATTTAAATACAATGAATCACAGCAAATCTGTGTTCTGTACAAATAGTAAAAGAAGTTCAGGTAGACTTACCTATTCAATTTTCCATTTAAACCTGTTAATGAAAATCTCAAGTAGGCCTATTCCTCCCACTCCAAATCTATTTGTTGAAAGGATTGAAGAACAGAATTAAAATAACTCAAAAACATAATGCCAACAAATATTAACCAATGTTTTGTTACAGGGATTTAAAATTAAGGTTAGTCATCATAGAAAATTTCATTCCCCATGAAGAAAGGAGGCGTATTCTGTCGAGGTTGTTTTACGATGAAGGTTTAGACGCTTGGAAGGTGATGCCTGAGTCAGAACCAGTGCAAGTTCTACCCAAACCGCAATGTGTTGAGAACATGCGTAAACCTGTTTCTCTCTACACTGCCTTCACTCTGAGGAAAGTTAACCAGATGTACCGAGCTGACCGTACCCCAGAAAATATGGAGAAAACTTTCCGTTTCAAGGTAATACTTACATCGGATAAAACTTACTCATTATTGTCAGTATATAACTACAGGTATCATTAGGGGTCCTGTACCCCAAACCCTATGGTAACAGCTAGCGATGTGTCTCCTGTAAATTTTATAGATTCTGTTTCAGTTCGGTCTATGTTTAGTTAGTTTTTATTTCGGTTATTTCTGTTTTAAATTGATAAAATTACCCTCCATTTACATTTTTAGCCTAAGCCACACGAATCATCATTTTCCTTGTGAAAGAGTTATTTTAAGTGACGGCAAATTAGTAATTTATTTATTCCTGAACACTTGAGTTAACTATGTAAAGGGTTTTAAAGCACAATTCACATAAAAAATGTTTGCACATCCCGCACAATTGTGAGGACATGATTATGTCTATGATCACGGCAAAATTATTGCATAACAACTGTTGAAACAAAACCAACAGTTTTAATAAATTGTTGGTAAAACTAACACTCAACTTTAAAAACCAACCCATCCCTAGTGTTAGCTACTTCACAAAATTTTACTTCAAGGATAACTTTTGTCATACTGCCGATAGTTGTACAGTTTGTGGGTTCTAAGGTTTCAATTCCTTTGTCACTCAATCGCTTCTTATTTACAGGGTGAAAACATTTTGGAATTGGAGTTGGTTAGCCCACTGAGAACTACTCGGGATTACGAGAGTCCGAAAATGTCACCAGTTCTCAAGTCGATATTCGAAGCTGCTCTGCAAGTCGAAGAAGACATAGATGTTGATGCAGCCAGCCCTTCTTTGAGGATGAATTCTTCCAGGTAATAAATATTTAAAATGTAAATATATTTTTTTATTGATGGCGGTAAAATGCAATTAATTTCTTAATGGTCAGTTTTGGGAATTTTTAGTACATTGTAGTTGTTTCAAATTGTTTACAAAAATCTGGAACTCAAGATTATTGGCCATTTGTAAAGGTGTCCATCGGTTTGCCATAAAATGTTATGGAATCAGCCATATCGGTACCTTCTTCCATAGGGGTTTACAAAAAGATTGTTTTTGATTTACCTAATTATTAAAGGTAAGTGAGTATTGGTATACTCTTAGTTGCTCTGTACAATGTCTCTTGACTTGGTATACCAGTTTGGTTGGTCCTCTTTTTGGCTGTTATTACCAGAATTGTAGATTCTAGCCATGAAACTTCTTAAAAATCCTAACACTCTCTAGCATATACAGGGTTAGGCAAAAGTCTGGAACCCCCCAGGTAACTTTTAAACGCTTTGCAGTAGGAAAATCAAACTCGGCACATATTTACAACATAAGAAATTGCACTTTTTCATCAAAATTACAACTTTGCCCCAGCCCCTAAAATGGGGTATTTTGGGGGTAGCCCCAAATTTTCAAATGTAAACACCTATCATGTGACCCCTCATTTTAAATGGTTTATCAAGAGGAATTGAATGGCGCAAACCAGAGGTCACTATCGCACCTCTAACCAATATGGCAGCCATTTTAATTTAAGATGAGCAAGCAAGATAAATTCTGGACACCCCCAGTTAACTTTATAACGTGTGGCAGTGGGAAAACCAAACTCGGCACATGTTTACAACATAAAAATGCACTTTTTCATTTAAGTTAGAACTTGTACCCAAAATGGGGTATTTTGGGGGTAGCCCCAAATTTTCAAATGTAAACACCTAGCTAGCATGTGACCCCTCATTTGAAAGGGTTTCTCAAGACAAATTGAATTGCGCAAACTAGAGGTTAATATCACACCCCTAATCAAAATGACAGTCATTTTGAAATATCCCCTATTAACTTTTTAACAGGTTATAGCAGGAAAACTAAACTCAACATACCTTTATAAAAAAAGAGAATTCACCTGTTGGTCAGTATTAAAATATTAATTTTTTAAGTTAACTGGGGGTGTCCAGACTTTATCTTGCTTGCTCATCTTAAATAATAAAAATGGCTGCCATTTTGATTAGGGGTGCGATATTGACCTCTGGTTTAAGCCATTCAATTTCTCTTGAAAAACCCTTTAAAATGAGGGGTCACATGATTGGTGTTTTCATTTGAATATTTGGGGCTGCCCCCAAAATACTCCATTTGGGGGGCTGGGGGCAAAGTTGTAACTTTGATGGAAAAGTGCAATTTCTTATGTTGTAAATATGTGCCGAGTTTGGTTTTCCTACTGCAACACGTTGAAAAGTTAACTGGGGGGTTCCAGACTTTTGCCTAACCCTGTATGTACGATAAAAACACCTGTTAGCAACATAGGCTACTTGTAATGTATTGGGCAATTAAAGAGAATATTGATTGATTGAATCAGTTTCCTACACAACTGAGGGGATAGACTACCCTCTGGACAGATGTTATATGAAGGGTAAGTTTGCTGCAGACGACTCAGCCACCATATGTTTGTTTCAGATCCAAGTCAGCTGTGGGGAGAACAGGAATTGTGCCCCCTCGTACTGTGCCCAAGCAGTTCAAGGGAGCCCTGAATCCAGCACCCGTCTACCCGAAAGCACGGGGTTGGGTTCCTAAATAACAGAACATTCTTTAACGGTTATATTATTAAGTTTTAACTACAAGTTTCTATTGTTTCTAGTCTTAGTCAGAGTTAAGAACAGTCATGTTACTAATACTCATCAGGCAATTGTGATTTTGTTATTTGTATTATGCTCTTTTAGGCTGTACGAGTGTTGAACCAAAGGATAAGTCTGAAAATAGTTTGGCCTGGACAAACCAATTATTCAAACGTATGTTTCCTTAACACGTTGAGTGCGGCATGCGACACCGTAACAGCAAACACAATTGGCATTCAAATATTTTAATCTGACGAATAACAAAAGAGCAGAGGTGATTGTACTACGTTACCCCTAGATTGGACGTAGTTCTCTGAAACACCCTAAGGTAGCAGCACTGCCTGGATCAGTAATCAGTATCTTTGTAATGTGGCTTGAAGAGAGAAAATCCCCAAAACCGGGACAAAAGCATTTCCCACAGGATTTTACGGGAAATTTTAGTACCAACCTTCACCAAAATAAAGCTCACCTTCTAAACTACAGGCTAGCAACGATTATAATATAACGTTCCCCAGCAATGGCTGAGCTCAAACTAAACTAATGTAGTGGAGGTTGCAAATACATCAATTGGTGTAGGCCGATAGGAGCGCTCGTGGCAATTGATGTAGTCAGCACTCAACGTGTTAATTACATTATCATCTAACGGTAACCAAATTCACTTACCTTTAGAAAAAAATTCCTCCAAGAGACGATTTTCGCTCCATTGATCTTATATATGCAATGATTCTTAGTTGCATAAATACATTTTTGTAGTTGCATTCAATAAGCAACATTTCAAATCACCTATAAGCTCAAAAGTAAAACTCAACAATAGTGTGTTGCTTCCCCTACCTCGTACAGTCTCAGAGACAATACTTTTTATTATGTTTTTTTCTTAATTTATATTTTTTTGTTATGATTGTCTAATGAAGCCAAAGGTTTGATTTTAATAAGGAATTACAGGGTCCTCAAAAATTCTGGGGACTGAATTTTATTTTCTAACTATTGCAGATGATGCATTGAAGAGTCAAAGATTGGAGCTATGAACAAAAGTACTTTACCTATACATCTACTTTTTAAACAAATATCAATTTCTTCTATCATACTGGGGACGGTTCACAAGGAGTCGGAAGGAAATCTTTTGGGGATGAACCTTTTGAGGTTGAGTTTGCAAGTTCTTATTTGTAAACCCTTTTTGCATCATCTGCCATGGTCAAAAAATACAATGCAATTCCCGGACTTTTTTAGGACCATGTTTGTTTCTTGTCATGTGTAGACTTTCAGCTGTATACATACCTTCTTCCTCATCATTAAACATATTTATGATTATTCCTAGGTTATACATTCTGGAAGGCACACTTATTTTCACTCACTTAGGACTATTTTCTCCACCTGTCAGTTGCTTCGTTTTTCATATAAACTTATGGTTTCATGCTCTTCTGAACAAGTATGTGTAGTAAATGTTGTAAATACACACCTTTGTTTGTCTCTCAACTAACTAATTTAATTGTTGTATAAAAATGCATTTATATTTTATTAACTATACGTTCACTACTAAAAAAGTTAATCTCTTTTTATGATTCTTTGACTACATTGTTTTGTACGACTGCAAAAGAGGAATAGTTTAGTTACCATTTATAGTTCATGTTACCAGTGAGTTGATATTTATTTTTATTTATTTGTTATATTTTTGTTATGAAGCATTGTTGTGCTACTCCGGTTGAGCTTTTGCAGTATCGTTTGGTAACAGTTTTGTTTATCTTTGCCTCAATTAATATTTATTTATGTTTTGATTCAGTATTTTCAGTTATTTTGTGGTACTATGAACATTTCCATGACATTCCATGTGCTTTGTAATTTTTTTTATTTAGAATTGCAAGAACTGTTAAATTATTAAGTTTGCTAAATCAAAATTGTAAGTTGTAATGTTGTTAGTACCAAATAAAATTTTGTACTTAATATCTCAGTTTTTATTTCATGTTAAATTTTGATGGGTTTTATTCTAATTCTTGGACCAGATAGTCAACTGTCGGCTCAAAGAAACTTACTTCTTGTGTAAGCTATTGTTTTTTAATTGCCATGCTTGAAGGTTAGGTACTACAGTTGATTGTGGGTTGCTGTGGTCCACTCCCCAAGTACAGAGACACACACAATCGTTCTGGAGGCGTTTGACATGTGTGCAGGCTAAAAATGATTTTTCAAATCCTTGGGGAAGCGGGCAGTTTTGGGGTTTTGCAAAAACGTCCGACTGTATGGGCGCTTGTATCAGTGCCTGACGAATGTCTCTAAAAGATTTTATTTTAATAAGGTTTAATAAATATACCAACTTAAGGATTGAACAGTATTTTTTTTATTTTTGAGTTGTTTTTTTACATAAGTTGAAGTAGTTTCTTATTAACTTTAAACCAAGCTCTAAATGTCATTATGACTTGTACATCATCATTGTTTTGTTGGACACTGATCACTAAAAATAAAAATTTAAGCAAATTGAACACAACTTACTGAGCCAAATTAATCTGACAAACTAAGATTGCTCATACTTCAATAGTGCAATAGACAAGACTATTTTGAGGGCCTATAACAGTTCGATGTGTTTTAACAAGTTGGAAACTTTTGGCCTGTTAGCATTAAACTAACTTTCTTAATAACAAGTGTTTGAACTCATGTCAAATTCTGTTTGAAAGATGGCTGTCCTAATGTACTGTATAATGGAAAAAGCTGTTGGACAATTAAATTAATTGGGACATGAATGTATGAATAAGATATTTATTATTTAGATTAATCATAGTATTCTAGTAGTATTGAAGTTTTTTTAACTTGGCCTATATTCATAGAAGGTAAATACTAGGCATCAAGAACCAAATTTGATTATTCACTTTTAGGGAAATAAATAGTTTATTGGTTATTTTCAAATATTTTAGAACCATAATTGCTGAAAATTGAGGGTACAGTTATAGCAATTTCAAACAAATTAATTATTTTGTTTCGATCACACTTAAATTGCAGAATAGTGCTCTATCGCCATAATTTACTTGAGTTATCACAATATTACCTCTTCTAAAAAAAAATTTCTTTTTTTGAACATGTTTGTAAACTGAATATTTACATTAATAGGACATAAAACAACTGGTTTGATTTTAAGCTCACTTTGCAACAGATTGAATAAGGTAAAACAATAGTCTATATTTTACTTTTTTCAACCAACCAGTGACGGCATAAATGTACAATTATTTCTAAACATGATCCAGAAATGTAAGTTTTTGATCTCAACAATTGGCCAAATCACCAAGCACATGATACAGCAGCAGGAAATAGTATCAACATAAAGGTAACCAAGCAGACATTCCTTAAGAAAGAAGTTGCTCAAATAGTTGTACTATGATCATGTTTTGTCTAGTGGCAGTAGGCCAACAAGAAATATTGGATTTGATTTTGCATTTGCTTCCTAACCATTGCATGTTTTCTCGTTTATATTTCAAACGCTTTTTTAATCAATCTCCAGCAAGACTTTTAATGTGAGTTATAGTTTATTAGAGTGCTCCTAGAATGTAGCTTGAAACAGCTACCTGAAATTTTGGTTTGGACTATCAATCATTGTAAAAATAATATTTGTAGTTTTCCAGGGTACAAAATAGTATATCACGTACAAGATTAAAATATTGACTTAAATTGTTGTGTTGTTGGTCCAGAAAGTTATTGTTTACTTTTTTATGGTGGGGTTGTGACAAGTATTTGAGAACTTCTAGGATTTATTTTGCAATATTTAAACAGGAAACACACAAAACTCTAGAGGATGGTTTTCAGTTTTAGATGTTCCTTTTCAATAAAACTTGTATTCTTTAAGCAGATATAAAACAAAGCTTAAATATCAATGTGTCTGCTTCTTTTTTACCAAAAATAATTTTTAGGTATATGATCTCTCCCCTCAAGACAGTTAACTGATAACTTTCCTACGCCGTTTTGAAAATAGTTGTCATTTATAATATTATTAAGGGTTTGAGGCAATAGATTCAGGCAGTGCTTAATCTATTTTACAGTGAAGTCTATGTGAGCTCGGGTACCTTAAAGGCATATACATGGCTTCATTGAGAAATGAAAAACTATGTTTTTGTGTTGATACATTAGATTACAGGACCACGATAATTAAAACAAAATTGGTACAGTAAGTAATTATAACTCTATAACTAGTATTTATTTTCAATGACTAATAAGTTTCAGGTAGTTACATGGTTTGTTGCCTTCCCTACTATTTTACTTGTTGAAAAAAAAACATAACTTTTTACCTCATCCATCACACAGCATTTGTGTTTTCTCTTAATCAGAATAAGAAAGTTTATTTACACACTGTTTAGCAATTAAACTTAAGAAATTCTTAAATAACAGCTAAAAAAATAATTGAATCTTTCACTAAAATCTGAACGATTTTATTGCTTGTTGTTGTTCTCACTCAATCATTATAAATGATGAAATAGGAACAGTTTATTTTTAAATTTACTTTAGTAACATTTTCAATTAGAAAATCAACCAACACAGCAGTAACATTTGAAAAAGTAACATGGTAACAAAAAAATCAATACCCTGTTTATTTACAATAACAATAATAAGTCATTCCCCGAGGATTTCAGAACAGGCAACTCAAGTTGGGTAGGACTCACAACTCCTGGAGATGGGCAGAAGTATGTGTGGAGGGGGGAGAGGTTTGGTGGGCCAGGAGATCTGCGTTTTTGATAACTCGGTAGTAAAAATTTACAGCCTGGTGATAGTGGCGGACTGAGATTCTTTCGTTGTTGCCGTGATAACGAGTCAAGTCGTCAGGAGTGATGACTGTAGGGATGAACCGGTAGAGACTAGAGGTGAAGTTGAGATACCACCTTGTATCTGTGTTGGCTATGAAGACCCCTGTAATATAAAGCATTCTACTTGATCAGAAGAACCAACATAAACTGCACCGGTAACATTAGGAAGATACTTAATGTCAATTTTTTACTCAGGCCCGCGGTCTCCAACTCCATTGATGATGTACCAGTGATTTTACTTTAGTTTAAATAGGGCCGCTTTAATAAATGGGCCTGGTGGGGGTGGGCCCAGGAGTGCAAGAGGTTTTAGGTTTTTTTTGGGGGCTCAAGGAAAAAAAAGCCCCTACAAGGTAGGTGGAGAGGGGCGCAATTATCTTACGGGCTCCTAGCACATCATATGCAAACCGCGGGCCTGAGTTAAAATCACCATATTGTTGAAAATTATTACTTTCAGCTGGGTTAACTTTGTACCAAGATTTTAAATTGTTTGATAACCATAGAGAATATATAAAAAAACAAATTCATCTGTTATTCATACTCACTAAACCTAATGTAATTTAGAGAATTAATTTAATATTCTTGTGAAAATCGAATAAAATAAATGGAAATTTGCTTAGTCTGAAGGTTTGCTGTGGCGGGGGTTATTTTTATTGTTTGCTTGGTAAGTTGCTGTAATGTACTAATTTTTCCCACATAATGTTTGGTTTTAAAAAGTATCCATTCAGTTTATATTATTAAAGGGCAGACCTCGTGGGAATAATCATCTCAAAGATATGTCAAACAGAACTATGGATCATGAAACAATGTTACATAAGTACAAACAGTTACTATAGTTGCAAATGACTAGGATGTTATTAGATTTAAATTGGTAAAATAATTTTAAAATACAACTAATATGTACAGCGGACAGGAATGAACAATGACTGCCGTTCACGAACCACTATCAGAAACAATCTTACTCTAACAAATAATATATAAAAATTACTTACATACATCCGGACAATACAAATACACAAAATACACAGTTTTGGGCAGACGTCCGATTACGCGAAAATGTAAAGATTGGAAAATCGCTGTGATCGATTGTGAAATTTCAAAACAGCGGTTTGCACTAGCAGGAACTTGCAATTTTTTTTCAATGACTGATTTTTTATTTCAAAGGGTAACTAAGCTGAAGCGGGTAATGAAGATCAAAATTTGAACCTGGCTAGTACCGTGACTTTTTCAATTAATTTACACGAGACCTGACATAGGCTTACCCAAGCGAAGTACACTATGATACACGCACAACAAGATTGGGGACGAAGCCTAGGTTTGAGGTTCCAGCTCGACTCACCTGACCAATCACAGGCCAGTAAGTTCTACTACTGCAATTGGTTGGCAACTGATCAGCTGATTTGTTTTGCGCAGGGTTTGAATTCGAAGTGTGTTTCTTAGAATTCGGTACAACATACTTAGTACTTTGTTCGTTCAGAGGTGTCCTAACGTGAGTGGGTAATCGTGTAGTTGGAATGTTTGTCAAAGCCAATGGCTTAAGCACTTTCTGTTATATCTTATTGATGGCAAAAAATAAATACTCAATACCGAGTATATATTTATTCAATTTACAAATGTATTTTAAAAGGGAGGGAGTATTAATTGTTCTAGACTCGAGATAATACCTGGAACAACCACAGCATCTGGGAAGACCTGCTTGATAGTGAACGACATAAGCTGGAACTGAGGACTGGAAGGACCGAACGTGGAGACAGGGTGGGCTTCTCGTGCTACCTTGACGCGAATTCTCACCCTCGGATCTGAGATTATCTCTCTGTCGTGTTGGACAACTTGGCTGACGGTTTGTGCCGGGTGTATTCGGTGGTTCACTGTTGCTGTTGCCAATGGAGGTATGACGTTGTCCTACAAATTTAACACGGAAAAATATATCTCCTACTCTACTCAATGCACTGCTAAATGGAGTTATAGATATTTTAAACAAACTCTCTTAACATTTCTAAGTATCTGACACTGTCTTTCATTGGAGGTTATAATGACATTGGAAATGGTGATGAAATTCTACAGTAAATATTGAGGTATCATTGGCACGACTACTCATACATATTATATGATTGCAGAGGATTGCTCTTTATAGACATGATTAACTGGTTTCAACAACCATAGCATTTTCAAATATAGAACATGAAAAAAGATTATCAGAATAAGAATGTTAAGTTTCCCCCCATCAACATTTTACCAAGGCAAATGTAGTATACAGCAATCCTTCTTTAATCTAAATGGTCAAGCATTCATTGAACTAATTCAAACCAGCTAAATAACAACTGAACTAATGAGATCAATGATGCGTTAGTATTTTTCTGGTGATTTTCACACCACCCTCGTAATATGACGGCCAGAGCACAGTTACTTTTGCTCAGCAGTTTGGAAATCCCCAATAAAATTATCACTATTTTAGACCTACCAGAAGAGCAACCCTAAGGTTGCCTAAAACCTTAAAACAAAAAACAACTTTAATGCCATACCTACTTTGGATGGTTATGGCACTGCATTTAAAGCTCTGCCCAAAAGCTTAGGATTTAAAAAATTGGTGTGCTGATATTCTCCTATGGGTTGTGTACGGTTCGAGTAACAACCATGTTGCTCGTAAAGATGATTCTACCTTTATCCCGCTGTTGAACTTAGTGATTGCAGTTGTTGTTCGCACAAAAGGACGCATTGCTCGACTTTGATCCATCTCATAAGCGATGAGCCATGAGAACAGCCATAGATTGCTGTACAACAGGCGATACCAAAAAGGAACCTGAAATTCATTATGAACTTTGTTTTAACATACACTGAAAATTGATAAACTAAATGTGAAGTGGATTAAAATTGATATGCAACAATAGTACATCTGCAATACATCTCAGAAAATTGATCAGAACTGTTCAAGAAATGCACATTTCATATTGACTCGTAGCAACGCATGCCACATATATAATGTTTTTTGAACCCAGTGACAAGACCTGTATTATACAGTAATTATTTACCTATTTTGCCTGAAGGTCTGTTAGTGACTGAAAATATATTGTAAATATGTACATAATAACAGTAGTGTTTAAGAAGATACTCTATGAAGATGCCGCACTGAGCGGCGAAATGCGCATCGAGTGTTAATCGAGTGTTAACTACAAGACCTTCAGGCAAAATAGGTAAATAATTACATATATCATGTGGCATTGTACACTGTTCCTCCATTGGGTGTGCTTCAAGTCTTCCTAGAAGCATCAATAAATTACAAAACATAAAAATTGGTGATTTTTAACTCCCTTCCGCTGATGGTACTCAACGCTAAGACCAATTACCTGCCAAACAACTCTAAGGCAACCCCAACAAACTTTAGTCCTAAGCTTTTAATCTCAGTGGTATAGTCAAAACCTTGTAAATGCCTTCTTTTAAAAGTTATTTCTGACAACGTACAATACTTTGACAATGTACAAAATTGCTGAGATGACTAATTTAATAAACATTATTCTTCATTTTTATCAAATTTTCCTCTTTATCAAACATCAATGCATCATTTGTCTTTTCTACTGCTCATTTTTTCTACTATTCCTGGTATGTTCAGTGCTATCACTTGGAAACAGGGCTGGTGGAATTTTTATGGTTGGAATTGAGCCTTGGTTTACAATTGAGTTGATCCAAAGTATAAAATAAGTTTTATTTGTTTAAAATAATCAAGTAAAACCATCCGGTTGACAAATAAATAGTATTAAATGAAAAGTTGCAGGTAAAGTTAAAATGTTGGCAAAAAAACTGAAACTAACTAAAACAATGAAAGTTTAAAAGTGTACTATATTGTAAAAAAGTATAAAATAGGCATTTTGTGGGGCAGGAACTGAGCATATTTGAACACAAAAAATCCCCTTAAATCCCCCTTTTTTAGAAAGACATTTTTTTTAAACGGCTATAGCTAGCAAAGATTTGAAATAATTTTCATGGTCAGGAATTAAATTTTCTAAAAGTCACTAAGTAGCGTTTTTTCGAAAATCGCACTCCTTCACCTTCAAAAAACGCCCTACTTCTAAAATTTGTAAAATGTCTTGGATTTTTTACGTGTTTTTATTTTTTTTATTACTTTTCGGACATATTTGTGTACTTTTAATGATCCCATCATTGAAAGAAAGAAGTGACATTTTAAAATTGTAACCCACTAAAAAACATTTTAAATGGCAGATTTTCAATTAAAATGTTGTTAATAGTTGTTTTTTAACGCTTGTTGGGCCAAACCGTTATCAGGGTGGTCTGATTCACCCTGTACGATTAAATGTCCACAATAATCAATCAACTCAGTAACTCACCACCTACATGACCAACTAAACTGCTTAGTTAGTTCACTTACATAGGGAGCCAGATACTGGAAGGTAGCATACTCAGGACCTTTGCCAAACATGATGGGTTGCTGATGGTCCTCAAGTTTGGCAACGGCAGAGGCTAAGATGCCGATGGGACTCTCGGAGGGTGGCAAGCTGGAGTGGCCCGGAGACCCAGTCACACTCAGTTCTAAGGTTAAAGATCCTTTCTCTGTAACCCCAATCCTGTGAGAAAATTGTCTTGCTAACTTTTGTAATCAAGTAAAAACCAATTATATCCTAAGGGGAAGCTGGAGCAGGGACTGATTCACCAAGTCCAATCTTATCGGTTTAGGATGTGGTAAGATGAGGTGAATTATTACTTCATCCAGTTTCTGACCGGTCACAGCTTTTTCCGGACGTAGGCCTAACTATTCAGGATGGGCAAGGCCGTATCACCCGATTGCATCTATTCTGCCCGGGCACTCTTGACAATGCAGAACACTTTCTTCCAATGTCAACACTTTAATACATCAACAATTCATAGTCATTATTTTAAAGTTTAGGTTGGATGGTTTTATTTATTTCAATACAAAATCAAATCAGAATCAAAACTATTAGGACTATCAAATCTATTTGGATTGTCATTTTTTTGGAGATTAGATAAAGCATACCAATACCATACCAATATAATAACATACCATTACCAATATAATTTACGATTTATAAGCCAATCATCAAACTCATGTAAGAGAAGCGACTCTCGGCTTTTAAAAGAATAATGTAAGTTCACACTAACACTGTCACCCTATTGCATAATCTTAACAGTTGAGCCAGGTACTCTTGTCAAGGAGAAACTAAAAAATCAAAGCAAGAGTCAACAGATACAGAGGCTTCTTAGTTAACGAACACAACATTAAATCTAATAAGAGAGCAATAATTTGAATACATAGTCTGTTTGTTTTGTTTTAAGCGCAATTAAAGTTTGTTGTCATGCTTTAATACAATTTAAATTACTTATAATAACTTAACAACAGTCGATTTTAAGAAGTTGACATCTAGCGGTGAATAGGCGAACTGTTGGGAACGTGGATTTTGGTGATTGCATCTATACTGCCCGGGCACTCTTGACAATGCAGAACACTTTCTTCCAACGTCAACACTTTAATACATCAACAATTCATAGTCATTATTTTAAAGTTTAGGTTGGATGGTTTTATTTATTTCAATACAAAATCAAATCAGAATCATAACTATTAGGACTATCAAATCTATTTGGATTGTCATTTTTTGATTTTTTTGGAGATTAGATCAAGCATTATAAAAATAATTCTTAAAATGAGCTAGCTATGTGGAACATTTTGTTTGCCACATTACATATTTCATGGGAAATCTCTATGCACGATTTGAAATCATCACAATAAAATGTACAGATGTCCAACAATCTACTAAACGCTGTTGTTTTTGACAGGTTAAGTGTAAGAAAGGGCCATATGGCCCTAATGTTTGCCTGTATAAATAAATAATATTTCATTTCATTTCATTTATTTCATTTTAACACAACATCTTTTTATAATTGTATAAATCTTAGCAAAGGTTTGCTGTTAATAATGACCAAGAGAGGCCAAAGTGAAAGATCTAGGATCAATTTAACTGGTAAACAAATAGAACTTCACTGTATCATAATCAAAGTGATAATGGTATCGAGTAAGCATACAGTTGAATGAAAATCCATTAAAACTAAAATACTTTACAAAAAGCCAACGTCGAAGAAATGTGGTAGGGACGCTTTTCACGGATATTGAAGACAAGCACTTTCACAACCATCAATGAATATTATTTGACATATTTCCCAGTGGCAAGAACTAGAATATTTAATTATTTCTTGCAGAAAGATTTTAAAATCCTCCAATATATTTCTCTACAATCATCAGGGAGACGAGAAGAACTATTTCCACATTTTACATACAGTTTATACACACATCACAAGACCGTACGTTTATGTTGCCACGACTTCACGAACCCGAGCGCGACCGTGCGACGTACACCTGTAGGGGATCACACTAGCACCGTCTTTGTTCACTGACCTACTGCCGAGAAGGGTTGATTTTGCAGGTTGAGAGTCTATGCTTTGTTGGGTTAGGGAACTTTCACTATTGCTGGGTTGCCAAATCGTTTGTGGATTTACATTGTTGCCAATTGGTGTTGTATTTTCTACGTCATAAATGGTTTCAAAAATGACTGAACTGTTGTATTCTTCTTTTTTGTTAAGTAGGTTGTCTGGTCCATTTTTGTTGACGTGTTTGTAAATTTGGCAGCTCTCTTGTACTTTAGCTATTGTTTTTGAATGAGTTTGGTTTAGTACTGTTAATGAGTCAGGGAATGTTATTTTGAGGGTAGGGTTTTGTTTAAGATGCTTGGCTACTATTGAGGTTGGATTATTATGATGGGCGGTGTTGTGCTCTTTGAAACGCTTATCAAACGATCTATTGGTGTATCCTATGTATTGTTTATCACAGGGAGAGCATGGCAGTAGGTCAGTAAACAAAGACAGTACTAGTGTGATCCCCTATAGGTGCGTTCGCGAAGTCGCCGCTACGTAAACGTACGGTCTTGTGATGTATGTATAAACTGTATATAAAATGTGTAAATAGTTCTTCTCGGCTCTCTGATGATGCCTCACACTGTGGCGAAATATATTGGAGGATTTTAACATCTTTCTGCAAGAACAAAGGCTAAGGTAACAACAGTTCAATAATTAAACATCAATGAATGCTGGCACTATTTACCTGAAAGTATAGCAGTTTACAGATAAGGCAGGGATATGAATGGTTCATTAATCATTAACAGTACGCCAACAGCTCTGTTTGAATCCTGCTAAGAAAAACTGTTCAGTAGCCGTTCAACCTAGACTTAAAAACTCCTAGACATAGCAGGATTCCTCAGGTCTTATGGCAGCAAATGTCCTACTTTGGTTTTTAAGAGTGTGTTCGTGTGTCATTGTATTTGTAACTCTGACGAATTATGGATAAAAAAGGTAAGTGAAACCCACAAAATTCACCCATAAACCTTCAGGATGTCATTAAAAACATATGAAATCATGATCATAATACCAATCAATATGAATATGTATTCTTTCTTTAGCAATATTCAAATATTTACTCACATTGCAATTTTTCTATCAGGTGTTAGAGCTGGATATTCTATTAGAGGAAAACCTTCATCAAGAACAAAATCAAGCTTTTGTATTCCTCTGTTGACCAAAACCTTTGCCAATTCTTGAGCCCCGCGACGTCCTGAAATCTACAAACAGGAGCAGTTGTTAGCTAATGAGACCATGACAATTACGTCTTATGACAACACTTTAATTGCTAAACCAACATCAATTTGAATATATTTTGAAACAGTCTAGTTTGACCAGGGGTGGGATTTTTTACATTAAAAATTACTTTTTAACACACATTTTTTGAAATTACAAATCTTTCTAGTGTTACTAGCTGTAGCCTACGATATTAAATGTACTAAACACAGTGCATCGTCTTTCATGTTATTTTTATCGTTTGTGAATCTAATAGTAAATTCCTTTTTACTGATTTTAAACTTGTTAGAATAAAAATAAACAATAAAGCAACTGGTAATTTTCAGTGCATCGTGATTATTTTTCAAACACCTTTTTTATTCAAAATCGTTTTTGAAATGTCATATTCCAATTTTTAACCACCAATACATTTCATCACCTTTTTGATACCAATACCAGCAATCCCAAAGCCCATGGAGTCTGGCAGAAGATTAGTAGTAATAGCAATTATTAAGATGAGAAGTTATTAAATATAATCATCAAACTTATTGAAACAGCACAGAGATTATATGATTAATTATTTACAATCACTTTTAACTTTCACTAAAACTGTATAAGACTTGTCCATGAATTAAGGTCTCCACCGAGTTCCCGTTGCAGCCAAGTGCCTTAGACCATGGAAATCTATTCACAGAACGTGATCCATACTTAAGCCCCATTTACACGACCCGACTTAGGGACCCTAAATCGGGCCCGATCGACGTTGGCCCTGAAATCTGATCGTGTAAAAGTGTGCTCCTGGTCACTATTTGGCCGGCGACCGGGTAGGGAGGTCGGGAGGGATATTCAACGAATTTAGGTAGGAAGGGTGGGGATAGCGCAGTTCCTCTGGAAACGGATGCAAATTCCAAAGCTCTACACCAGGCAAATCTCTCAGTCCAACCTCGATATGAGTGTCTGAGTTGCCTTTAATTTTTTTTTTGTCTTTTTGAAATGACGGAAACTACTCCACAGAAGGAAAAAAGACATTTTGACGGAAGTGATAGAAGTGAGTGGAAGTCATTATTCTTATGTGCGGTTCTTTTAACTTTGTAGTTTGCAGAATATCATATGTACAAATCTTACAAACTGTTGTGGGACACTTCTCAAGCTTTATATTTACACTTGAAAAAACTTCAAAAAACAACTTTTTTAAATCTAATAATGACGTTCTCCAACGAAGGAAAGCAAATCACTGAGCTCAGATCGGACGCAGAGAACAGGCCCTGTAAATACAACGCTCTGTCGACAACGTCAGGGCAGTCAGGACCAGGAACAAGAACGGGCGGTCAGGAACAGGCCGTGTAAACGGGGCTTTAGCGGGAGCAACGATTTTCCTTCTCATAAATTTGTTCTACTATGATGAGACTATCCCTCATTTAAGGATGAAAGCCGGCTGGAATTGTCGAGAATGAAGTAAAAAATATAGTATTGTTCTCAAATTTGAACTACATAGATTGCTTGGCTGTGGCGGGTGATCGGTGAAGACCTTAACGGACAGTTCTTGTATGCCAATTGACCTTTTCCAGTCAATTACATAAACCAAATACATACCTCCTCATCATGCCCAAATGCTATAAAGAAACTTCTTACAGGCCGCTCTCCTTTCTCTAATAAATTCTCCAATGCTTCAAGTATACCCTGTAAATACAAAAAAAAACTCATATTTAGTAAGCACCCAAACCATGACACTGATATATTATTTTCATTAAATCATACCATTTAAATTAGTACAGCAGCCTTATGGTTAGCAACGAATGTGGTTTGTTAGATTAAATAAAAGTACAAGTCAAATTAAAACTTTTTACAATTTTGCTATATATAGAGTAGCCTAAATTGTTTTGTTAAGTTAGTTTTTAAATTATCTCAAAGTGTATATGAACACAAAAACCAACCTTTGAGAACATAAAAAATGTGATTATGTTTTTTATTTATTAATCATATTACTGTACTGCTTTTGATTGCTACAGCAAAAAGGCAGGAGGTTTTTTAAAGAAATTTTGAATGAAAAAAGTCTACTGAGATGGTCTATGTTTTTCACCCATTAAAATTTAATGTTTTGAATCACAGCTTTCACAAAATTTCTAAAATGTATTTAAGTTGACTTTATTTAAATAGTTTTTATTTCAGCCAATATACAATTCATTTAGTTTTATAGATTGTTATATTTATGGTATGTGGGAAGATATTTCAACTAGATTAAAACTTTAATTGTTGTTTTAGTATATTACTCCTTAAGATATCCTTAACATAATATATCCGTGTTTGTGTGTGTTAAATGATGTATCTTTGTGTATTGACGATGAAAATGTGTTCAAATAATTTTAGATAAGATGACGAGGGTTGAAAATGAAACAGTTTTTTTGACATTAGTCATCCCAAGATTAAATCAGGATTGACGATGTAAGATAGGCCTACGTAAACCTATTTATATTTTCATAAATCAATCCTGAAGGCAATGCTGAATAAATTAAGTATTTAAATTCTGAATGACAAGATAGCTCAATCGGCATGATGGTCAAAGTGACTATGTACAAAACTACAGCTTAAGCTGGGTTTTCCTAGGCGCGGAAGCGGAGAGCGGAGAGAGGAACGCGGAGAGCGGAAAAGAGATTAACATGGTGTTCCGCTCCGCTTCTAGGAAAACAGTAACATTAAATTACCTAAGAAAAGTGGAGTCCGCTCTTCGCGTTCCTCTCTCCGCTCTCCGCTTCCGCGCCTAGGAAAACCCGGCTTTAGACAAAATTCCTCCAAATGTGTTAAGTTGACGATTCATACAAATGCTGAGCAGTGATAAGTAAGTTAAAGTGTACAAAAATTATTGTGAGTGTGAAAAACAGCTTGAAGATTGATGAAGAATCTAATACTTCATAACAATATATAGGTGCATAATATCTAGTGATTCAACCTCCTGGTTTTATCTGCTAAATATGGATGTGTCTTAAAACATATTGAAGACATTGTATAACGTAATGATTAATATATTTGAAATATTGGAATTAGGAATAAAATAACAGACAAATGTTTTTAGTAAAATGGTATATCTTACCATATACTTAGAAACTCTCAACACAAATCCTGTTCAGATTACAAGTGATGCTAGAAGGGAAGGGGTTGGTTACGATTGTTTATTATAACATGATGGTATGGTATCTGGTACCATCTTTTAAGCCTGAAGTATCATTCACCCAATAGTTTAGATTTAAATAAATCACCAAGACCTGTTGGATTGGGATTAATTTACCGAAGTAATTTTGTGAATATTAAAATATATAGTTTAGCTGTAAATAATACACTATTAATACAAAAAAAAAATAAAAAAAAATATTTAAATCTTCAACAAAAAAAAAGGATTTTTATTCCAAAACTTGTTAGCAAACAAACCATGTCAAATAGTAAATTTGTACCATACACAGTTATGATGGATGTGATAAGTACTTACAAATTTTAACATACCACAGAACGGAACATAGCTCACCATTACTCCTGATTTATCATCGATGGCACCTCTACCGTAGATATAAGTTTTGTTGATTATATTTCCGCTGAAGGGTGGAACTTCCCAAGTTTTGGGGTCAGCAGGGACTACGTCGAGGTGGGAGGCGAGTAAATACGGTAACAATCCCGCTCTGGAGTTTGAGCCTTGAATTGTGTATAAAAGACTGTAGTCATTTACAACGTCTTTTTTTATAAATTTTGAGGAATGGACCAGTGGAAAACCTACAATAGCGCAATTTAAAATTAATGAAAATATATCTTGAAGTGTTTCACCATACTTGGTGACCCACACAAGATAGTCATATAAATAGTACATTTACCTAAAGAAAATTTATTCATATCAAGAGTACAAGTTCCTCAAGGATCGACAAACGACCTACTGCAACTGACAAACTAGCCGGCTTATCGCAATAAAATTAGAAATAATACAGTTGAGAATTCAACTGCATCGACCATTTTGAGAGGAAGAGCGTTCAGTGATTTTAAATATTAACTTATGGAAACCTTATAATCTTTATGTTTAAGAATACTTTTAACACCTACTTTTCTCAATAAACTGGTGGAGTTTTAAGATGGCTTGCTTTTCTTGAACATCTGGTTCATATGAAACTGTAGGAATTCTCAATGCACCAGCCAGTCTTTCAGCTCTTTCCAAGATTTTGGACTCGTCGATGAATTGGTCAGTGCCTGTCAGTTGAATTATTGGCGTAGCATCATCAGGAATGGCGACGAAAGAACGAAACACAATGATGACTGACAGACAGATGCTTACGGCAATGGGGACTGTTATAATTGTGACATAGAGCTTATGGCACCAGCGATGTCGCCATGGGCTTTTTCGCTTGGTACCCAGACCCATGTTCCTCCTGGCTCTTCTTTCTGGTACTGAAAATTGTGTTTTAATCAATAAACATGTAACTCCAAACACCCTTTACAATAGTTATGTTATTTTTCATCACAATAATAGGCTCTTATACTAACAAATAAGTCACCAGAATGTTGGATTAGGGCATAGAAGAAAGATCTAACCCAGAACTTGTACTGATATTTGAGTTGTTTTGTCTCTGGATCACTGAACAAACTATAAAAAAAGGTATAAAATTACATTTCGCTTTGAAAAGGTCGTCAATAGTTATAAAACATGGACACATATTATGTTACTGTGTTAAATGTTCTTGTACGATATCTGATGGAGGACTTAACTCCTCGAAACGTGTAATCCGTAAGAACTTCACAGGATCACTCTGGCAGTACTCAGGTAATTTTATACCTTTTATAACTTGTACTGAGTATAAGTTGTGTTATTTGAATCTGCTAGTGTCTAGACATATTCTAGGAATGCTCTACTCGATGGCTGGTGGTCTATAGCCGAGACATAGGAGTGGTAGGAGAGAGAACCGATGTATACTTTAAAATAACCACAGTCACTGCAGTACCCCTAGCGGGTGTAGACACTAGCAGATTCAACATGTTTTTTGTGACTCAGTGGGTTCCTCTGTAATTAGTGCCATAAGAAATTATTTACAGAATATACCTTTCTAAGGGGGTTTTCACTCATAAAGTAACCCATGTAAAAAACAGATAAAAGTGTAAAAAAATCAAATAATTTTACTCCTTGATATTAATAGGCTATGGATCCTGTAGATATATTTCATTGTATACATTGGAAAATATACAAAAAAGACTATAATGGCAGAGCTCAATTTTAGAGCTGCAACCAATTTAAATACGTCAATGTATGTATCGCCTCTGTGTTAGTTACACTTCAAAAGGCCCAAATCCTTGTTTGTAATTAATTATATTTTTGAGCCGCCTCTACACCGGAGTTTGAAACAGGAGTTACAAACAGAAATTGCAAACATCTCCAAAAACGCTTATTTTTAGACAAAACATTTCGCTGTTGCAAACAGTTTTTCAGTGTTTGCAACAGACATTTTTGTTTCCAGCACCTGAAGTCGGTAAAGATCAAAGGGAGTTGCAACATTTTGTTCGCAACACTGGTTTCAGTCACTGTGCCATTGGAAAACGAAAGAGAAACATTTCCCCGGCATCCCCTGCGCTGCCACCTCCACTCTCACTCACGAGATCACTCGCATCTCGACTCAAGTGTCATTACCTCTTGTCTAGACTACTACTAGTTACCTCGTGCGTGTTGCGAGTGATCAGTGGTGAGTGACAATGGAAAATTTACTGAGTGAGATGGAGTGGAGAGATGACAAGGTTCTAAAGTTAATAATTTAGCTTGCACAGAGAGCAGAAAGTCCTGTGGAACCAAACTATTTCTGATAAAAAAAATAAAAACATGAAAAATTACGCATGGAATGACATTTCGTTCAAAATTACATCCTTGGAAGGACTGATCCTAGGTACTAGAACATAGCCGAGTCATAATCAAGGTCGACAGTGTTTAAAACATTTTCATGAAACATGAAAATAAACCCATAAAATAAAAATGGCTGACTTTTATTTGAAAATACTGTTTGCAAATTTTTGTTTGAAACTTTGGTGTAAACGCGGCTTTAGTATACTTTTATGATATGGATGTCATATTGTTATGGTATTATGCTATGGGTCACTATCATTCCAGAGAAAAACATTTGCCTAACATGCATTAAATTAAATTGTATAAGATAAAAGACATGATTGCTAGATGATATTGTTGTTCATCCAACTGTTAAGTGTTAAGTTTCTGGGACTGGCCTAGATGAAAATCTTGATTTCCTTGATCGCGAGTTATTACAGATTCATTTATCCTTTTCTAGCATATGCTATATCTTGGGCATATAAGTCTGAAATTCGAACTCTTCCATTCATCAATATATTCTTGAAACCCTCATAACTTTTGTCAAACAAAACCGTTCACTGTTCTCTGATAAATAAAATAACATTATCCCGTATTCTCTTTGTAATTTCCATAGTTTGCCAATACCCAAATACTCAATATGTCATTCTTAAAAAAACATTGTCTTTACAATTAATTGCATCCAATTGTGCAATAGCCTTCCCCTTCCCATAAAAATAGAATCAAACCACTGAAAATTTAAAAGATACCAACTAAATTATAATATCTCCTGTTACAGCAACCAAAGTCTTTGGGTAGGACTGCGGTTTGAATGTAATGCGCTATGGACCGGCAGATAATTGCACTCCTCTTCCTGTTGGGGAATTTTCTCTTCCTTGCGCCCCCAAAACCCCCTTGCGATCCTGGGCCCGGGCCCATTTATTAAAGCGACTCTGTTTTTGGGTCAAAGGAACTGGGATATAGCAAACCCTGGTATGTAAATAGTCTACTAGAAGTATGATATAATTCCTTTATTGTATGGCCCAGCCGTTAAAAAATATTTTTATTTTGTATTTTTATGACATTATAGCTAAGTTAATGGAGTTTATTGTAAAAATTTTGGATGAATAAATTAAGTGATATGACGAAATAAAACCTTCAATTTTTTAATACACAAGTATTAGTTCAAATATGATTTTATGACTCAAAAATTTAAATGGTATAGGCGATAGGTTAATTGATTAAAAGTATTGCTGAAGAACCTTAAAGAATAGCTGAGTGAAATAAAACATTTAATTTTTTATACACAAGTATTTAGTTCAAATATGATTTTATGACTTATAAATTTAAATGGTATAGGCAATATGTTTGAATTGATTAACAGTATTGCTGAAGAACCTTCAAGAATAGCTGAGTGTGACGCAACATAAACTTTAAGTGTAATGTAAAATAAGGCAACCGAGGCCTGATGAGAACTGAGCTCTCTTAATTACAGTATATCAAATTCACGTAATTAAAGTCAGATAAAAAATGGAGTGGTGGAAATTTAAATAAACAATATATGGCTAGTGGAATGAAGATTCAATATAATAGTTAATTAGTCGTATGATGATTTATTGGGTACAGTACTTGCAAAAAGCCAATACAACCTTGAATAAAATTATATTGATTGAAAGACTACGTCATTCTATTCTGCATAGGACAAATAAAAGTATCGTGATTGGGTTTGCTGTTATTCTTTTATCTAGAATGTGTTCATCTTAAGTCAGAGATTACAATGTTCATCATTGAATACATTTTTATTTAGGGTGCTTTCCATGGTCCCATCCCCAATCCCCATGATATAAGAATTAAGGACCTAGGTTAGGTCTGCCAATCATCACTTAAACTCTACAATTAATGGGCAAGTCCTAATATCTCATATGTAGCCCAGGTCAAGGCTTTCAGCCGTAAAATAGATTTAAACAAGTATACGAAAAGTAATTTACAAAAAATAAATTTACATTATTAATTATTTTAAATATTAAACTAATTTAAAGATTTTCCATTTTAAATACGAAATAATTTTGAATTATACAGTTGTCACTCTTGCCTATTTCGTACAGCAGTAGCAGACGCCATCGCCAGTTGTCAGTAAAAGCGAGAATAGTTTTCTGTCTGCTACTTGTCGTCCACATGAAACCATCGGGAATTCAAAATTATTTAAATTAAAATAGTTTCTGTACTTACCAGTGTTTTAAATTTCTACGATGTTTAAAAAACCTTTTAAAGTGAAGTCTAATTCTCAGCTTAAAGGATCAGACAGGTATGTTTAAATATTCAATTTTGTAGTAACCGAGAATTCATTTACAATTTGGATCTTTTCAATGGAAATAAAATTAATAGTTATCTAAGGTTACGTTAATTTTATCGCACTCTTATGAAATTTCTTGTAAATTTGGGAGTTTTAAACCCCCACGTTTGTAGGGATGTTGTCAGTTCAGCCATCCCAACTACACAACTGACAATGTCCAGTGAAGTATCGATCTGTTCAAAGTGGATAATTCTAGAGGTTATGACGACTACATCCCTATTCTTTAAAAATAATCAAGTTAACATACTGTTACTCTTATTGTAACTGATTTTATTTTCCCAAAACTATAATCAACCAATGTTTTTATGTTCTAGTAAATATTTTAATTTGTATCCGAATGTGTATAAAATCAAAATTGCACAATGTTAAAGCAAACAGTGATAACTTAGACAGGCCTCTAATCAAAAGAAACAAACAATATGAATTGATTTGCGATCTCGTTCCAATATCATTGAAGAAAATTTTGTTTCCTGAACCTAAATAGGCTAATGCAATTTTAAACACATATTTATCCAAGGCTATGTCTGAGCAATACCTAACCTAACTCCCTATTTTTGTGGACACACAGCCCTTACCCCTTTGTTTGGGCCTTATGGTTTCTTATTGATTCCTATTTTAATCATGTTTCCCTTAACTAACACAACAAACCAAATAACTACAAAATAAGTATTTGATGGAAACACACAGCAAGGATAAGTTAAAGCAGCAAACGCCTGATTTAAGGCGCAACTAACAAAGTAGGTATCCACCCATTCTGTCGTCTTATACCCAAGCTGTTCACTGTTTATTTTAGGCGAGCCTCTCCCCCAATCATTAACACATATAGGTGAATTCCTCATACGATGCTGTCTCCTGACTGGGCAGACATCGCCTTAGACTGCTCATCCATTGATCACACCTAATGGTCTACCCAATTAAAACCCTGTAGTAGGTAGTTGTACACTTGACTCCCATTCTCCAGCTTTTTCAGGTATAGTTTTAGCAATTTTTGTTTACTCCTATTTGATTATACAATTGTATGTGAGTCTGATGTTATATTTATACAAATGGCGGATAACTTATATCAACCTTTTTTTGCGCAAAGCATTAATAACAAGGGAGTACATTTTTTTAAATCACCAAACGGACCTAACTCGAGCCTGGAAAATATACAGTAGGCCTACCAATATATAAATGATCGATTATTTGGTAAATCTTTTGACAATACGCTTGACCTACTATATATAGTCTAGAACACAATCCGTAGTTCAGGTGATCAGTCACACTTTAAAAGAAAAATTGTTTAATAAAAGCTGATATTATTGTAGCCTAAGTAAGAAGTAAGAAAGTATTAATCATAATACAAAAGATACGCGTCCGGTAACCAGACGTGGATTAGGCGTCCGGTAGTGATGTCACCGGGTTGTGGGGTCCCGAAACGCCATTACCACAACGATACGATGTTCGGCCAGCGTTGTTCGTTGTGTAGTGGATAGAGTGCTCGGCTGATAACCAAGAGGTCCCTGGTTCGAAACCCATCAGTTTCTTGAACTTTTTGTCACAGATTTTGCTTTGAATGTAATTTCTTCTTAACTGTACATCTTTTGTTAGAATTTTTGGCATTTATAATTTTATGTTATGAAGAGAATCGAACCTTCATTTGATTTTTTTTCATTATCAGCAAGTTTGGTTGGTTAGGTTAGGTTATGACAGTAACTGCCGGACGCCTAATCCACGTCTGGTTACCGGACGCGTATCCTCTGCGTAATCATAAAACGTGATATTAAAGTAAGTACTGAGCTCCAATGAAGAGCAACAATGTTATTTAAATAGACTTAATTGAAAATCCAATCAATCAAATGGAAATTCGCTTAGTCTGCAGGTTTGCTGCGGCGGGGGTATTTTTACAATTTATTCTATTATGGGAATCAGATGTTTTAGAAATAGGCATAGCTAGTTTTGCCGTGTTTTAGCATGATTACTGCACATTGAACATAACTGCACATTTATAATTTTACATTTTTGTTTATGAATGGTTGCTATTATAACCCATTTACTTTATTTTTTGTATTATTTATTTATCTGTCAAAATGTTTACAGTAGTTTTAATTTGACTGAGGTCTGTTATTCTGTATGAGTCTATTTTTGAGTCATGATGAAAAGTTCCATTCATAACTTGTACCGAAAGTAAAGTGTTTTAGGGATTTGTTGCATTACTCCGTCCAAGGCTTTCATATGGTCGGCTTACCGTCACACATGAAATTTAGTGTTGGGCTCTGCCTAACACATTGCATTTGAGCGTACATTAGAGAGTCACATTTTTGGTATTTGTAATGAAATACTATTCCGGCACTTGTGCTTGAACGTTAAACTTGAGCGGACACCAGAAAATGTATCCTTTGGTACTTGTAAAAACTATAGCCTAGGCTAATAATAATATTCTTACAATCAAGATTTTTCAAATGTTCATTTAAAGAGAAAAACAATCAACTATTCCCTCTAAAAATCATCTAATAATCAAAATCTAATAACGTTTAGCCTATTTATCCTTTTTTATTTTGTCGCATACTCTTCTTGATGCAAACAAAGTAGCATGTACTCAAGTGAAACACACCTTTAACGTTTAAGAAAAGGCACATTGGTGTGTGGGGAGCCGGTTAGGTAGGATGACGACTCCAGGTACAGAGTGTGTGTTAGGTGATTGTGGTAGCAGTGGAAACAGAACGTGGTATGATGGAACAACCAATATGGTTAGTTCATTTGATCAGGCTATATGACGTCACATTGTATGCTCTAACAGTAGGCTACATGGATTGAGCTAGCAGATTTGATATAAGTACACTCAGAAGAATTGCAAATCTAGAAATATACAATGTATTTAAGTTAATACAAATTTCAGGAAGAAACTGAGAGGAGATATTCTCCAACAGTTTCCCAGTCTGACCGAAGATGCTCTTAACTTGATATTACCAAATAAAGAAACCATATTTCAATTGAAGATTCTTTCGCACAGTGGGGACATTGTAGTCGTGTATACTGTACAAAAGTTGCCCATTGTGTTTCAACTGGACAAGATAATGTTTCCAACAGTATACATGCTATGGCATGTCCCCGACTTACTTTATACTTTTACGACTCATCCTCAGGTATGTCTACTTCATTAATCCCATAAAATTCCATTTCAGATTTATCACCTTTTATCCTGTATTCTTAGAACATTTTTAAGAAGTTTGGGTGTGTTGCTAGCTAGTGGTTAGCGTCTCGGACTTCGGTGTTAGAGGGACTGGTTCAATTCCCGGCACATCCACAAAACATTATTCAAAGCTTTTCAAGAGCAGCAATGACTATACCTAGATGTAAAATGACAAATAATGCTGTCAGTTGAGTTTAAATTTATCTGTCCAAGGTGATTTTATCACCTAAAAATAAATCGTAAGGAATATATTTTTAAATTTTATGACTGGTCTAATATTATTGTTATTTCTCTTATTATGAGCATAGAGTTCTAAAGCTTATCTCGCAACTGACTATTCAGTTTACTGCTAAGATGGAACCAATAAAGAAGAATATAATCCTGCAAAAATCTTTTGTAACTACCGTACGCAATTGTATCTTATATTTGATTTCCTTAGACAATTGTTTTTTACTTATGAAACTCCAATTACAATACAACCAATCTCATGTCTCAGTTAATAGATATATCTCAAGCTGTAGCTATCAGTATTGGGGTCTACAAGCAAGATAATGTGTTGCAGGTGTTTCCAATCATCACGGGAGGAGCAGATCTCATGTTGCCAGGAGTTGTTCTGCCGGAAGGAGCGGGAGGTATTCACATGTACGGCAGACTACAGAAGAACGACAGAGTGGCAATTAATCTGACCAGCAACAAGGCACCCATAGCTGTCGGAAAAGCTGCAAACTCCAGTCATGATATGTACATGTGTGCTAGGAGAGGGAAATGTGTAGAAGTACTACATTACTACGGAGACCAACTCAGTATTTACGGAACGAAACTAGTTATTCCAGAACTAGGTCCTCCGGGTGCTCCTGCTGATGAGGCGGAAGTTTCTGATCCTGATATTTTATCGCAGGAAACTGAAAAGCTTTCTGTTGAAGATGGTGAAGCCAATCAAGAACCTACAGAAGTGCCACAACAAAGCACTTCAGATACAGAAAAGGAGGCAGATTATGATAAGGAAAATGACAATATAAACACAGTTTGTTCAACCACATCAATGGACGATCTGCTTAGGTATTGTTTCTTAAAATCTTTAAAGACGACTATGAAAAAAGTAGAGTTACCCTTATTAACGAGCAATTTCTATAAAATTCACATGATCCCCTGCTGTCCCAAAGGTAACATTTTGGATATCAAGAAATCTAGTTACAAAAAACTTTCAAACTTTTTAGAAGCGATGGCTAAACAAGGAGCGATTCAACTTGAGTCCCCTCAGAAAGGAGTTCAATGCATATCAAAAATAGATTATAATTGTGATTTAATTAAAGACTTTGTGGACCGTGTTGATAATGAAGATGAGTCAAGCCTCTCAGTTGATACAACACTCACAAATAAATCATCTGTACCTGAAATCACAGAAAAATATACTGTTACTGCTGCTGTCCTACCACTTTTCTACAACTATGCCTACAAGTAAGTATAATACTTAGTTGAACATTCCTAAATAGCATTTAATTATCATGTGTTTTGATCATAATATGAATTTACTGTTTTTTCGTATATCATTAAACTTTATACTATTAGATAGCTTTTTTAAAAAAATTAAATCATAAATCATTTCAACTCTGAACAAAAACATTTACAATATTATTTTGTTCTGTTACAAATAATAACAATATTAAGTTAAAACCTATTTTAAATTTAACTGTGCAAAATAATTATATCCACAAAGAAAAATATACTCCTGTGTGTGGAAAAGAGTCAATATATTTTTGAAGATTTTTGTTTTAATTTGAGGATGAAAAAGGATTATGGAACATTTGAAAATTGCGCTGGAGGACTGAGTGATTGGTGGCTGACATGACATTAATTGCCAATTGAACAAACAGTAGACCCGTCTCCCCGTCCACCCTCCTAACCCCCAAAAGAATACCGACCTGCTTTCCAATAGCACACTTACATACACTGCTACACACACACACACACACATACACTCTGCTGTCTTTGTTCCGACACCAACAAGTGGCTGGTAGCCCTATGTGTACTTTTATTAAATAATAAGACAGTTTTGGTAAACCTTAGGCCTATTTGTATTACACAATAGAATGGTTGGTTCAAACAACATAATGCTCATATTAATCTATTGTTTATATTATACAGGGTGAATAAAAAGTTAAGACCCCCCCCCCCTCTAATATTTTTCTAAGCAGGGGTGCCCAGAGGGGGGGTACTGTGGCGCGTTTGCGCCACAGGAACTTTTGGGGGGGATTTTTAATTTTTGCTAGCTGTCATAATGGCTGTATAATTTTGTACAAGCAGTCCGAAAAAGTGTTTCTCAATAAAAGTAGCTCACTATCAACACCATCAACATTTTGCCGTTCGTAATTAAGATTGCTTCTAAGAATGGTAAAGCACCTTGTCAGACAATCCTTAACATGCCAGTGTCGAATTTTACATGCTACATATGTTTTGTTGGTTCTTTAACTCCACCATAGTCAGGATTTAAAAAAGATCCCCTTCTGGAGGTGTCGTCAGAATACGTTACAAACATTTAACACAAAACACGAAACGATTACAGATAGGCCTATCAATTCACGCATGTACATTGTCGTCGGCAAGACTGGAAGTAAACTGAATCAGGTTCAGGTTATGATGGACCGATGACGTGGTCTCTGGATTGTCGTCTGCGTTTTCAACAGATGATATTGGACTATTGTCGTGACTGAGAAGAGTATTGAAAATATAATGGGTTTCATAATTAATTGAGTGTTTTCACTCAAAAATTTTGTGCTGTCCCCAATTTTATGTATTCATATATTTCAAACTCCTCAAAGTATTTAATAAATTTCCTTTCGTGCAGTACTGTAGAATTTCTAGACCATCATTTATATCCAGCATATAAATTGGTTATTATTGTCAATGGTTTTGAATGGAAAACTCAATTATGAATCCCATTATACTTTCAACATACTTTCCTCCGTCACTACAATTAGTCCAATATCAGCTTTTGATAACACAGACGACAATCCAGAGACCACGTCTTTCCGTCATAACCTGATTCAGTTTACTTCAGTTTAGTCCTGCTGACGGTAATATACACGCGTGAATTGATAGGCCTATCTGTAATCGTTTCGTGTTTTGTGTACAAACGGATTATCTGACAAGATGCGTTCCTACCATTTTAGTCATTAAAGGCAATCCTGGGGCTATAAAAATGAATTATAAGATTACTTTGTCACAAAAACCTTTTGTTCTGGTGGCATGGTATTTTGCCCTGCGATTTTTGTAGAAGGCAGCCTGGATGTGGCGAGCAACAAGTCTGACTTATTTCGTGACTCTGCCTATAATTTTTAAACAATTAAGATACTTTATGCCAAAGTATTATTAATACACTTAAAGCTGTTTGATTTCTTAAGCCCTCTAAACATTAACGCCACCTAATATATTGTAGAGTTACAGTACTGGTTTGGAGTAGAGTAATTCACCGAGTAAATTGTTGAACGTGTTGAAGACGTTGTCTATAGCAATACTGAGCACATGTTGGCTGACGATACAAATTCGGAATTTTGTAAATTGAAAAACTTCTAATTCAACGATTAGTTAGATATGTATTGTTAAATGACGTTTCCTATTAAACATTTAATTTTGATTCTCAATCAGCAAGTTTGTTTTTTGTACTGTACCTCGAGTTTACTAAATACTTTAAATACTCGTTTTATGAGGTAAAGGGAAAATTGTCAGATAAATTGGTGGGGGGAGGGTAGGTTTAAATAAACGACAACATAAATTGGGGAGGGGAACTACTCATTTGGCTTGGGGGGGGGGGGGGGATTGCGCCTCTGGGTTTAGGGGGGATGGGCACCTCTGTTTCTAAGTAAATATGCAGAGACATCCTTTTGGTGGTCGTGCAATCTTAGGAGGAAGTTTCATTTTATGATTTCGAAATTGTTGAGTGCCCCCCCTAAAAGGGGGATATGGGGGGCAACTCAAATATTTTAAATGTAAACCCCCTTCATGTGACACCTCATTTTGAAGTGTTTACAAAAACTTAAAGAATGGTGAAAACTAGAGGTCGCTATCTCTTTTCTATCCAAAATGGTAGCCCGTCAAATGTTGTGGAAAATCAATGGTAAAATTGGTTCGTAATGGTAATATTGGCTACCATTTTGGATTGAGAAGAAACATTTTTAGTTGCCCCCAAATCCCCCCTTTGGGGGGGGACACTCAAAAATTTTAAATGTTAACCCCCATTTAGTGACACTTTGTTTGAAGTGTTTACAAAAACTTAAAGAATGCTGAAAACCAGAGTTCGCTATCTCTTCTCTATCCAAAATGGTAGCCAATATTACCATTACAAACCAATTTCACCATTGATTTTCCACAAAATTTGACGGGCTACCATTTTGGATAGAAAAGAGGTAGCGACCTCTAGTTTTCACCATTCTTTAAGTTTTTGTAAACACTTCAAAATGAGGTGTCACTTGAAAGGGGTTTACATTTAAAATACTTGAGTTGCCCCCCAAATTCCCCCTTTTCCCCGGGGACACTCAAAAATTTCAAAACCATAAAATAAAACTTCCTGCTAAGATTGCACGACCACCAAAAGGATATTTACTTTAGGGTATATTTACTTGGAAAAATATTAGAGGGGGGGGGGGTCTTGACTTTTTATTCACCCTGTATAACAAGCCTTTTCAATCCTAGCCAATTGGGCGCAGCTGTTAAAATGTGAGACTTATGTCCTTGAAACCTGTGTTCAAATCCTGCCAATCACCATGTAAGATTTTATCTGTTGATAATGCATTGAACTAGTGGCTTGAAGCCTACCCTAAGCTAACAGAAATCAGAAATATTTATTTGTCATTAGACATTACAAAAAATGCATTGACAATTGTCATGTATATAGCATAGCTACAGTCAGGCTAGACATTACAAATAACATGTCCAATATGTTAATTTTTTAGGTGTCAGCTCTGTGGATTACCAACACAGCTTATAACAGGTTTCTTAGGCAAGATGAGCTGATACTTGCTAGAGGTGGGGAATTTTCCACCACTGAAAGCTATAGGATAGTTTTAATAGAAAAAACTCACTTAAGCCTAACAAATTTGTATATCCAAATAGGCTGTCCATAATTCAAACAGGTCTATACACGATGTAAATTGTTGATTTTTAAAACCTCAATTATTATTTTTACCACCCAATATTTTTTTTCAGGAAAAAAGATGCTGTAACTGCTGAAGTGGTTCGTAAAGTAACAACAGACTACGTCAGGACGAGTAATCTTCAGAGTTCTGACAACAGAAAGTGAGTACGCTTATCTAGAACTCTATATATTACAGCTTTAGTACTTTCAACATTTATTTCCAGTAAATTTGGTGGAAATCTCGCAGTCCCAAAGAGGCTTGAATGAATTGTTGCAGTTTTTCTTCTATGAAAACTTGTGAGTAGTCGAAATTTCAAATTAGTTGCAGTCTCTTTCATTGTTTAAATTCCAAAGATAACATTTCACTGTATAGGAGGTTGATAACCAAAGTGGATTTGGAAAGGAACACAGTTGTGAGGGTAAAGCTATACTGAGAAATATATATTTCAACCTACCATTTAAGTTTTTTCTCTCAGTGTTAATTTTAAACACATGAAGTATTTCTGATCCGCTACAAAACATCACACACGAACAAATGAGATACATGTAAATTAAGAAACAAAGGGGACAATAATAAATGTGATGTGGAAAGCGAAAATGGATCTCTTGTCTGGAATTTTTGATTTTAAGTTATATTTATATTTGAAATCCTTATTAAATTCTGAATCACTTGGTGCTAGTCCCATGCATCTACAATTTTTTGCGTTAAAGTTATAGACTTTATGAAGTTTTGTTATAAAAAAAGGTCATTTAGAGAAAAACTATTTTGAAAATTTCAAATAGGTACGCATAAAAACAGTTTTTTTTTATTTAAGAAACAATTTTGGTGTCAAAAGAAAGCTCATAATGTCCTCTTTGGAGGCAATATTAATTGTGTGTCTTAACTCACGGAAGTTTTCATCTAAATAATTGTTTTATCGAAGCATGTCATATAAATCACATTTCAGAAAAGGGACCTTTTGTCGGTCCTATGTTATTTCTCCATAACATAAAAAAGGTACCTCTTGTAGGAACCGCAAAATTGTGAGATATTTTGTTCTCCCTAAACTGAACTTTTTTGTAGTTCTCTAAATGTCCTAGAATGCAGGACAATTCATTTTTTGGACTAAAGTCTGTTTATAAAGTGAATATTAGAAATGGGACCTCTTGTCGTTATGGTGAAATATAACATTGAGCGACAAAATTATTTATTTAGATCTTTTACATCTTCCATTCGATATTTTAACCGATACTGTCCTGTTCAATGTTAAATGAGGTATATTAATCGATAAAAACGGAATTTAGATATTTTTGACCTTAATTACTTATATCGGCCGTACTGAAAATTTTGCATCGCTGACAAGAGGTCCCTTTTATCTTTGCACATCACAAATATTGAGCGACTCGATTGGGTTGACGTGAGAGTCTTGACTAAATTAATTAGTAAAATTTAGGTTATCTAATTTGTTACATTTTTTATTTTATCAAAATCAATCCTTTGTTATAGTTCATACCCCTAGGAGTTTATTGAATAGGTAATGTTTCTGTTGAAAGTTTCTCATCAAGACCTATCATTCAAGTATGCGGTTGATAGATCTCAGCTTCTGTCTAGAGTTGTATTACCGTTAACCCAAATGTCAATTGTTTACATTATTGAAATGAAGAGATTTGAATTTGAAAGACTATAATTCCAATCAGCCTATTTTAACGTTTTAAATGTTGTAGAGAGGTGATTCTGGATGAAACCTTGAGGAGTGCCACAAATTCCAACAGCGAAGTCCAATCCTTGCCTTGGGACCAACTAATGGCAGCTGTCTTCAAAAACATGGGTCATTCTTTCAAAGTTGAAATGAGTGGGAATGAAATTGCTCAAAGAGGAAAACTGCCACCAATAGACATTCAAGTTGGGACTAGATCTGGAAATAAAAAGGTAATCTAACTTTTTTTCTTAAATAACTTGGTCAGTAATGTAAACGGTCGTTAGTGAATACATCAAAGTGATTTTCAGGTTAAACTTTATAAGCTGTGTGTTGTTTTATTCTCTCTTTTTTTGGAAATAGATTTTAGCTAGCTAAATTCCCTAAAAAATTGGAATGCAGAGACAAAAGTACAAAAAAATCACAAAACATAATGCCTGCAGTACACTATCGCCGAATGTAGGCGAACTAAGACGAGCGTGATAGTGTATTCGGTGCACTCGTGTACATTCAGGGTAGTTCGCATCGCCAACATGCGTGTTCGGGTACGCTCGCTTTTTTTGGCGGTCTCCCGTCACGAATCAAAGGAGATGAACTAGGACGAATGCCGAGCGCAGACGGGCATGAACATAGCGAGTACACACTCGCTGTCATTCGTAGTCACGGACGCTCTCTTTCTACAGTATTTACTGCAGTGGTTGTGTAGTTAGAGTTACTTTTAGTTTTGTTATTTAATTATTTACTACTAGATCTCATATAGATAAATTGTACAAAGTATGGAGTGCTCTAATGAGGAAACACTGTTATTTTTGGAGCCATACCATAGTGAGTAGTGATGTGACGAGTTGAGTTGGCGAGTCGAGTTGACTCGAGTCAAGACCCGAGTCGAGTCAACTCAATTCCAACTCGAGTTCTTTTACGAACTCGTACGGAGATTGCCGAAGCTACACGAACTCGTAACGTTACGAGTCCGACTCGCAAAAAAGCCGAGTCAAGAAACCGAACTCATACGGAGAAAGCCGAACCTTAACGAACTCGGGACGTAACGAGTTGACTCGAGTTTACTCGCACTCGCTTTCGGCCAATAGCGTCACAGCTTTACGAGTCAACTCGCATAGATTCAACGCTATTGGCCGGTACCGAGTCGGCCGACTCGCAAAACTAACGAACTCGTACGGAGAATGCCGAACTCACACGAACTCGGAACGTCTCGAGTCGAGTCGACTCGTAAAGCTGACACGCTATTGGCCGGTACCGAGTCGGCCGACTCGCAAAACTAACGAACTCGTACGGAGAATGCCGAACTCACACGAACTCGGAACGTCTCGAGTCGAGTCGAGTCGACTCGTAAAGCTGACACGCTATTGGCCGGTACCGAGTCGGCCGACTCGCAAAACTAACGAACTCGTACGGAGAATGCTGAACTCACACGAACTCGGAACGTCTCGAGTTGAGTCTGACTCGACTCGTAACTCGAGTTCACGGCAGTTGGCGAGTCGAGTCACTCGAGTCAGGAAAGTACCCGACTCGGCACATCACTAATAGTGAGCCAGTTCTGTGGCCGCGGTATAATTTAATTGTATTTATTGTATTTAATATTTACTTGTATATTTTAATTGTATTTAATTGTATTATTTAATTGTATTTAATTGTATTTGCATTTACAAAGTATCGTTTAAGAAAAACAAATATTTCAATAAAAAAGTAAGCATTAATTTTAAATTACTAAGCCACAGAGAAGTAAGAAACATAGGATACATTCAAGTGGTGTCTAACACGAAACGGAAATTATAGAATTTCCTCTAGAATTGTCTTCGATGTTAGCGAAGAGTTGCAAAAAGATTGGTGCGAATGTTTTGTCACGAATACGCAATATTGGGTTCGGCCCAAGTTAGCTGATAGTGTACTTGGTTAGTTCGGGATGCACATTCGTCAACATTCGTGGTTGCAATCTGACCCGAACATTCGGCGAGACATTCAGGCGAATGTTCAGCGATAGTGTACTGGTTGCTTAACAGTAATATTTCATCAACGTTTTGGACCTCTTCAGAGACTATTGATGAGAATCTGTCATCATCCTTTAAAAAAGCTCAATCAGTCTACCCATCAATCAAACAAGAAATCACACTTCTTACCAGTCCTATACTTGGAGGTAATATCAGTGTCATTTATTTTATGTGACTTATTTGTGTGTCTATAATCCTCTAGGTTCTTATTTAAGACAGCTTAAAACTCTATTACCTTAAAAAAAATTCTTAACTATTATTAACTATACCCAAAATAATTGCTAAACTTTAATAATTCTTCAACTATTATCTCAAAGAATGTTTATTCTTCAATGATTTGTTTTTTTTTTAGTCCCATTTATATTTTACATGATTTCATCAAACATCATTGTTTGCTTGTTCATTTGGCATATGATCCATATATGTTTAAATCTGAGCTTTTCTATCCTATTAATGCATTCCCTGACACTTTCAACACTGACACTTACAAAGTACAAAGTAACTAAGTAAGTGCTATAAGTTTGTAAGTAATAGTTTTTTAAATATTTTAACTAATGTATGATGTCATTGGTGGGGATGGACCAATAGTAGGCCCACACAGTTAGGGTGAAAATCTTTGAACACTGGTCATCTCAATCTCACCATTAAATACTGAAGACCGAAGTTCGAGTATTGAACCAGGTGCTGTGCTGATGATTTACAATGTGATTCTCATTCTCGGTGTAGTACTTAAATTCCTTTAATTTAAGTACTAAACTCAAACTCTATTGTCCAGAAAAATATTTTTTACAAATACATTGGCTTCAAATTCAAAATAAAAATATTTATTCATAGTAAATATTACATATGCATGGCCTCGCCAAGTTTACAAAACTTGTCAGCGAGGTCCAATTGATTAAAAAAAGTGTCAAAATTTACAATATTAAAAAAAAGATTATGCTTAGCCAAAAGGTTCTAAAGTAGTTTGTGGCAGGCATTTATTCTAAAACAGAGTATTTGAAAGCGCCGATTTTCATCAAATTTGGCATGAATGTGTTGGGGCTGGCCAACCTTTAATGAGTTTTTCAACCAGCATGATCGGGTAATGAAAACCGAGTGTTGTGGAGTTATAAAACTCTTGTAAAATAGTTTTGTTTCAATTCTTACCCTTAACCTATTTAAATGCCCAAATTGTTTGCAGTCGTAGAGCTTAAAAAAACAAATAATTTTGTATGTTTAAGCGTTGAAAGAAGAGGAACGAAATTACCTTATAACCAATTTCATTCTACCTAGATTGCTGATTGCATTTTGTTTTGTTGTTTTTGAATTCGTGAATTTATGCTGTGTGGTAGTGGCATTGTCTTTAAGCCCGATAAAAAAAGTAGTGAACATAACTTGTACTGATTTTTCCCTATTCTTTCCTAAATTTTGTATTTATGTAATGTGGCCTTAATCTAATGGGTTTGGTGTGTTTTTTACTGTTGTAATTGTGTATGCTAACAAAGTTTTATGTAGTCTATTAGGGTGCTGGTATATCAATTGGGACTCAGTTTCTTAATTAACATTATACAAAGATACAAATTAAAATCAACGGCGGTCTAGGTTTTTGTCATGAATTCATGAGCATTGTAAAAACAATTTACACGATCTTACTTCTAAAACTCTACTCATAAAGGTCACCTACTTTTTTATACGAGGCATATTTAGGAGTATCACAAATGATTCTATGAAATAATTTATAAAATTCTACCATTTGTTGTAGGTAACTCTAGTGAACAACCTGGAGCTGTATGGCATCAACTTGACGGAGTTTTCAAGGGAGTGTCAGCACGGTGTGGCTGCTAGCACGACTATCAACTCCTTACCCTCCGCCAAGAGTAGTCAACTACAGATACAGGGCAACCAAGTGAATTTTGTGGCCAAGATACTCACTGGTGAGTAGATGAGACGGTTACATAGGTGTAGTAGTTCAGCTTTTGGAGATACTCACTGGTAAGTAGATGAGACGGTTACATAGGTGTAGTAGTTCAGCTTTTGGAGATACTCACTGGTAAGTAGATGAGACGATTACATAGGTGTAGTAGTTCAGCTTTTGGAGATACTCACTGGTAAGTAGATGAGACGGTTACATAGGTGTAGTAGTTCAGCTTTTGGAGATACTCACTGGTGAGTAGATGATGGTTACATAGGTACAGTATAGTAGTTCAGCTGTTCGAGATACTCACTGGTGAGTAGACGAGACGGTTACATAGGTGTAGTAGTTCAGCTGTTGGCGATATTTACTGATGAGTTTATGAGATTCTTACTGGTTTGTTGATGAGATGGTTATAGATTCAGTTTTGATCTGTGACCGAGGACAGATGCAGTTAAACAGCTGGTGATCAAAGGTGACAGGCTTTGTATATTTAAACATACAAACAAAAGCATACTGTTACATAAATGTTTCAGGGGATTGACAAAAAGTTTAATTTTTAATTTGAATTCATATAATTGGCCTACACTTATTACTGTAGTAAAGAGTAAAGAAGTAGAAGTAAGTAAAGAAGAAACATTTACATTACTTTATGTATACCTTGATAGGCTGTTTTTGAATTTTTTTTAATATCCGTAAATTCAAAATTCTTTATTAAGTGCCCTTATACAGCTCTTATACAGCTAAATGAATCTGTACTGCTAATAACACATCCAAATGAATATTGTATAAAATCTCCTTGGTAATTATGATTAGAAAATCAAATAGACAAATCAAATTTTGAATTTGTATGATATTAATCAACCAGAAATTTAGGGTTGATAACAAGGATGATAACATGAAACCCCAGCCACTAAATATATATTGGATCTAATAAATAAAACTTAACAATCACTATGGTACTTTATATACACCCAGGAACATTAGACATTATTATTCATTAATCAATAACACGTTGAGGTTAGTTCAGTTGTTTTGATTGTTTCAATTTAGATTATGAGAAAAAAGTGCACCAACATCAGTGCTATACAGTACTATCATAAAAATATTGGGTACCAGTAAAGCAGAATAACTAACTAAATATTGGTGACTACACTGATTTATGAGTGTGTGCACAATTTTGGACTTTGCCCTGGAGCACGTACATTAATAAACCAATGCAATGATGTCATGGCACCCGCAGCGCTGTTCAGTCTTTCTGCCGTATATATAATGAGATGCCGGAACTGTAACCTATTTAATGTAGAACCTATTTATGCCAATATCTTTATCTCCGTTCCACCGCGTTCCCCCCAAATCGAGCACTTCCTACATGCATTCGGATTAGGGAGGGTCTAGCCACTGTTCATGGACTGGTCTAATGTACAGTACATAGTACAACATATTGAATAATTTGTAAATTTTAAAACCATAAGTTAATTTCTTGCTCTGTTGAGAGTAAGTTCCTTCATATATATAGATTTGTATTTGACTTTAACTAGTTTCCAAGTTGATTCTGAGGTCATATTTTACATATTGCTTTTGGTATTACATAATTTTATTCTAATTTTCTATTTCATTTCTTTTAGAAAAATACCAGATCCCAAAAAGATACCTTCGAGGGACAGAAAATGCTCCAAAGAAGAAAAAGTAAGAGACAAATAACTGGTGGGACTGTTTCTTGTTCTTGAACCTGCAGACTAAGCGAATTTTCATTTACCTGTTTGGATTTTCACTAAAATATTTTCCAAACAATTTCAGATGCTATTCCCTATTTAAATAACATTAGGGTTACTGAGTACCTAATGTTATAAATAAATAAATATACATTTGAAATGGTATTTTTAGTTTCTGGGGACATAAAAACAAATAAAAATTCAGTCCCGGTTCTAGGTCTTACAATGAGACCTACGGTAATAGCTTATTCCCTGTATGGGGGAGTCGCTAACAGGCTAAATACAATATTTAGTATTTTACAATAGTCAATGGCAAAATTTACCATAGTTTATAATTAATTAATTAATATAAAGTACAGTGTGTTAAAAAAAGTACCGGAACAGGTTAATATATTTTTTAAACCTACCTTTTTAAGCAGTTATAAATTTTCCTCTCCTCTAGGGGGGCGTCCCACAAGGAGTAAGAAGAAAATCTTTAATGTAAGCATTTTAACACACTGTATATAAGTCATAGAAATATACAACACAGTTTTCATGCTCCTTTGTTCACGAATATAACAACTGATTGTACAAAAAGACTACAAACGTTTTTATACATGATCCAAAAGTGTGTTTTAGTTATAGGCCTACTTTTTTTAAATTCAAATGTACATATATACTGTTATTATTTTTTAATTGATTATCCACCATGTTAAAATCATTCAGCCACAATTGTATTAAAAATAAAAAAATATTTTGATATCAACTGCTCTGTGAAATTTTCACTTTTCCTGATTACGTATAGGGTACTTTGGTATTTAGCCACCGACCACACCGATGAATTGAATTTCAAGTAAGATTTTAATAAGTTTAAACAAAAAATCTTCCTAATCTAACCACCCTTAGGAATTATTAGGTGTGGTCAGTATAATACCAAAGTACCAAGAACCAAGTTATTCAAAAAAGTCTGCAGGGTTTTCTATGAATATGAATATGAAGCATTGAGGGGTAATGTTTTTTTTATTATTTGAGATATAATTTACATATTTCTTTATTATCATGCTTAGGAGACTGCAAAGTTTTAGGCTAGTTGAACCTAGCCGACTTAACTCTTGCCTTTTAATATTATATTGAAAGTTCTCCTTGAATGATGGAAGAGAAGAATAAATTTTCAATAAATATGCATTATCGATGCTTCAAAAGGCTTTCAAGGTAGCTGCGTTCCCTAGGCTTGGATACCATGGCATTTGCAAGAGCTCTTAGTAGAGCTTCTTCCTGAAATCATTCCAAATTATCTTAAAATTTGACCTTATAAAAACTTTAAAATTTGTTGAAGTTTGATTTGCTTCTTCATCACAAAATATTTACAATACAGAAATAAAAATTTGTTTTTTCAACTTTGATTACCTAGCTTGACTTTACTCTGCAATTAAAGCATACATTCATTAAATAAATGGTATCAGCAATCTGATACATATTTTCTCTGATTAGATTGTCAATAACCCTTATCATAGGTAAGCGGTGGGAGTAATTATAATTTTTTATGGGGAAAATCACAAATGTTGCAATAACTTTTAAATCGTAGTTCTTCCAGCAATAGGGCTTGCACACAGACACAACCCACACCCACAAACATTACTTTGAAAACTACTTTATGGGTTCAGGGGGACCCAAAATGGATATATCCACCCAAAACTTAAACTTGAAAATCTTAATGAAAACAATACTTTCTCGATACACTACTTATAGGGGGGAAGTAAAAACTATAAATTGGAATACCACAAACCGGTTGACTAGAGTATTTAGAGGAAACTAGATTATGATGCCTACCTGTAAGAATGGTGGATAAGGCATGTCAACCAGATTGAAGATGAATACATCACCAACAACATCTCCAACTAAAATATTCTATAAAAGAATACATAAACAAGTTAGGTATAAATAAACCAATTATAAAATTTAAAAATAAATTTTTAAATTACTATCATAAAAAACAATTATTTTAAACCAAACTTCGTGAATAAAAGTGGAGTTTTTAGAATTTGTTATGTTTTAGTTAGTTTTCAGGGGGCAATTGTTATGTGGGGCGTTTTGGTTTTTTAGTTTGTTTTTCTAATTTGCGTGTACGCCACAATGAGGCAGCTCACTGCTTACTGGCATCAGTGGTGAACAGAATGTTGCTATTTGCTACACACACTATATAAAAATATCATATACATCATATATAGAGAGGTTGTGAGGGTGAGGGGGAGTATGGGCTAGAAGTGTTACCAACTCATGATGTTCTAACACCCATTACCACAACTTATATTTTTCACCATGTTAATGCCGTGGAAAACTTCATTCTTGTCAAGCTTTTACACTTAGCATTTTAGAAACTGATTTTGGCAAATTTGTTGCTTATTTTCCATGATAAAATATGTTCTTGATGAATTCAGTAACCTAAAACCATTCATTCTTTTGGAATACTAAACTGGCAATCTTTTAAAAGATTGTTCTGAGTGTAAAACTAAAGTCATTGTCGTTGAACCATCGCAGTATGCTCAACAAATACAACACATTTTTCTCAATTGCATCTATCTAGATCAGAAAACTATATTTTTATCAATAACTAGAATGAAGTTAGTGATTACTAAATGAGTATAAACGCCATTTAAAAAAAAAATTAAATTAACCAAACTGAAGTGAGACTAACAGTTTAAAATATTCAATAACAAATCATACTTTGCCAGTTGTGGAAAATTGCAGGCTAGAGAAGACACAGCCAGTAGAAGATTTGACTGTTGATATGGGGATGATAGTTTTCCTGGCGAGGTCCCACATGGACAGAGTACTTCCACTGATACTCGCGAGAATGGTCGAGTGGACGGGGGACCACGATACACCTAGGACTGGGTGCTGTAAGTATAAATCATTAATCATCAGAGCTAAGCCTGTGGTCTAAAACTATACAAGTATAGCCAGTATCTCTTCCATAAAGTTATATAGAATGTAAGTGGATATTTATGACCATAAAAAAATACTGCCTTGAAATTTTGACTTCACTGGTCTTGCTATGGTAGAGTTTTATTGGTTCCCCACTACTAGAGTTGAATGAATGAAAATACTCTTAATTAGTATTTGTTAAGAACATGTACTATGTACAATAAATAGTGTAATATTTGTAAAATAAAATAAAATAAAACAAAGAATTTAGCATAAGGTATTATTAGTTAGTAAAGTAGTATTGACATTCATATGTTTATATGTGAAAATCACAATCTTGTAAACTTATGTGACGAATAAACATTTAATTTCATTTTCATTTCATTTAAGAAAAATTCAATTTGTAAAAAAATTAGCTAAACCTAATGGCATATTTAGAGGAAAAATTCATGTATGGTCTTTTGAGCAGACACATTTTTAGCATTTTCATTGTCAATTTAATTTAACTTTACTTACGTTTTAACTTGTATATGTTTTTCAAACAGTTTTCATTTTGTCAGGAGTAAAATGTACATAACTGTCTTGGGCGTCCATCCATATGGGCGAGAAGGGTCTCGAGCCCCCACCCCCTCCCCCTTAGAGACCCTACCAGAGTGACCATACAGACTGAGGATTTTGGGAAGTTTGCGTAAATTTGTTGAATCAGGAACTGTGCGGGAATTTTGAACTTGCACTGAGAAAACCTGTTTTAGTCTGCGATCACAGTGAAATTTCCATCGTCATCCGTAGTCACGGGGAAATTATGAACATAATCCGCGATCTAGGCAAAACTGTTTACATCTCCGGTTACTTGATTGAATTCAGTTTATTTTATTGAAAGACATAGCAAAACCGAGCATTGATGTATGGAGCTACAATTTTCACTCAATTAATATCATTAATATATTTGTTTCTATAGTATTTTACATGTTTACATAGTTGTCCGTTTCAACCAAATTTTCCACTTAGAACTGGTCCTGTGAGAGTTTGTTATGGAAAGGGGGAGTGTCAGTATGAATGATATTAAACTGTCATAACATGCTTACTCAAGTAAAGTATTATTTCAAACAAATAAGTAATATAAGAGCTTTACAAAATCACCTTGGTGTAGTAAAGTTTTAGTAAGGGTTCCCTAAGATCTTCAGCCCATATACATATGTACCAATCTGAACCATAGGTACAGAATATTTTGGAAGAGAACGGTGAATGTAGAATGCCGTATATTGGTCCAGCATGAGCAGGGAAAATATCTTCGAACCTGTCTTGGTGGTTCATTGTACACTGTCAACACAAAAGTATATTTAAATCACAAAAAAGTCTCATAAATGTTTGAAGTATATCAGAACTTGCTATTACCTCTCTTAGCGATGTGCTGTTTGATCAAGGCATCAGGGTTGATCAAGTGTTTTTCACCTACATAGAGTATTTTGGTACCTATCTTTTGTCAGTGCAAGACTTAATAAATTGTCTTAAACAGTTCACTCACAGTTAAAGGCAAAGAAAAGGTCATGTGAATCAGGGACGCACCGACAGAGGAGGGGGGGGACGAACGGGACTAGTCCCCCTCCCAGGGGGTTTTCAGGTGTGGTCCATAAAAGTATGGAACAAACTAAATTAACAGAAAACAAAAAACTGCGATCTAGCCGACTCAAGCAGACTGGCTTTCAGTAATCAGTATAAATATACTATACTTTATCTAAACTGTATTTGGTAATAAACATCTTATTTTTCCCTGTTTGTAGGGATTGGTGGAAGGTTTTAGTGTTGTATTTCATAATTATTGAGCTAATTAAAAAAAAACTTAGTTTTATAACTGTATTGGGGGGGGGGGGGCGTTTGGTGAGGGGGTGCGGGGTTAAGGTATGGGATGGAGGAGGGAAATTCGGGTAATCAGGAGGGAATAAACAGGGTAATGCTAATAGGTTAGGAAAAGGTGTGTCTGGACCAAACTTAATTTCAGCGTGCTGAATCTGCTACCAATACAATTAGGAAGATTGCTGGGGACCAGAGGGACGGAGACCTTTTACCCAGATCAGAACACTTGCCTAGCCAGCTTTGATTTGAACTAATGGAACTAACTGTTTAAATATAAACCTATCCTTCCACTATGAACTGAACTTGGGTAATTACTTACTAATTATTGATGAGCAAATGAGTGATATGTAATTGAATACTGAATGAGAAATAAGTATGAATTGATTTGAACTATTAAGTTACATTCTGGGAACATGTGGATTAGTATTCATGTTTCGAACGGTTGCCACCAACCGGCTAAGTTGTCAATTCCTACATTTCCATAGTCGGGTGAGCCAGAAGGGCTCCCCGCTAGTTACCTGACTTAGCCAGACATTTTCCCTACTTAATTTCTACATATTACTAACTATGATAACTTATCCCAAACATCGAAGAGAAGTCCTGGAATTTACGGAGAGGTTTTCCTGTGTAGAAGCCGGTTGTCGAAGAAGGAGGACAAGACTAGGAAAGGTGGGGATAGAGCATTGATGCAGTCGCGGCAGGCAACGAGATGAACATGCAGCCCGGCTTCGCGAACTGCACACACTATAAAAAATATAGCGTGCCGCTATGCGTCACAAAACATTAAGTTTTGGGGTAGCGGATTTCTACCCCCGGATATCTACCCCCGGAAATCTACCCCTGGACATCTACCCCCAGACATCTACCCCCGGACATCTACCCCCAGACATCTACCCCCGGACATCTACCCCCAGACATCTACCCCCGGAAATCTACCCCCGGACATCTACCCCCAGACATCTACCCCCGGACATCTACCCCCAGACATCTACCCCCGGACATCTACCCCCAGACATCTACCCCCATACATGTGACGTCAAAGTGACATAGGCGTTTTTTCATGGGGGTAAATATCCGGGGGTAGAAATCAACGGCTCTTCGGTTAAGCATTGTCTTGTAATATCCAGTATACAGCATGCGATATGTCATTGTCTTGTTTAACATTATCTATCTTCCTAATTCAATAAGCTGTAACAGTCCTTTTTCACCCGACCTACTTCGCCGATTGTTACGATTGAGGTGTCATTTTAAAGCTTAAGATCTTGCGCAGAGCAAAATGGTAATTAAAAAGGATATTTTGATTAGGGCTTCAAAAGGTTGACCCCTAAGCCTTTTATTTATTCCTAGAAGGTGCTTCCAATGGTTGACCAACTTTCACACTATACAGTAACAGTTTTAATGGTGAAATGTGAGCAGATTACTAATCAGTTCAATTTTTAAGTCAGGTTGAAAACCAGAATAGATCGTCTGCAACTGTAAACAAGAGATGGAACACTACCCCTAAACTGTTTTTCGTTCTCAATTGGCCCTCTAGTCGGAGAAATATAGGATATGACCTTAAAAAAATTGCAAGAAAACGTTTTATGGTTTTATTTTGTAGAGTTGGGTTTGCAGAATGACATACTAAAAGTTGCCAAAAATCGGTGCACAAGAAAACCACTAAAATCAGAATTTAAAATGGCGGCTTTTTCCAACATTGGACAAACTAAAAAAACATATTTCACATGCATTTGTTATGCACATTTTTCGAGATATTGACTTGGGACCACCACCTGTATTTATTGGGTGGTTAGTACTTCATTTTGATAGGGAACATGTTTTTGGCCGCCATCTTGGATCCGCCATATTGGACATTGATAATTTTTTTTCAATGTAATGATAGTGTTGTGACACATCATTACCAACTACATTTTTACACTGATTTCAATTCCGAAATCCGTTTTTAAATATCTTTATTCATTTAGAAGATATATTCAAACGAAAACTCTCCACCATACATTTCTTATGGACGTTTCGTAGTTTGATAATCTTTTTAAAACTATTTTTCTTATATCTCCAGTTCTTATTAACGCTTGTAGTTCGTTCTAGGCTTAAAATATTCAGTAATGTAAGGGCTTTCATTTGAGCACTTGGTCATTAAAATCAGATGAGTTAAAGACCAGCTACGAACCTCAGAACAATATTAAATTTAACTTTTTAGAAATATATTTTTATTAAAAGATTTATAACTCGGGTTGTTAATACGTCACCAAGTTCTTTCTGGTCTCAAATTACTCAGTAAATGTTTGGCTTTAATTTTATTGATCAATAAACAAAATCTGACAATTTTAAAATGAGTCATGGACCATAATTTAACATTGAAATTGTATTTATATTGAAATTTATCTTTAGTTAAAGACGTATATCCCCGATTCTAAATAACTCCCAAAGCTCTTTATAGTCTTAAATAATTCGCCAAATTATTGACTTTTATTTTAGCTATAGATTACTTTCCGGGAGTTATTAGGGTTTGGGATATATGTCCTTAACTAAAGACAAATTTCAAAATAAATACATTTTAATGTTAAATTAAGAACCATGACTCATTTTAAAATTGTCAGATTTTGTTTAGTGATTAATAAAATCAAAGCTAAACATTCACTGAGTAATTTGAGACCAGAAAGAACTTGGTGACGTATTAACAGCCCGAGTTATAAATCTTTTAATAAAAATATATTTCTAAAAAGTTAAATTTAATATTGTTCTGAGGTTTGTAGCTGGTCTTTAACTCATCTGATTTTAATGGTCAAGAGCTCAAATGAAAGCCCTTACATTACTGAATATTTTAAGCCTAGAACGAACTACAAGCATCAATAAGAACTGGAGATATAAGAAAAATAATTTTAAAACAATTATGAAACTACGAAACGTCCATAAGAAATGTATGGTGGAGAGTTTTCGTTTGAATATATCTTCTAAATGAATAAATATATTTAAAAACGAATTTCGGCATTGAAATCAGTGTAACAATGTAGTTGGTAATGATGTGTCACAACACTATCATTACATTGAAAAAAAATTATCTATGTCCAATATGGCGGATCCAAGATGGCGGCCAAAAACATGTTCCCTATCAAAATGAAGTACTAACCACCCAATAAATACAGGCGGCGGTCCCAAGTCAATATCTCGAAAAATGTGCATAACAAATGCATGTGAAATATGTTTTTTTTTAATTTGTCCGATGTTGAAAAAGCCGCCATTTTAAATTGTGATTTTAGGGGTTTTCTCGTGCACCGATTTTTGGCAACTTTTAGTATATCATTCTGCAAACCCAACTCTACAAAATAAAACCATAAAACGTTTTCTTGCAATTTTTTTAACGATCCCTATGTAAGTTTGTTTAGTTTGCTTGGACTACTCTATCAATGACCTGTGTTGCCTGTACAGCGAGGCATTTTGAGAAGGAGAAAACCGGCCGGATGAATGCTTTAGGTTTATCAATAACGAAGATAAACATGGTTTTAGTTACACACCGGTAATCTTTGAGTTGACTCTTTTAAACTCATTGTAAATATTCATTGTTATTCGTTTTGAAAAAACTCCTTTAATACTTTGCAATTGCTCGAATTCGAGCAACATGTACACTAGTTACATATTATTGCACTTACGATTTATTTGATTTGTTTATTTACGTGAGTCACAACATTTTTAATCTTACTTGGTTTTGGATTTTATTACAAAACGTGATCGGAAATGGTTGCAGTATTTGTAAACAAAATGTAATAACAAATTTCCAGTGACAGCTAGAAAAAATCATCTTTATCCAGCTTTTCATCTTTCACAGCTGTTCGTTATTTCACAGATGTCGTATTCTCCAAACAAATTATTAGTATTTCATAAATTACTGGTAAACATTAGGAGTAGCTTAAACTTGACATCTAGAAGTCCGGCGACCCTAAGTTTTATAACGTCTCAGGATAGATGAAAACACAGTTTTCTGTACCTAATTTTTGAAAGTTTTCCGGACCCCCCTGATGTCCCCCCCCCAAAAATAAAATCCTGGGTGCGTCACTGATGTGAATTAGAGATCTACAGCAGGACCTTGTCCATCAATACTCATGCCGTGATTTTTTAAAAATAAATTCTCATCCTCAACAATTAACTAGAACTGGTGGATCTTATGCCTCTTACAATTCATCTGTTTCCTTTTCACCTACGGTTTGACTTTTTAAAGAAGTTCTTGCATATAACTTGTCATATAAAAGATGGGCTTTGTTTATGAATTGGAAAATGTAAGTGTTTTGAATCTTTATGAATAAAATTTTATAAAGATGAACCCTAATAATTCAAACCTTGGTATATGATAAACTGAATTTTCACTGTTCGCTTAACCCACTGACGACAACTCACGGGTCTAGCCCTTTAGTCGCCCGTTTCGCCGCAAGTTATTCGAAATGCTAACCCACTGGCTCTCAAGTAGTATGTTGAATCTTACCTATGAGCGCTAGTGTCATCGTGTGCTTATACTGGCAATCGACCTGTTCGGCCGACAGTGGTAATGGTAGCTCAGTTGGCTAAGGTGTGGGCAAAGGTAGCGTTGCAAATGTGTGGCTTAGCTGGAGGGAGGATAAACTTTAATTAAACGGCAACGGTGTCCATCTTGGGTGGAAGTTGACGGCATTAGTGAATTCAATACATTGGTATAGAGGCGGGGGACACAGATTTTTTTTGCTTTGATTTTGATTAAAAATAGACATATTGTGTTGAAATACATATATGATAAAAGACATAAAAGGACATAACATAAAAAAAATTAATAGATGAATAAAAAATCTGTCGTCAATGGGTTAAGATCTGATATCAAGGTTCCTCTGTATTTCTCTTTATGGATTTAGTTAGAATAATATGAATACCTCATTTTTTGAACAAAATGCACTCTAAAACCTTTCATTTATAGGTTTGTGTAGTAAAAAATCATTTGAGTACGGTATATTTCAAGAAAAATAATTGTCCAATATAGAAGATTCTTCATAGTGCAAGTTATTTGTTAGAAAACTTTGTTTTAATGTTACCTAAAACATAATTTAGAAGAGTGTTTTTGAGAGAAAGTCTATTTCTATAAAAATCTGCTAAACGCTATATTGATAACAATTAAGATGATCCATAAGACTCACCTTCACTACACTTCCTTCCTGTGTGCTTATATAGTATATCATTTTATTTTTCGGGTGTAAAGAAACAGAGAGTCCATTTAAAAACTTGAGTGTTATTTTGTTGGCTGATTTTGTTTTAGGGGTTGTGGCCTTTTTGCTTGGTAGAAAATAACTTAACTTCATTATTTCTGAAACAAGTGATATGAAGTTAATTTTGATTAGGAAATATTCTTTAATTTCTTTCCCTCAAATAGTTACTGTATTTTTTCCCTATGAAGTATAATGAGTATAAGTATAACACAGTTGTTTGCTCATTCAAATCAAATCAAATATGCTTTATTCATAAAGTACAGTTTTGTACATTGAATGGCGTCAACTAAATCTATCTTAAATTAATAATTTACAAATTAGCATATCTTAGACCATTATTAACATTTAAAACCAAGAACCAGTAAATGAAAATAATCAAAACTAAATCAATTATCAACTAACCCTAAGAGGGGAGGTGGAAAAATACTCTTCCAGGAAATAAAACGCTTTCTCCGCTAAATAAAGTTTTGGTTTTCTCATGAAATTCTTCCTGCTTTGTTCATTTCTGATTTCACTAGGAAGATGCTTAAACAATATTAATCCTGTATAGGATAGTTTTTTTCATATAATTTAAATTTATTTTTACTTGTAACAAGGAGTTTTTATGCCGAGTGTTGTATGGGTGATGATTTGTCTCAGAGGTGCTCAAGCAGTTTTTTGCTAGAATAATTGTGTCGTAAATATATTGGCCATGTACTGTTAACATTTTCAGTTCTTTGAATTTGTTTTTGGTTGTTTCGTTGTGTTCTAATTTCAAAATTATTCTGATTGCAATTTGTTTAAGCTTCCAAATCTGCTATTGTTGTTGAACCATTAAGGCACAAACCATAGGATAAATGTGGATGGACATTAGCATAATATATGTTTTTTTAATTGCATAAATAAAAATTGTACACTGGAAATTACACTGAAATAAAATCCATGGAGTTCTAAGAGTTCAGAAGAGGTGATTGTATGTAACAGAATAGAATTAGGTAAAGTTGTTTCCCTGATCATAAGATGTTCAAATGATTTTAGCCAAGTACTGATTTCCAATTTTTTTAAGATAACACTTAAAATTTAAGGAATCTAGATCCATAGGCAAGAATGATTTGTTTTGTACAATAAATAAAAAATATATTTACCATAAGAGCGGTAGCTTTCTAAATAATTCCATTTGTAAACTCTTCCACTTTTCCCAACAGATATAATCTCTTCAGTTTGAGCAACAAAGTCAGTATAAAAGAACCATTGTAAGTTCCCCACAGGACCATAACGCAAGCATCCCTCCTCCCTAAAATAAAGTTCTTCAGCATTTCATCACCTAATGTGTATTTCAAGTTGTCTAAAAACATAACATAACTAAAATAGCTGTTTTAAATATGTTACCCATAACCTGTTAGGCTAGGCGCACACGAGCGATTATTTCATCAGCCAATCTGTGCATCATGTATGAATGGAAGCGTGTGCACACAGGCTATCGAAAATTGCACTTTTAAAATCTGCAAAATGCTGCAGCTTCGTAGGCGAGGCGATTTTTGGCCGAAAATCTGAACCGTACAGGTTGTTACCTGTCCCCACACACGGTCGATTAAAAATCGGCCAGTCGCTTGTTGTTCTCGACAGGAGTCAGTGAACTTCAGTGTGAGTTGTGTTGTTTTCTTTGCTATTTTTCTTGTTTTTACCGTGGCAGTTGCAGACTCTGATACAGAACTGTTAATAACTGAAATAGAAAAAAGGCCACAACTGTACGCACTCAAAAAAATCCATTCCATTTCTCGACAAAAATATCACCACGTGTGAGGTTATGTGCGCCTGGACATAAATCAAGGGCGGTTTATTTTTTGCCGATTTTTTAATCGGCCGATCCAAAAATCGACCGTGTGGGCTTAGCCTTACCTGTTATTTCCATCTCATGTTTCAAGGATAAATTAATTAGTCATGTTTACAAATCTTATTCGGAGATAAACAATATTGTGCATGGTAATTATAGTGTGGTAGCGCTTATTGTACTGATGTTACCGATAATTTTTTTTCTAGCTAACTACTTTTACATTAATATTAATAATGTACATAAAATGTAAATCGAGCTAACAACCAGGTATGTTAACAGTGAGATTTCGACAATGGAAAGTTTTAAGAAGACGAGTTTACCCATTAAGAACTAGCTTGTTCCCGTTTGTGGAGGCAATGTCCAGTACAATTATTGCCCCATTGTAGCAGCCCAGAGCCAGGAGGTTAGGTTGAGTGTGGCTGAAGCTCAAAGTAGTCACAGAACTTTTCATCGGAAACATTCGCTCTGGCTGACTCGGATTCTTCACTGACCAACAACAAACTAGACCGTCATCTTCCTCGGACCCTCGAACGTAGCCATACCCCACCGCAACCACGTTCTGTCAACACACTTTACATCATATCAATTTACATACTCATATTTACACACATTTATTTAACCATGAATATGTTTTTCTTCCAACTCTAAATTACTTCACGCCTCAATAATAAGGGGATCTAAATTACATGCTCAAGTTATGGGTTTTTGAGACATTAGCTGATTTAAAGCCTGTTTAATGACAAATCTGTGGGACTTCTGGCCCAAGGCAGCATGTCATAAGTTTGAATCCTGCCACTACTTTTTATCAGTACAGTTCACCCTTGTACTGTAACGGCTCACCCCCGGCTATGAAGGGGTTTTACGCTCTTTCCCCATACTAAATTCCTAAATCTAAGTATGACACAAACTAATTCATCCGTTGGCTATCTGTCATACAACCTACTTAAGGTAAATATGAAAAATTAATAATGTTTAAGTCGTGTGTCAACAACAAATTATACAAACATTTAAATAAATGCAAGTGTCCACAAACAGAACTTACTATGTTAGCAGTATTCCATGATACAGCATTTACTATTCTATTTTTCGTGCCTTCATAAGAAAATGCCCATAGCTCATTCATAATGTAATGGAACCCGGTGGATAACTCTGAAAACAGAAATAAGAAATACCAATAAATTATGTTAGTAGATCTAATGAATTTTTCATTTCTATGAATAAAATACTTTACCTTTTCTAGTACTCAAATTTGTAAAAAAAATATTTCATCGATTCATTGTAAGAGTTAGTAATCAACTTATTGTACAGACTAAGTTGTTATATCAACCTCTAGTTTGCTAAATAATTTTTTGGCAACTTTTTTAGATTACACTGATATATTTTGTTGGTATTCTCACTATCCACTCCCATTACCACTCTACACGTAGTAAAACATTTGTTTTACACGACAATTCATTCTTTAAATCATGAGACAGTAGAACTTCTTATATCCTTAAGCACAAAACCGCCTGTCTTGGTTTAAACTCCTTAAAGGATAGTCAAAAGGAACAGAAAATGTGAGTCAGATATCAACCGCAAAATTGATAATGAACCAAATATATTTAATGAAAAACACTTGAAAGGTAAATAGAATGTGATATCAAAATGACTTTAAAAAAACTTGATACTTGTATAATTATTTTTAAGGACGGTAGGCAAATGGAAAAGTTGCTGGACAGGTGATTACGGTCAGACATTTAGATAAGGTAGTAGGATAACTAAAAACCGAACAGCGATTCTACTGCGGATTGAAAAATCATGGAGTCTACCAGCTGGGAACAGTGGTCCAGGTGAAGTATTAGATGATGAAGTCAACAATCACTGGCCCTTTGTTTGTGAGAAACGAGACCTCACAGTTTAAAGTTAAACCTCCCTTTCCGGCTCTGTCTCTCACGCAGTTGTCATTGAAATAGGACTGGTACATGAAATGTGCTACTTTCCTTGCCAAGTAATAAATGTTACCAGTGATTTATTTATGTGCAATCTCTCATGTACCATCCATTATTTGTCCATGACAAAATCCAAACAGATCACTATAATGTGATTGTGTTGATGGAACGAGACGTAGGAATTGGCTAACTCAGGAGCTCGCTAACTTGGTCGTGTGTCGGAACTGGCTAACTCTGGAACTGGCTAACCGTCTCAGTCAGGAATTGGCTAACTCCGGAACCCGCTAACTCGATTTTGTCTCGCGGCGGAATTCGCTAACTCTGGAAGTCGCTAACCCGGCCGCGCCCACTGCATGGAGCGTTGCCAACCTTGCACGACAAAATAATCGTACATTACCGTATTTCAAAATATCAGTGTCAATGAAGATACAGTAAATGTAATTGTTTTTGTTATCAATTTCACTTTTAACAGATAACTAGCCCAAAGTAATTCAAAGACAATTATTAAAAAACCATGAAAAGTGTTTTTTTTTATTTAACTCTACAATGGCCAGTTAAATGTTTATGATTTTGATCTTAAATCTAAATGCCATAAGTATAAAAGAAAATAATAGAGTTGAAAAATATTGAAAAGGTACTAAATAATTAAACCTCTACGAAATTAAGCTAAAATACACGCTAGTTCTCTAACACGGAAAACAAATTTAATCGTAATGTCATCAAACATCAACCATCGTAGCTTTCATAACTAATTCATAGATTTAAAATTAAATGTTCGTCGTTGAATCGTCCAACTTACGTGTAAAAATATGACATTAGACTAAGCTTTTATCTAGGCCTAATAGTTTACGCCAAAGCATTGTAGGCCTACTAGTAAATAGTTGCCTAATTCTAAAATGTGTTGAATTTTTTAGTAATAATGTTACATGTTTTAAAACAGTTTTAGATTGTACACCTAAGCACAGTAAATAATAGGAGATGATATAATACTCATATAATAAAACGTGACAGGGTAATTTTAATTCACGATTCTTAATCAACGAATTGACGGATTTTCTTAGTTGGGTTTCCTTTACATTGGTTTCACAATCGAAATAAACTATACCAAGCCATTGCTCGGTTCACCATTCCCCGGTACTGAGCTACTCAATAGACAATAGCTTTGTTTTTGGATAAGATCAAGTAATTTTAGGTATGGCCACCATTCATAAGAATTGTAACAAACAAGAACGCCTGGGTCGATTAAGAACCAGCCTGGAGAAAAACTCCAGACTTTTAAAAAGTAGGCCTACTGAAAGAAGTAAAATTAATATTAATTAAACAAAATTAAGAGGATGACCCGGGTTCTACACTAATAGCCTACGATAAAAGAAATTTACAAGTTGTATTTATGCATAGACTAATTTTTAATGCAATCTATGAATAAATTAGGCCTACAACTTTATAATATTGTATTGATAAATATGTATTTAAATTCAATAGCTCTATTTAAAAATACATTACCACTACAATGTATTTCTGGACTGACGTTTAATGTGTAAATTTTATCATGATTTATGATTCAATTTTATGATTCAAGGTTACAAGCCCAGTATATAAAATACGAACTCAATAATTTATTTGCAGAAGATCAAAAAATTGTATTTATTCGAATAAAAGAAACAAATGGCGAACTACGAAAATAGATATTTCATAACATGAAAAAGATCCAAATTAAATGTACATTTTTATCTTTTTGCATACCATAAAGCTACTATTTAAGTAAGAAGCCCAAATATAAAACATACTCCCTTATATTAGTATATTTCTAACCCTTATGGATCAGCTGAAAACAGTTTTATTGTTAGTTCTGTCCGGTGCACTGTCTTTAGAGGTTGTGTTTTGTTTACAATTGTTTCTTGTTTCCAGTCATTTAAAACCTCGTTTAACCAAATAAAACTTTCTTATCACAACTAATACACGTCCCCTAGTTATATAACCAAACAGTAAAGAGCAAATTATGAAGTTAACTATAGAAATAATAGAAACACAATTTTGTCGACACTAGCGATCAGTGTCACCGGACATGAACTAGACGCGAAAAACGAGCTTCAAAGTTTACAATGGGATATAAAGTTTACTTGTGTTGGTTAGTCTAAGGTAAGACTATAATGCATTTTTCACCCTAATAATCATGAGAATAATGTTAAACATACTTCTCAATATATTTATTTGATCAACTACGTTGCTCTTACTCCTAATTAATCGTAGGATACGACATTATGGTACCGATACTATATAGGTACTACACTTTCGGTAACACTGGCCGAAAATATTCGTGCTTGGCTCCCATTGGCCCGCGAGGCTTCTGATTGGGAGTTCCCCTATAAAAAAGTAATTTCTGGCCATATATGGCCATATCAAAATTCCATATATGGTTTCATAAAGCCATATATGGTTTTTTATGGACATATATGGAAGCAGATATGGCCAGATGTGGTTGTATCCATATATGGTGGTGTCCATATATGGTCATATATGTAGTCTATATATGGAATTATTGGCCATATATGGCCATACATGTTTTCTATATATGAAATGATTGTCCATATATGGCCATACATGTTTTCTATATATGAAATTATTGCCCATATATGGCCATAAATATCCTCCATATATGGAATCATGGTCTTTATATGGCCATATATGACTCCCAGGTATGGAATTAAATTACTCATATACGGAATAATAATTTTCCATTTATGCTCATGTATAAATGAGTTTTTGACAATAACTGGAATTATTATAAGGAATAGTTGCCACATTTGGATTTTGTAACTGGACTCCCAAACACTTCTTATAATATATATAATACTATAAATCTTAAAGTTTGTGAGTTTGTGTATTTTCTTGTTGCTCTCGGAAGCACAAACTACTGAACTGATTGAGTTGAAATGTGGTACAGTGGGGGGCAGATAATATAGGCATTTCTCATTTAAAGTAATTAGTAGTAAAGTAATAAAGTATCCAGATTTGAACCCAGATGACAAAATCCTGTACATACATCTATTGTACAATTTTATTATAACGCAACAAAATCTTAAAACTGACGTATAATTTTAAAATTGTAAGTGTAGTAGGCCTAAATAAAGAGAATATTATATTAATAATTAATTTATTGTACCTTTGCTATCAAACAGCTGCAAATATCTATGTCACGTAGTTAGGCTATATTAATAATAAAATTCTTCAAATGACATAAAATGTCTAAGAAAATCTTGTTTTACGAGACCAAATACAGCTTCTCTTATTCGTAATGGGTTTTGTAAAGACATCTGATATGAAGCGGATGTGGTGTAGTGGTCAAAGGGGTAGACTCCCACGCTGGAGTCCCGGGTTCGAATCCCAGTCGGCTACTTGAAAATTTTGTTTTGAAATTTTCAAATTAAAAATTTTTATTATGGTTTTAATGCATAGTTTATAAGATTTAATGTGAAAATATGTTTAATTGTAATTTTTTTATTTATTTATATATTTTTTATTAAAAAATTTCCATATATGGGGGATTCCATATATGATCATATCTGCTTATATTTGGTCCAAAACCAAATATAACCAGATAAAAAAAATTTTATATGGCCATATATAAACTTTTTCATAAGGGTTAGCGAGTTCCGCCGAGGGACCGAGTTAGCGACTTCCGTACGAGGACGGAATTCGCTAACCCGGCTCTAGAGCGGGTTAGCGGGTTCCGGAGTTAGCCAATTCCGAAACCGAACAAGTTAGCAAGTTCCTCTCATCGACCAAATTTGAAAATAGGGCTTTTAACATGGGGTTAGCGAGTTCCAGAGTTAGCCAATTCTGCGGACCCGATGGAACCTGTTGCTTCATGAAAACAACAAGATCCCCCCTACCGCAGCAAACCTGATGATTAACGGGATTCCATTTTTCTGACTTAAGTATTCTCACCTTGCGAGCCACTCCCTGCTCCCATGAACAAGACTTGCTGTCCGTGGAAGCTGTTGGAAGCCAACAATCGTTCTGCGACGGTTACTGCATACTGGAACTCCGGCAGTTGCATGACACGCAGAGCTTGCAGGTTAGCTCTGCGTGACGCTATGATTGGCTCATTGCCTTGGCTTATTGTGCTCTCTAGGAAAAATAGAAAATTAACTTTAATAGTTTTTTTTTTGTGACTCGTACCAAAGAGAGATCCTTAAACCAGTCAGTCCTTACTTAACACATGTATTTTTTTCTAGAGGTGGGCCTGAAAACCCATTCTGATTCATTTTGTTTTTACATTAAGTTTCAGTTTATGATTTTAAATCACTGTTATTTTGGCTAGAATGAACCTTTTAAAGTCATGTTTGCTGCACTGCACTGTGTTTTCATAATACAGACATTTAACTTAGTGTATACCTTATATATGCTCTCATGATATTGATCTATGCTCTCATTAAATATTTCACTCTGACTCCTTGCAACGGACTCTGCAATGGTTTAAAAAATAAAATGCTGTTCCCTGACTTTTTGAGCACTCTTTAAACAGGGTGTCACAAAAATATGTAGCGGGCTCTGCAGGACTAGGTTGTATGTTAAAATACGTGTTGCCATTGAACTTTCCCCCCATTTGTGAAGTGGGCTCTGTAATCAGATTTTTATTTGTGAAAATTCACAAACCAATTGAAATTTGTCACCAGGTTTGGGATTTTTTCTGCAAAGGAACAATGAGTGAAGTCTGAGTGAGCAGTTGTAAATTGGCTGTAAAAATGAATTAAAAACTTTGCTTCCACTTTTGTCATAATTTTCTAGGAATATCAGTGCTGCAGCAAGTCTCTGCTTTTTGTGAACATCTGTTTGGATCTTCAGAACCCACGGGGCACAAAGTTTTAAGTGAAATTTAGGCAATTTTATTAAGTAAACCCTGTGAAATTTTAAGAAAATGTTTCACGAGTTCCATAATTGAGGAACAGAAATTTTAACAAATTTCATCATTGACTTTTCCTGCCTACCAGTTTAACAGCCACTAGACTAGACCTAACACTGTGGTCCTTATCGTCAACATTTGTTCTCACATTTTTGAAATTGATGCACCACTGTCTCACTCAGCCACTTCACTCCTTTACTGTAAAAATCACAAATCTGGCAATAAATTTAATTTCATTTTCATTTTTTTCCAACAAAAAGCTGATCACAGAGCCCACTTCACAACTGGTGGGATTTGCAATGACAGCACTAATTTCACACGTAGCTGGATACGTTCTGAGTGTAGGAACACTCTGATGCTAAGATGGCGATGATTGCGCTGCTTCAAGCGGCACTGATACAAAACGTCCGTTACTTTCTAGACAGTTCTCGTATATGTCAAACTTGAACACTTTTGCTTTTCATTAAGCTTTGGGGACTTTATGTGTAGATGTGATTTAAGTATGAATATTGATGGATTCACCTGATGTAACAGATGGTCTGTGGACATCTCCTGTTTCCCCATCATCTCCATAGAGGAAATCTTGGGAGTACAACTCTGAAACAAGCAGTATAATTATTTCAAAAATATAGCGCACAATTATTCCAATTGTCCAATTATTACTACCAAACCGGGCTTAACCCTTGAGGGGGCGCATCAGCCAAAATGACACTAATGGGTGCATCGGTCTTTTCATTTTTTTTTTTTTTTGTAATAACAGTTTCTTTTAGAAAAAAAGGTAATTGATGAAAACTAAGGAAAATAAGTAAATTATATGATATCTAAATAGTTATACTAATAAAAAAAGCAACATTTTACATTATGAAAATACAAAATAATTATTTACAAGTCACAAAAGCTTACAATCAATCTTCGCTCTGTTCTCCAGCATTTTCAGCACAGGCCACACTAATGGGCTGAGTATTCTCTACAAATGTACATCTTGCAGTAAGCACACAAGATCTTGGTTTTCTAAAATGTTAATTTGGAAAGTTTTCACAAAATTCCACAACCTTTAACGTTTAATGTTGTATATGTGGTGGGGCCTCGTTCAACAGGGCTTCACCTCTTACTTGTAGGATTTTCTTGATGGTCTCTTTACAGTCTTTAGGGACCTGTTGAATCACTGATCTTGACTTTAGATAGTCAACACAAAGAGCCCAAGACAAGGACAAGTCTTAAAAACTCTCTTCGGGTCAACCATTCCTCGATATTAAAATCCAAAATAATATTGGTATTTATCGCCCCAATATTTAGTAAGGAGGAGAATATGGTTAGAGCACATCATGGACTGACTCTTTAATCAGGCTTGAATTATTCTTTCTTCATTAGGATTCAAGGTGAAAATGTAAAAATACACTAACACAGTTAGGAGCATAGGTGTTAACGACCGATTTTAATACAAACACGTGTTTGGGCGCTTCGGTGCAAATGACCGACCTTGCATTGCTTTCGTAACTGTGGCGGATAGTTTGGAACTAAACCCACCCCACCACTGCCATTTCATAGTTCAACCCCACCCTGAGGAGTATCTAGGAGGGGGTGCCCCGGTCCGCTTCCCCCTTCCGGTAATAACAGAAATAGTACAAGGAAGAAATAGTCCTAAAACCCTAGAAATAGTCCTTAATCCTCCATAAATAGTCTTTGCCCGCTGGAGGGTTAAAGTATATTAATTGTTCATATGTAACCCTTAGAGGTGGAATTTTTTTCATTTTTCGGCGAGTATAGGTTGCCATTTAAGCATTCGGGAAAATGGTGCCCGGCAACCTATACCCGCCATTCCACACCATAAACAAAGTTAAAGTAAAGTACGTTTGGCAAAGATAAACTTTTTCTTTTTTGATTTTTGATTTTTTTTCTTTTGTGAGTTTAGGTTGCCATTTTTGAGCAGTCAGAAAATGGCGGGCGGCCGCAAAGGGTTAAGGTAAAATGATAAATAAATCTTAAATCTATATTATGTTTAAAAAATTTTGAAGTTTTTAACTCATGTTTCAGGTAACTATTCTGACTTTTGGTTTAAATATTAGGACAATATCTTAAAATTTGTATAATCACATATGAAATTAAGATAAATAATTTGTGGATTGCAAGACAAAGAGGCGTAATTACACAGGCTTATCATATGTACTTGCGCCCCTTGGTCTTGTAAGCATCGAATTATGTGGCTGAAAAATAAGATTTCAAAATAGGTAATACTATTGTGATTCGGGTATTAAGATTGTTGTTCATTCATTTTTAGACTGCAGTCAGGTTGGGTTTTTATAATTCGACATTTACCAGCCTGACACGTTTGGTAATCCGACAAGCTCATGAAATCTTATTTCAGACATTAAAGATATGAACTTGTTGCTAGACGGGAAAAACAGTACATATGCAAAAAAATCTTTTTGACTTTTATTTTATAATCTGATTTACATTTTTGTTTTTATCAAGTCTACATGTAGTTCTGTACACATGTTAAAACTGTACTCTTCTGTGTCAAAAAAAATATTTTTCCTTCTGATCATGGACATTTATAGCATCATAACCATAGTTACTATCATATTTACAACTCAGGTCAGGCCAGCACGTTTATCAATGGATTTCAACATTAGGTACCAATTAGTTACTTTTCATTAATTTATGTTAAAAAAATCCTCAACTTATATTATATTTTCTTTTTGAAAAAAAAACTTTGCAAAAAGTAATAGACATTGATGAATATTAAATTTGTATATATATAGTTACATCACAGACAATGGTTACATGGTCATTTCGGAGTCTAGAATTTCCAAAACATAAATATTACAAATAGGTACCTACCTACCTAAAAAAATACAATAAGTAAAATAAAAAATGTTATAGTCACCCATTTCCTCATCCTCATAAGACAGACGACGGTAAGTGTCGTAAAGATCCCACTCTGATGCAAACACACAGCTTGTCTGAAACAACACTCCAGTAACTCTCTATTTTACGTGAAAACAGTTTCATCAAATGATATTTACTGCTATAGTTGTCCCTCACTTCCTACGGTATTGAAGAATACACTATGAAATTTCTTAATCATAAATTTGTAAGCTTTTTTTGAGAAGAAAAATGTATTATTTTGTAAGCAAACATACCAGGGAACACAGAGCAGGAACCACAAACAGTGATTGGTTTTTTTTATAAATAACAGTCCATTATTTCACTGTCACATTAATATATGTTCACAGATCAAAACATATACCAAAATAAACATAAGATGAGTTTTTTATGGGGAGGAGATAAAAATGCATTTATGCAAACTGAGGTGCTCAATGGCCTCTCAGTAGTGCTGGACTCCCGCGGGCTCAATGTCCCCGGACTACCGACTTAAAAAACCCCCTCGTCTACTAGGACACTAGCCTGGAACTGTTAGCACATTACTTCGGGCTGGGTCTTTTAAACTACGCCACTAGGGCTTTCCTTCTAGTTTCCTCAGAAAACTAAGTCCGATCAAGATCGACTTTCTTATCAAAAAGTATGGCCTCGATTAACTGCTTTACACAGTTCCAGGTTCCTTTCCCCTGGGGCATAGCTCCAACGATGTTTTCGTTTTCGGGAGTAATATCAACGCCGATCTCAAAGATCAAGGAGGCTCGGCGGACATGCCACAAAAGAAGAAGGTGTGCTGGGCCGTGTCTGCAATGCCAGGACAGTACAGACAGTACGGGCTGGCAGCCTTCCCCATTCCGTGCAAAAAGTCCCACTCAACAGCCTGAACAATGGCTATTACCTACAACCGTTTTTTAAAGTAGCCATTTCAATACAGTTCTTAGAATTGAAAAGTATCTCATAACAGCATTGTTTACTTTCATAACAGCATAGTTTTACTCATAGCAACACGGGTAACAGTCCAATGAGCTCATGGATTGAGAGAGGAGAAGCAAAATTGTAATAATTCGAAATTCAACTAATCAGCTGTTCAGGCCAATTTAATTTTTGAGTGGTGTAATTAGTGTTTGGTGCAATGTTTGCATCACTGTCAGTGGCAATGAGAGGTTATAAACAAAAACATAACCTCTTTTAGAAGTTTCTAGTAGTGATTTTTATTAATTAAAATACTGTCGTTGGTAAAGTAGTGTACGCAACTAACGTAAATAGTGTTAACGACACTCAAAGTTTTTAAGGCACTTGCCTTAATTTTCTACTTGTGTCGTAAACTACTATATTGTTACATATTATAATCATTAATCAGCTGTAAAAAAAAAAAAATCATTAAAACCAGTTTAGTAGCATATCTAGTTGTATACTTACAGACATCTCTATGGGGGCAGTTTGAGACACTTTCTTCTTGCTAACAGGGTTGTAGGTCTGTGCAGCTGTGTCAAGTCTATATCTGCGTACAGCTGGAACTTCGGTCTGGGTCTTTACGCAGACAAATATGAATCACAACTAACCATAGTAAAAATATGTTGCTGATATTTAAGTTGTAAAAATGTCTTGTAAATAATGATTTCATCCATCAAACTGTACTATATGCCACTAAAATTGTTTAAAATTGCAGAGTGATTGTTCTTGTAATCTTAAAATCATCGTAGATCAGTCCCAACTATAGTGGAGAATATTTTCGAAGATAGTGAAAATATAGGCAATAATAAACTTCTTCTAGGTATTCAATTTTCAAAAGAATGAAGTTAAAAACTAATAAAAAATAAAGTGTATTACAGTGTTGGCAATTTATAAATTTAAAATACATCTTTTTTGTCAAAGAACTCTGTTGGACACAATTCAAGACTAAATTGCTCATGTAATTTCATTCAGACAAATTAAAACCATATGTTTGTTCAGGACAAGTTTCAGTGTTCACCATGAACCATGATGAGCATTCAACTGGATGGCATTTCAATTCCAAAACTAACAAAAACTTTAACATAAATATCGAATGTCTAGATCTATACATTGTCAAAGGTTCTCTGTAACGTTGTATGAAAATAAATTCTACACTATAGATTTGATACTATCAGTGTTGTGTCCATACTACACAATACTGACCTCCACCTCCTCTGTTTTGACAGTGTTTGTACTTGGCATGTATAGGTGCCAATGGTGGTTTGACTCTTCCAGATACAACGTAACTGTTTCCGGTTTTACTACTGCTTCTTCCGTTTCCAACTTGCATGTCCTTAGATTTTCTTTTACTGAAATTATGACAAATATTAACTATGATTACTGTATTGAAAAGCAAAAGTACTCAGTGCTTGATACACACACACCTACACATACACATACATATACATTTGAATACATTCACTGGTTGTGTTGTCCTGACAACCATCATTATAACCACAAGTATTAAAAAAGTGTAACAAAATAACTAAAGGGTTTTGTTAATGAGTCTATATATTCCAAGTTTCAGTATCAGTGACGTGTGAAATAATATCATAAGCAATGTTTTGTATATTTTAACCCTAGATTGGTAATGGAGAAAAGGGGTGAGACAGTTTGGTGCTCAAACCTTTTGGGTCATTCTTCGTCAACTTTAGTTTAGTCGCTTTGTTACACAGATGTAAGTGGTGGTTATATATTGCCTCACTTCTCTTCTGATTCTGCTTGTCATCCATCTAGTAATGCCATGCCTGAGCCAGACTCTCAAAGTCATTATTGTAGCAAGTTGTGAAGAACCCAATCCTTGCACTCCAATAGTGGAAGAAGTTTTAAGTGACTAGGAAACCCTTAACTTTATGTTAAACTTTTTATAAAACTTTTGAGTTATTAAACCCCTTGAAGGGAAGAAAATAAATATATACTTATTTATAGAAAGAAGTATTCTAGACAAAACTATAACATATACATTCTTTCAGGAGCCTTACCAATTTAAGGTTAAACCAAAAGCTATTATTCTCAACAACAAAAAATAAAACTATTTAAATGTACTCAAGTGGTGGCAAATAATTTATGCTAAACTATAAAAATTTCATGGAAGGATGTTTTATATCGGTTTTAAAATTCATCCCAAAGATGACTTAAGACTGCAGACTTTTACACTGTAGACTTACAACTGGGCTTAAGAAAAAAAAAAATAAAAAGTGTCCACCAATTAGATGGGGTTTTATTTTTGAATAGGTTGAATCATGGCTAACCAGTTAATTTGTTTCTTTGAGGAAAATCAATAGGCAGCAACAATGTTCGTGCAACTATTTTCCTCACCTATTTCAAGTTCTTTCAGGTAATCCTTTTCAACAACTTCAGTAATGGTAACAGACTTCTTAAGATATGTCGTCCCATCTTTGCTCATTTTCTTTCCTTGTCTGCTTCCAGCTTCGCTTTCATCAAACTTGCTCTAAACAAATGAACACACGAGCTAGGTTTTACTTGTCATAACATCAAAATATCCATGTTATAAAAGACACAAAAAAATCCTTTGAATATTTCTTTTGGGATCATTGTAAAAGCTGTGTGTTTTGTTTGCTTGTCGTTGTGTAAGGAGCTGAAGTTTAGGTTAATAATTGACCGCTGAAATATTGATATTGTTACTCTGTTACAAAAATCTGGTGGACCAGTAGGCCTCTACTTATATTTATAAATGAAAATTAATGAAATCAAAGTTACTGTCAAAAACGTTTTTATGGCTAAAAAACAGGTGATTTTTCATAAAAAAAAAACATAACCTTACATTCTAATATCAGAGAAAAATTAAATACCCCACCGCAGCAAACCTGCAGACTAAGCGATTTTCCATTTACCTGGCTGGATTTCTACTAAAACATCTCCCAAATACTGTCAGATTTATTTCCTATTTAAATAACATTAATTTTATTGAGTACTTAGGTTTCCTGCTACAGGGAAGATATCGAAGTGTGTTTTTTTTTTATTGCAATGTTGATAGCTTAGTATGAAATAAACAAAATTTCCTGGTTAAAATATACATCAATAAACAAGCAAACTACAACAGTTTATTTATTCTCCGTAAGAATAACATAGGAATTTTAAATTTACAATTTTTTAAATTATCTCCGTGACCGTTAGGCAAACAACAAAGCTTCAATTTACAAAATGATTTCTTCTTTTAAGCTCTACAAAATGGTTTGGACAGAAATTATGAATATTTGTGTTTTTAGGGTCAAAAATGGGAAAAATCTATTTTTACCCCATAAAACCTCGTTCCCATAGTCCTATTATGCTGTTTAGCGAACTCGTTTGAATAAACCTAGGTTTACACGTTTTTTCAAATTTCATTAAAATGGGATCATTTTTGCTCGAGTTATCATGCTAACGGACACACACACACACACACACACATATATATAAATATTGAACGGATGGTGTTTTTTGCCTCTGGGGACCTCAATACGAAAAAGTAAATCTGCCCCGGGTCTAATAGGCCTTACCATGAGACCTAAGGTAATAGCTTATTCCCTATATGGAAAATTCGCTAAAATTGAAATGGTGATTCTGAAATTAAAATTGCTTTCATTAAATATTTATTTGAATGGTAGTGGGTTTTTCCTCACAAAGATTTTGAAATTTTCTTTATAAACAATATTGTATTGGATATATTTTTTAAGTTAACTGTCTATCTGTTCAAATAACATATAACAATAAAGTATGTTCATATTTTGAAGTACATATTTGAAGTTCATATTAGGGAACTCAGATTACGCTATCTCAAACATTCTGAATTCATATAGGCCTACATGCATATATATTTTTCTGTTTAAAATTGTATTCATCCTAATATAGTTTTCTAAATAATCCAAAATGCCAACTTACATTGTTTATAAATTTAAATTAAATAATTTATGTTAACAGCTAACAGCATGCGATGCAATGCAGCTATGCGAATTAAAGTTAATTAATTATTCATGCATCGGGTATTTTGTAAATGTTTATAATTATTTGAACAGGATAAGTATTTTTTAAATATTCCTTTTTGTCTGAGAAAAAAACATTCAGTCTGTTCATAACAAAGAAAAGCGGACCAACCTGTTTGATCATAAACTCCAATAGGATTATTAAATATTTTTAGGCATCTACAACTATACACGCCTGATACAGTAGCGTTTGTACATAATCCCTTGGCCTAACACTGTGAGATCAAGTCTAGGAGTAGAAAACTATTGTCAAGAGTGGATCCCAGTGGTTTTCAAGGATTTAGGATTTTAGGGACAATCACTCCTGTAAATGAAGGTATGTAATCAGCAGCTGGATTATCACACTATAAATCAACATTTAAGAAGCCTGGCCGATTCTCTAAAAAAAACTCAACAAACAAACAAAAAATACAACTTTGAAAGTATTCTTGTTTGTCTAACTTACTTTGACTGAAGGTTTTCTCGGCAGTCGCTGTGGACCAAGTATCAGTGGTCGAGGCGTGACGTCAAAACCATTATCATCATAAATCTGAAACATTTATTTCTGTAAGCCCTGACGTTTTATGTAGCATACTTGAATATTACAAAAGACAGGTCTGCATTGGATACTAAACGTTGAACACCTTTTCATTGTTCTTTTTGCATATACATTGAAAAACTTTGTTGGTAACTTTTGGTCTTCCTCAACTCTTCCGTAATAATTGATCTTAGGTACCCAGAATCTTTTCGCAAACTAAGAAAACATGCCACATAGACATTTAGTCAGGAACCTTCCTCAGAATAGAGGAAACCCAAAGCGATCCCACTTTAGGAAAAACAGGCCCCTAGGCTGCACCTGAAGTGGTGCAAGCCCTGGGGTAGGCCTATACAATTCCCTCGAAAGGTTTAAATGTTTGATTTTATATCACTTTCCCATTTATGTACAGGAAACTTTAAAATTGTACACAATTTATGGAGTAGGTTTTGCATATGTTCTGTGAAAATGCCAGCTAACAATTGAAGAAAAACAATGGTGGAATATTAAAGAGTTTACCAATTTGCTCTCTATAAACATTACTCTCTTCAGTTAATACACGAATTGTTGCAGTTAGACACTTGTTGACTGTTAAACAGCTGTTTCATTAAAGCTTGAGCCATGAGAATATCCTAACCTTCTCAAGTGCAAGTAAAGCTGGCAGATAATTGGAGCAAGTTCCAGAAAATTACTTTCGTATTTGAAAATGGACATAAAATAATTTCGTACTGAATAACAGACCTCATTAAAGTTAAAACTATAATATTACCTAACATTTTTTAAGCATGAAGCAAAAGTTAACAAAATAGTACCCCTGGCAATGTACAGATTTTAAGTTCAAGGTTTATGTTTACTGTGCAGTACACACACTACTATGCCAAAAGCACAGCAACACTAGCTTAAGCTTATGTCTATTCCTGTTTCCATTTACATTGTTGAAAAGTAAAATCAGCTGATTTAAATTATAAAAATAAATGGTAAGTTAACTTGCGCTCGTGATGGGGAAATTGAGAACTGATTGGGATTTGGGAGCATAGGATAATCAGGTGACCGGCTCTGCCTTGCTCTGAATTAGAGCGTTGGAAACAATTATTTTCTTTGATTTCAGCTGTTATAGAAAGTAACTATAATTTCTATACAAAGTTATGAAAAAGACGCTTTGAATCGGCATATGAATTCTGCACTCTGGTAGTAGGAAACAATGCACCATTAACACGGACTACAAAGATAACACAGATTAAAATATTAATTGTAATTGCCAAGTAAAATTTCATTGGTTTAGGTACGCCGCGATTGCAGCTCATCAGTGTATCTTAAAAGCAAGTATTAAGTTATACGTAGCATTGATTGTAAAGATTTCATATGCAAGAAAAACTTATTTTTTAAGATTTTTAGCAGCTCGGTTATTTTTAAGTTCTAGAAAACTTCTACAAATAAATGTTAACCTTAAAACAATAGCCTACAATGTGGAAATGAATGGATAAATAACAAAACAAACCCCCATTATTATATATGCTTAAATTTTGATAAAATAAAATCTCGCGCCAAGAACTTTTGAATAACGTCTAAAGAATTTGCCAAACAGGATACCAAGCTCTTGAAATATATAGAGTGTCCCACGAAGAGGTTTAAACTTTTGATTTAATATTACTTGCCCATTTATGCTGCGATCATTTTGAAACTTTACAAAATGTATAAAGTAGGTTTAAGAAATGTTCTAGGAAGATTTCAGCTCCCTAACCCTCGTAAAAACAAAATGGTGGTATATAAAAAAAATTAAACATATTAAAAATAGTGTTTTTGTTTTCGTAAAATATCTGTATTATAACATCCTAGGGAAATAAGGCTTTTAATCAGGAAATTATAACATAGCCTAGTGAAAACCCTAAAATTGAGTCCAAAATTATTCGAACTGTGAGCATAGTTAATAAATAATAATAAATTAATTAATTTATTATGGGTAGCCTCTGGACCATACAGCAACAATAATAATAATGGTTTAATTTAATATGATTAGTTAATAAAAACATTCAATATGCCACCATTTTGTTTCTACGAGGTTTAGGGAGCTGAAATTTTCCTAGAATATTTTAAAACATACTTAATAAATTATGTAAAATTCATAAACATCGGTCTATAAATGGGCAATAGATATAAAGTCAAACGTTTAAACCTCTTCGTGGGACACTCTGTATTATATACCGTTATTGAATAATTTGGTATGCTAATATATGATCTATCTTGCATATAACCATAAGGTACAAAACAAGATGTTTTGCTGTCAAATCTATATGCTTTGAAACGTAAAATCTCAACATAAGTCGAGTGGTAGTTATAACAATTCATTAAAATTAATTTGATTTTGTCAAGGCTTGAATACCTACCGTACTGTATCTAATTCGTGTTTGTACTCACCCGAACACTATCGGGGGATACGTCTTCTTCAGCTTTTATAGAACCTAAGCGAGAAGACATTTCAACTGTTACAAAAGCCATAAGTTTAGTTAGTCATAAATAGTGGAATTTGTGGGCGCATTCTCTTATATAAGTACGGTATTCCTAGTTTATTTACTCGTTGCTAAGTGATGGCAGAGTAGCGCCGAACGACCGAACACTGTGAATGATTTTATCATCTCCAAGTATTAAGATTTAACACAAAATTAAAACATTTAATTGATTTACCTTCAATAGCGTTTCATCCGCTTTTTAGGTTAACTCCCTAACCCCTATCCTTTGCTAGGTAGAAAGGGATGGTATCATTGACGTGATAGGGGATGGAAATGTTTTGAAAACAATCATTTTAGATTTAGGCATGCGAGCATCTGTCATCGATGTACCGATAACATCGTCAACAAATTGATTGCAAGAATCTAACTATTTATCCTACTGTCTTAATTAGCTATAATTAGTGTTATAATCTATCATCATTCTAAAGTGTCACTTCTGGAATTTATTACAAATGAACTGATTTGGTTAGCTTTTTAGAGTGTATACAGTGTAGATGATTAATTTCTAACAAAACTCTAGTCTATAGGCCAGTTGACGATTGTTTTGGAGTCGATATTTAATCAGGATATCGATAGAATAAAGACAGCATAATCAATGTCTTGTTTTGAATTTTTCAATTAGTTGCATTTGCATAACAAAAAGGTAAGTGTTGTTGCTTAGTGTGCAGGTTTGCTGCAACGGGGGTAATTTATTTTACTGTGGATTCGGGTTTCTCGCATACTATTTCACCTTAATTACGTGGTATAACAACTATAATTGTCAAAATATTAAACGAACACTTATCTTCAAATCTATACAAGTCCTCACATTGTTGTGCAAGACTCAAGACTGCATTGATAAATAGACTAAAAGACTAAACTTTAAGAAAATGTTGGATTAACTAGCATTTTCTATTTCTCTATATTGTGTTGGAGATATTAAATGAGTCATGGTTCTGAAGTTTGTTGACCTTTCAACCAAATGCGTTTCTTGTAGTAATTTCTAGAGCAGTACCGGTAGCTAAATAGCTCAATAAATAAAATAGACCTAAAGGGTGTTTCTTTTTTAACACCCATACAAAATAACAGTACTGTAAGACACATTTTAATATCAAAACAGCAAAACAGCTTTACATTTTGGTATCCCTGTTTTCTTTACTTCAATGCCTTCAGCTGATATGCGTTGTTGCATAGCAACTATATCAATAAAGTATTGGTGTTGTCTGGAATTTAATGTAAATGACACAAACTTGGCGCTTCCCCAATCTTGAATAGTTGGAATACATATATATAGGCTACGTTGAAAGTAAATCATTGGTTTTATGCCAAGAAAAAGTGTTGAAATTAAATTTCTAGGTGTGATTCCAGTACCTAATAAATCCCCTATTTATTACTGACGTTTACAAATTTAAGAAAACAGAATACGAATAAAAAAAACGTAATGCCTAGATTTAAGTGAATATCAGGCAAATGGAAATTTGCTCAGTGTGCAGGTTTGATGCAACGGGGGGTAATTTATTTTTACTATGGATTCGGGTTTCTCGTTTTTGTACTATTATAGTGTTAAAGTTATTCTTAGTTGACATGCACAAATTTAAGGAACCTAATCGGTAGTAAACAAAAAATAACCCCTTTGCAGCAAACCTGCATACTACGAACATTTTTATCTGCCTGATTTAATTTTCACTTACATCCAGAGATTTCAGCTGTCCATAAATTCTGATTTGGTTCCTTAAATTTGTATTTCATTTTCATGTTCATATTATTTTCCACGGCAATGCCATTTACAATAAACAATCAGTTAAGATTATAAATAAGATTATATAAACTCCAATACTGACTTAGAAACTATACAACAAAATAACATCTCATCAACAATTGCATCAATACAAACAATCAACAATAATAGCTATAATACTATGACATAACAATAACAATGCAGAATGATTATGAATAACAATAACAATGTATGAAGATTAAGAATAACAATAACAATGATGATAATATGTAAATCTGAATAGTTTTAGTGTAGGATGTCTGAGTTTTAAACTGTATTCTAAAGTAGGTGTAAGTCTAAAGATGTATAACTGTATTTGGGTGTATAAGTGCAATTGATTGTGAATTAATTAGTCTTGTAGGATTTTGTGTTTAAGGGACGCTAGATTGTCGTTGTAGAGGTCAACATGGGTTGAGAATTCGTTTCATAACCGTTGGAGTCGGATCATCGGACTATTAGTCAGGTAGCCTAGTTAGTCCTGTACTGCGTCCTGAAGAAGACATCTGCAGACGCCTTTTTAAAACAAAACGTTTTTAAACGCACTAAAAAGTAGAAAATCATAGGTTATTTATTAGGTAGTGGAATAACTCATGGAGACTTTATTTCAAACCTTTCTTGGCATACAACCTTGATTTACTTCCAACTTCCAACCTATTATTCCAAATTACAAGATTGGGAAAACGCCATATTTGTGTCTTTACAATACATTCCCAATAACACTAAACCTCGCCTCGTGGTTAACTATGCTGCAAAACATATCAGCTGATCGGCAATGAGTAATTAAAGAAAACAGGGATACGAAAATATAAGGCTATTTTGTCATTAAAATGTGTCTCACAGTACTTTTTTTGGGTTGCGCGTAAAAAAGACCTCAGTTGATGAATGTAACAACTAACTACATTTCTAATTTCTATACTGTATTATTTTAATCATATATTTTTTGTTAAATAACTGAAAAGTATACATTGCTGACTTTTAGATAGTTTTATCGCAATTGGCTTTCCACTGATTGGTGATAATAGTACAGAATAAAGAGTAAAAAGTCTTCGCGTGTTCTGTAGTAGAACCAAAACTTACTCGAATAATCAGGTCAAACATCTGCTAAGTGAAGCATGCGATCTGATTCATCTGGCCATAAAATTAAATGACTCATCACATTATAAGTGGACTAGATTAATGGAATTGTGTTTGTTTCATTAAAATGTTACCTAGATTATAAACACAAACATTTGTTTTGATAAACATTCTTTGTTAAAGTTTCAATTTGTTTACGCCATTGTGATATTCCGTTGTAGGATAGATTGAGGACATCTCAATTACGAATATAACTAGTAGCTATAGAACAGAGTATTTTAGTAAGTTCAGGAACTTGGAGTCTGACTCCATCTTTAACACCAAGATCGTATAATCTATATAAAGTCTATTGAGACAAAAGTACCGTAACACCAATTACACCAATTGCAGAGTTTCCAAACATATTTTCAACACTGTATTGGCTAATTAATTACAAAATATTAATTTCTCGTAATTCTTCTGTACTGTGTTATATTTACATCACAGGTCACAAACAAAATTAACAGAGCAACCTACAGCCAAAATTATTTAGTCTTAAACAAATCCTTAATCATTCATGCAATTCTTTTTAAATATCAGCTGTAGAATAGAAAGGTACTGTACACATTTTCGAAGAAAATATACCCTTCAAAGGAACAGGCAAAACCATCTGCTTTAACGTTAACTTTAAATCCAAATTCTTTCATTGCAACTTTTACGCAGGATGTGGGCAATCATTAATGCAATTCTTTTTAAATATCAGCTGTAGAATAGAAAGGTACTGTACACATTTTCGAAGAAAATATACCCTTCAAAGGAACAGGCAAAACCATCTGCTTTAACGTTAACTTTAAATCCAAATTCTTTCATTGCAACTTTTACGCAGGATGTGGGCTTAAGCGTAGTAGGATTACAGGAAATGCTCCATCATCTCAGAAACCGGTCCACGACTGAATGTCACTAATGTCAGATGACGTAGACTGTAGCAGACTGGAGTGAGTGACTGTCACAACATAACCATCAGTCACAGTCAGTCATAACCAATCAGCTGTGGTCCAGGCTAGAGTGGACAAAATAGACTAGACAGACAGCTCAGCTGACAGACATCAATAGACCACAGAAGAAGTTGTCTGCACTCAGATATCTAGAATCCGTTTAGTTCACCAGGTAAGGAAGATTTTCTCTCTAAATTAAAACTTTCACAACCAGTATTATGCCATTATATGTTCTTTATATAGTCCATATTTCACACTGTAACTTGATTGATAATAGTATCAGTAAAGGTTTTTTTAGTACTGATATGTTAAGTTGTATTTACATTTAGCATGCAATTTTTATGTAACATTATAAATAACTTCTATTTCCTTATGACCTGATTTAATGAATAATGATGCTTTAGTTTCATGCATTATATATATAGCTACTAGCTGTACCCGTGGGCTTTGCTCCGTTTAACTTCATAAGTGAGCTCGTTCGCATGGCTCAATCACGTCTTGGTCGAAGTTCGTTCGCTACGCTCACTCACTTTTAGGTCGGAGCTCGTTCGCTGCGCTCACTTGCCTTCAGGTTAGCTCGTTCGCTACGCTAACTCGTCTCCAGGTTGAAGTTCGTTCGCTACGCTCACTCACCTTTTGGTTGCAAATTAGCTGTTGTCATAAATGTAAAAGAAATAATAGTGCTGCACCCTGTTGGCGATCCTTGTAACTAATGCTATTGAACATCATAGAACAGAACCAACTTGTTTAATTGAAACAGCTGTTAAGATTCATTAATTCCATTTAAATATGAGTACTCAAGGTTAACATGGGAAACTCCAGAGCCACTGGGGCGGAGCCCGAGAGTCCGATCAGAATAAAAACAGCTTAGTTTTCCTATTTAATGCCTAAAGAATCAGTGTACCAAATTTCAGCCTCCTAGGTAAATGGGAAGTAAGAGAATTAGTGATGAGTGAGTGAGTGAGTCAGTCAGTCAGTCAGTGAGGGCTATGCCTATTATATATATAGATAGTTTATTTGCTCAAATATTGCTTTGTTGAGAAGATTAATTTACTTAAGTAGGAGTGTAGTGTTTTTCTTGAGCAGGAAACCCAATAGTCAGTGGCTCGGGTGAGCAAGCAGCTTTGGTCCCGGGTTCGAATCCCGTCAAATTACCGACGGATTTTATTGAAGTAATGATGCCACAACCCCTAGGTCTAGCCTGAAGTTATTCTCCGTCACCTTCCATTTAGATTTTTTTACTAGGCTTTGAATAGACTGTAACCCATTTGTCTCCACAGTATCCTTTTCGTTCCGTTCCTTCTCCTTCTGGCGACATTGATCCCTGGGGCTTTGGTGATGGACGTCGGATCAGGTGTTTCTCTAGTCTGCGTGCACCTGCCATTAGTCTCTGTGAAGCTTTCGTGTGTGACATCTGTTGTGTTTGATGAAGCACACTAACCAGTATTTTAATATAACAAAAATCACCAAAAAATAATCAAAATGGTTACAAATACATTTATAATTTTAGGATTGTTCATGTACTTACTTCGGAGTCTGGGCAAGACACTCCTAACGACCGATGTCCTAACGAAAGTTGCTATGTTTCACTGGAAATGTCAATAAGTCAACCAACTCGTAAAACTTAACTTGAGAGTTGAGACATGCCAAAGTATAGAAATAAGATATTTAAGTTGTTGTTTTTTTTTAATCCATGAACAAATTATGAAACTTGCCGTACTCATCTCTTCCTTTGGATATAGTATGTACCCAGAACCTATGGTTTTGTTGTTTGAGTCTTCGTTCCTCCTCTTCAGCACTAAACACAGCTGCCTCAAACAACTCCTTGACCTCAAAGAACTCTTCAAAGCGACGGACTAACAGGTTATTGCCTTAAAAATGGCAGAAGGTGTCGAAGCCAAATGGAGACGGAAAGGAACGAAACAGAACGGAAGGCAACGAACTAAAGTAGTGGGTTTCCTGCTTTATAGAAAGTATTTTGTATTATCGTAAAAGTAAGAAAATATTTTGTACGATGTATTTGATTGCAGATACATCCAAGTTTAATGCATAATATTTCCAATTTTCACCATTTGAATTAAACTAACCATCGTTTGAGTAAATTTATATCAAGTGTTGTTTGTTAAAAACAAACTCTCATTTTAATATTCAACATCAAAATCTTTTTTGAATAAATCCTAAACACAGGGTTCAGCATTTATTATTGTAAACATCTTAATATTTATTTTTGTCATATTGCATAAAAAACTGGAGGGGATTGAAACGAAAAGTTGTGTGAATAACGATTGTATTTTCTATCTACATTTAGTTAGCTGTGCCAGTCTTCAACCTTCAGCTTTTATCAATCCCAAGTTCAAATTATTGATATTTCTTGTTCATTAACAATGACCCCACATCAACCAGCTGGCTGATAGCTTTATAACTTTATCTAAAACCATTGTGTTATTTCATTACTAATTTACATCACAATTGAATAACATTTTCAAATCAAAACATTAATTTATTGGCAAAACCTTGAAGGAAGAATACAACAGACTAACTCACATTACAATTCCAAATCCACACTCATTACGATAAAATTACTAGACTGTGTATGCAATATATTTAGTAATATGAATACAATTGAATGAATGGATGACTTAAACAGTATATTCCAAGAAACATTGGCTACAGGTTTCAGTAAAGGTTCAAGACAGAATTATACATTTTTCTACAACAGAAAATACATTTGTGTTTTAGTTAGCCACAAAATTTAATAAAACAATAATAATAGGAAATAGCATTTGGTACTCTCAATGTATTTTTAATATGTGTTGTTGAGAATATTATTTGTTCTGTTTTGTGAAGCTTTTCCTGTATTCTGTATAAAAAATAAATAAATAAAATGTGGTCCTATAACAGCAATAGTAATATTACTCCCAAAGTTCAAGGTTTGATTGATTTAGGATTGTTTACCCAAGCACTGAAGATAAATATATTTAAAATGTTTCCTTCTTATTTATTTTTATTAAAAGAACAATTTTTAGATGATTATATACCTGTTGATGTTAGCAAATTTGAAGCTCCCAAAAACAAAAACTCTAAACTATGTTTAACTTGAACCCTTTTTAATTAAAAAAAAAAGGCTGCAAGAGTTTTTCTAATCAAAAAGGGAAGTAAGTATATGCATTTTGTACAAGATATTTAATATTGTCTTATACAATGTTTATGTTTTAACCAAAGCTGCATCTCTGTTGTATTAAAATCACAAAACATTATCCCTGGCTCCCCAACATACTGCTTGAACCCTGCTTGAATATTTTTTTAGTTTTAGTTTTTGGGAATATTAACATTATAATTCAATAAAGGAACTATTTTTCAGCACAGCACTTGATTTAACTAGGTCTAACCTCACAGGATTGCAGAAACTTGCAAAACATATTGAGCAAGCATAATTAGCTTACAGACAGTATTTGTCAACAAACTGGTTCCGACTAACCCTTGCACTATACAAAGGACTCTGTATAAAACTGACCAGTGGTTATCAGCAGCTAATTGAGTTTAATGTTGGAATATATTGCTTCCCGGATATTTTAAAATTTTAAAATTAAAGTAATGAACACTACACTAAAGGTTGTGAAAAAAGAATTAATAAATAATTAAAATACAATAGCTATTCAGTTTGAAGATTGATTGTTTTGAATATTCATTTATATGTATGTATGTTTTAAACACAGAAATAATTGCAAATAATGGATTTTAAGGTTAATGATCTTGTATTTGGTAAAGTAAAGGGTTATCCACACTGGCCTGCCCAAATTGTCAAAATAGACAATGAAACTTACACAAATATTACTAAGTATGAAGTAAAGTTTTTTGCAACCCATGAAACTGCTAATCTTAATAAAAGAGATTTACGCTCTTACAGTGAGAATAAACTTTTGTACCCTGCAGAAAGTGTTGCTTTGAAACATAAAGAACTTTACAGTTTAGCTTTATCTAGCATAGCTAGAGCGGAAGCAAATCTTAAAACCTGCACCAAATCAATGAGCCCAGTTTTAAATAAACAAAAAACTCCCTTAGCTAAACAAAAAACTATTTCTAATAATCTAACTCCGGATGATAGGGATATTTCGAAGAGTCCTACGCCTTGTGTGTCACTGAATCGTACAGAAAAAGAATCTATGACTCATGAACCATCCAAAAATGACAAAAATCGGAAAGGAAGTAATTACCAGGCCTTCCACACACAAATATTAATGCAAGAGCTTAATGCTGCAAAAAGTGAAATTGCAAGTCTAAATTTGGTCATTAATGAGCTTCAAACAAATAATGAAAGTTTATCAAAGGAACTGGATTGTGCAAAAATAAGAATTGGTCAAGGATGTGGCAAATGCTTTCCTCCACTAAAGGCCCAAAATAAAAATCAATGGATGCTGGAAACAAAGCCAAGGGGTGGGAGTAATGTCATTGCCTCTCGAGGTGTTGATTGCTCAAATGCCTACTCTGTTTTGTCTGACCTTAGTGAAAGTAGCGATGAGGAAATCGAAGTCAACGAAATAGATCTACAGAGGCGGCAAAAGCAAAACAAACCCAACAGAAGACAAATTCCCCCTGCTCCACAAAACTATAACAATAAAAGAAAACGGTCTCAGCTTCTAATTCTGGCAGATAGCCATGGGAAAAATCTAAGTTGCCTTATTGAGCAAAGATCCTCGGCAAATGTCTCTGCAATTGTTAGACCTGGAGCTAATTTCAACCAGGTGATCGAAGATGTCTCAAACTTGGGGAGAAACCTTTCAACCGAAGACCATCTGTTAGTCATTGGTGGATCTAATAATGTTGGGATTACAGGAGTCAATCGTATAATACTTCAATTTGAAGAACTGAAGAAGAAAGTCAACAGCACAAACCTTATCCTCGCCACCCTGCCAATGAGGCATGATAAACCTGAACTAGATTTCAAAATCTCAAGAATTAATGCAGAGTTGGAGAGGCTTGTCACAAAATCCAGCTGCGGTTTTAAAATCCTCCCTCTCCATGAACTTCCTCGACACTATTTTACGCAACATGGACAGCACCTAAACAGAAGAGGAAAAAATAAAGTAGCTGAGATGATTGCAAAGTTATTACTTAATGATTACAAAAGAAACAGTCCTAGACGCCAGATCATTGCACCAAAGACGGACATAGTTCCAAGTAATGGTGAGATTCGGGTTGTCGATGCCGACATTTAATAGAAAAGTATAAAGATAACCGGTCAATAGCTTTTTCCCACACAATATCTAATGACTTTGAAAACAATCGCCACATGTCTGCGGGAGTGGCCGTGGTTTTCAGGAGAAAGTTTGGACGGCCGCAACGAAGTGACTGCATCAAAGAAAGACTGGCTTGCCAAAAAAACAGTAATGGGGCCACAGTGTATAGCCTGATTACCAAGGCTGAATATTCGGGGAAACCAGATAGAAAAGATTACGATGAAGCTTTCCATCAATTAAAAGAAGATTTTTTGAAGAAAGAACTTAAAACTCTCATCTGCTCACCAATGGGATGCATAAGAGACCTCATCTTGCCAGAACACTTTGCCAAAAGGATTGTGGACTTCCATCGTGCTACTGGTGCTACTATCTGCATAGTAACCTCTGATCAACCTACAGCAAAGAGAGTTCTGAGGCGTGGGCTTTCCCAAGAGGAGTTTGTAACAAAGTTGATAAAGCTGATCACCACCGAAGAATGTTCAACCCCTCCACAGACAGACATCACAACCGAACTATCTCCAGACATCACCCAACCAGATGAGTCTCCTGTTATCGTTTCAGCAGATGAGCCCTTTGTCACCATTTCACCAGATGAGTCTCCTTTAAACTCTCAAATAAATTACGAATCAGACCCAAGATAAATAAAATTAGTTCAAATATCAGATTGTTTCATCAGAATATCCAAAATTTATCTACTCGTATTGAACAACTAGAAGTTATTTTAACAGAATTAGATCCACACATAATCATTTTAAGCGAACATAAAATGAATGGAACTGAATTAGAACGTTTTAATCTAAAAAATTACTCTCCTGGTCACACAATACTCCCGCAGCACAACAACCGGTGGGGGTACTGCAATCTTATGCAAAGAGAGTTTGAAGGGGAAACAGCTGGTTTCTGATGAAATCGAAGTACTATGTCGGGATAAACTGTTTGAATGTTGCTGTTGTACTTTTAAGTCGGGCAGCATCAGCTTCACATTGGTGGGAATATATAGAACACCACAATTACATAATTCAGAGTTTTTAATTCGTTTGAATTCTCTTATTGAAATTCTGTTACATAAAAATAAATTTTTAATCATAATGGGAGATTTTAACATAAATATGCTTGTTGTATCACCTGAATCAAAGGAGTTAAAGAATATTCTTACACGACATGGTATGGATTATTTGATAGATTTTCCAACTCGAGTCACAGATACCTCTAAAACCTGTATTGATAATGTTTTAACAAATTTTCATAAAGAAACCGTAAAAGTAGAGGGTGTAATAACTGCTTTATCTGATCACGATGGGCAAATTATAGAACTATTATTATTACCTAACAGAATAAATCCTCCAAGCATTCACTTTCGGGGAAGAAGTTTTTCTGTTGATAATATGATATTATTTAAATCACTCTTGGCGAATGAAAACTGGATATCACTCTATAACTCGCGAATCGAAGACAAATATAAAACCTTCCATAATATATTTCACTACTATTTTGATTTATCATTTCCGGTTATTCAGAAAAAAATCACAAAAAATACAAACAATTGGATTACACATGAATTAAAAGAAGAAAAAAATAATCTTATTGAACTTAATAAAGTGGCAAGATCTTCTGGCTCAGAAATCCTAAAAGCTGAATTTAAGGAAAAAAATCAACAATATAAATTCAATCTATTAAAGTTAAAAAGGGACTATTATGACAATAAAATTAAAAACTCTGAAAATGTAAGTAAAGCCTCATGGGAAATCATAAATAAAGAAACACAAAAAAATACAAACAAAGAGAATAAAAATTATTATACTTTAAGGTCAGATAATGGTGAAATTACAAATCCCAGGGAAGTAGTCAATAGTTTTAACAATTATTTTGTAACTATAATAGATGATATGGTAAAAGACATGACACTGGCACAGGATGGTTGTCATGATAATGATAATGGTTTTGATAATCATATTCCAAATTTTAGATGTCCGCCAATGGAAGAAAAAGAGCTAATTGCCATTTTTGATTCACTCAAAAATAAGTGGTCTAGTGGCTATGATGGAGTACCAGTTAAAGTAATAAAATTTGTTAGGGATCCACTCATCAAGCCATTAGTTCATTTAGTCAACGCTTCGTTCATTTCAGGAATTTTTCCAGAGCAACTCAAAATTTCAAAAGTGGTACCAGTCTTGAAAAAGGGAGATGACACAGAAATTCAAAATTATCGTCCTATTTCTATTTTACCTTCGATATCAAAAATTTTTGAAAAAGCCATGTATTTAAGATTGGTAAAACATTTGAACGATAATAATCTCTTTTGCCCAGAACAACATGGTTTTAGACAGGACAAATCTGTCAATACCGCTCTAATTACTTTCATTGAGTCAGTAATTGAATCAATGGATGAGAAAAACATAGTAACTGGAATTTTTATGGATTTATCTAAAGCCTTTGACAGCATATCCCATACCAAAATTGTTGAAAAATTAAGTAGTATAGGCGTCAAAAACTCATATTTAAATTGGTTTGAAAGTTACCTTCAAAATAGGAGTCAATATGTAGAAATATCAAAAACAGAAGGAAATCAAGTGATAAAATATCAATCAATTTTGCAACCAATCAAACACGGGGTACCACAAGGGTCAATACTTGGACCTTTATTATTTATTAGTTACATCAGGGATATGCCAAACTATCTAAGTAAACTTAAGGACATAAAAAATCAACTCATACTATATGCAGACGACTCTAATCTTATTATGTCCGCAAAGACTGGCTTGGAAATGGAAATCAATTCATTCATAGAATTAGGTAAACTTCAGGATTTTTTTTCATCCAATAATCTAATATTAAACTCGCAGAAGACTAACTACATTCATTTCACTACAAAACAAAACCGAAACAAGAATGATTTTAACATTTTAGCGAATTTCCCTATAGGGAAGTAGCTATTACCGTAGGTGGCACGGTAAGACCTAGACCCGGGACCGATTTACTTTTTCATTTTGATGTCCCCAGAGGCCAAAAACACTATTCGTTCAAATTTTTATATATGTATGTATATATATATATATATATAGACTTATATATATATACGTCCGTGAACGCGATAACTTGAGTCATTTTTGTCCGATTTTGATGAAATTTGGTTTAAAGGTGTAAAGCGGGATAAACTTGAATGAGTTCGCGAACCAGCACGATCGGACCATGGGAACGGAGCTTTACGGGGGGTTTTATGGTGTAAAAATTGGTTTTTCACACTTTTGACCCTCAAAACACAAAATTTCCCAATTTATCTTTAGACCTTTTTAAAGAGCTTATAAAAACAAATAATTTAGTATATAAAAGTATTTTTGTTCGAATATTAGTAACGGAGAAAATTAAAAAAATTGTAAATTTAAAATTCCCATGTTATTCTTATGGAGAATATTGTCAAATGTTGTAGTTTGCTTGTTTATGAATATATTTTGATCAAACTTGGCAAATTTATTTATTTTGTACTGAGCTATCAATATTTTACTCAAAAACACACTTTATTAGTTTCCTTGTAGCAGCAAACCTAGGTACTCGTTAAACCTAATGTTATTAAAATATATTTAACTGAAAATCAATTCAGACAAATGGAAATTCGCTTAGTCAGCAGGTTTGCTGCGGCGGGGGTATTTATTGATAATAATATAATAGAAAGGGTAGATAAATCAAAATTTTTGGGAGTTTATATCGATAACCATCTTAGTTGGGACCTGCATATAGACCATCTTTTAGCAAAAATAAACTCAGGAATTTATGCCTTAAAACGATTGTATTATCTTTGTAATTCAAAAGTTCTAAAAAATGTTTTTCATGCCCACGTGCAATCCCATATATCATATGGAGTTTGTGTCTATGGAGGTACAACCAAACAAAACCTTTGTGAAATTTTAATTAGTCAAAAAAGAGCTATAAGAGCCATGTTAAATCTCGAGTTTGATGAATCTGTAAGGGAGCATTTTATTAAACAAAATATATTAACCGTCTATAGTTTGTATATCCTTGAGTGTATTATGCATGTCAGGAAAAATAAAGCCAATTTTACAACACATGAAGACATACATAAATACAATACCAGAAATAAAAAAAACATAGTCTTACCTTTTCACAATTCTGAGCTATATAAAAAGAAACCATCCTATGCCGGTTCTGTATTCAATGAATAGTCATTCTTAAAACATATCCCAAAAGAAATATTGAACATAGAAAATCAAAACAAGTTCAAAAGCGAACTCAAAAGTTTTTTAATCAGAAATGCTTTTTACTCTCTTGAAGAGTTGTACAATTTAATCAGTGTGAATGCTGATGCTGTATGACTGAACAATTCATTGCAATGTTAGATTAAGGAACTGTGACGCTATTTATTGTATTACTGTACATAAAACAAATAAAGAAGTTTTGAATTTGAACCCTTAAACCTATTTCCCCTTCTTGTGATTATTCTATTAATTTATTTGTTTCCAGAATGTTGGTGAGACTGTTTATTCTGACCACATTGGTCATTCTGGTCCAAAGTCACAGTTACCACCTTGGGGAATGTCCTACAGTCGAACCTGTCCCAGAGTTTGACATGTCTAAGGTACAAAGATTTACCACTTTTTGACTATACTGTAGTTTATATTCACTCAGTTTGAACTTTATTTTAAATATGTAGCCTAGTGTATTTTGACTAACTTATAACACCAAATTACAATTTGTTTAAAATTTTTTAAACAGAAATGCTGGATAAATTTCACGCACGGGCTCGAGACCTTTGAGGAGAGGTAAATGCTCTTTTACAAGTTTCCAACCTCTTAAAATAAGTTCTCTTTAGGAGAGATTTAATGATACTACCAATCTAACCAACATCCTCTTTCCAGTTCCTCGGAAAATGGTATGTAATCCAGAAAACAAGCACAAGCAGCAGATGTCTGACGTACAACTTCACTGCAACTTCTGCGTCCAACGAGTATGACTTGGAGCAGGTCTCTGAACATCCTATCCTGGGACTGGCCAGTGTGGACAACAAATACCACTACACTGGTCACCTGACTGTACCATCGGCTGATACTCCAGCCAAAATGGTAGTCAAGTTCCCCCTCAGTAAGTAGGCATAACATCGGGAGAATCATATACAAGTAGCTTAGATAAACTAATTCTGTGCTGAGCCTAAGGTGATTCTTTCATCTTGTTAAACAATGCAGAGTTTTTCATTAGTTACAACAAAAAATACCTGTCATAGTACAAGGGTTGTCTGTGAATTAAATTCTCCAATGAGATTCTGTATAGCCAAGCAAGCTGGTTCAAATCTGACTCCAGTGCCATAGACTTTGTCCACTAATATTCTAGCTATAGCTATCGCCGAATGTAGGTGAACTAAAGCAAGCGCAATAGTGTACTCGGTGTGCTCGTGTACATTTGGGGTAGTTCGCATCACAGACCTTCGTTTTCAAGTGTGCTCGCTTTTTGGCAGTCTCTTGTCACGGATCAAAGGAGATGACCTAAGACGAATGGCGAGCGGAGACGGTACACAGTTGCTGGCATTTGTAGTCACTACTGTTTGGGTCCTCCTCTCTTGACTATTTTCCATTTCCTTGATGGTAATACTTTATTTTTTCTAGAGAGCTTTGACTTTTAAATCTAGCTTAAATGCCTCAGCACTAATTTGTACTCTGTATAAAGACTATGAAGGACTAGGAGCTCTTTCGTCTGGAGGACTGTGATGTAAAGGACCCAGAGCCCTAGATTTCAGACAACCAGGGGTTCCAGGCGTTTTTGGAGTGTAGTATTTCCTAGATGTAGTACATTACTTGTAGGATCTCAAATCAAAAGAGATTGATTATCAATTATCAATATCACATTGTTTAAGGTATTGCTGGCACCGCCTCCTACACAGTGTTTTTCACTGATTACACGACCTACGGAGCTGTGTTCACATGTCAGAAGCTACTCAACATTGGCCACCGACAGTCCGCCACCATCCTGTCCCGCGAGAAGAACTTGGACAAAGTCTACTTGGATAAGGTAAGTGATGTCTTTTATATCAATTGTTCGTAAAGAGAGTTGTAGTTTATACATGATAATTATAGTATTGTATTAGTATTGCACTGTTATACAGGGTGATCAACTCAAGGAGGCCACCATTGGGATATTGGAAACGGTAAGAATTAGAGAAAACTTTTAATTGGGGACATTCCTTAATTTTTCGTGGCAATTAAAAATATGAATTTAGTTGTTTGAAATTCAGCCGCCATTTTCCATTATGGCGGCCAACTTTGAAATTTCTTATGGAACACCCTATATTTGATTATGGTTTCATCCTGCTATTTTGGAAAATGGCCGCCATTTTTGAAATAATGGAATTAATATTTTTTACGTATTTTAACGTCTTATTTACATGCAGCATTTTCGCTATAAACCTACTCGTTTAGGAGCTACATGATGCAACATGTACACCGGAAGTCATTTTTTCATAGGCTGTAACTCCTAAACCAGTGGGTTTATGAAAAAATTGTCAAGACTAAAAAAGTGTTTAAACTGCATGTTTTATCCGAAACCATGATCAAATATAGGGTGTTCCATAAGAAATTTCAAATTTGGCCGCCATGTTGGAAAATGGCGGCTGAATTTCAAAAAACTAAATTTTGTTATTTTTATTTACCACAAAAAATAAAGGAATGTCCCCCCTTTAAAGTTTTCTCTAATTCTTACCGTTTCCGATATCCCAATGGTGGCCTCCTTGAGTTGATCACCCTGTATATAAAGGTGGATTCACAGAAAAATTTGTTCGCTTTATGAACACTTTCTGCATAAAAAAATAAAGAGGAAAGTAATATAACATATTATGTTGTTTACCTTTTGATTGCCAGGTTATTGATGAATTTATAAGTTAACGCTCTATGTACATTTCACCACAAGTGTGGCATCATCAAGGGCTGTTTCTTGTTTCTTCTCACATCACTATCACTTAGTCACTAAAAAAGCACTATCCTATTTTATTTACACTTATTTACATTCGCGGACGATTCATGGCGCGAGTGTGAAATTCCGAGCGTGCAAGCTGACCGGGGGGCGCTACATATGTCACTGTCCGGCTGCCCGGCAGTTGTCCTTGTACTGGCTTCTTGAGGTGTTGGTAGGTTAGGGGATGGGGGTGAGTTTATGATACTAGAGCTTTCTGTTGTAGAACACCTGACTTGGTTAAAGTCCATAGTCGCTAAATTAGGGTGCATAAATTATCTTAGAATTTACATACAATCTGCACTGAGCTAACTTGAACTATCGACCGCAACGCGTCATCAACCTCAATGTAACCTCAAGTGTCTGGTGTATATAAAACAGCCGGTGACCGATTAGCATTCATTCAATTCCTTGATTCGATTTACTGCTCTGCACTCACACTCGTGACCCCCCCCCCCAGGCAACTTATAAATTCATCAAAAACCTGGCAATCAAAAGGTAAACAACGTAATTAATTATTTGTTCTTGAATCTGGGAATCCCACATAAATTCTAATATTTGGAAATGCATTATGACTGAGTTAGAGATCATACTCATAATTTCAATTCATTCTTTGAATGAATCCAAATCCATACTATGGTTCGCAGTAACAAATCCTTTTCAAAAAATGTAAAAAAAGAAATAAATAACTCAATTGGAGTTTATTAGCCAGTCGGAAACCTGGCTTTGAATGTAACAATACCAGTCAAGTCTCAATAAGAAAAAGGAGAAGGGTATGGAGTCTTGCCTATACACAAGTAATATAAAGAAGAGGTTGCTTGTGTTTAAAAAAAATAATAGTACTATTTAAACACACTATTTCAAAGATAGTATTACAGTTTCAAAATAGTACATTAAGTATCTTATAAACCTTTCCTTCTTTTCTTTAATGACCAAAAAAACTCAACTGCCTGCCACTCTAGACCTACTGGTGTAAACGCTGATCTGAAGACAGTGAAGTACAGTACTGGTAATCTGGTAGTCACTGTACAGCAAGTTGGTAGAAGCTACAGAAAAAAATCCTTTGTGTGGATATAAAAAGGACATTTAGTAAAGATACCAGCTGTTTCATTTGAAGTGTTACAAGGTCAAGACGTCATACTAGGTCAAGTAGGCCTATTGGAGATGTTATTACTAATTAAGGTTAATTAGGGAGTATTGGTAAAATAAAACCACACCAAACTATACTACCACATGTTTTGTACCACACCTTTGCTATAGATCAAAGGCAAGCTGAGTGCCTTTGGAATCGACCCCTACGACCTGAGCAGGATTGACCAGAGCGAATGTCCCAGTGAAGGTGACCCTCCTAAAGTGGACATCAACATTAACAGCGAGACGTTCAGTACTAAGAGCATAGCTGGAGCCGTGCGCAAGGTAAGGATCATCCTCACAAACCCAAGGGTACAATAAACAATTTGTTCAACTGGAATTTCTGTTCTTCAAAGGATATAAGCTATTAGGAAATCGTCTACACGACTATGCCTACCTCGAATTTTAAAATCAAGAGTTTTTGACAAAATTGGGTAATTACGTGTAGCTATAGGCTAATTTTCTTCTGAGTCATGATCAATTCATCATCAATAGAGAAAAATGCTCCTCAACTTTCAGATCCAGGTTTCACATGGTTACGTGCGCTGGCTGAGCGCTTTAGCATGAAACATGTACGAACCTTTACGATACCTCAAATCATAACTATGAACTGAAAGAATAAGCGCTGTTTTAAGGTCGATTCACACATTTCCTGCACGTCACAGTACAGTCAAATCAGTCACGTCACAGTAAACAAAGTTATTCTTTTTGGATTTTCCATAGCGCTATCTACACTTATCCGACACAGTTCCGTCAGTCGCTCTTCCGGCGTCCGTCAGTCAATTTCAAATTTCTTCTCACCGATATTTGTGGATTGTTCATGTTCCTGAGGGATGTGTTTGAGGTTAGAAAATAGTGTTTTTATTATTTTAATTATCATGTTTATATATTAAGTACTTTTTGTTACAATCAACAAAAGATGGACATTGAAAATTTGATAGAATATTATCTTTTCTTTTAATTACATTTTTTTACTGTAACGTTACTGTAAATAAAGTGCTGGAAGACTGACTGAAACCAAATAACTGATAGTTTGACTGAGAAATTGCGGATGCAACTGAGACTGAACTGTGACAGAAATGATATGTGTGAATCAACCTCAAGTTGGATGCTTTTATTTAAATGTCAAACGGCCTATGCTCGGTTGCTAAGAGAACGTGTTTTCCTTAAAAAAAAATGTGTGAATGTTTTATTACAAAGCCAAAAGCCATAACTTCATTTTCAATTTGTAAACACTTTACTTTGTGTACTCTACAGTTAGAGTTCTTGATGTGAACGCAACCGGGTGTTCTGATCAATAGCCCGAGCGATGAGACAACAATTCACTAATACCATATGGGCTGGCATCCGTGTTTTCAAGATTGGGGTTGAAGGGCTTTAATAATCTATTTCTGAGTAACATCCTACTTCCTTTGTCCTTTCCAACAAAATATTTTCACATTGGTCCATCCAATTCACTTAACATCTTTATTGAGCAAAGTCATACGTTTACTGTAGGCTACAGATGATGCAACAAAGTTGAGAGATTCGGTTTAACAAAGGTGCCTTTCTGATATATTTCTGTTATGAAATAGATAGACATATATTTATTTCCTATCATAACAAAATATTCAGGGTGTTCAAAAAGGGTTGGGACATAATTTAAGGAGTGGTTTCAATCCTTGGGTCAAATTAAAGAGAAAATCTAGAATAACACAAATCGCTTTGTTAACCAGATATCCGCCATTTTGTTGTTTTTACATAGGCCTATACATTTTTATCTTTTTATAGTTTCAACCAAGTCAAGTTTGCCTCATTGTACAACTAATAATCATGGTATTTCAGTTATTTTTTATTCAATCTTTTTGAACATGGTGGCATTTGATAGGCAATTTAAAATGCTAGATAAAAATGTACTTGACATTTTTTTCAATAAAATCAGCCATTCTTTTGCAATTCAAATTTTAAAAATCAAAATGGCCACCATTTTGGAATTTTAAATTGGACCAAAGTGAATTTTTTAACATGGATCTCATCTAATTTAACAAACATACCAAGTTGCATTAAGATAGGTTGAAACAATATTAAGATAAATGGTTTTGTTATGTAAAAAATACAAAATGGCGGATATCTGGTTAACAAAGCAAAAAAGTTTTATCTTTGACTATTAATACAACTAGACATTCCATCCCCATGTTAAATTTGTAGCCAGATTTTTTATCAAAATCGTGGTAGTTGATGTGATACCTACAGATTGCGTTGATCTAAATGACTATACAAATTCTGTCAAATACACAAACATTTTTACCAACTCAAACTTAAGGAATGACTTATGATGAGCTATAGCAACTGTCAGTGTTGGGGAAGCTACTTTTAAAATGTAGCTAGCTACAACTACTGCTACATTTCCAAAAAAGTAGCTTAGCTACAGCTACAGCTACAGTTCCGAAAAAGTAGCTAGCTACAACTACAGCTACAATGAAATGTAGCTACAGCTACAATTTTAGCTACTTTTCCAAAGACGTTACTTTTTTCCCACGCACATTAGGTAAATGTAAAATTAATTGCAACTACATTTTTATTGAACAAACATAAAAAAAAAAAAAATGTCAGTATTGTATCTAACATCACTTGGAAAACAAATTATTCCTAGATTGTGTTTACAGTAATTTGTTGGCATTATAAACCTAACATTACAACAACAGAACCAAATAGTTGGGTGCCCCGTCATATTTAGTACTTATTTTTAAATATTGCATTATTTTTAAGCATCTTATATGTAAATTTCATTAAGTTCAAAGGACATACAACCAAACTATATTTTAAAAGCTCATTTTATTTCTTTAATATAGATTCATTTATATATGTCTTATATCAACAATTAAGACCAATAAAACTGTGAAACGATTATTTAAAATACTTTTTTTGTGTTACAGAGCCAAGCCTACTGAAATTGGAGTTTAATCGCATTTCTTTATTTTTAATGTTAAAAACGACATTGCTATAACTTTTAACCATAGCGATAAGTTACTTGTTCTATGAATAACACTTTTCTATGTCAAGAAATCGTCCTTTATTGTCATTATGCATAGGGCAAATTGTGCTTCAACCTAGTTGGTGCAGAAAACAGTATTCAGCAACTTATCCTGAAATCGGCTTTTAATTTAAACATGTTGACAATTTTGTAAAGTAAAAATAACATGTAGGCCTACTTGGCTATGTAACAAGTTGGCTATAGTAGGCTTGTTCTTGCAAGGACTAAACAGATATATTCCTAATAATTGAACTTGGAACTTTGTATTCGTCTTAAAACATAGCATAGCCGTGGAATAGTCCTAGATACAAGAGCTGTTAGCAGGAGCAAACTATGCTATTTTTTCAATGTAAGTTTCATGTTATATGGAGATTTTTTCGTTACAATTATCATGTAGTCTAGGCATATCTTAAATCTCATCAGGTAATTTCCTCTTTGTTAATTTAGTAAACATTTGAAAAATATTCGTAATCTAACCAAGGAAGGGCTTGTGATGATGAACTACAATCAACAGCTGAATCAAAGGTTGATAGACCAGCTTTCTCATTATTTTAAGGTTTAGTGTTGGTTTCCATTAAAACCCAAGTTAAAACACTATCGATATAATAAAGAAACTAAATTGATTATTAATTTCCCTGCCAACCACTTGCAAGCATTCAATAGCTTCTCTTGTCACCGGTACGGTAACGTTTAAACGTCGTCTGCATCTAGCGATTTTATTTTACCTGACAGTAATCATAGAGTAGTAAATTGGAAATGAGAGCCAAAAATTCAGATAACAGTCATTTAATGGCCTCCATGTCCACACAACGTTGTAATAGGGAATGAAACGGCTGCAACCAGCTGTATGAAGCCAAGAAAGTAGGCCTAATGTTTTTGAAAATCTCAGTTTGATATTGAAAGAGGTTGTTTCACGTAAGGTTGAGGTTATGATAAAAATCACTATCTCAAACAATGTTAATGTAGCGAAAAAAGTAGCTAAAATTCCGCTACAACTACTTTAAAAATGTAGCTAGCTACAGCTAAAGCTACAAAATCTTAAAAGTAGTGTAGCTACAGCTAACGCTACAAAAAAAGTAGCGCGCTACTGTAGCGTCGCTACTTGTAGCGCGCTACTTCCCAACACTGGCAACTGTTATGACCCAACAACCTGGTGAGCAACTGAATTTTAGACACTAGCGCATTCTGTGACTGGCTCACACAACTACATTTTTTTTAAATAAAAAATTGGCAACAGCTGGACCATTTAGATGGGAAGTCTACTTCAGGATCCAATAGTCAATGGTTTTATTCTCGATTTCCTCTTTGTTTTGACCTTAGGAATTGCTACGTAAATTATGTCACCACCTTTTTTAAACCCCCCCCCTCACCCTGTATATTTTGCAATGGCCAAAACATTGGCCACATTGGTGGTTAAATCAAAATGTTCTTTCATTAAATGTTTCTAAGACAAAATTCATGCCTATATCTATTAGTAAGAGTACAGACTTCAATTTAGGCAATCTCACAATCCACGAATGTGACGATTATCAAAGTAATTCTTGTAGATGTGACAGTACAGAAAAAGTAAACTCTTATAAATATCTATAGTCCAGTCAAGGAATGAGGTGTAGAGTGCGTGAGCAGGTAACTAAGCGATTCCTTCAGAAACTTGTTCAGGGGGCTTAGGGTGTTAACATACCAAAAGTCCTGACTCCTACGTGGTGAGCCAGGGGGTGGAGGGGGGAAAAAGGGGGGGGGGAGAAAGGTACGCATTTTGGGTTTTTTGATTATATCTCGAAAACTATCAACTTTTTGTATACTATAGTAAATTATAAAATTGAAGAAGATTAAATTTTCTACAAGAAAAGTATATAATGTGTTTATTTTGGTTCAACAGATTACGAGTTATAACCTATTTAATTGATATCTTATTAAAATACTCCTTCCATAAGAAATACATGTAAATTAGTATGCGAAATGGGTCGAATCCTATCCACCCAAAGGAAATATAAATGATATTCTGGAAATCTTGACAAAATTTCCAGTAATTTGACACTTTAATCATTAAAATTGATCCAAAATTAAGGCGAGGGCGAGGTAACAAAATGTCGAGTTTTGGTGTTTTTTTATTGGAAATATAAAAAAAACCTTAAATCATCCCATTTTTAAACGCTCTCCCTCGCTTTAATTTTTGACAAAATTTCATGATTTAAGTGTCAAATTACTGGAAATTTTGTCAAGATTTCCAGAATATCAGTTATATTTCCTTTGGGCGGATAGGATTCGCCCCATTTCGCATACTAATTTACATGTATTTCTTATGGAAGGAGTATTTTAATAAGATATCAATTAAATAAGTTATAACTCGTAATCTGTTGAACCAAAATAAACACATTATGTACTTTTCTTGTAGAAAATTTAATCTTCTTCAATTTTATAATTTACTATAGTATACAAAAAGTTGATAGTTTTCGAGATATAATCAAAAAACCCAAAATGTGTACCTTTTTCCCCCCCTTTTCACCCCCTCCACCCCCTGGCTCACCACCTAGGAGTCAGGACTTTTGGTATGTTAACACCCTAAGCCCCCTGAACAAGTTTCTGAAGGAATCGCTTAGTTACCTGCTCACGCACTCTACACCTACTTTTGGATCATTCATTGACTGGACTACTAGGTGTATTGTTTGACGAACGATTAAAATGGATAGATCACGTTAATTATGTTAGAAATAAAATTAGGAAATTAATTTTTGCCTTCAAACACATGAGAGAAATTTTGACTGTTAAGGAATTAAAAATGGCTTACTTTGCTTTTGTTCAATCATTACTTTCGTTTGGTATTATAGCTTGGGGTGGCTGTTATAGGAGTATCTTGGAACCATTAAATATTGCTCAAAAATTGATTTTAAAAATAGGATTTGGGAAATGCAAACGTTACCCGACTGACGCTCTATTTAAAGAAATAGGAGTCCTCACTGTTCGCCAGTTGTACGTAAAATCAATATTAATAAACATTCATACAAATTACAATAACATTTTTCAAAATATTTCACATTTATATAACACAAGATATTCTTCTAGAGTTAGAATCACCACAATTCAAGTGAATTATACTTTTTCTACGACTAATTCATACTATGTTTCACACCTAGTCTATCGTAACATATGCAACATTTTTAGGGATTTCAATTTTTTTGATTGTGACTCATTAAAGGTATTTAAATTCCGCGTCAATGAATTCCTATTCAGTTTAAATATCGACGAGGCCGATTCTATTATCACGGCGGACTACCAGCGCACTTGATCCGACCTTTGCACTGACTGACCTTGGCACTTTGTTAGGACTGTCCGCAGTCGAATTTACCACTCTCCTACACCCCACTGCACTCTTTACCCTAAAATCCACTCATCACTCTCTTCACTACCACCATTACACACGATACTCACACACACACACACACCCTCTCTCTCTCTCCTGGCCACCACGAAAATCTAAAGCGCTATCTTACCAGCACTGTGTTCATGGAAATACATTCACTTATTTAACTAATAATAATAACGACCTATTGTCTTTTTTTAATTGCCATTCCAAAATTCAATAATTTTTCTTTTTTCTATTTGACAGCAACTTAGCAGACGCACAGGTAGCACTGCCTATGTCTGCTAGTTCCTTTATTTTATTGTTATAATTTTTGGCTTTATTAAAACTCGTATAATATATTTTAGTGACAAAAGTCTCTATCTATTATACTTTATTTAGTTTATAATCACAGCTTGTAGCCTATGTTTTTTTTTTGGAATAAACGATATTCATTCATTCATTGAACTGCCAAATCCTGGCTAAGATCTAAATGTTGTTTTACAGGCAGGAGAAAAACTAGGAGACGGAGTAGAAATAGTAGCAGAAGAGGCAAAAAAACTGTATAACACTGTTTCATCAAAATCTAAGGATAAAGAAGAACTCATTGAAAATCAAGAAAGAAATCAAGTTGAATGGCTTCCTTGAACTTAAGACTGATTTGCTCAATATATTATGAAGTTATTTTTTGTAAATCATTAGATCATAAGTACCTATACATTTGTATTTAAACTTAGACTAAGTAATTATGTCTTTTGGAGAAAATGTATGTCTGAGTGAACATATTTCAACTTTTTTACTAGAAAAATTCCAATTGAATTAAAGACATTTTCATTATTTTGAGTATATTTATCGACTCCTAGCTGTAGAGATTTTCTTAACAAGAATAAACCGATGTTACACCGAACATGAACGAAGGTGAGAACTTTTGATATTTTAAAGGTATAATGTTCAAGATTTTAAGCAACATTAGTTAAATTGATATAGCATTATCATAATTGTATGCTATACAGGGTGGAAAAAAGTCCCGGGACGGTTAAATATTTTAAAGTAACAAAGACATAGCTTCAAAAGTTTGTACACAGTTACTGAGCATTAAATTAATTTCAACACATTATTCAGTGATGCGCTACCTCCTCAGAGACGGCACACTAGGAGTCAGAAGAAAATTTTAAATGTAAGCATAGGTTGATATGCACATCAAATTAAAGGTCTACACAGTAGTTTAGCTATATGATGTATAAACCAAAGTAGCATGCTACACCATGTCCGTCCAGGGGGGGGGGGCGTTTAAAAATAAAAATAAGTAGGGATGGTCAAGTCTCGAAATTTCGGGAAATTTTCGGGAAATTTTAAATCTCGTTACACGAGACGAGATTTCTTTTTGGCCGAGATTTTTATCGAGACGAGAATAAAAAAAAAAAAAGAACTAATTGCAATACCCGCAATACAGGAGCGTGTTGTAGTTGCGTTTCCTTTGCGAAGGCGTTCTTATTTAATTAATTCTTTAAATGTAAATATTACTTTAATTATTTTAATAATATTACTTTAATAACATTTGAGAAGTTTTGTTAAGTGTAAGCAGTGTGAGTTTTATTACTATAAAAAGTCAAAACAAGTAAATATATTTTATAAAAATTAATATTGCTTTTATTTTATGATTTATTTTATTTTAGGATAAGTTGAACTCTATCCTAACTGATATCACTATGTTTCCTAATCGTAGGCATTTTTAATAAGTTAGGCGTGATTAATAAAAAAATGTTATGCTGATGTTTTTTAATAAAAGATTGTAAATATTCTTGCCTATTATCATTATTTTTGTATTTAAACAGTCATCTAACAATGTTACAAAATCAGGTAAAAATTTTGAACGTGCATTTCCCGTTGTGTATGAGAAGGGAAATCCCGTCTCGATCTCGTCTCGAAATTTTATGAGAAATAAAAAATCTCGTCTCGTCTCGTCTCGAACTAAAAATCCAATCTCGTCCATCCCTAAAAATAAGCTTTAGAAAATAAATCTGTTTGGGTTGAGAAAAATCATGATTCAAGTAGTAGATGATGCAATACATAAACAAACAAAAAGTGTTAAAATGGCAAAACAGTAACCTCATAATAAATATAAGGTATATTATTAGGAAGATTGCCTGTTATGATGGTGTTGAAGTATCACATTAACGGCCTTTGCCTAGAGCAAGTCAACAAAAGGAAGAAATTAAAAATATATAGCATTTGCAATGGATCAGTGACTGACTGTTAAAAAATCTTTCTTTTTGTCATATTTTTTAATGAGGAACAATTAGTTTTGTACCTACATTATTCATTATTAAAATTTATTACTAATAATTTTACTCCACTATAAATTTCGAACGCTGTTCTGGTTAGTTAAAAATATCTATACAGATTTACAGACAAATAAGTAAAGTAAATTTATGAACACTTTAGAAAGATAATTCATGAGATTTAATCAAATAAAACACAGATAAAAATATTTACATTTTTATTTGGAAGTTACAAAATAACAGAAATTGTACTATCTAACCTTTGTATGATTAAATTGGTGACATTTGAGTCGAGAAACAAAACGTAATTACTTTGATGAACAAAAGAATAATTCAAGTACACTTGCGTCCAGATAATCCAAACTAACTGGCACCAAATAGGATTAGCCGAAAGAATTTAAATAACCTTGATTGACCAATAATGGGGGCACAAATAATGCAAACCAGTCAGTAATAAATTACATAAAGAACAAAACAGCTCATGCTATTGATATATAGGAAACCAGTAAATAATAATCAACTAGCATTAATTTTCCCGTTATTGAAAACATGTCATAATGAAAACATATCATATTGAAAACCATACAAATATTAGATAACTCATAACAAACTTTACAATCATATCACGTTATCTTAGAGCCACAAAAATATTTCTTTGTTCTGTTTTATTTTATTTTCCCCAAATGAACTATCATGTCTCAAAAACCATAATGTGGGAGCCTACTGCATATAAATAATGTGTCCAAACTGTTAAATATATGATTCATGTTAACACACTAGGATTAAGTAATGCAATTTAAAACATTTTCTTGGTACTTAATTTTGTACAATTTTTAATTGGGAAATTTATGTTCGGATTACCTGTGTTCGGAATAGCGGGACTGAAGTGTATATTGTTATTGATTTTATCGAGTTTTATCCTCCTGATCACACTTAAATACTTTAAACTGGTGTAAATACCTACATATATTTTCTTTGATGTTGTGTTATGGCAAGTAGTTTTTACTCGACACAGGAGTCATCTTCAGGCTAATACAGATGTCATCTTGTCTCTACATTCGAAGTCGTCAACATTAGAAATAAATATAACACGCACATAGACATAAAAAAACACAAATATTAAGTGACAAAAACAAAAAGATAATACTGTAGGTATTGTCGTACACTAATACTTAGTACAGTAATACAGTAGTAGTGATACTCGTACAGTATCTCGTTGTGTCCCGCTTACCTACAGTATGATCTCCTGGTTTTTCTTCTAAATGTTTGTGGTTTTTATGTCTGTGTGTGTGTTATATTCATTACTAATGTTGACGACTTTCGAATGAAAAGACAAGATGACATCTGTACAAGCCTAAAGTTGACTCCCGTGTTTTGCCAAAACGCAACATTTAAGATCACATAAATGCAGGTATTTACACCAATTTATAGTATTTACTCACATCATAACAAACAAAGATTTATCATTGGACTAAAAAACAAATTCTCCTAAACAAAATAAATATCACTCATGATGAAAGAGCTCAAAAGCTTACAAAAAAAGGAATCAAACAATAACAATAAATAAGTTATGTGGTAACGACAATAAATTAACAATCTAATCAGTCCCGGTAGAAGAAGGAGAACTGCCTTCCTCTCCTTTGCTTTCTAGGGAAAATGGAGGGATCCTGCAGTCAAAGGTGTACCCATCTTCACGCTCCATTCTGAATGTGCCCCTAAAACAGGTGAGAAATGCTTCATCATCTTTATGGAAAAGAAGACATGTGGCTACATTATATTGCCGTGTATACCTTTTGTTTAACATATTGCTGTAGATTTGTAATTGATTGGCAAGTTAGAACCTATTATTAAAAAGTAGGGATGGACAAGTCCCGAAATTTCAGGAAATTTAGATTTGATCCGATCTTTGACAATTTTCCCACTTCGCAAGTGACGATGACGCTGCTATCGCGAGATGTTCACGATAGTTCTGCGAACGCAGGAGGCGAAGTCACCTTTATTAATCAATCTTCATTAAAGGTTATGTTCTGGTTTGTTTTTAGCAATTTAATTTTTGTGTTCTTGAACTTGTAGACAAGTTTTGCTTGGCAAGCAGGATTACTCAGGATTACTGTTGTTATTATTGTTGTGGTAATAAAAAGGTATAATGTTACCTGGATCTGCCAAAGTAATCCAAAGTTTGTCTGTCGACTACCCATTTCAAAGCACTATTGGCTTCATTATCAAGCCTTCAAGAACATTTTCCACTCATTAGAGGTCGTCAAATAAAGATCAACCATCGTGATCAATCAAGGATCGTCAGATTCAACGAACACCTTCCAAAAGCCAAAAATAATTTAAAATCCAATTATGCAGCCCATCTCACTAATAAAAATCATAATTATCAAATTTTGAAACAAATATGACACCCCATTTTTGTACAAAAGGAAGCTACATGAGCGCCATAGAAGAATATATAAAGCAACAAAAGGCTAAAGTTACGATCTATTTAACAAGAAACTAAATGTCCAGTCAAATGTATTGTATAATACTATAATAGCTAACCAGGAACAGCTGACCGGCAAGAGACAAAGTTCACGACACCAATGCTCGCCGCCGCAGTCATGATAAACCTGTCTAAGTGCACGCTTGCAGTTCGTAGGCCTACTACATCGAGGTAGACTTCTGGAGTGATCGCGCCCGTGTTGAAGCGAACCGTTTTTCGGTCCGGCCGCGAGTAGCTGTGAGCAGCCCGTGGTAGGCAAGAATGCCAGCGCTAAGATGGGCGGGATAGGGAAAATCGCGACGCGCGCCTACTTTTATTTTGTTTCCAGACGACATGATTTTTTTAGGACAAATGAACGATTGAATTGTATTCTCTAATAGATTGTGGTTCTTTCGGAATTAATTTCATTCTTACTTTCACATCAGGTATATTTTTAAAACACGATTAACTTCAACTTTTAGTGTAATTTTCTTGTCAGTGACATGTTTTATTTTATTTTATTAAAAACAAATTGGAATATTTCCCTAACACATTTGTATAATATTTTTAAACATTTTTGGGCTTTTGAAATAAATTTGGATAGAGGGTCATAACAGTCCAATTACTGTAATAATTAGAGATTGGTCTCATGTTTATAAATTAAAATGAAATAAATGGCAATAAGAACACTTTCAACGAATCAAAATAATTTATTATTATTAAATATAGGCTACATTATCTATTTGAACTCAAATAAGATAAAAAACATTATATACAAACATTAACACCTTAATAACATTTATGTCTAGATTTTTAGATCTTAAATCCTAAACATTTCTAAACAAAATCAGTTTGGTTTATTTTTGTCTTAACCCAAGATTAGGCAAGTTGGAAGCACTTGTAGCTTCCCTGGCTTTGTGATGGCCAATTACCTTTAAAAATAACTACCAATTGCTTTAATTAGCATTACTCGATGGTTTACTTCGTCTAAACCATTTGCTGGGTGGTTTTTAAAACTCCTTAAACTCGGGAAAAGTAGTATATTTTGAGAAAAGCTACATTAATTGCAAGTAGATTATTACTTGAGCTGGTCTCAAAACAACAATAATAAAAATAAACGAAATAAAAATTTTCCGTTTGGATTGCACAATTTTCGAGGGACAGCCGGGCGTTGTAATGGTCAAAATTTGCTATTAACGCTTATTATTTCCAATCTACTATAATTTAAATTAAGTAAAAAGGAAATTGTTTCAAAAACACTTGAAATATTATTCAAGACATTAAACCTATAATTTTTTACAATATATCCGAAAACTTTGTATTTATTTTCCTGTGGAATCCGATGGTCGTCCCCTTTGCTTGCCTATTTGTACAATTAATAGCTGCACATGATGTTACCATCTTGGAACATTGGGAACATTTTAAAACTGAAAGTCCAGTGCATTAAAATATCAACAAACGATGGCAGAGATGATAAGACGCCCAACTCAAGTGTGCGCTGCTCGTAAACAAACAAAAAACATCTCGATCCTATCAATGCCTGGCAGTGCTACCACTGCATTCACGAAAAATCCCAGATTTCGGGTTGTCATTCATGAAATTTACCCGTTAAAATCTCCAAATATTCTTCTTGTTTTTAAAGTATGGCAAATAATCAATTTAATTTGAATGAACATTGGTCGTTTGTTTAGCTGAAAACAAATTTATAAATTTAATCTTAAACTTGATTGTTAATTTTACTCCTTAAGTACATGTGGAAAGGAAAGTATGTATTTTCGATAAGATCCTATACAAATACTTATTAATAAACGTTCTAGATTGTTTTCTGAAAATGCATATCGACAAAGCTACACAACCGGGACCGGGTACTCCAGGAGTGGCCGCGCGGTGGCGGCGCGGTACCGTCCCACGCTCGTTTCCAAACGATTTAATAATGACGCAATCATTTTATCACAAATTGGTTGATTTGAAAGTTAAGATCAACTCATTGGCTACAACTTTCCCGCTAGAAGTTTGTTTGTAACCCAAAAATAAAAATTTTCCTCACTTAGTGACTTTTCCATGTCAGTCTCTGGTAAGTCTTCTATATTTTCAATTATTAAAATTCGAAATAATTATTACAATAAAAGATATTTATACTGTCAGAATCCGATGTTTATGTAGATTAAGAATATATAAGTTTTATTTGACTGGAGCTTTTCCGTCGAGCTACAACAGCGAGTAAACTGCAGCGCGCACGATACTGAAATACGCCCGAATTCGTTCTTGCCTACCACCGCTTTCCAGCACGGACCGTTTTTGCCCCATTTAGCGATCACTCCAGAAGTCTACCTCGATGGCCTACTATTGTTTCCGTCCATGTACTCCTATATGTTTTTGAAGATTATATTTATTTGACAACCTCTGATGAGTAAAAAATGTTCTTGAAGACTTGATGACTTGCAATAGTGCTTCGAAACGCGTAGTTGACAGACAACCTTTGGATTACTCTGGCAGATCCAGGTAACTTTATTCCTTTCTATTATCTTAATTATACTCATATAATTTAAAACGGTTTACTACTAAAACAGTTAAAAAACCCCATCTAAGAATATTTACGGCTTAGTAATGCCAACTCTTCTCCTATGGCAAAGTAAATGAGTGAAGGAAAGTAAAATGGACAAGTGGGTAAAATAAAATTGTGCTTTGGTCCAGATGAACCGGATTCGGCACTAAGACGTACCACATGTGACCGCTGGGTGCCTGTAGGCTCACATGACTGCTGTATTGGAAAGCCGGCATCGCACGGCTCAGCACAGGTTCTTGGCCTACGACCCCTCGTCCTCGTACAGTCTCCAGTGTCCCTGACAAGCTGAATATTCTCCAATGTCGCTCTCTTAGTTGGATAGACATGTCTCCCAGGTTTTCTAGGCGGATACAGTACCTCCACTGAGTAACAAACAAGGTATTTTTAAAGAGGTAGGCAATTTATTTCACCTTGCATTTGCTTGTGTGTGAAACATATCCAGCAAAGCAAGAGGTGAGCCTGTAAAGTACAAGAGTGAACTCTACTAAAAAAAAACTGGCAGGTACCAGGATACGAATCCATGACAGCGCTGTCTTGGGCTTAAAGTCCGTGGTGCTACCGACTGAGCCAGCGACTCAACAAAACTTGATAGTAAGGTTCAATTGATAACCAAAATATTATAAATACAATTTTACAGTTTTTTATAAGGAAAAAGTACAAACATGTAATTTTACTAACTAGTTGTCCATATAATCAAACTAAACACGAAACTGTGCAAGTTGAACCTCAAATTCAATACAGAGTGGGTCAAAACGGATTTAGCTGAGCAGCTTCTGTTTAGGTATAGGTAGACATTTTAGGTTTTGTTGTCATCAATTGCTCCTACAATATCTATTATAGTTTAGACCAGGCAACATCGTGAATATGCTGTGTGTGTCTATTTCCAAAGAACAAGTCAATGATTGCTAAGAGCAGACGGTTTTTTATTCTGGTCAACGTTACTGTTCCTAGTGCGAACAAAATACAATCATTGGTCATGAAGTTGGGAGAAAGTGGTGGCAACCTTCAATTTAGAAACATAAACGACGAGGATCAATGAGGACTGGAAAATGTAATTGTTGGTCAGAGCGGTGGTTAAGCAGAAATACGATTGCATTAGGAATATTGAGTCGATCGTACTTTGAAAATAATTTGTTTTCATCCAAACAAAATTGTGTTGTCCTTGCGGCTGCTCAATCAACTCTGCTGCCCTTAAAATTCAGCATTTTTCAGTGTATCACTGATCTTTTCCATCTGTGTATCTCAGTTTTATGTGTGCTACCCTGCTTCTTCACACTCTTTGAAAAATTATTGTACTGTGTTTGCACTAAGAACATTGTCTTTCCGAGGAATAAACAGATGCTGGCAAAAAGATCTTTCCGTCAAAATCCACGAATTGTTTAGGAAATACGCACATACTCCATAACCTCCAGTCTAAACTATGATGGCAACTGAAATGGTATGAGTGGCCGATGACAACAAGACCAACAATGTCTGCTCTGTCATACCTATACTGCCTGAGTACTGAGTGAGTCAAACTACTTATTCCGTTTTGCCCCTTCCTGTACATTTATTCAAAGTATAACAAAATTTTTCCTTTACCACGATTACAAAACTTGACAGCAAGGTTCAATTAATAACCAAAAAATTATAAATACAATTTTACAGCTTTTACTACATATTTCATATATTTAATAAATAATTCTTGGGCATTTTGAAGCAGGCATTTTCTTAAAACAGTACAGAAAACTCAGACTAACTGAAATAAAGGGCACAAACCCGTTTTGGATAATCTTCGGTTAATCAATGGTAGGATTTTAAAGGTTATGTCTATTAAAAGAGATTCTACTACTTTATACATGCAAGTAAGTTGATTATTGTCAAAACTAGAACGGTTGTTTTTTTCAACTTCTCCATATAGGCCAAGCCAGATCAACTACTCATGTTACAGCGGAATATTCCCATTGCCATGCTCATTTGGAAATTTTTTGGAATTTTTTATAGTAGTTTTGGTTACCCCAAGATTTTGTTTAATTGGATGTGGTTAAATGGGTTTTACTGTATTTGGCAGCAATTTAGCGTCTTGTTCTAAGTGTACACAAAGAAATAGCCTGAAATAGAAACTATATTTTAAATTATACGAGTAGGATTGCTGTTGACCTGAATGCAACAGCTACACATTATAAATTAGATGCAGGTTAAAGACAACAAGAAGAAAAAAAAACCTTTATAAAAACCATGTTTTGACTGCACTACAACACCTTTAAATTAGTTTCATTATTTTTTTTAAGTGGAACTTTCCGACATTACCTTGCTATGTAGAAGCAGAAAAATAAAACATAAAAATATCCCCGCCGCAGCAATCCTGCAGACTAAGCTAATTTCCATTTGCCTGATTGGATTTACTCTCAAATATCTCCATAAAAATATCACATTTATTATCTATTTAAATAGCATTGGTTTAACAAGTACTTAGGTTTGCTGTAACAGGGAGGGTAAAGAAGTGTTTTTTGTTTGTTAAATAGTTTAGTATGAAATAAATACATTTTTCTAAATAACAAGGGAATTTTTCATTAAAATTTTTTTTTATTTTCTCCGTAACCATTAGGCACTTCAATAATAACGCTTTAATATGCTAAATTATTTGTTTTCTAAGCTCTACAAAATAAGTTGAAAATAAATTGAAAATTTTTTGTTTTTAGGGTCAAAAATTGGAAAACCCAATTTTTACCCCATAAAACCCCCTATAAACCTCCGTTCCCATAATCCGATCATGCTGGTTCAGTGGTTCGTAAAATCGTTTGAATAAACGTAGGTTTACACAAAAATTTCATTAAAATCGGATCACTTTTGCTCATAATATGAATTTGATCGAATGGAGTTTTTGGCCACTGGAGATTATTTGTAGTCTGATGTGAAAGACCCTGAGAAAAGTCAAAATCTTTTTAATGGTTTAAAACTCGACCTAGGTGTCCTTGATAATTTAAACAAAAATTATACTGGCTAGACCAGCTGTTTTTAGTCAGTAACAAAATTGTAATCTCATCCATGTTCAACACCTATTATTTACTCATCTTCGCTTTAAAATACATGGTTGGTTGTTTACCCAGTAGACAGATGAGGTCTGGGAGTCCCTGCAGCCCATATAGAATGGGATCACAGTCACCCGGACATTTTCCGTCGTCTCCTTGTGCACGTCTGACAGTTCTAGCCAGGGGTGGTTTTTCTTTTGCCAAGCCCTAAGTGTGTCCTGAGCTCCAAATGGAGGATCTGCCAATTCAAGGACCAGAAGATACATAATTTAATTGTTAATAGACATAAGTACATATTTGCAATAAACATTAAATCTCATTAATTTAGATTCTATATTGAATCTGGTAGTCTGTTTAAAACAGCTTTGCACCCGGAGATGCATGGTGAGCATCGCAAAATAATACAGTACCTTGGTAATACGATTCTTTTTGTAAAGTTGTATAAACTGTTACTACAGTTAGTGAAATAACGCTAATTGTGTTCCTATTAACAGGGACCTGGCTTAAACGTACTTTACGTGGAAAAAAATAATGGCATCATTTCAACTATTATTACAGAAAAACTATAACGATATTTCCCATCCCTAAAAAAGTAGTAGCCAGGAAGCGAGCTGGTCTAGTGGTAGAGTGCAGGACTTTGGCTCCTGAGGTCCCGGGTTCAAATCCCACAAAATCACCAATGGTTTTTAATTTTTATCTAAGTGATAATGCCATAACCCCTAGGTCTAGCCTGAAGTAATGTGAGAAACAATTCTGGGCCAGGCTTAGCGTCCTAGGAGAAAACAAGTAGTCATCAAATTTTAAAGCTACTACTACTCTTTTACAAATTCAAACAAACTCTTTCCGGAAGTTTTCTATTCATAGTTGAATCAACAAACCTTTATCTGGCTGATAGAGTAGGAACTTGTCGAAGAGCTCGTGCTGAAGAGGTTGCTTCTCTGTCGTGGTATACGGGAGGATATCTTCGTGCGCAACATAGTCGAGCCCTGGGATCGCATACAGACTTCGACTACTGTCTTGGTTTCCAAGGAATGTAACTGCTTCAGTTTGTGCCCTCTGAAAAATTATTTCACTCTTTTTGGTATAAGTTAATTAATGGATATTATTTATATAAGAGTAAGGTAGACTCACTCTTGTTTGAAAACTTTGAATGAGACCCTTGTAATACCTAAAAACAATTCTAACCATCAAATTAATTTGAATTCTTGCGATTAAAAACCACACTCTACAATATCTTGCAAATGATAAAATATAAAAAAACATATTTATTTTGAAAACCACAGAAAACCTGGGACTGGATTTATCTATTTATTTATTGACGGACAAACCATTACATACAGAATACAATTTTGCACAACTTGTGTGTCAATGCTATGCTATAAAACGTTCAATGGATTTTTAGGTTTTCTTGGAATATAAATTGACTTACATAGAAAATGTATGTCTTCTTCCTTTAAAAAAATATGGCTTTTAAAGTCTAAAACACTATTTTATAAATTTTAACAGCACAAAATTAAAAATTCCCTCAAAAACTAGGAGCTTAAAAACAGTGATGCTTCTGAAGCTGTCAAAGGAGTAGGTTTTCCTAATGATGGGTGATGTTGTCTATTTATTATTAAACTTTTGACGAACTCCACTGCGAGGAATATGAAGACTACTTGACATTCTTCTGACCTGATGATGTGCTCCATTCGAAGCATGAAACAGCTATAGTCTTACTAACTACAAAGGATCGTTTTGACAGTAACAAGGTAATTTAAACCACTATAAAGTTAGGTTTCCTAATCCATTCTTATCCATGAGCTTTGGGACAAGATGCATTCCCCATTCACAAATATTGACAGATATCACACTCTTCTAAGAATTGTTGCAAATCATATTATATAAGTGGCTAAAAAACAGGTCTACTTTTTAAACCTTCTGATAAAAAGTAATAATGGAAAAAAAAATTCTACATGACCAATAAATACCCAACATTGGGATTGTATTTACAAAGTAAAATGTTATGTCAACATGCTATTTATAGAATCCATAAAATGCCAAACATAACATGTAATGCCATCAAAACGCAAGACAATTCTCTATTAGATCATAGCTAATCCAAATTAATTGAGACCCTTGTTTACTTGAAACTTGAGATTTATCATTGAAAGGGGTTTTAAATTAAGGGACGCGCAACCGAATACAAGGGTTTGCAAGATTTCTGTTTTCACCTGCTACATTGAAGGTAGAATCAAAGTTAAGGTCTCATACTAAAGAGGATGAAATTTTCTATAGTTCTTTGTTTCTATATTTCAATTACTTTAAATACACACCTTATAAACTTGAGTTGTAGTACAAGAAAAAGGGTCTTTTCAACTAGCCTTCTTATTAAAAAAAACGTTTTTTGAACATTTGAAAAACGCAGAACTATAGATTGGTCTTTGTACTACTATAAGCCGTTTAGAGTGTGTAGCTATCATTATTTGTTAATTCTAAAACAGTAATCTTGGAAACGTCTGCAAGCGCTTCTCGCAGCGCTGTCCGATGGTGAAACATAGCTACTGAAGCCCGAGCTGAGGTAAAGCGCACCCTTAATAGAATTTTTATGAAAGTATAAATATTAATGTAAGATATAATACTTACAATGAAGGGACAATCCCTCGCATCAATCAACACTTGATAAAAAGTGTGCGTTTTACTCTTCACTTCTTTTCCTGCTGCAGATGGGGTTTCTGGTTCCACATTTCTTTAAAAGAGAAAAATCTTGCTTTAGTTTAAGAAAATTCTGAAGTGAAACAGCTGAAAATGGATTGTCTGATTCAAAAAATCTATCTCACTCAGCTACACATCTCAAATTTGGACAAAAGATTTAACATATTCTATGAATTATAATAATTTAATTACATGATTTTAATAATATGTTATTTTAATACTAACATGAGAGAGATGAAGATGACAAGAACCTGTCAAAAATTGTGTGCATTATGTAAAATAACTATAAAACTACCAACTAGTGAGAATAAAATATGGTATCAATTGTCAAAGGACTTGAGGAGTAAAGGAGTGGCATTTCTCTTTAATTAACTTAGGTAGCGCAATAAAATACTTCAACCTCATTAAAAATTAGATAAAAAAAGGTTCAATTTGTTTTCCAAGAAATTAATCTTGAATCAAATTTATATTGAGCTTACAAATTTGACAGTGGAAAAATGCATTCAAAAGCATAGCCAGATGTGTAAAGACAAAGGTTATTCAAAAGATAAAAACTGTAATTTTGAAATTCTTGTTTTAATGTAAAATGTGGTAACTGGGGCTTATACATTGGTGTAGGGTATTACAGCTTCATATAACTTCTTAGAATAGACAAACCGGTGATCAACTTCAGGGTTGGTACTGATTTTGGAAAATGAAATTCCCTGACTTTTCCAGGTTTTCCAGACTGATATTATACTTTTTCCAGGTATACCGTAAGACGATATCGAATAGTCAGAATCAAGAATTATTAGCAAAAATGTAGGCCTTAATAGTTTACTCATAAAACCAAAAAGAAAAGAATTAAACATCTGGAATCTGGAAAATTAAGAGTACCAACTAACTTAACCTCACACTTTATGTTCTACTTGGCCTTGACTTGACACTAGCAGATAGACGATACGGTGCTTCTGATACTGATATATATCGATATTTTGCTTGTGATATCATCAGCTTATATCGGAAGAAACATGTGATATTGGAAAAATAACTACCATGCTTGTACCGGAGACAAAAAGTAGTACCAAACTAAACTATTAAATGTTTTAACTAACAGGATAAAATTTTGTTTATAAACTCCTACAAGTGCTGTTTTTTTTTTTAGTTTATTAAAGGTTGAATCAGTATTGGTATAAATTCAATGAGGAATTCTATTCAGTATCGTATTGAAATTGAAACGATGAATGTAGGCCTATCCTTCCGCGCATCACGGTACTAGCAGTGTTTCCATACGTGGGATTATTATCCCGAAAACAGGATTTTTAGAGCATGAGCAGGATTTGAAGGGGATGTGGGATAAAACAGGAGTTTTGGCTATGACGTCCGTTTTTATTTACTATGCTTTATTTTAGTGAAAAACTAAACCCAATCGAAAAAATTACCTTAACAAAATATAATAGCAATGGTAAAACAACTATTTAAACACAATATGTCTAATTTAACACTCACAATTTAACATACAAAATCTTAAGGGATTAAACGGGATTTCTTAACCCAGTGACCTGGATTATATTCTTTTGGTCGTGTAGAAACACTGGGAGCTCGGTGCGTTCAATTAAAGCCAGTAATCAGAGGGTGATGATAGAATGTCTGTCGATGTTCGATGTTTTTTATATCGATGGTAGGTTCCCGATAATTTTGTTACATCGATATTTTCATCAAACTTTGATGTTTTTGACCAAGTATTGAGACGTAGATGCAAAATGTAGCATATCTGTAAAAAATGTAGTCTTTCAAGAGAAATTACAGATTTTTTCAAAAATTCCCTGACTTTTCCAGACCAACGAAATTCCCTGACATTTCCAGGTTTTCCCTGACCGTACCAACCCTGAACTTGTTCAACCAAAGCTGATCTTATAATATAATCATTATACAAATAACTTTAAGACTTTTTGTGTTGAACCCAGACACTGCTGTCCCTTAAGTAGATGTTACCTATTAAACATCTTTCACAACTTGCATTCTCTCAAGATATTCAACTCCTAATGTGGCCAAGTGCTAGAAAAATTAGAATACTCGCTTAGAAATACAAATACCTTAAGTTTTAATGCAGAGTAATGAAAATATTATAAGGTTTTACGTCATCATATAGGGATCTTATTCGTCATTAGACTATTAACTGACTATAATAAATAATAGAAAATTGGTGTTAAGGAGGGACACATGAGATTGAACAATTTCTTCCATTGGTATTAAAAGATCAAAAATAATTTTGTACCTAGCTATAACATCTACTACAAAACCTTCTTGTAAGAAAATGAAATGGAAAATATACACTTGATACTTTTGTATTAATTGATCCTATTGAAATTGTTGACTATCTTGATCTGAATGGCGACCATTATAATTTTTTGTTGAAACTTCCCTTGCACTTTTGGCATATAAAGTAATCTAATAATTTTTAAAAGCCTCACAGAATCCACTTATAATCTTGCTGATTGTAAATAAAGAAGATCTTAAGGCGGTCTTCTGTGAGATCACACCATTGCGAGCCGGAGCTACAGGGGGAATCGGGGGGTGTGGTTTCCCCATAGTCTGAACTCATGGCGCTGGGTCTGAAAAACATTTCCTAATTAAATGTACTTTCGTTCATCAGTTCTCTGCTTTCAAATTAATAACAACCATAATATGTCATTTAATCGCGGAAGTAAAAACAAGCTTGAGATTTTTTGTAATGACACCGGCACCAATTGACCATTGCAACCAAAAAAAGTACTCCAACTTATGCCCCCAAACATGATCTGAGAGTTTATTTCAAAAGTGATTTAATCTTTTTAGTTTCACTTGGTTAAGGAGAGAGGGGTGTTAGTTTAGAAAACTTTTAGCTTTATTTTAATTGTATAATAGTCTATAGTGTTAGTTACATATCGGCGTTACTATTTCATCGATGTAAATATTAATTTTTTGGGACTAAGATTATTAATTTGTCTGTTCACACTTTTTCCCCAGTACCGTAGCGACTACCGCTTTCGCTAATTAGTCTTCAACACAAATCGTCATGGCCTTAAAAAAACATTTAGTAGTCTGTCTAAATCAAATCGATAATCAAATTTTGAACTCTTAATTTTTTACTTTACTGTTGTGTAAAAGTTTTATTTGTGTGGATTTCCCAACAAAAAGAAAGGCATTTGATGGTACTCTGGTATGGATCATGTCCACGAGGCGAGTAGGGAGAGTCGTTTAGGACAGGATGATGCCTCTGCTAATCTCTGCATCAGGCCACATTCAACGCGGTTACACCACTGATCTGTACCACATGTCTGGCTAAACTTTTGTCTACATTATATAAGAACAACAAATTATTTAGTTTTAGCTACTCTTATCAACCTTAAACGCCTGAAAACTTCCGCCACCAGGGACTTGGTTTTTTTCTTGGGAGGAATAGGGAATTCAGGAAGGACTTCTGCTTGTTTTTCCGCATGTTTCTTCCTTTTCTCATTTAGTCTGGAGATTCGGTCGGTGTGATGAGTTAGGACACTATATAATTTTAACACAAACTTAACATTAGATCATGCAAGGTAAATAATCAAATCATTTATTCATTCAGTTAATCAAGTCTGAAATAAAAACAAAAATGTCAATTAATAAATATTTGTAACGTATCAGAAGACTTAGTAACTATGACATAATGATTTCATTTCTTTTATCAACTAATTCTAACTTCTAGTTTATATGTACATAGTTCTATGTCATATGTAGTAGGGATTCTCTCTTGGATACAAAACCTCTGAAAATTGCTAGAGTCATTTACTTATTTTGTCCGAAAAGTGATAGGCTCTTCACGGGGGCGCAGTCTAGTGTGCGAGAAAAAAAAAACTGTAAAGGTAAAATTTGTCATATCAAAAGTGCTAAGAAACAATACATCGGGCCTCGATTGTATGAGGAATCAATAGTAACCATTGCTGTTTCAAAACAACAACCGAGTCAACTGATACGCCCATTTATACTCACACTATCGAAAGTCGCTCCTGCACGATATATCGTCGCTTAGCACTTTCCTGATAAAACGTGATTAATGATATATCGTCGCATAGCACTGAAAGGGTTAAGTGTACGAGGCATGTTTTTTAAAGTAAGTACCGTTTTTAAATTTGTCCGTTCCAGCACTGTGATTAGCATTTTCAACATTTGCGCTGTGTATGGGCATCTATTGGTAAGACCTAGCCGGATATTCGAGAAAAATCGGTTGTGTTTACATCCGGTTTCAAGCATTCAAAATGGTGCCGCCAATTGAGACTGCCGCCGACTGTGAAAAGCGCGCTGTAATTAGATTTTTAAGTGCTAAGGTGTGAAAGCTATTGAATATCATCAATAGATTAGTAAAATGTATGGCGAGAACATTATGAGTGACGGAATGGTACGCAAGTAGGTAAGGGCATTTACAGACGGCCCCACCAACGTTCATGATGAGTAACGCACTGGGCGGCGTCATTACTGTCTCCGTACCCAGAGCGTTGCTCATCATAAACGTTGGTGGGGCCGTCTTAAAATGCCCTTACCTACTTGCGTACCATTCCGTCACTCATAATGTTTTTGCCATACTACCTGCCATTCTACGAACTCTAAGCAGGATGAAAGTATTTTTCACTGAAACGTATGATTGTAAATTTTTCTACCTTTGTGTCAAAGCAAAGGCATTTTTTCTTATAAAAAATGACTAAATCAATCAGCCAATTTGGGTTACTATCCACAAGTGTTCTTATGTTGCTTGCAAGTTGCAAGTTCGTCAAAATATGTTTGTGTAGTAAGGAAGTAATTAAAAAAACTTCAAAGTGTTCTTTCAACTAAACGAATTTAACCTATGAAACATTCCTCTCTGAGATCTGAACCTATTAAAGAGAAGGAGGGACCAACCCCTTTTTTATTTAATCTTTAAATATTAAATTGTACGACCTACATACAACATGATAGGGTCCATTTTTCAATTAGTAAAGCTGCGCAATCATTAATTACTGTCGTTACTCCTGAAGCGTGTCCTTATCCCTGAAATCTTTTTCCCACCTTGGAGGAACAAGGCAGTAAATGTGTGTAATAGTTATAAATAATTAAGCTAAGTAGCGGAATGGTTATAATGCTCACCTAGAACTGAAAAGGTTGCCAGTTTGATCCAGAGACTTATAGATGAAAATTATCTAATAAAGCTTTGAGGTTAGGCTATCTGTTTTTAAGATTTGTTGTGTGAATACAGGGAAAGTGACTTTCAGGTGTTTTTGATGTAAGTAATCTTTGGTTAAAATAACAAAAACTTAGATTAAAGGTTAAAATAAATAAAACATAGATTATAAAGAAAATGTTAAAAAGAGAACGTGAGATAATATTCTTTTATAACTACTTACTTGGCTCGTTTGTTTGGAATGTCCCGGTCATAGACCCTGGCAAGCCAAGGAAAGAGAATCACTCCACGGTAGCCAAACACTTTGTGTAGGAATAACTGTCCTGTCTCATAATTTCCGGATAGTTTAGGAGCATCCAGACGCCCAACTTCTGAAAGTCTAAAACAAACACAGGTTTCTTAGGAAGTAGTTAGGACATAGTAATTGGAGTGGCCTACATTTAGATGAGTATCTTTCTAAGACTATGCCTACAGGAATAGTTTTGCAAAACATCAAGTCAAATTATGACAATTTGTAATTTGAAAATTAAACTTAACTAAAAACTACCGCCATTTTTTACTGGGTTGAATTAGGGAGACCTCTAGTTTTTGCTGATACTGCTTTTAACTGATGACCGTTATTTGATGACGTGTCATTTGATGGGGCTTTAGATTTAAAATACCCTGTTTTTGGGGTCTGAGCAAAATTGGGATAGATACCAACTAAAATTTGTACTTTTATGCCATTTAGAGGTGTGCAGAGTTTGGGTTTGCTGGTGTTTAAACCAATCCATAATTTTACCCAACCCTGTGTCCTAGCCAGGCCAGCGGTCCCCAGACCTTTAGGGCAGGCCTAGCTTCGTTTTGTGGCCCACAAAAATTGTGATAATTTTTTGCGACCCAGCTATTTAATAATATTAATTAGGCTCTAGTGTCATTTTATCACTATTATCATAATTGCCATTGCCATACAAAAGGTCCACTGAGAAATAACCTCCAAATACAAATTGTGAAAAAGGGGTAGGTAAGTGAGTTGAATTCACAATTCTAGTAAAAGACACTTAACTTATATTTCAGAATTTTTCAATCACTAAAGCTACGCGCGCAATAGACACAGCACGGATGGGCGGGACAGGACAGCCGCACATCCGCAATTTAGGACAGTCTGAGAGCTAAAACTCTGAGTCCGACTTCAACAGAGTCCGTGAGTCCAATGGAGAATGGCGGAGGACCCGTGCTGCCCGCCCGGTCGGTGTGCAGCGTCCGGTCGGTACGGCAGCTCAGAAATGTCCTAGAGTTCTGTCTCTCGGACTTTTTTACAAACGGCAGAAGCTGCCTGACGTCGGTTGCCGGCAGTCTTGTTTAGAATAGACTAAACTTGTTTAGACTAGCCTACTATAAACACCCAAGGGCCTATTTCTATACAGTATTTATTTTGTTAGATACCATACACCAAAGTGGAGGATTTCCTCTCACTCAAATAAATTTTAAAATCTAACAAAAATGTTGAGATACCTAGGTACTACTGAATTGATACATTTTTTCTTATCTTAATCGTTCATGCATTTTTAATCAAAAGCCACCTGGACTGTAAACCATATAATCGAAGTAGAAACATGATCTCTCCAACAATGTGATGTCGTAAGAGTATCCCCATACAAGGTTAATACCATGACCATATCTTGTGATCATAGGTACATCATGGTCAACCCTATATTGTTTTGTTATGATTTGTTGAAACTAGAAACTAGGCTAGGTTGACTTCTTGGAGATTGTGGCAATTTTGCAAATTGACTGTGAAGATTTTGCAGACATTTTTCCCAATTTCCAAATTAGAACGAGAATTGAGATTTCTGTCTAGACAAAAATACAAATAGGTCCACTAGTGAAAGTACACCTGAAAATTAGGAATAACAATAACCCAGGTACGGTTCCGGTACCTATTAGAGATGGGAAATATAGTAGAACCTCTTTAATCCAAACTAAATGGGACCAGGGGTAGTTCGGACTATTGAATTACGGACAGAACATATTGTTGTTTTTACATAACAATAACTAAAGGCTAAAATGGATCGTAATTGTTACGGGAAAGTAAAATAAAGTGTTTATTTAATACAGTAGTAAACATAGTGAATAAACAGTACTGTACATTACAGTAGAAACAGTTACGGTGCGTACATCAATAAATACAGTAGGCCTATATACAATAAAGAACTACTGTACTGTGTATAGAGTAGAGCAATGAGGCGTTCAGATTAGTGGACGTTCGGATTAAAGAGTTTCTACTATACCGTTACTTTCCTGTAAAAGTCAGAAACGTTCCTTAGTTTTTGGTAATAGGTGAAATAACACCATTATTTTGTCACCTATTATTTCCCCTTCCAGCGTTATTTTACTTGTTCGTACTACGACATTAGAAAAATAATATGATTCTCAGTAAACTATAACCAAGCGTTTACTATTACAGTAATTAATAGGATTACACAGTCAGCGTTTTTTCACTTATTTGACCTACCAGTTCAGACAAAGTTACAAAAATTATGTTCGTACTGAGGTTACAAAAAAATATGATTCTCAGTAAACTATTACCAAGCGTTTGCTATCAATTAATAGGTCGAACACGGTCAGTGTAATTTCACTAGCTCGTTCTAACGGTTCAGAAAACGTTACAAGAACAATAGGGTATTCTCAGTAACCTGTTACCAAGGTAATAGGTAAAACTTCATTAATAGGGTTATTTGTTTTATTACGTGTATAATTATGCCTCCACTAGTAGCCTACCTATTTAAATTTTGGAACTAGAAAATCAAGATTACCGGTACCTATGTTTGAATAACATTCCCTTTGTAAGTTACTCGCTGGGTGTAGCTTACGGTGTAGCTAAAAAATCATCCGATTTTTGGTACTGCGCAGTGGAAATCTATTTTGGTATTTGTTTGGTTTTACGTTTATTTTTTAAAATTCATGAATATTTGTTGTTATTGGCCCATTTTGAGCACTATTTTCCTCTAGCACTATTAAGCCAAACGCCTCTTTGCCATGAGAATCATATTAAGAAACTGTCAAGAATCACAAAGTGCCACAATTAATGATTTTACAATAATACACTTTTTTGGAAATTTTTAATTAAGTAGATCTAGCCTATTGAAATATGGTGCCTTTTTCAGAAGAGGGCCGCCACTTTTTATACTGAGGAATAAGCACAGTTTAGGTTAGGCTAGGTTAATTTATAGCTTTACTTCATTTATTGAACAGAAATAAAGGTACTTTGGTATTATCAGAAGGCCACCCTGATACAGCGCGTTGTTAAGGTTATGTTAGGTTGGGTTATCGTAAATATGTTTGTAGGACTTTCCTCGTTTTGTTATGAATCATACGATACCAGATGAGTCATACATTCGCCTGCCAAATCTCCTCCATTTAGACCAAGGTCAGGTCATTGGAGCCATCACCTGTCACCGCCCTGTATCTGGGTCAGTGTCATGTGTGATGACTCATCTGGTATCGTTTAATTCATAATGAAAAGAGGAAAGTCATACTTAATATTATGATAACCCAACCTAACATAACCGCCGCAGCGCGCTGTAAACCTACTTGGCAGAGTAGGCTTACATGTGGCAGCTAGCGGCGGCGACGCATTCAACTCAATCATCGCCGACATCGCTGCCTTCTGGCGGGCAGCCCTCAAAGGCCACTAGTTGTAATCAAGCCAAATTTGGACATTAAAGACAAATAAAGTATGTTCTTTCCAATTATGTAGGTAGTTATTTTTGGTCCCCGGTAAAAAATTCCCTCTAAAATAAGTGGCCTCCAGATAACATCAAAGTACCGAAATAATCTAAAAATCACCTAAGTGGTGAGTGCGTTTTCCACAGCTTAAATAGTGGCGGCCCTCTTTTGAAAAAGACCCGAAATATGTTAAAGGTTATGTAAAATTACATTAGTATTATTAGTATTATTGATACCATCTATTGCCTTATTGCTAATATTGCTCACTAAGCATTGATCATAATGTAATTGCAATAATACGAGAGACTGCAGAAGGCCCGTGGATAATGTAATGTAGCAGAGTATTTTCTGGGTCTGCTTAATGTTTCATAATCAGCCTGGATCTCAGAAACACATATTTGGTTAATACAAGAGAGAATGTTAGTTGGTTAGCCTACACCAATGATAGCAACACATATTTTTTTTTTTTTTTTTTTTTTTTTTAAAGAGGTTGGCGGCCTCTTTTAACCTTGCATTTGCCCGTCCACATAGACTAAGCGCCCGTGCGTGGATCGTTTACAGCAAAGCAAGGAGTGAGCCGGTACAGTACAAAGGTGAACTGTACTGATAAAATGTTATCGGCAGTGACCAGGATCCGAACCCACGACACTACTGCCTTGGGCCCGAAGTCCGCGACGCTACCGACTGAGCCACCGACTCACTAAACTCACTATTGAGATGGCCCAGCTGAAACTGAACCAAGCCATGATGAGAAAATCTGAGATCATGATTCTAACCAAAAAGTGTATTGATACTATCGTACTTTTGCGGGTGGGGGACATAAAAATTGTTGTGGTGGACAGGTTCATAAGCTTAGCTGGCAGGAGCACATCTTCTATACGGCGGACAAGGCCACAAAGGTGGTTTCAAATAATTCTAATCAACTTTCACCTTAGGTGGTTAATTATTGGCCAATATCAGAGGTCATCGGTCCAGTCTTATAAGGTTGTTGTTAGCTGCGGCGGTTTAAGTTAAACTGTACTTCTGTACAGTGCGGAATTGAGGGCAGATACGCTCAAAAGGAGATACAGGATACAGCATCTCCTAGGGCAGTATCAGGCTGCATTGGATCCACTTTCCAAATAGTGTACGAACCCACCGTTGTGAGGATCACAGAAGTCTTCCCAGTCTAACCTGGTACCTATCAACATCAGACCATTCCATTCCATTCCATTTCGTTTTGTCATAAGAGCAAGAAACTCCCTGACTGCTAACCCGGTACCTATAATTAAACATACCCGGGCCCCATGATGTAGGCCGAAGCATACGCACCGACCTTTGGTACACCATGGGAGGATGACTTAAGGTCATCAAGCTCACCGGCTGCCGAACCAACCCTTCGGAAAGAGGGTTGCCCCTCAATCCTAACCAGGGATACCGGCTACTTGTTTAAGCGTCACTTCACCTGGGTTCCCCCAGGTACGGAACCCAGAAGGACCATAGTGAAATGCCCTGACGCATTTAGTGCAAGCAACACTCGGGACCTATCCAATCCCTGACAGGCAAAACCCGCCATCAAAGCCAGGAAGAAGGGGACCACCAGCAAGCTGATGGGGGGAACCCCAACCACCTATTTACACCACTACCCGATCGAGGCCTTACCCAGTTGCTGGGAAACCAGAGGTGACCAAGGCGATAGATCCCAGCACCCGATCTACTTCGTTTGCCCATCAAGCCCAACATCACTGCCAGGCCATCAGGGTTTCCCAAAAGGAGGCAGGAATAGAAGTGGGTCCCACCCGGATGAACCTATCCACCAAAGGTGGCGACACCCTTTGCTCAATTGAGGTTCCAGGGAGAACCCCCCACACTCTAGATAACCATACCTTCCGGTCTCAGAGACAGGGATTGGCTTATGGAGTGCGCCCAGCCGTTGCCCTCACACTGCGGAAAGTTACGTTCCCCTAGAGTGTCCCCGTGAACTGACGGGTACTCGCCCGATTTCACCTCCAGGAAGGCTACTTCCAAAGTCGAGGATTTGCCACACTGAATGCCGGTCGCACATCAACAAGCGGGCTGGAGCCCAAAGGATCATAGCTACAGGCAGATGATAGATTGGTGGCGCACTTCCACCTCTTGCAGAGCTGAACACCCCCCATAACCTGGATGGGGAAATGTCACTGGGTACTCTCACTTTGGGTAAACCCAAAGAGGCTGGCTTGTCCAGTCGTCCATAACTATGACCTACTTGAAATGCCGATTCCGACATCGAGCAGTTACCTCCCCTTTGGGGGCTAACTTACCCAATTTTTCACCTCCCAGGACGAGGCTACTTCCAGAGCCGAGGATATGCCTCACAAAATGTCAGTCGTACACAGAAGGCAGGACGAGCCCGAAGAACTCCAGTCACAACCACAGCTACAGGCAGGTGGGAGACCGAAGTCTTGCAGAGCTGAACACCCCTCCACCCTGAATGGAGGAAATGTCACTGGGTACTCTCACTTTGGGTACCACCCAAAGAGGCTGGCTTGTCCAGTCGTCCATAACTGTGGCCTACCTGAAGTGCCGGTTCAAACACCGGGCAATTACCTCCCCTCTGGAGGGCAAGAGCTAGGGTCCGCGTGGTCGCTAGGCCACGTACCCACGCAAGCGTAAGCCCCCTGCGGGATATCAACATCAGACCGGGTGCAATAGTATCAACACTGAACTACTGACAACCTCAAGTTGCTGGTCGTCATCACAATTTTCAGGTGGAAACCAACATATTTGCCAAAAAAGCACAACTGCACCAAAGGGAAAGAGTGCCTGTGATATAACTTAGCACGTTCGCTGCTGACAACTCCGGTCGGAGTAACAGTGCAGTGTTATACAAGTTGGTCTATTGTGACCTCCGCATTTATCGGGGACCAACTAAACTACCTATGTCAGCATGTTGTGCTGGTCCTATACTTTAATTTTGTGTAGGTTGGGTTTAGGTTGGTAGTAAAATTTCCCGTAAAATCCCGTCTGGCAGCGCTTTTGTCCCATTTTCAGGGATTTTCTCTCTTTGAGCCAAATTACAAAGGTAAACTGGTAAACAGGCAGTGCTGCTATCTGTGAGTTTTTCAGTAAACTACGTCCACTCTCGGGTTACACAGAACCTTCACCACCGCTATCAAGACTGAAATATTTTAATAGTATTGCCTTCGCTGATTCACTGGCACGGCGAGGCTGCGTCGCATTTCCGACCGTACTGCCAAAGGGGTTCTCGCAGCGAACGTGTTAATGGCCTAAATTATAGACAAAAGCAAAAGGGAATAATTAGGCTAATGAAAAATAAGTTAATAATTTTTTTCAAATTTGTTTGGAGTAGCAAAGCTCTATTTTATTTACTGAATTTTACAATTTTTATCTTGTCCTAAGCCACGTAGCCTGCCAGTCCAATAAGGGTAAAATAAATAAAAAATAATCCTCTGCAGCACTCTGTATAGCCTATAAAAGTTAGGTAACTTTACTTCAAGCTGCCTAGTTTATGTAAGTTAGCTAACTACCTCAGGCCCGTTTTTGGCTCTGTCTGCGCCCTTGGCAAAACTATTTGTAGCGCCCCATTGCAATATATATCTATATATTAATAGGCATGCATGTTTCTTTAAAACCTTTTTTCTTAGCTAGTTTAGGCTACATCCCAGGGAAAATCTACGCATATTGTTAGAAAGATTTTTTCCAGATGCGCAAAATCCCTTTATAAATTAAAATATGCTCAAAAATAAGCAAAAAACATAAATTTAAAGTTAGAAAAAAATTAACATGGACCTTATGGGTTACCAAGCTGGTGATGAAATAATGAAATATTAACAGAAAATCAAAACAAATGGAAGAAATTCCAATCAAATGTTTGTTTTACAGTGTGGGGTGAAAATAGAGAAGACTGTACTACATATTTTTGGTTGAGTTTTTGACCAGTCAACGACCACTAGTACGTACATAAAACAGGGTGTCCACCAACCGGGAAAAACTGGAATGTTGCGTAGTATTTATTTTTGTAGGCCCTATCCGTGACCGCAGAACACGATGATAATGTCTAAACGACCGCGGTAAACAGGTCAAGAATTTTTCTGCGATCGCGTAAGACGATGGTGACCTCCACATGACTGCTGGATAAGATTTACATTTTGCCGCAATGGCGGGAGACGATTGCGATGTCTACAGGACCGCGGCAGATACAAGAATTATGTCTACACGGCCACGAGGAATGACCAGAATAATTCTGCGATATCGCAAGACGATGATAATGTCCACACGGCCACAGGAGATGATTACTATTTTTCCACGATGGTGGGAGATGATTACAGTACTATTTTTCCGTAATGGCGGGAGACGATTGCTATGTCCACATCCACGACCGCTGGGGACGATATATTGACGTCTTCACGGCCGCGAGGGATGATCAGAATTTTACAGCGATTTTGCAAGACGATGGTGGTATCTACAGAGCCACAAGGGATGATCAGAATATTGCTGCAATCACGAAAGACGATGATAATGTCCACATGACCACGGGTAACAGTCAGGATTTTGCGGAATCGCGGGAGACGATTACGATGTCCACATGACCGCGGGATACGATAATGATGTCTACACGGCCGTGAGGGATAACTTTATCGCAATCGCATGCAGATACAACCACCATATTTTTATTATTTTCAAATTTTTGGCGCCCATTAAAAAAGCCAATTGCCTCGCGCTCTAGGCACGTGCCTACCGTGCCTATTCGGTAAATCGGCCCTGAACTACCTAGGCTAAATTAGCCAAGGCCTAGACTACGAGAACCTAATGATTACTTATTTCTCATATTGAACTAACTAGGCCTAGAAATAGGCCTAAGAAATGCATAGAGAACATTCAGGTTAAGGAAGTAAGTTAACAAGGTCAAACCTAATTGAACACTTATTACTTATTTGCCTGGAAACAAAATGTATGATTAAGTTTTCACAATTTACCTGGTATATCCAGCATGTTTGATATATGAGTGGCCAGGACTAATTTTGAGAATATTCTGTTGCACCAATCTGACAATTCCAAATAAAACCGTCATTGTAGTTTAGTTAGGGCTAGGCCTACTATTTATTAGGCCCTAATCTGAATTGCCGGCACACAATATTTGGAAACAACTGTCACAAAAGTAGTATTACTAGTTATTTAGTTTTTTCGTAATGAATGATAAGATCATATTCCTCCTTCAAGATATCCTTCCTATGCAACTGAAACGTAAACAAGTTCCAGCTATCCAGCATTCAGCAATCAGCAAATAAGTATACAAACAAACCTGCAAAAAAATCAAACAACGTAAAAGACTGACGATAATTTTATTGCTGAGTTTTGGTAATTTGGCAATATGGCATTTATTTACCACTCACATTCACAACAACACTGGACTGACTGAACTGACTAAAAAAACTAAAGACAATGGCTGAAGAGCAGAAGAGCTTTGAGCATAGGGTCAGGGTCCTAGTAAAGCGTCCATCTCCTCTTCATTCATTGGTCCGTCCATATCCATATTAGACAGGCTATTGGTTAAAAGTGAGCGAAAATTAGCAGCTACGACAACAATTTTCCCATAAAGTATACGTGTGTCCCAAAAGTCCCACCCCTGTTATTTTTATATATATATTTTTTTTTTTTGTCCTAGGACGCTAGGCACGAGCCTGGGATTGTTTTTCACATTACTTCAGGCTAGACCTAGGGGTTGCGGCATTATCACTTAGATAAAATCCATTGGTGACTTGGCGGGGATCGAACCCAGGACCTCACGGACCGAAGTCCCGCGCTCTAGCCACTACGCCAGCTCGCTCCCCACCCCTGTTATTTTTATATTAATAGAGATAAAATTATAAATATTCAGGGAATTTTTTATACAATCAAAAAAGGAAGTTTTTGGTGCATGTAAATTTTCACCTTCTCCGCCCAAAAAATGGGTAGTTTGGGGTAAGACAACATTTTCACACATAACCCCCTATCGAGTTATTCATAAAATAATTGTTAAGGTCTTAATAAAATAAAAGAATGGCGCAAACTAGAGGTATCTACGTCAATCCTATCAAAAGTTATTGCAGTTCAAAGTTTTAATCCCCCACCCTTTTTTTGAGAAAACACATAAAAAGGGGCGATAATTAAAACTTTGAACTGCCATAACTTTTGATAGGATTTACGTATAGAGTACTAGTTTGCACCATTCTTTTTCTTTTATTATGACCTTTAAATTATGCATAAGGGTGGGGGTTTACATTTAACATTTAAAGATTTCGTCCTTCTCCCAAACTACACTACCCCTTTGGGGGGAGGGAGCGAAAATATCCATACACCAAAAACTTCCTTTTTTATCATATAAACATTTCCTGGATATTATAATTTTATATCTATTAATAACAAAAAATAATAGGGGGTGGGACTTTTGGGACATACTGTATACTGTTTATATATTAATCACATATTTAATCACATACAATATATATATTGTACTAGTTGTTGTACGGTTGTACCCGTGCTTCGCAACGGGAAGAAAAATCAGTTTCATTATCATAAGACATAAATTTTATAATTATTAATACAATTTTTTTTAATTTTTTATTTAAATCCAAGCGAAATAAAACGGGATTTCCCATAACAGTAAAGTGGGATAAAACGGGGGTTTCTCAACCTGAAAAGCGGGATTTTTGTTTTGCTCGTGTGGATATAATTATTATATTATTGAATTAATAATTAATATCCGATAATATTTATATCCTTCATCAATGATAATATCCTTTGCTCGTGTGGATATAATTATTATATCCACACGAACAAAACAAAAATCCCGCTTGTCAGGTCGAGAACCCCCCGTTTTATCCCACTTTACTGTTATGGTTCGGAAAATCCAGTTTTATTTCGCTTGGATTTAAATCAAAATTAGCATAAATTCTAAATCTATAAGCTTGAGGAGTATGTTTTATCTATGATAGAACTGACTTAAGTGCCTCAGTCCAGTGGGGTGATGGAGTTTCGGCTTCCCGGATTGAAACATCACGAATCGTAATCGTACCTACCGTGCTAGCTAGCTGTTCTTGGACTTGTGTGAGTGTGAGTGAACTGACTGAGTGAAGTGAAGAGTGTAGTAGAAGCCAGAAGCAGAAGGGGAGGAGAGACAGAGGAGTAAGTTTAGTAGACGATTTTTGAAGTGACTCCGGAGTCCGACAGACAACAAACATGGCAACTGCAATAAGTTTATGTTTTTAAAGCATAATATTGTTGGAATACTTACTAGTCTTTTCAACGTTTTGGTGTTCAACCTGTGAGATGATTTTCATGTTTGAAAATGTGTACTGTAAGAGAAGAATTGTTAATAATGGACTTAAATAGAAGTGACTGTATCAGTGAAAATTTAGTGGCGCCAGTATCTAGTGAGGTTATGAAGTTTTTGGATACTCATTTTTAGTATAAACGAGACTCCTGTTACGAATCTTATCACTAAACATAGGTTATAATTTCGTCAATCTTATCTTATGGTTATAGTCCTCGCATAACAATTAAAATAATTGGGCTTTAGATCAATTTATTATACTGTTAAATGACTAATCTGACCTTAGTATAAAAGCTTACAGATCATCTCACTCGTACTTCAATCATAAGTTTTGGGTTAAAATACTTAACTAAGTGGCGTCTTCTTCTCAATTGATAAAAATAGTTAATATCACTTAGTATCTTTTTTCAATTAAATTTTTCTAGACAAGCACCTTGATGAAAATGAATTTCTCTCATTTGAATTTCGGAAACAACTTCGTTTCAATGCACCAATTCAGTGCTGCAACAAAAGTAGTGGGCAATGTACAACAGAATATAGCCTTCATTCCAGCGACGAGCTCTCAGCATTATCATCATTCAAATCAAGTAAACTTTCCCAACAATGGTCAGATTACAACAGCTGTCATTCAGCATCAACATCATTACCAGGATGCCTCTGCTAGAATTCTTAGCCAAAATTCCTCAACACACTCAGTAAATATTAATACCCCTACATCAACTACTATAGCTCAATCATCTTGGATTGATGGAACCACACTACCTTCTGGAGACAGCACATTGAAGATAAATCTACCAAGCTTTCCTCCTCAAGCACAGGTGCCAAGTGGTGTAAATCACATTCATCAACCAATACAAAGTTCTTTTAAAACTGTCTTGATGAAGGATGCCTCAACAATGACAGATTTTGATATCCCTGTCACTGATGGAAAAAACGGTAACACCAAAGAATCTGCTATGAGTGAAGATAGCGATGACAGTTCTAAATCTGATACACATTCTATGAAAAGAACTGAGTGTTCAAATTCTTGTTCTAAAGTTGAGTTAAAAAATACAAAATCGGCGTTAGCTGAGTACCTTCATCGATTACAGCCTTATCAAATCCCAACTGACATACAAGAATTTCTAAAAGATAACAATATAGTACCTGTTCTTAAAAATGATGTTGAAGAAAAGAGCAAGAAGAACATAGAATCAAAGGATAGTTTTTCTGGGAGGTCTGAAATCCGATTATCAAATGCGCCTGATGGTTCTCTTCTCTTTTGTTGTTCTGAATGCAGTATTGGATACCCGGACAAAGAACAGTTGGAGCGTCATCTTGCAGGTATTATCAGCAAGGTTTTATAAAGTGAAATAGGCCTAACTAAGTTAAACTTCTTGTGATTGATAACTTGAGTCAGGAAATAACAAAAAACTATTGAAAACATGTTAGTTGATCATCTTTAAAAAATTGTTTTTAATTTCTTTATTGTCAAACCTATTTGAAACTTAACACGTTCGCTGCTACGGACGTTCCGGAATGTCAGCGGCGCCACGGCGCCAGGATCTAGTAGCGTTCCGGAACGTTACCGTTCATTGTTGTTTAACCTTTCCATCGATCAGCCAGATCGTCACGAGCGTCCTATATTTCTTTGCAGCTCATGGGGACCGACTTTTCTGACAATAAAAAATATAGTTTCCCGAAATCACCACCAGGGTCGTATAGAACAGGGCTTTGTCTCACCTCTTTTCTGCTAGATAGCAACACTACTTTACCGACTGCAACCTGGGTAGTTATATATCAGGTGCTATATATCAGAATCGCTTTGGTACTATGTCCAAAGCCAGTTTTATTGCAGAACATTGCTATCCAGTAAAACTACTATTGTTCTTACTGCAATTCAGTGTATTAGCGGCAATGTTACGCAGCGGCGAGCACTAGTTCAGCTCCTGGCGCCGTCCCGGCATCTAGCGCTCAGCAGCGAACGTGTTAACTTATTTTTTATGATGATCTTATACATTACTTTAAACTAGGTCACTAAGTTTTACCATTGTAAATCCATGACAAATACAAAAAAAAAATTGACAGTTAATACGCCAAAAAGTTATTCTAACAACTATACAATTTTTAACTTGAAGCAATAGGCCTAGTTGTCCTCTCTGCCACAGGTATTGGCTTGTAGGCCTGCCTTAGCTAAGACATGATAGGTAGCGAAAACTTAAGGTACCGGTAGCCTATGAGAAGTTGACAAACTGTGTGGTATGCATCACGTTAAAAAAATTGTAAAAAGTAGTAAAGTGCAGGTGTTTGAAGCCTGAGGCTGGGGCATATTTTCCAAGTCAGGGAACCTTAAAATAGGTTGTCTCGACACACTCGCTCACTATAAAATAGCATGTAGGCCTACAGTAATTTCATGGTACTCGACCGTCTGGAGACAGCTGGATGAGATGGGAGGTCGGATAGTTTAGGCAAGGGTTTAAGCTGTAGTTATATTTTGCTAAAGACACCCTGAAATCGTGACATTTTATTAGGCTGGCTGTTGTAATGGCAGAAAAAGTCATCTGAAAAGATTGCAATGGAAAAATATATGTAGGCTATCACTGCAATCACTGTAGGTAGATGATCATGGCTCTGCTATTACAGAAGATTTTTATGATTTTGCCAAAATACCGGGAGTTGATTGTGATTTCACCGTTGTAGCCGGACATGATAGACATTTTGCCAAACTCTGGATGTTTAAATTTTACTTAAGTTGAGAGGATTACTTTTTGAAGTAAAACCATAGGCCTACCTCCAGCCCTTAAGATGATTACGTTTTGAAGTAAAACTATAGGCGTACGTCCAGCCCTTCAGCTAATTCCCTCCTATCTTTTGAACATTTTCGTTGATTGTAAAGTTGTTTTAAGGCTACATTTTTTCAAAACTAGGATTGTCCTAAGTTAATACACTTTAAATTGGCTATGATTCGTAAACTAGTTTTTATAAGTTAAGTTATTATTTATTGGTAACTTATAGGCCTATTTATTTCTATTCTTAGTCTATTACTGCTTACTAGGCTAATCTTAGTAATGATTGCCTTTTCAAGAAAATAAAATATGGTTAGGAATTTAAATAAAATGTGGCGACAGTAATGTCAACCCAGTGGCCAGTAGGCCTACATCATTATATTATTAGCCCTACCATGAATTTTAAATAAACCATTCATTATGATAGGTCTACTAGCTGACAATGCCGCATCACCGCGATGTGATACCTATGCTACGGTTTTAGGCCTAAACCAGTTTCTCCTTAAATAGAGCACCCTGTATGTGTAAGGATAAGGCCAATTTATTTTATTTTTAGAAGAATATACTCTGAAATATGACTTGGTCAAGGCTTGTTCACACCGCTGTCGCTAGATGTCATACTACATCTTAATATGTCGTCCGTGCATTGTTCAAACCTTGCTACGTAGCTGTTGTGCTTCAGCCGCTGTTTATCCCTTCACCGAGGCCAGCGCTCATAGATCAAGATCATACCTAACTCGTGTCCATGGTAGATCCTGGAATGGCGTCCTATTCAATACCATTGAGTGATCCTGCATTCTCTGCCATGGATGGAGAGTGATAGCAGTAATAAGTGACTATGAACTGTTGTTGTTATATTTAGCATCCCAAAAAATCTAAATGGAAAACCCATTTAGTCAAAGGAGAAACCAATTTGGCGGATTTCACCATCTAATGAAGGATGTTGAAAAGCTTAGATCATATCTGTAATATATGGAGAGTGATTGTGACAGCCCAAGTCCCTAGTGCGTATTTGGCAACATGTAGCTAGTTGGCGTAACTGCAGCGATATCGTTTGCATAATAATATGGCGGTGTGTACTATGCTCATTTAAATAACATTAAGAGATATGTCAGCGACGTCTTCCGAAGACGTAGTAAGATGTCTGCTGATGCCGGTGTGAACAATCCTTTAAGCTGGGGTCACACTAGGCTGTTTATCAGCTGCTACTAACCAGCCGCCGGTAAATATCGCCAGCTACCAGCAGATATGTAGGGTTAACATTATAACCACAAGCCGCCACTAAATAGCCGCTAGTTTGTAGACCTCATCTGCTCCCGCCCCACTCTTCATTGACTTCTTTACGTTATAAATTTCATTTCTATATGAATCAGGTAGCCTAGACTTTTTTTCTATTTAATGAGACCAAAACTTATTTTAGTCCTCGTTCTTCAAGTCTTTGATTTAACTCATTATAAGCTGCGTCTTTGGTATTCCTGTTAATGTAGTTGGCAGACAATGCGTAACACAGGCAAGAATAAAATTGGAATATGTAAATCTAGAAATATTACAATGTATTTTAATTCACCAGCCGTTTGTAAGCTACTAGGGGCTCACATTGGCTGGCTGCCACCAGCAAGGAGATCACGTGACTACCAGCGGAGGGTAGGCAGCGCTAAAAAGTTTAAAATGTTCAACTTCTGATTTCAGCTAGTAAATACCAGCCCGCTGGCATTTACCAGCCTCTGGTTTTGGATCAGACTAGGATGCTTGATGGCAATATTACCAGCGGCTGGTTAGTAGCCAAGCGATGCTAAACAGCCTAGTGTGACTCCGGCTTTAGGGCCTAGCAGTAAAAAACTTCTTCTCAGATATGTATGAGCATAAGTAAGTTTTCCTTGAACACCAATTGGTTGCCTTAACTATAGACTTTGATGTGAGTTATCTAATGGTTAAATAACTCACAATCAAATAATCAAACATGTTTACATATTTGCATCCCTATAAAACATTTCTTCATTTCATATTAGTTGGTATTGGTTGATACACTTTTATCTGTTTCAGTGCATAAGGCAGATCGACGATTTGAATGCAATGTTTGTGGTGTGTTTTTGAAGAGGAAAGAACATTTGGATCAGCACAAAAGAGGCCACAGCGAAGAGAGACCGTTTGTTTGTGAAATTTGTTGTAAAGGGTTCAAGAGAAATGAGCATTTACGTCGACACATAGTGATCCATTCCGGAGACAAGAACCATGTTTGCACGGAGTGCGGGAAGGCTTTCTCTCGTAAGGATCACCTCAACAAACACCTCCAAACTCACATCAGTAAGAGAGCAAAAGGAGAAGCCAGCGATCCTGTATCGTCTTCACCTTTGTTGCAGTTCCAGCCTCATAAGAATGTTCACGTTTATCCTCCTAAGTAAACTAGCACTCATGTATATATATTTTTGAGTGAGTATATAAAATCAATCATTAGAATGTGTTTTTTTATAGTTTAAAACGTTGCGATATTTGAGATTAGCACCTCAAACATTTATTTTATAAATAACATTGAACAAATATTAGTGAAATACTTAGATCTTAAACTTATGGATAATGTATAAATCGGGTTCCTACCAGTGTCTGACAAGTTACTTGGTCATCAAACCAGTTGGCTGCCATTTTAAATAAAATATTTAAAAAAAAATGCAAATTACACCCGCCACAGCAAACCTGCAGACTAAGCGAATTTCCAATTGCCTAGTTGGATTAGCCTATCACTAAAACATTTAATAAAATTGTCAGATTCATTCCCTACTTAAATGACTCTAAGTTTAATGAGTACTTAGGATTACCCCTCTAAGGAATGTAATAAATTTATTTAGCTTGGTATCAAATAAACAAATTTGATCAAAACACATTCTTAAACAAGCAAAAACTTCAACGGTTTTTAAATTCTCCATAAGAATAACACAAGAATTTTAAATTCATAAGGTTTTTGAAGACATTAGTTATTTGTAGCCATTAGACAAAATCAATGCTTTTTATTTTTCTTGCAGTTAATATGAGATAAAAAATATATCTTCAAAAAAGATCTCTTAAATTCATAAACAGGGCCGTCGCGTGGTGTATTAGTGCTGGGGGTGGGATGCTGTCAGGTGCTCTCCCCCCCCCACCCCAAACACAATGAGCGATGCTCGTGGTGGGTTACGTGGCTGTCTGAGACATCATCTGTAGCAGAAACATCATCATCGTCCTTCACAATCACGGCTAATCTGAATATTCATCGATAACAGAATTGTCCTCTGCAATTGTGGTAAAATAAAGATTATCCAACGATCGTGTGGACATTATCACCGTCTTCCTCGATTGCGGAGGAATCAAGATTATCTCCTGCAGTTATGTGGACATCCAGGGTGTCTACCAGTCGGGAATTCCGGGAAATTCGGGAAAAAGTCGGGGATTTTGAAAGGTCGGGAAAAGTCGTGAAAAAGTCATGAATTTCGGCCGAATGTCGGGAATAATCTAACCTTTCAAAATTAGGGATGAACGGGTCCCAAAACCTAAAAAAAATGTTCTGGATCTTATATTCCTGATCATTGGGACGGGATTACATTTGAGGGGTGTGGGATGAATCGAAAATGCATTGTAATTACAATTCGTTTTAGTGATGATTAAAATAACCATTTGAATCATGGGCATTCAGTATCCATACGTTATTGAATCTGTATCCATATACGTTATTGAATCAGTATCCATATATGTTTTTGAATCAGTATCCATATGTTATTGAATCCGTATCCGTACGATATTGAATCAGTATCTATATACGTTATTGAACAGTATCCATACGTTATGGAATCAGTATCTATAGGTCTTTACGGTATTGAATCAGTATCCATAAATACGTTTTTGAATCACATATACGTTATTGAATCAGTATCCATATACGTTTTTGAATCAGTATCTAAATACGTTTTTGAATCAGTATCCATATACGTTATTATTGAATCATTATCCAAATACCTTTTTGAATCAGTGTCCATACGTTATTGAATCAGTATCCATATACGTAGTTGACTGTTACATTGATACTGTTACTTTGACTATCAGTATCCATACAACTTATTGACATTATTCAAATTATTGACATTAATTATATAAGTTATTCACTGAGACATAGCTTAGCCATACAAGTTATTGCCATCCAAGTACATGGCATACACTGAGACATAGCTTAGCCATACAAGTTATTGCCATCCAAGTACATGGCATACACTGAGACATAGCTTAGCCATACAAGTTATTGCCATCCAAGTACATGGCATATACTGAGACATAGCTTAGCCATACAAGTTATTGCCATCCAAGTACATGGCATACACTGAGACATAGCTTAGTCATACAAGTTATTGCCATCCAAGTACATGGCATACACTGAGACATTGCTTACCATACAGGTTATTTCCATCCAAGTACATAGCATACACTGAGACATTGCTTAGCCATACAGGTTATTGCCATCCAAGTACATAGCATACACTGAGACATTGCTTAGCCATACAGGTTATTGCCATCCAAGTACATGGCATACACTGAGACATAGCTTAGCCATACAGGTTATTGCCATCCAAGTACATGGCATACACTGAGACATTGCTCAGCCATACAGGTTATTGCCATCCAAGTACATAGCATACACTGAGACATTGCTTACCATACAGATGCCATCCAAGTACATAGCATACACTGAGACATTCCTTAGCCATACAGGTTATTGCCATCCAAGTACATGGTATACACTGAGACATAGCTTAGCCATACAAGTTATTACCATCTATGTACATGGCATACACTGAGACATAGCTTAGCCATACAGGTTATTGCCATCCAAGTACGTGGCATACACTGAGACATTGCTTAGCCATACAGGCTATTGCCATCCAAGTACATAGCATACACTGAGACATTGCTCAGCCATACAGGTTATTGCCATCCAAGTACATGGCATACACTGAGACATTGCTCAGCCATACAGGTTATTGCCATCCAAGTACATAGCATACACTGAGACATTGCTTACCATACAGATGCCATCCAAGTACATAGCATACACTGAGAAACACTGGTTCTTCTAATGTATGATTGAAAACATATATTTCACTCCACTGACAAGTATGAATAGAAAAATTCCATGGCTTTGAATCGAGTTACATCAACATTTTTTTTAAATCGAATCGTTGCTTTGAATTGAAATTTTTTGCTGCTTCACACACCCTTACATTTAATACGGGATTTTCTCGGCATGTGATTCGTTTCGATCGTCAGTGATTTCGCTGCGTCGCGAGTGACAACATATGTTGACGAAGGTACCGTGACCGCGAGATGGAAAAAGGTGTAGTAACATGAAGAAGGGACCGAGTTTTTGGTCGGGATTTATATAAAAATGGTAATGAAAAGTCGGGAAAAAGTCGGGAATTCCATTTGAGAAATCTGGTAGACACCCTGACATCACCATCGTCTTCAGCGATTGCGGCAAAATCCTAAATTCCTCCCACGGTCACGGAAACATCATCATTGTCTTTTGCAATGGTGGCAAAATCCTGAATATCTCCCGCGGTAACAAAAATGTATTGTAGGCTACTACATTAAGCTCAACAAAATGACCTAGGAAGAAATTAAGGGTTTCTATTTTTTTAGGATCAAAAATAAAAATAAAAATTTACACTCCATCCATACAAATTTTACACCTCCATAAAACCCCATTAAATTTCAATTCTATTCAAATTCAATATAACAAACACCTGCATGTAGGTCAATGGATTTGTTGAGCAAATAATTTGTCAAAAAAGTAATTTTTCATTTTTTTTAATTTTAAAATGACAGGCAACGGGCTTGTCGACCAAGTAACTTGTTGCACATATAAGTTAGTGGCTCTCCGTATCAGACATGTTCTCATTATGATCTTTCCTCAAAAAGCTCACTTTATGAAACTTGTTTAATGACAGAGTCCCGGTGCATATAAAGCTTAAAGTCTGTAACTTTAAAATCTTTTATAACTGTAATGTTATAGTGAAGTATTTTGAAAGGGCCAAAGATACACAACATACAATATTGTTAATCATTATAAATTTGATTAGAAACATTTTTTCTACGTAATTGTTACCTATTTAATTTAAATCTAACCGACCAAACTACAAAACATAATAGGATGAGTAACAGTGTTGGAGTGTAGCAACTCTTGTTAGGTCAGCCTGTTGTGACAAACTACCTGGTATAATAACGGTTTTTGGTTCCAGTGTGACAACACTGCAACAGATCCTACTATCGCTTTTTTAAATACCCCCGCTGCAGCAAACCTGCAGATCAAGCATATTGCAACAAAAAACACAAAAACAAGCAAACTACAACAGTTTTTTCCATGAGAATATCATAAAAATTTAAAATGTGCTGTTTTGAATTTTCTCAGTAACCTTTAACTGTAGCCTACAACAATGATGCACCATAGAAAATTGATCTTTTAAGCTTTTTCTAGATGGCTGTTACGAAAATTGGGCATTTCCATGTTTGTTTGAATTGTAAAAACCAATTTTTTAAACTTAAAAATCTAATAATATCCTGTTCTTATCAACATCTTTGCAATATCTTTGACTGTGGTAATGACTTATTCCTCTTAAGGAAATTCGCTATAATTGAACAATAGCGATTTTGGCCTCTGGGAATAACAAAACTAAAAATAAGTCGGTCTCAGGCAAGGTCTTACCGTGCCACCTACAGTAATAGCTACTCTATAGAAATTCCCTAAAATAATTGTTTTGACCAAAAAAGTTTTCAAAAATTGTTTTGCAAGTTTTATTTGTTTCATCAAACGTGTTTCTGAAAGTCATATTGTATCATGGCAACTGATGTAAACAAAATCAAAATTATTGCTTTGTCGAGTTTGTATGGAGGGAGAAGACTCATCCTATTGTGACAGGAAATATTTTTTCTGCCAAATACATATTATTTTTATTTGACTCATATTTTAATTTGTTCAGCAGTGCTTATCGGGATCGTACATCATTGAATCATTAACCTTCCTGTAAAAGTTATATTGATAATAAGTTGCTAAAATGTGTTGTTTAACCCTTTCAGTGCTAGGCCAATAATTCATATTTTATAAGACTTTTTTGTTTGCCTTTTAAATCCATTACCCGTTGTTGAATTTTAACTGTCATGTTGTCACTATTTTATTAATTAGGCTAATTTTGAATAATAACACAATAAGAAAATATATAAGAAAGATAAATCCCGGTATTTGTAGTAAACATCAAATAAAACTTAGTTTTTGTTGTAATTTTCAGTGGCGTAACAGCCGCCCCCGCAGACCCCGCGGTGCGGGGGGGCCCGCGAGGTTTAGGGGCCCGCGAGGTTAAGATACCCTTTTCTCATAAAACCGTCCGTAAAACCGATCCTTTGTTCACGAATGTTTTTCTCTCCTGACAAATTATAAATAAAAAAACGATGTGTTGGTAGATACTTTTATTCTGCCAAATCTACTAAAGTTTTATCTTTTAATTAACAATATTGTTAACGAAACGCCAACGCTCACTACGATCACCCGACGATGTGTATTGTCAGTGTGGTTGTGTAGCTTCATGCTAGCGCTAGGAGCTGTGTGCCTGCCTGCCTGCCGCCGCGCCGTGGCGACACACACTCGGAGCCAGCCCCTCGGCCCTCCCCCCTCCCCCACTAACCGCTCACGTGTACTCAGCTGACCGTAGATCACCTGATTTTGGAGATCCATTCCATGCGGATTGCGAGTGACTCGTCAGTAGTGCATGTCGCGAGAGTTTCTCAATCAGGTGTCATGTCATTAAATTGGGCTAATTTAGTGAAGCACTAACATTTACAGTTGGGAACACGAAAGTTTGCAGTTGGCGGCAGCCAATCACAAGACTAGTGCGACGTTGCCATATCGCCCTTTGACGACACTAATTAAAATACTAAACAATATTTTTAAAACAGCTGGTATTATTCGATTTGGCAACACCGCACTGCCCTCATTGGCTCATTAGAAGTCAAATGGTAAATATGCTACTCCCTCAACTGCAAACTTTCGTGGTCCCGACTCAAATTATAGTTGGAAGCTTGGTTGAGTATAGTAATGAATGTGAATGGTGGAGTAATGGAGTAGCCCATATATATTAATCACGGACATAACTCCCAAGTTTATTATCACTGTGACAGTGACAAAATATAAAATATGTTTCAAGGACGACTCTGGTCGTGTGGTTGAAGAATAGGTATAAATACTTGATATTGCTAGAGACCATCCTCTGCCAGTCTGATCGTGTAGGCCGTATGCCTGCCGTCACCTACGTCATGTGATAGTTGTGGTGTGGTGATGGTTGTGGTATATAGTGTTGTGGTGGGGAATGGGAGGGGTAGTAGGGGGCCCACAGACATATTTGCGGGGGGGCCCGGGGAAATACTGTTACGCCACTGGTAATTTTCCTGGTTTTCCTATAAATTTTTATGTTCTGATAGCATTATTTGAAACCGAAATCTCACAAAATCAAAAGACATATAGTTTACAATGTAATATTGAATTTAACCCTGATTTAGTTGGACGAGGTTATTGTAATATAGCAATTTTAGGGAAACTAATGTTTTGCAGCAAAGTCTCAGGAACACATTTACTACTACTAAAACTAAAAGATTGCATCCAAATAGTCCGTGACTAGCTGGTGCTGCTACCTAGTAACGCATTGAACAACTATCTGCAGCGCCATCTGTTCGCAATCGGTGGCGACAGCTTAAATACCGGGTTTTGACTCCCCAGTCTTCAAGCACAGATAGCCGAGAAGGCTAGGGCGTGTGTCACTTGGCCAGTGGCATTCGTCTGCTCGGGTTCGAATCCCGTCCTGTGTGGCAAATAATTGGTGACCTGTGTGTTTGTAGCGATATACTACAACCACTGGGGCATAGTGAGGTGTTCATAATCCTTGGTTTAGACATACACCTCGAAATCATCGGATTGGGCGAATCTTTTAGCTAAGTGGTTAGTAGTATATCCTATGAACATGCAGGTCACCAATGGCCGTTTTGCTATTTTTTTTTTAAATAACCTTCCTCTCTATATCCCTTAGGGTTTTTTTTAAACAACGATATATCGTTTCATAGCACTGAAAGGGTTAATGAGTTGTTAGTTTAAAAACCCCTAATGGAATTTTTTTTACACTATGAATAACATTCAGTGTTATTTAACATGCATTAAAAATGTTATGCATCAAATTTTTTTTAAACAGGCCTACGTAGTTATTACTTTTATTACCTTACAAATCTTAATGAATACCTCAACTATAAGACTTTTATTTTTAAATTATTATTGCCTTGTCTGTGTTATTATGTTCACAAATTAGTTTTTAGAGCTTGTAGACTTATGTTGATACATGACTTCGGAAGGTAGCTTACATGACCCAATAAGTTCACATGAACCAAATTTTGATTATAATGGAATTGTCAATTCAGTGTTGGTATATCAGATTTTGAGTTATAATAAGTATCTTTATATGTAAAAATAAATTGTAATGTATGTATTTGATAATGGTAATTGTGATCCTCACTTTACCCGTTATTCTATGTAAAATGTAAACAGATTTTGTAGTACTGACTGTAGCACGACTGTAGTTGTCAAATCATTACGTTTATGACATAGTTTTAGAAACTAAGCCGAATATTTTCTTCTCTATGAAGACACTCATTGTTACTTTTCCATTTTTAACTGTTGTTAGTTTAATCTAAAGTTTGTGTGATATGTTATTTTCTATTCTATATTCTGTCCAAGGCATCAAGAGTGGTAGGGCGTGGGACTTTGCTTACTGGATTTTACTTGGCCTTAGTCATCTAATAGATATAGTGTAAATTGGCTAAATAAAGCGGTTTAGCAGCCTAAAGCCAAGTATGTGAGTCTTTGGCGACAGTAAGCCAGGCTGTGGGTCGATCAATCCTCTTGGGTTCTTGATACATTGGACAAAATATAGCGTGCCTTGATCTGAATAATTTGTTTTCTATATTTTGATTCTTAAAGTACCTACTCACAGAAATAGATAGAGTGGATGATAATGTTCCTTTTCCTACAGTTACCTAACAATGTACATGTTCTCTCACTGATTTGAGAAAGCAAAGTGGCCAATTCGCTCATCAGTGAGACAATGTTAACATTGTCTCACTCTAATTACTTTGTCTCACTCCAGATTTGCAACGTGAAGGCACGAAATAGTGAGCGCGTAACATGCAGGCAACGTCGTATGCGCACGAAATACGTTGGCAGCACTGGTTGTAAATCAGCTGGTCAGCTGTTGTACTGTTGTATTTGTCACTTCACATTAAATTTTTATATTAAAAGTTCACTTCTGTTTAAAAATAGGTTATGTTTCTTCACCAATTTATTTGTTTTACGGTAACTGTAGGAAAAGTATAATGTGCAACTCGAGTTTAAAGTACAATTGCCTCACTCGAGAAACCATTCCTCACTCGCCTACGGCTCGTGAGTAAGGATTTCTCTCGAGTGAGTCAATTGCTCACTTTTCTCACTAGTTGCACAAATAACTATTTTTTCTTTCAAATTTAAGAAATTGTGAAACTGAGCTAAAATTATTTAAATGCAAAATATAGGGATTTTGATTTTACTGCAATATCTTGTGTTTTTTAATTCCTGTAGCAATAAATTAATCCATGGTAAAAGTTAAACTTTTTTGTTCAGGTAGATAAGTATTCAACTGTAGAATATTAATCATTTGATTGGCAAAGTTGAATGAAGAATGCAATTCTATGTAATTTGCTAGGCCAATAATATTCTTTTCAGAATTCTTTGTCTTCTAGATATGGATTTGTATTGATAGAAGTATTCTCACCCTACAATATCCGTATTCGTCTAGTTGTATTACATCTTTTGTGGGAGGTCCTTGAGTAGATGAAGTTTGAGAACCCCTAAGCTAGTATATTTTGTTTGTAATTTTGATACAGATCAGCTCTGGACATTCTAGAATGAAACATAAATGCAATTGATAGAAACAAATAAAATAAACGGAATCAGCAATCTGACACATACTTTCTCCCATAAGCTTGTCAACAACCTTTATCAAGGGTATGCAGTGGGTAACTGATAATTTTGTAAGAAAAAATCACAAAAGTTGCAATAACTTTTGAACCGTAATTGTTACAGCAATGGGGGTTGCATTATTTTCTTTAGAATTATAAGGACCACAACACATTAATTTTAATCAAAACCGAGTTTTTCTCAAAATCAGATTTTTTGTAATTTTATGGGAAAATAATATAAGTTACAATATCTTTTCAACCGTAATTTTTAAGGAAATGGGATTTGTACCATTTTGTTCAGAATCTAAAGGACTATAACATACTAAATTTTTATCAAAATCGTTCGGCCATTTTTGAGAAAAGTCAATTTTATGGGTTTATATGGGAAAATCAACATTAAAAATTAAAATTTAAAAAAATGAAAAAAACCTTTGAAGATACCTTGGTTAGTACTTAACTTACATACAAAATTTCATTAAAATTAGACCACAGGTGTAGTCTGTAGCTTTGTACACATCCACACACACACTCACACACACATGGACATCACTTTGAAAACAATTTTTTTTTGTCCAGGGGGACCTGAAACAGATATATCCACTCAAAACTCAAACTCAAAAACAATACACTTTCTCCATATACATGGTATAGGGGGAGAAAGTAAAATGGGTGGCTTTAGAAAAGGGTTTATCACTTTTTTAAATTCCAAATCATTGTGTAAGCCCAATATTTCACTTTTCTTGTTTTGCATATCAAAAGACACATGTATAAAAATAAATATTTATTAACAATTTATAATTCTAATTAACATTACATTTGGAGGCACAAATTGAAAACAACAACTGTTCCCATCACAGCTTTAGTAAATCACAGATTATTTCAAAGATTATTTAACTAACGTCTAGCCATGATTAATATCTCCATTAATATAATCTAAGAATGGTCTTCAAATTAACCTTTTACAACTTTTGTAAATCACAATTTAAAACTATTGAACTATTTCACAATTATGTTAAACTATTTCAAAGGCTATTTAACTAGCATCTAGCCATAATTTAATTAATATATTGTTCTAATCAAACTATGATAAAAAAGATTATGCATTAATTACTTATTATGCATTAAAATTCAAAAGACGAACATATTTCTTATTTCATTTCATTCTTTGTATTCACAAAAAGTGATTAATTTATTAGTAATAATAAAATAATAATATTAATCTTTAAAGACAGGTGTACAGCTAACTTTGATGTAATGAATATACAATTTACAAACTAATGAAATTTCCTAAACCTAAGTGAAACAAGAAAACAAGAATAAATGTATTAGACGAATAATTAAGACATCAAATTTTACTGTCCAGGGGGGCAAGGTGACTTCGTAATAGAGCCCTCAACCTCTCGTTCTTAATCAATTTGGTCAACAAGTGTACGGCTAACTTTGATGAAATGAATATACAATTTACAAACTAATGAAATTTCCTAAACCTAAGTGAAACAAGAAAACAAGAATAAATGTATTAGACGAATAATTAAGACATCAAATTTTACTGTCCAGGGGGGCGCGGTGAATTCGTAATAGAGCCCTCAACCTCTCGTTCTTGATCAATTTGGTCAACCTCCCGTTCTTGATCAATTTGGTCAACCTCCCGTTCTTGATCAATTTGGTCAACCTCCCGTTCTTGATCAATTTGGTCAACCTCCCGTTCTTGATCAATTTGGTCAACCTCCCGTTCTTGATCAATTTGGTCAACCTCCCGTTCTTGATCAATTTGGTCAACCTCCCGTTCTTGATCAATTTGGTCAACCTCCCGTTCTTGATCAATTTGGTCAACCTCTTGTTCTTGAATTTCTCCAACTGGCTCTTGGTCGTCTGGGTTTTGATCTAGATCTTCTGGAGGTTGCTCCATTACTGGCTCTGCACGAGCTTCCTCGAGCACTTGATTATCAGGGATTACATCAGGGCGCTCCATCACTGCCATCTCTGGTTCTTCGTGAGTTTGGTGAACCACTTGTTGTTCAGAGGATTGCTGTAGTTCTTCTTCTTCTTCTGAAAGATCCAAATAGTTTGGCTCTTCTTCGTCTACCAAAAAAGGTAAGTTTACTTCTATTTCCTCATCTTCCATAAGTTCTATTTCAAATAGGTCATCATCATCAAAAAGCATTTCTAGTGCTTCCAAGTCGAATTGATCAGTAGTTGCTATAGGTTCCAATCTAATAGGGGGTTCCTGATCCCCTTCTGTATGTATGTTCTCTTGGAGTTGGTCGTGCCGTAACTGCTCATCTATAATGTCCATTGCACGGGGTGTTTCCTCCTCTTCTTTGGAGCCCCATTCTCCATTTAAATTGCGATCGACCATTCTTCTTTTATCTGAAATCACAAAGAGAACAGGGAAGTTTTAAAATTGTTGAGATTTCCATAAATAGGAGATAAAATGGTTTATTTTGAAGTATAAAACCTTAAAAGCCATGTACCTAAACCTCTAACAAGATGCATCCAGTCTTGACCAGAATCTTTTAATAATAACACATTTAGTAACTAGTCAGGAAAGACATGTTCTGATGCTCTAAAAATTAAATTAAAATTAAAGAGGGTGATTATAGCTACAGTAGACTCCCTCTTATCCGAACACCTTTTAACCGGACATCGGTTTAACTGGACTATAATCGGCGGAAATGGCATCTCTTTAACCGGACAATTTTTCTCAGCACATCAGTTTAACCAGTCTAGATCGGCAGGAATTGGATGGTACTGAAACGACTATTCTCGTGGGAAAGATTTGAGACCAGTGATCTTGTGTGATTCTTACGTAATAATCATTATTGGCTTATTTATACAGTATGCATTTAAACGTTGGGGACGTCGGTTTAACCGGAAACCGTTATCCGGACTGGCCTCAGTCCCGAGGAGTCAGGATAAGAGGGAGTATACTGTAAATATATTTTACCAGGGGTGACGAACTTGCGACATTGCCAGATTTTTTGGGGGAGATTTTGAGAATATTAGGATTCAGGCAAAATTCCAGCAGAGTAGTCAGTCATAGTCAAGGAGATTGTAAAACATTCATCAGCTGTTTGTTTACGACTTCCTTTGATTATTACTAGGGCAATCAAAACCCCATTTATAATTTTATAATTATATAATTAATTTTGTACTGGCTGGTAAATGTATAAGAATTTTTATGTGGATTTTCACTTAAAATGATTTTTGTGATGGGAACGACTTACTGCGAACTGCCCGAATACTGTTTGTGGTTGTTTATTTAACTTTTATCTGCAGTCATAGTTTTAACTTAAAATACGTTTTTATTGGTATTTTGCCTTTGATCTTTTCCACCATGAGCATTGTTTGTAGGTATAATTAGGGGTTTGAATTGTTCATTATGTATTGTTCTCAAGCCATCTCATTGAATTTCAAACCCACTCTACTGTTGGCTGCTAACGTTAATATTCTGTCTTTGTTTCTTAAAATATGCACATAGTTCCTGTGAACCAGAGTTACGATATTCACTTTGCTATTTTTCTAACTTGGAGCCTCATGTGATATCCCTTAAATAAAGTGATTAAGTGATACCAGACGTTTCTGTCATTTGATTCTTTGGAAGAAATTGACACACTAAAAAGAGTCTCGTTCCCTGGTAATTAAGTTTTATTTTTCTTTCCTTGATTTAAAAAAAAAAACTGTTTGCAAATTTTATTCATCAAGATTGAAGTTATAATTTTGGGACTAATATGAAAATTTAAGGCTTAAGAAAGATACTCATTCAAGAATGTATATTGATGGACAATTAAGGTAGATATATCACACTATTCACACTCCCATTGTAGACAAAATTGTAAATTTTTACCTTAACATGTTCTCCACTTAATTTTGTGGGTACAACTTTTACCCCTTACTTGACTAATTTACTTGACCCTTAAGTTCCTTATACTTATAAGTTTACTTGTTTTTTTTTTTTTTGTTTTGTCAAAGGAATTTCACTGGTTATAATTATAATAATAATATCTTTATTTCCGTGAATCAAATTTAACAATTAATTGCATGGCATCCATCAACAGTTAATACAAGCATAATAAATAACAGCAAAATAAATAAATTCATTGTAAAGAATCCAAAATACACATGACTGACAAATTACGCAAAATTAGTAGGCCTAATTCTTTATTCAGGATCTCAGAGCAGCCGAACACGCATCTACTCATTGGTGTTAAAAAAACCAGGGCCGGTTTAACCCATACGCGAACTACGCGGCCGCATATGGCGCCACGAAAAATTGGCGCCGTGGCGCCAACGGAACAATTTTTTTTTTAGTGAACAACGTAATTTTGTTTATTTTTGCTCAGAGTTAAAGTATTCAAAGCACCACAATAAAGGCATTTGTTCTGTTTGTACCAACAGCATATGAAAAATGCGTATATTTGTACAGCACTACAACTCAAGGACTTAATGCCATTTGTAGTTTCGATGCTGACGCTTGGCAGTCGGCAGCGTACTACAGCGCGGCGCCTGTGGGTTTCATTTCATGACTCATGTTCTGAACCACATTCTGATGTTCTGAACCAGATTGATACCAACTCTGCAATTAAAGAATTTGCCAAGATCAAAGCTAGGAAAATTAATTTTTAACTGCTAAGAGCTTTTGAACTGTTCAAATTGATAATTTTGTATTCTTTTTGTCAAGGTAATAAATCTGGTTTTTCATGTTTTCTTCATGTTTAATGTGTTCAATTAAAAATTCCTCTCTTGTCATCTATCTACACCTGTTTTCATTGTAATAGGCTTTAACTTATATTGTATCAAAGTTATCCTGTAATAGTATATTTTTCGTACCTAGGGCCGAAAATTAGGTCTTACCGGCTCGAGATAGTTTTTAAATCGATCGAGAGCTGCAAAACCATTTCGGTCCGTGGTAAGAACGCTATTTTTCACCACACTATACCCTATTACCACTATTCACAAAAAATCACTAGTCATAACCTTTAAGAGAGGTTATGTTTTTGTTTATAACCACTCATTGTCACCCAAATACAGTGTAATCAGCTGATTGGTGTCCGGTAGGGTAAAACTCATTACAGTACAGTAGTACGCAATGAAACCCCCATTTGATTAAGCTGGCGGCAAACAGCTGTTTTCTGGACTAAATCCTTAGTTCGTCAAAATAGTGTAGTGTGGCGTAAAAATTGTTTTCACATTTAGAAATAAATTGTTAACTTAGGCCGTGATGCTCGTCAAGCATGACGTCACGATAGAAGACGGCAATGACGTAGGTATTTATAAAATTATTTATTTTCCAAGGAAAGATAAAAACAAGCAGCTGATCACAAACGGCAAACATTATATCATTGCCGTCTTCTATCGTGACGTCATGCTTGACGAGCATTACGGCCTGTTTTTTTTAGTGTAGCCTTGGTTTTGCTCAAGTTTATACGATGAGTAAAAGTGTAAAAATGTTAAATTCCTGGGAATAATAAACAGTCTTTTATTGCAAGTATTCTTCTAACCTAAACTTATAAAAAAGTTCTTCCCAAAATCTTTGGGAAAAAATTCACAAATAGAGTTAAGTAATGGTCATGGGTTGAGGGTGGGGTGGTGGGGGGGGATTCTAATTGGCGCTGATTCGGGAGTTCGCTTAACTCTGAAAAATTCCTAGAACCGGCCCTGAAAAAAACTCACCCACAGCGTAATATTCCTTTTTTAAACAAACATATTTTTAAGCTTGATAGGTTTAAGCTGGGGTTTTCTGGCATCCCTTTTTAGATCTTCAACACCAACTCTTGAAAGAAACATTGACTGCTTCCGTAAAGGTGCGTAATATATGCTCAGAAAGTTGCTTGAGAAGCCTCACAAACATGACATCAACATTCGTTGTTTTCTTTGATGTAAGTTGATTTATTTATGACAGCTGCAACTTCCCCCTCTGTTACAGGTATGTTACGGAAATATACTGTGGATCGGAGACATTACGTCATATCTATTTTTCATATATTAACTCACACATAAGTTTTGGATTGTGTCTTTTTGGAGCAGCATAGAAAATAAATTTGGACAGTATCTTAAAAGAACAAAAAAGAGCCATACAAATTATTCTAAAACTAAATTATGATCAATCAGCCAAAGAGGAACACTTTGTAAATCTTAAAATCCCCACAGTTTATGGACAATATATCTATGACTGCATAGCAATTTCTAAATACCCCCGCCGCAGCAAACCTGCCGTCTAAGCGAATTTCCATTTGGCTGAATTGATTTTCAATCGATCTATTTAAATAACATTAGGTTTAACGAGTACCTAGGTTTGCTGCTACAAGGAAACTAATAAAGTGTGTGTTTTAAGTAAAATAATTATTGCTTAGTAGAAAATGAGTATATTTGCCAAGTTTGATCAAAAGATATCCATAAACAAACAAACTACAACATTTTACAATATTCTCCATAAGAATAACATGGGAATTTTAAATTTACAATTTTTTTAGTTTTCTCCGTAACCAATAACCGTACAAAAACACTTTGATATACTGAATTGTTTGTTTTTTTAAGCTCTTTAAGAAGGTTTAGATAAAAATTGGGAAATTTTGTGTTTTGAGGGTCAAAAGTGAGAAAAACCAATTTTTACCCCATAAAACCCTGTTCCCATGGTCCGATCATGCTGGATCGCGAACTCATTTAAGTTTATCCCGCCTTACACCTTCAAACCAAATTTCATCAAAATCGGATAAAAATTACTCAAGTTATCGTGTTCACGGACACATATATATATATATCTATATATATATATATATACATATATAAAAATTTGAACGAATGGTGTTTTTGGCCTCTGGGGACATCAAAATGAAAAAGTAAATCGGTCCCGGGCCTAAGTCTTACCATGAGACCTACGGTAATAGCTACTTCCCTATAGGGAAATTCGCTAAAATGAGGAAGTAAGTTCTAAATCTTCTATATGCCACAAGTACAATACAAGACATAAAAAATAAAAAATCCCAAATCATCATAGATTAAAATTTTGCGAGAAAAAAACCAACATATTCAGGAAAGAAATTCTTAATGAATTTACCCAAAAATATTAAGTCTGAAAAGAATATTGAAACATTTAAGAAGAATTCATAAACAAACCAATTTATTCTTTAGTTTAAGTTTTTCCACCTTTGTTCACAAAAGAACTAAAAGTATATTTCAGGACAATTTGTGTTCAATAGTTAAGGTTCGGAGACTGATGTATTTTAATGTAAGTGTTTGACACTATTTATGTGTACCTATGTGCATGAAATAAATAAAGAATTTATGATTTGATTATGACATGTGTAAGGTAATATATTAAATATGGGACCAAAAAATATATATTGTTTCAATGAAGGT